AGTGCACCCAACCCCAACCCCAACCCCAAACCCAAACCCAAACCCAACCCCAACCCCAACCCCAAACCCAACCCCAACCCCTACCCCAACCCCAACCCCAACCCCAAACCCAACCCCAAACCTTTAGCGAACTACCACTGTGCATCTCATAATGCTTCAAAGGTGACGCCTCTACTAAAGCAATTTCCTTAGTCCAGCTGGTTTTCTCTCTGATTGAAATTATTTTCATTATTACATGTAGCATTTTGTAAGTAAATATTATTTGATCTTCCCTCCACGCCCATGCTACAATTCACAAAAATAATTTTCTTTAACTGAAATTTTTGTTAGACTAATGGCTGATTAAACAATTCAATTTTACTTTTATTCCTTTCATTTTCTACTAATTTCGCATCTTAATTGTGAAAAACAAACCTTCAGGTTGAAGAATTGAGAATTCATTTCTAACTTCAAATTGCTCAAATTCTTGAGAACGAAAGGGACATACATTTTATGAATTAATATAATAATTTTTATGTAAGAATAAACATAAATTAAATGATATTTTGAATCTATTTACATAACTGCAAGATTGAGTATATCAATTTTATATTTTTATTTATAGAATTATAATACAGAATTCTGCCTATTTTATTCATAGTGATTAGAATTTTACAACATTAATTGGATGAATATTTATCTAAATAAATCAACTATTCATAGGATTAGCCATATTTTTCAAATCTGTGTTATTGTTATTGAAAGGGTCTATGTTATTCGATTTTATAATCAACGGCTAAAAGGCTTATGGTTACCAATTTTCAGGCTACTAGATAGGTTCTAAGTAATCATTTGGAAGAACTGCTAATAGAGTTATCGGTACTAATACTATTGGTTTTGAACTACAACACGTACAACCTATAAATATTTCAACTCTCTACCTTCAAAATTTGGAAGTATTTTCACATAGTATGATGAATTCACAAAATTTCCTGTTGTTGAAGGCGTGAGAACAATTTATGGTTGTTTAGTATTAACCAATTGTAAAGAACATCCAATTTAAGAAGCAGGTTATATTTTCAATCCTTTTTATAATCCATTTTGAGATAAAGCACTTAGTTAAAATTCTAGGTGGCATTAAGATCCTGAATTAGATTTGATGTTTAGTCTATTCACTATAATCACATCGACATTTTCTATATTAAGCTTACAATCTGAATTATCAATATCATATGTTATTTGAACAAATTCTCCTGGAAAATATAAATTTTTCTCTACTTTTGCAGATATTGAGGAAGACTAGATATTTAATGACATTTTACTCCTTGTTTTTTACAGCACCATGTAGTGAGATTAGCAGTCTCTTATTTTGAAGAAACTTATAAAATTTCTTTGATTGGTTCTCTAATTATGATCTCTTATTTATTCTTGATATCATTAATTGATTTAGAAGTTGATATTACTCGAGCCTTGACCTTATAATTAAGACTTGCCAGAACGGCATGTGCATACTAAAAAGACCCAGGCAGATTTGATGGAAGATGTAATTCAAAAGGAAAAACAAATTATCCAACCATTAAATTTTCATCTAAAAATGTATTAATTACAACAGCATCCCTATGGAATACATTTTTTCCATAGTGAGTCCTTCTGTGTTTACCAGAACCAGTTGTCCACTGAGTTTTCTCTTTTCCTACAATCGAAAATTGAACAACGTTTCCATGATAACCTGGTTTAATTATATGAAGGTAAATATTTCCTATAATATTGGAAAATTTTACCTTTGACCACATCTCCAGCAAAATATAAAGATTTTTCTGTTCTAATCATTATGCCTCCAAATTCTGATCCTGATTTGTTACCCATAAAAAAGCGAATTATTTAATTAATAGCAGTTTCAGAATCAATAACAATAATTAATTTTAAGAAAGTTGAGTTATCAATTAGTTCTTTGTAACTCTTATAACTTCAAAATCTTAAGAGAGAACAGATCTTCCATCATTCCTACTAATTTTCAACAATATATTTTCATTCATTGTCAAGTTAACACTTTTAATGAGTTTTAAATGAACTGCATTAAAATTAATTTAAAAATGAACAATTTTAACAACCTTGTCTTTATTTAGGTTTAAATTCTAATATAAACTCTCTAAGGAGTATTTTTATTAAAATATAAATAATATTACGCTTAAGGATGAATAGACCAAAAAAGGTTTCTGCAGCCAAAAGAAGATCTAGCAGCTTACATTCAAATCCTGAATAATAATAGGTGCACTAAGAATCTGGAGTTGAAGTAATATTTTAATTAAGTTAGAGCAAATCATAGAAATATGTAAGAAGCCGGTTTCATTTAGAAAACCCCATGAAACTAGATTATTAATAAACTCTTTTAGAAATATCAAGTTTTTCAAGGAATAATTTAATGAGCATTATGAAGGGATGCTGGAGGATGTGGCAGAAAATGCAAAATTGCATGTTTATAGCAAGAATGAGACAATTATTAAGTAGGATACATATGGAGATACTTCTTATATAATAATAAAAGGATAAGTGAAAGTTGTGAAAAGAGTAGTAACTAATATTGGATCATATATTACCAAAAAAGGAAAAAAAAGAGATAAATATCATGAATAGATAAAAGAAATTATGACATTAAACGATGGAGACTATTTTGGCGAATTAGCTTTATTAGTAAATAATTATCTAATAAAAGGAAAGAAAACCAAGAGGAGCAGATGTTATCTCAGTTACAGATTCATTCATATTAGGGTTAGACAAGGATTCTTTTGATAGAATAATGGCTACAAAGACAAAGCGATAATTTTTGCATCTGCTTGATACTTTAAGTTGCAATTCCATTTTAAAAGAAATATCGAAGAACACCGTCAAAGCATCATTTATGATAATGGAGAGAAAAGTGTATAATTATGGAGATATCATTTATAAATATGGAGAAAAAGGAAGCAGTTTATATTTTATCATAGAAGGTGAGTTTAAAATGGTTTCCAATATTTATAAAAAAGAAGAAAAGGATGACAGCAATGAAATTAAATGTTTGGAGCGAGAATCAGAGATCTGTATTTTAGGAAAAAATGAAAGTATTGGGCTTGAAGAATTTCTCGATGAAGAGAGGAGATAATGGAAAGCTATCTGTTCAAGTTAAATTGGAATAGTATATAAGTTAAATAGAATCGATTACAAAAGGATTGAGCAGAGATATCCAGATATTGTAGATGCTATCCAAAAGATTCGAGATGAAAAGAAAAAATATTATAATGCTTGGAAGGAAAAGCATGCTAACCCTTTAGAAGCTGGATAATAAAAGCAGATTTAGAATGATGATATCTAAAAATTTGACTACTAAAAATATGTTGAAAGATCAAAACAATTAAAACAGATTATAATGAATGATAAGGAGATGCAATTTATATCCAGAGATTAAGTTACAATTAACGATGATATGGATATAATGCTGAGATATTGTCCTTATTTTTAATTAGGAGTATTATTTTCATAATATGTAGGAAAAAAAAGCTACTCCCTTTTTGGTAAACACAATCGAAACCATTTAATAAAGAAGAGTTAAAAGTGCGAATTATCGGCCGTTATCTTTCGTTAATTAGGTTAGTTAGGGAGTCATTCAGTAGCATAATAGACCAAGCACAGGCAGAATATTAACCCAACAAAAGGATGATATAGCTAAGGCCAATGCTGCTGAATCTTAACCAACAATTACAATTAATCAATATTTAACTACATAGCCAGAGGACAATAAATAAAAATCACTTCATAATTCGAAAGCATTTATGGTTACTTCAACCCCAACCTAAGAATAAGAATCGAAAAAAATTACAATTAAAAAGAAAGCAAGAAATTATAATGATGTTATCCAAAATAAGATAATTTTTTTTATGAAACTTACTCCATAAAAAATTGAGTAAATGGCAATTTAGCAAAGGGTTGATAAAGAAGAATTTAAGGATAAGAAATTATATATTACAAATTACCCTTCAATGACTACAGGCTAAATGTTAACAAGAATTAAATCAGCGGTCAAACTATAACCTTAGAATAACTTTAGTTATCGTTCGTTGTAAGGTTAAATTAGGAGAGGAATAGCAAGCAGTGTAAATTTATTAAGTTCTGTTGAATCAATTCAAGGTGGAGAATGTTCAAGGATACATTCAACTAAAAATTCAACCGGAATTAATCTTGACAGTTCTGCTCTTCCTTTAAAATATCAAGCAGATATGATAGGGCGATAGTTCTTATAAAGAAATAAACAAGCAACACCATCATCAGCATTCAAGGGATTTAATCGATAAAAATTTAAGTAATTATCTACAGAATATTGAGAATCTATCTTAAATTAAAAATAATCTCATTAATGTTTTATCAATTCTGGCATTTCATCGATGAATAATTTTAATGCTTGCATTCCATCAGGAGTCCATTTATCATCAGATGCTAGTACATCTTTGACTTGTTTCAAATCAATGTATTCTACCTCCTCTAATTATGGAGTTAACTAATTAGCCTCTCCATCAAAATATAAATAAAATATTTTCCCCCAGATTTTACTAATTTGATCCTCATAATAAAATTCATTCTTTGGAATAATATTCACATTTTACAATCCAATTTCTTCATGGATTTCTTTTGTTGCATTTGTCTCATATGTTTCATTAATTGCAACTACTCCTCCAAAACAGGTATCAAGATACCCAGGGCAATATCTTTTTTCCAATGATCTTTTATGAACAAATAATTTATTAGTTTTTGTCTGAAGTACAAAAATATAAGTGGCTCTGTGAATTAGTTTCTGTTATCTCATCTCATTTCTTGGGGATTAACCGATAATTTCATTTTTCTCATTTACTATAATGACAATTTCCTTATCCTCTGTATTTTGTTCCTTATCTGGTTAAGAAATCATAAATAATTAATTTTAAATATTGTTTATAATAATGAGTCAGGATCAGGATGAATTGTTTAGTGCAAAGAGTGAAATATTGTTCAATGTAAAACAATGCGAAGAATTATTCTAAAAAGATAAATCAGAAAAGTAATGAATGTCTATTTTCAGATTAAAATAAGACATTGAGACTTTTAAGAAAAATATCAAGACGGCTAAAGAAAAGGAGGAAGAATTCTATAAAACATTATTATTAGAAGGTAAGGAAAAGGAGAGCATTTTTGGATTTCCAGGTTATTAAAAGAAGGAAGAACCAAAAGTGATTGTCTGGGATCCACTTTAGGGAAACTTGATCATTACTGAGCATGAATTCAAAATTAAATATGACTAGCCTAAACAAAGAAATTCAAACAGATAAAGTTAAATACCATTACAACCTGAGATTAATCTAAACGATTGAATATTTTAATAATACATTATACACATCAACTTTACTTAAGTTTATTTAATCTTCTCTCTCTTTTCCATATTGAGAATAATGTGACAAAAAATAATGTGAATATTCCTATCCATATAATTATGATATAAGTAGGGAATTTCTCTACAAAAATTCCTTAATAATTTCTAAAGAAAAGGACCCATTCTCCTAAAACTATAGCATGCATCAACCAAGCATTAGGACCTAGTCTTGTTACATTCCTGGAGATATTAATATTATTTACTCATCTGAAATATAGACGTAATAATCTCGAGCGGCAACTATAGAGAAGAAACCCAAAGGAAACACTCTGAATTTCATAACATTGTGTGCTGTATTGATTTAAAGAACAAATTTATTAAAAAAGAAGCTTAAGTCGCAAAGGTTCATAAAAACTAAAAACCAAATTACTAATAAAAATCTCTTAACAGAAGAAAAGACCTTCCATTCAATTTTATCTAACTAAGGACTTAAACATAATCGCTTCAAGTTCTTAAACCAAGAATCCTTTCTATTTTCTTTTCTTAAAGACCATTTATATTCCTTCATTCCAAATAATTTCATTGTGTAATAACCCACCACAATTCCTCCAGTATTACAAACAATAATGTCTAAAATGACATGATCCCACCAGCATTCCCAAAAATTAGGTAGCCAATGTCTAAATGTAATTTCCATGAATTCAAAAGCAATCTATTGGATCATAGCAAGTTTAAAGTCTCTTAAGATCCACATTTTAACAGTCCACCCAAAAATGTGAGCTGGGACAAATACATCAAATGAACTCGTCAGATTATAAAACTTTGAATGTTCATTCTCTGGAGTATAAAATCTACAATCTTCTGCATAGCTTTTGGAAGGGAGTGGTCTTCCTAACTTTGGATCAATAAACTGCTACAAAAATTGCTATAGTTATTCAGGAGTCTAGAGAATAAGAACAAAATTATACAAAATAAATGAGGAAAACAATGCTCATCATATAAACACAAGCCCAACTTTATAATAATCTCCAAAATAATGGATGTGGTCTTTATATAAGAGTGTTTGGAAAATAGCTGCCTCCATAAGCACAAAAAGCCAAGAAACTGAAGATATATCCGATATATGCACTTTCTTGGAGCGTTGAACTTTGAAACCAATAACTTGTAATATAAAGTGTAACAAGCATAAAAATTAACAAAGATATCGTTCTAGATCTATAAAATATGCTCCAGCCTTCAGATTCATGGAAAAATGTTGATTAAATGTTTGGGGGAATGTATTCTCTTTACAGCACCTCGCATTGTATTCCTAATTTCAATATTTTAAATGATATACCTATATCTATTTTTTTAGGTGATATTTCCATAAATAAAAATAATTTAATATAGATGTTAAATCAAAGTGATATAAATAACGTAGAGAATGTAATTTAATAAGTTATTGATTCTCTTTCGATTTGCAGATAAAGGATAGAAGAATTGCACATTGAAAAAGAGTCACATGATAAAATGAAGGAAAATATGGACCTAATTAAGTCTAGTTAACAAGATTTTCATCATATCATAAACGAATATTTTAAAGCAGTTGGAGAGAATTTTAGAAATTTATAAAGTAGATACCCTAATTCTGAAGTTAAAAGTATTTATAATAATAATATTAGAGGATGTAATAACGAGATTAGATGAATAGATACAAAGTTTAGATAATCAAGCATAAAAATTAGCAGAAAACTAATTCACTTAAAAAGACTATGAGTATTTTAAACAATAAAATTATGTCAAATTCATGTATAATTTCGAAAATATTTTTAGAGATGATTCGTCCAAAGAAATAGATGAATTAGCAACTTATTCATAAAAAACTAGCAAATAAGATTAAGATTTATTACCCTAAGTCAAAGTTAATCATAGAGTAGTAGAAGGCTTATATTTAACATTAAATGATTATGCTTCAGTATAATGGAGTGGCGATATACCAGTAGAAAATTGTCACAAACCGATCATTGAAGCCTAAGGAGGAATTGCTTTGAATCATTTAATTATTTTAGATGAACGCCATCTTTAATATGGACTTTATGATATAGTCACTAATCAGTATGAAGTCCATTAATATAATTCGAAAGTGAATATTAATTATTCGCCAACTGTTGTTCAAGGAGAATCCAATTAAACCTATCTAATAGGAGGAGTTACTCAATAAGGATTAATAAGTGCTTCATTTAGTTAATTGGATGTAAATTCAGGTCAAATTACTAGTTTGCCAGAAATGAATGTTAAGCGAGTTGGTTGTAGCAGTATTATAATTAGAGAAGGAGATTGCTAATATCTTTATGTGATTGGTGGAAAATCATGCAACAAAGTGAAAACTAAATTGTGTGAAAGATTCAATTTTACCACATAAAAATGGGAATTCATTACAAAAATGAATCATGCGAGATCCAATTCAGCTATTGCAAAACATGAGGATTACATTTATGTTTTTTTTGGAATAGATTCAGAAAATTAGAATACAAATGTTATTGAAAGATATAATTATGCAAATACAAAAACTTGGGAAATCATAAGCATCTAAAATTCCTTACCAGGATTTGACAGTTCAAATTGTTCAGCAATTTCAATCAACTAAAGTTAAATCTTGTTATTAGGAGGAATTAGATATAGCATCATTTTTAATGATTAAATGTATTTTAATCGAAAACTGCTTACATTAAACACAACAAACAGCACATTTTCTGTATTGGATAATCAATTGCCAATCGATTTCATTCCTTATTCTCATATGGTTATCTATAAAAATGAGATTTATGCAATTGGATACACAATGAAGCAAGTAGAAGTTAAGCCAACTCTTTTTTTAGACGGAGGCTTTGTATTAAAGATTAGTAAAGATTATGTAAAAATTCTGAAATACATTCCAGCTTATTAAGAGAAATAAAATTGAAATAAAATCATAAAATTTATTATTATTAAAAATCAAATGTATTATTAATTTCAATTTCTGAATACCAAATTTTCCAAAGTTCAAAATACGGATAGAAATATTGTTTTAAACTAATGATTTTAAATTTTGGGATATAATGATGAGAAATAATGTTGAAAAAGGAGAAATTCCAAACAAATTAAATAGATTTAATCGAGAAAGGTTATAAGAAGAATTAAGCGAAAATTATAATAATAATAAATATTTTATTCAGCCAATAATGGTGTTCAAAATAACTGATCAAAAGATCATCAATTTGTTAATTAGAATTAATTTTCTCAAAATTATATAGAAGCGCAAGTACTTTAACAAATTTTAATTTATAAAAAAGCCCAAAGTCCATATTCACCGAATCAGTTTCTAGATTAAGAGGTTAATTGCTCTTAAAAATAAATAAAGTCATATTTCCGTTTATAAATAGATATAAGTAATCAAAAGGAATGGTACAATTTATGGAGCTTATTAATATTAATATATTCATTAAATTTTTTAGATATGAATAATTTTCGATGAAGTTGGAGAGCAGAATTTAAACTAAGAATCAATTTTCGTTTTTGTTTTTTATTAAAAATATAATTATAGCTTCGCTATTTTAAAAATTTCAATTAAATATAGATTTTTGCCGGCTTCAGACAAATAAAATTGTGTTGATAAAATTAAGTGTCTATTCATGTGTAGACCTATAATATCTTTGGATGTTTCTATTATTATGCAAAAAATGATTATTTATTATTTTTATACAATTTGATTATAAAGTGACAAACCAAAATGATTAAAAGATATAATTATTTTATGATTTAAAGGTTGAGTTATGCAGATATTCGATCTCCCCCTATAAGTTAAAACAATTTTAAATTGGCAGTTAAACCTTTAAGACCTTCTAAATTTTTAAATGACTTTGAAAGTGCTCCAAAAAATTTTATAAAAGAAAAGGAAGTTTAAGAAATATTTGACTATGCATTCCCAAAAACCTCAAGAAGAAGGGTTGCTTTAGGAAATGATAAAGTTTAACCTAAATTCTAATTAGCACTACCTAGTGTTTAAAATTTATCGATCCATAGTGTGAATCAACTTTCTTAGAGAGATGTTATTGCTGATTTGAAGAAGTCTGAAGTTTTACATACTGACAAACAAATTGAAAACGAATTGGAAAGCATCAATAGAAAAATCAAAAAGATAATCAATAGCAACAAAAGATAAGTAACATTTAAGTCATCTTTAATTGTGATTGATGATTAAAATATCATCGCTCAAGTTAAGGACCCCTATATCTCAAAGGAGAGTTAACTGAGAAGAAAAACAATTGTAAGACATAAGACATTAGAAGTTTGATAAATTACTTGGAAATTTCTTCATATAATGTTGATTATTACAACATGTATAATTAAAATTTAAACAACCTAAGAAAAATAATTTCATAATATCATTTTTGAGAGCTTAAGTCTTCAATTTATTTCTTAGCAAAGATAAGTCCATTCTTCTCTAAAAATCTCTAAATTTATTTAATATGATTTAGGAATTATGGTTCTTTACCATTTTAAGCTTGTTCAATCTAAAATAAGTACAAGATTATACAAATTATAAAATTGGTTTTATGATTATTTCTGGTCCTTCTTTATCAAATTATAGTAGTTTGGCTCTAATTAATGCTTTCAATAATAAATGATCTTAGAAGTATGCATCATCTATTCTATTCCTAAACTTCTCAAAATTTTCATAAATCACCTTTAATAAACTCTATTGATCTTTGACATCAACAGGTAACTCAATAATTATTTAGGCTGTTAAATGGAGTAGCTATTCCAAATTTATCTTTTCAGAACTATTTTCAATAAGAATTAAGGCTTAATGTAAATGTTCAGACAATGCTTTACTATATCCTTATTTAAAGGTATATTCTAGAGATAAGTACAATACTTCAGATATAATATATGGATCTGTGACTCTGAAATTTTTCATTGACTCAAAAAGCTTTTCGTATTCTGCCTCATCTACTTCTTTTTAGGACAGAATGACGAATTTATACATTTATACTAATAATAAGAATTCAGATTCTCCATATTATGAAATCTCGTCATACAATCCAGAGATTAATTAACAGGACTTCTCATAATTTTCTCTCAAGTATGATCTTGCAATTCTGCATTAACATAAGATGGATTTAGGTGTAATGCCACTGGCAAAGGTTTCATATATCTAAAATGAAAAGAAGTATTACTTCAAGAGCTTTTTCTAAAAAAGATCTTGATTCTTCTTCTTGCCCTGAAATTAATAAGAATTCAGCCAAAATTTCAAAATTTCTGGCAATTTTACTCATAGCTTATTGTTTGCCAACTTAATATTTGATCTACTCTACATTCTCCTTATGTTTGATTATGTCGTTCACAATTTTAACTGCTTAATCTAAACACTTAGTAGATTCTTCTAAAAATTGAACATAACCCTCAGGATTTAATGTTTTCTAATAAAAGGCCTTCATGTCAAAGTATTATGATTGTCTTAAGAGATTATTAAACTCAGCTTCTCCTAAATCGCTTATTTTTGATTCAAAGTTATATATGTTTTCTAAAATACCTTTGATACGACTAAATTATATATTTCATTTTACTCTAAAACTTATTCTAATTGTAATATTTCTCTTCTGTTTAATCTATATTAGTATTCCAATAATGACAATTCCATTGAGATATTTAATATTAATTAAATCTTTTAAGGGTATTGCTTTGGTATGTATAATCTTTCAATAAAGTTTTTATCAAACATTTCCTCGAAAAATTCCCAATTCTTATCTTACAATTCACTTCCAATCAAATTTTCAGCAAGATTTATTTTCTACAATACTTTCTGTATGGAAACAGAGTTTTATTTAGGTTAAGAGGTCTTGCTATCCCAATATTCAACTAACTTGTCAAATTCCTAATTTTTTAGGATTAATTAATATGTTCTATTTTAAGTGTTTAAATTTACTCTTTATCTTATTTATTAGATTTAGAAAAGGAAAAGTAATAGAAGGGTTAGAATCGCTTTTGGATTTAAGCTAAAGGACGAAACAAATTTCTTATCATTAATATTTTTTCTAAAAATTCTAGAAATATGCTTTTATATTTTAATTAAGGCATTTATTTATTTCTGTTACAATCCAATTCGTTTAGAGCTTTCTAGAAAGTTCATAAATATAACTATTATATTATTATAGAGGGTGAAAATTAAGAATCCAAAGCTTGTAAACCGATTGAATAAATATCTTATATTTAGAATCATACTCATTCTATGATAGATTTTTGAATAGGTTGAAATACCTCTACTTCAATATCTTTGGCCTTAATGATTTTACATAATTCTAAAATACACCTTGATAAGATTGCAAAAAATTATCTTAAATTGATTTCTGAAACATCATATGAAGAACCATTTAATTACATCTTTATATTTATTCTTAAGAACTCTGATCATATAATCACAAAATAATAAAACCAAATAATCTTTATTAAAGTAGACTATTCTATCTTACAGAAATATTTCCCAATTTATCAAATTATTTGTTATTGATACAAAAAATGGCTATTATGAAACAATTTATTTAAAGAATTTTATATATAGTTATGATTTTTTAAATTCAATTAAATTGATGAACATTTAATAATTTTCTCTTGTTGTTGAATTTTCTGAAAATACTATTCATATTCATCCTCTATTAATTCAAATTGAAGAAATTTCTGTTTGTAATATTAACTCTTAAATGGAACTAGAGTTTTAGGCTAAGTATATTATTAACCATTAATAAATATACAATATTTATTTTTAATTCTTCTAATTTACTAAATTGTTTGATGTAGAAATTAGAATTAAAATAACAATTAAGAACTGAAGGATTAATTTTTCAACTGATATCATTTCCTTAATATTTTTTTTATTGTTTAATTTCAAGACTTGATTCATAGGCTAAAATGTATTTTAATTAATAGGAATAATATTAGTAATTTCTTTCCTTATTTTCTTAAAAATCTAAAATATATTGTTTTTCGAAATCAATTCATCAAATTTGTATATTACAAAAATCCATATAAATTCCAGCATCGCCATTATTTTGAATTTTAGAACAATATTCAAAATTATTTTCTAGAAATCATGTTTTGTCAATAATTAAATTATTTCATGTTAGTTTTTGAAAATGTCAAAGTCTAATCAAAATGGAACTTATGTAAAATAATAAATAAAATTCAGGCAATTCAGCTATATAATCTGTGATTGGAATTGATTAATCTCAAAAATTTGTGGTAAACTAGTTATTAAATAAAATATGAGATAATGCAAAACAAAAATTTATTTTCAGAAATAAACGAAAAAACACAATTTCTGAAAAGTATCTAGTAATGTTGAATCTGTTTTCAAAGTAAAATGCCTTGCAATATATTTTCTATAATTTTTATTATTCATCATTCGCAACCACATTAATTTTAAATAATTCTTTTTTCATGGTCTTATGTGTTCGCTTTGTATTTTTCTCATAAAGAATGAAAGATAAAATTTAATACAAAAAAAGTGTTTTCATATGAATTATTAAATATTTAATTAAATCCTTAAACCAAACATAAATTGAGAATTAGATAACTTTAAAAACCTTATATTAATCTAAAAATATTATTAAATGTTATTTTCTTGGAATTAATCTACACTTTATTACGTAGGAATGTGATTGCGTCAAAGTAATTTATTCAAAATTAGGATTTTAAGGAATAAAAATTAATCAAATCTTATATTATTTTATTAGCAAAAAATGGGAAATAAACACAGCACTGAATTTGGTGGTATTTTTGTTCAAACTTCAAAAGCATATTATTTTCCTGGAGAAATGATTCAAGGTATAAAATATTAACTATTCGAAATTAGGAACCATAAGTTTAAATATTACCAAACCTGGTTACCCTGGAAGAAAACTTTACATTAGCCTTACTGGGAAAGAAATATTGCATGGTGCCTTTGATATCAATGAAAATAGTGATGATGAAGGTGTATTATCAACGAATACAACTTAAAAAATATTAAAGAATGAAATTGTGCTTTATGAGTTCCAATAACCAACTATTCCTATGGGTTAATTCACAACTACATTTACCTTCTAACTACCTTCCAACATCCCTGGGACCTATAATAAAATACATTTGAGTAGTGCGTTTGAGAGAATCATATATAAAGTGAAAGGGTATGTCGTGCCAACTAAGGGATACAAAACAATGAGCCACATTTAATAGATTTAAGTTAGAGAACCTATTTACTTTCCTGAATAACAGATAATTGGAGATGGGAAAGTTGGAGACAATGGATATTGCTGTCGAGAAAAAGGAGTAATAAAATTCATTATTATATATAGAGCGCCTAAATTACTGCCGTGACAGATAGGAATGTTTATAGGATTGGAGAAGCCATAAGAATATTAATAGAGGTTATCGATGAGGAGAGGTATTAGAAACCAGAAAAAATAATTATACAATTGGAAAACATAACATAATACAAATATAAAAACAACATAGAAACAAGGAGCAAAATCATTGCTGAAGAGTAAATCTCAACAACAACAAAGAAATTAGGATCCTATAAGGTACTAAATCAGCAAGAAGTGGTGCTGTTTGCTCAATTAAAAAATCATAATAACAACGATTAATATAATATGATTTAACCATCGACCAATGGAGAAATAATCAAATCACATTATCAAATTGTGATAAGAGCTAGTTTTGGAAGTAAATTTATTTTATATATTTAATTTCAGTAAGTTGTTGCAACCAAAGTGAATGCCTTGAATTGCCTATCTAGATTTTGTCATCCACAGTATTGCAATAGCAGTCCATATAACCTCCTTTAGGATGGAACCCAATGCAACTTAATGATGAGAATCTTCAACTCTTAGCAGCTGCAAAACAAAGTGGCACTAGTTTACATTCGTTTTCTACATATTAGAAAACTTTGTAAGGTAGAAACAGCTATAACGAATAATAAGAATCCTAAAGATCAATCAGAGTTGGAAATTCAGTTCGATCAATCTAATCTTTAAATTATTAAATGAACTGAATGATTTTATATTTTATTAATCATTATGATATCAAAATAGAGTTAAAACTCTAATATAGAAGACTAATAAAATAAAGAACTATTATTTGTTTACCAATCAATAGAAGCATACACATCTGGATAAACATTCATATTAGTAATGAAATTTTAGTTTAATATTGTAATAAATTAGTATTCACTGAGTGTAATTTTTCAATGATGTCAAAGTTTATAACTTACAATATTTCTTCTTTTAATTAATATTTATGTTAACCTTACATCAGAAAAGTCTCACCGAATCCAAAATCAAAAACGACAACACTTCTTTCTAAATAAACTAAAATCTTCGCTCATTTAATCCTTCACAATTTCTAAACAATCTTGATTAAGTTCATAATATAAAGACTCCTTAATAAAATGAAAATACTCAACAAATACCAACTCTAACAGAAAAAGCAGAGGGTAGTTATTGTAGATTTCCTAAACTACAATCCAATTCATTATTAAACATTTCTAAACCTATTGACTCTATGCCATAATCTAAACATAATCAACTTAAATCTCAACTATCGACTATATTTTCTTAACAAAACCAAATTAGTGACAATCATATTATGTTGCCTGGGCTAAGAAAACAAAGAAAAGAATCTTAAATGTTTATCTAAATGATTGAACAGCAGATCAGTTTTCCAATCTAAGAAACTTAAACTTCAAGATAAAAAAGATTTTAAAGAAAAAGAGATCACTAAACATAAAGTTAAACAAATCTAGATAGTCTAAATTCCTTATATCCTGATAATTCTCAATTAGATGACTCAAACTATAATAACAAAAGAGTTGACTTCCATAAAAAAGTTAGAGTCATAAATCTAGAGAATGGAAGAATCGCAACTGAAGTCATTAAAGAAGAAGATGAATTGAAATCTCCAAAATAATACAAAAGAAAATTTGTATCTTAAAAGACAAAGTATTTCTATGAAGATGTCAATTCCTGAAGATCAAAACATAATTTATAATCTTAAATAATATATACAATCTAACATCAATATTAACCAAGTTGATTTATATTTTTCTCAATTTAAATCTAAAGTCTGTCTATGTAGGTTTTTCTTCAATAATTTTATACAGTCTATTTCATTATTAGGTAGAGTCTTTTTATATAAATAAATTCCCTTAATAACAATCAAGAATTTCTTAATATTTATTTAATTATTATTATGACAATTACTGAATTGTTAGCACTTTTTATTATGGTATTTAATATCTATATGATTGGTGTTTTTAAATCTCTCGCTCAATATTATAAAGTTTAGAAAGTTTTGAATAACAGAGAGACTGTATAAATTTTATTTAAATTCTTTTGTTAATCAAAATCTATTTTATTCCTTAGTATTCTTTTTTCCTAATCAAACCAAATTAGTTAATCAGTATATTTTATACTATTAATTATTATAAATGTTTGAATATTATGCAATAGGAGATGAGTCAAATAAAATTCAAGATATTCACAAATATCTTTTAACAATTTGCAATAAAAAAATGGTTGATAAGTTAGTGAATACTTAATATAAACAGTAAAGAGTCAGCACTTCCATAGAGTAAAAAACTCTGCCTTCCTTTAATTATCGCCCAAAGGAAAAATGTAAGGCTAGTTTTTATAATAGATCCTACCTTAATTGGCGCACAATATAAATATTTCAAGGCACAACCAAAAAGAAAAAAAATTTATTTAAGTACCCTTCAAAATGATTAATCAGAATCATCTCCAAGATTGAAAGCAAACTCAATTATCTAGGAATAAAAAATCGAAAATTAAATGAATTCAGCAAGGGTCATATATACTGCATAACACCCCATAGACAGAAACATCTCTATTCAAAAAGCATAAACTTCTAAAAACTACCACTTACCTAAATGTGATAGCAATTGGATTATGAATCTCAAAAGTATTAGATAAAGATAAGAATAATTATGAAAATATATATACTATAAACATTTCACCCTAGTTTTTTTGTCATAGCTTTTAAATCTATTTTTATGTTTATTGGTTGTGGTTATGGGTTTTTCGATTTGTAAGTATTTAAATTAAGCTCTGATTCAGAGCCAGTAGTGTGATTCAAAGTGCTCACTTATTTAGGATCTCTAGGAGATTTCAATATCTGTTGTGAAGAGAAAGGAATTTGTGGTTCTCTTGTGTTCGGTGATTTTTGCTTTTGAGAATATGTAGGCATTTTATTAGAGTTGATTTTTACTGAAATATGTTTAATTTGTTCTGGTGGTTTTTGGTATTCTTTCTCCTTAGGTATGAGTTAATTAACCTAGTATTATTTTGGATGTTCGTTTTTATAATTCAAATTAGTAGAGCTATTAGATTAATATTTAACGCCACAATGTTATTATAATTGTTATGAATTGCCTTAAGTTGAAATGGCCTAAAATGAATTTTCATAACAAATACTTTTTAATTGCGCTACTTTTCAATTAATTTTTAATAATTAGTAGTATATTCTTCAGAAACATCTAAATTTTTATAAGAAGGACCAATATTCTTTTCTATTTTATTTTTTAGATTTCTAAGTTCAGAATTTATTTGGTAAACTAATTCTTGTTCCTGTTAATCGTCTTCCATTTTATTGCGATTTATCAGAGATAGGGGTGATTCTTAATAATTTGATTACTTTTATGCGTAATTGGGTTTATGAATTTCCTATCCACTATCACTATCAGAAGGGAAATGGTTTTTTCTTATTTGATTTTTCTGATTCTCTTGAATTCTCGAAGTAATAGGACTATATGAATCACTTTTATCTTCAAAATCTGTGAAGTCCTCTTCTTCAGAGGATTATTAGAATAATTACTTTGCCTCATTAAATTATCTTCCTCTATTAATAGAAGGTTGAATTGTTGAATTAGCAGTACCAAAACTATCCAATATTAACATATTTTCCTATTATTATAGGTTCAATTATTTGTATAACTCGTTTAGGTTGACCTCCTCTATTATAGTGTTTGTGGGATTGGAATTTTATTTGAATCGAAAGTCATTGCTCACTCTTTCAAACTCATGTTGAAAAGTTAAAATTTTGTTTTCTTTTTGTAATGTAATTCTTGAGTAGTTATGATTTAAAGATGAATTAAGTGTGAGTTTGCAATTAGAAAAGAAATAGCCATTGATAATCAAAGATTGATGAATCATAAAATGCCAATGACTAAAGTTGATGGCATTATTCAGGAACTCTTGATTGATGTCTTCACTAAAGGAGCTCTGCTTATCGTGATAAAAGCGAATCACTGAAAATGATTTGTCTGAATTATATGGGCCTAATTATGACTAGCCCATTTAATTTATAATAATAATAATTGGAATATTGAACTAATTATTTGCATAAGTAAATAATAAATATAGCTTTTGTGTTTGATCATCTGCAAGATTATATAATCTATTTAACTTAGATAATGAGTAGAAATTAATTTAATAATACAATTCTTAAAGGGTTGATTAAAATGTGTAATTCTTCGGTTAGTAAAAATAATAGTATGTCAGAGACTGAAACATATATATTAAGAGAAGAAATAAATGACAACCTGAAATTGAAGATTTATTAAATAAAAGATATAAGATGTATCAAGAAAGTGAGTAAGAACAAATCAAAAGTTAATGGGTAAGACAGATACTTATGTCCAATGACTCCAAAATTGTTGCAATTAAATATTAAGAACAATGGCTTCTCTATAATTTAATAGAAAAAGAGTCGAAAATATTATTATTCCAAAGGAGTGGACCAGGAATGTTTTCTCCTGACTCTATGTATTTTATCGCTGTGGGAGTAAACTTTTCAGAATAATAAGAGACAGTATTATGAATGAAGCTAATGCCTCATTTCGAGAATCCTGTTCAATTGTTGACTCTTGAAAACTAAGTGAAATGCCTTGATATAAATGAGCAATCAAATAAGTTGTTATTAAATCTAATGAATGGTTCTTTTATCATCTGGGATATTAATAAGAAACAGAAAGTTCTGCGATTAAACTGAGAGTGCACGATTTGATTTTGCTTAATTTTGCGACAATCGAATTATTGGAACGCAACCTCATTGTATTTCTTATTTTGATTAAGCCCGATTGAAGCAAATTAAAAAGACCTTTGTTTCAGGAAGACTATCTGAAATATTAGAGATATTCTCATTACTGCGATGTTAAACAAATAACCTCTTGTTTAATACTTTTTCGACAGAGTAAGAGGAATGGAAAGGTTTTGTTATAGAATTATCAATAATTCAAACGGGAAAATGATCAGAATATTTAGAGATTGCTAGCGATTTGAGAATCTAAATATAAATGTGTCTCCAGATCATAAACGATTTGCAAGATTATCAAAAATTTAAAATACCTAAATCGAGCTTTTAGAAATAGATTCAGGTAAATCCTATAATTTTATAAATTGCTTGGATACTAAATAACCAATTTGTTTTAGTTGTGATTGGACTATCATAATTTAATCCACTAAGCATGGTTATGCAAAAGTTTACAGAAAGATTGAATGAATGTTTAATTTTATTTATATATCCTAATAAGATTATTAAACATAAATATTTTGACTATTTTCAACAATGATAACCCATACTAGATCTTCAAATAAGCATATACATATAGAGGCTAACTTAAAGACTTAGAAAATGAAGTAAAATTGATCATTTGAGCTTAGGAATTGAAAACATCAACAAATCCAATTTGGAATTGACTCTGTTTTTTTATGATTGATTCTCATTTTGAGTGTATATTTTTAAAGAATTATAAATATTTCTATTAGAATATATGAGTATAATTTAGAGGATATATTTGGTAAATCACAATTAACCAAACCTTTAAACAACAACTATTTAATTGGTATATGAGAAAATCAATTAATGATTATTCAAATATGACTTATTATCAGTTGATCATTTTAACAATAAATTTGAATATATATAAATGAAAGTTTAATTCTAAACTGATTATGACTCTCGTGTAACTCATAACCCATCTAAAAAGAGAGAATTTCAATATAACACTAAATAGCCGGAAATTATTACACTGCAAAATTATGAATCAAATTGCAACAGAATTGAATCGATGCCTGGACATATGAGATCAAAATCTTATGAACATGATTGTTTAACAAAAGCATCTAATACTTTTGGACTTAATGTGGATTAACCTTCAGTTTAACCTTTGAAAACTAAGCGTTAACACAGCATTTCATAAAAAGAAAATGATCCTGGATTTATTTCTCCAAAATTTAGATTTGAAAGTTGTGACACTCTTGTTACAAGGAAATCATAAAAGTAACTTATTCAAATACAGAATTTAGTAGTTTCATTAATGAACTTTAAGAATGTGTAGACCTTTCGAAAGTGACCGAACTATCAATGCAATCTTAAATTTCACCATAGAAAGCATATACTGATTTATAGTAAAAAATTGAAGCTAAAGATTACTTAATCGATGAATTGTAAAAATAATTAACAACTTCAATCAAAAATATGACCTAATAAGTAGATCTAATCAGAAATGAAAAAAATCAAGTGATTTAATAATAAATTAGACAAATAGAAATTTATGAATAGTAATTAATAGAAAGTAGATAAGAGGTGCAATAAAAGAATACTGAATTGTTAAATTTAAAGAAGAATAATAGGGAATTAAAGAAATTATTAGATTCAAAATAAGAATTATACATGTTAAATTGTAATATTACTATATTTTAATTTAGCAATCCCATCTAATTTTTAAACAAAAAAGGAGTGCATGTGTCCTCAATTAGAAAGAGAAAATAAGGCTTTACTTGCCAAAGTTGAATAATTCCGACATTAATTATAGGATATAAAACAAAATCTTGAGTTTAACAACTTGTCAATTAATAACCAAATCTCTGTTATTGAGAAGTGTGATTTTACATAATTTGAAAAAACCTTTAAATAGTTGGCAGATGAACTTAATTTAACAATTGATAGCAAAAATATTAACTCTAGTTTTAGTATATTGAATCAAGAAGTTATTGAAGGTGTGAAGACCCTTAAATAATAATATAAAGAGAATGAAAAATTCTTGAGATGTCTCAAAGATCTTGTAATCTAATGTGCACCTTAAGATTATTTCTTTCAGACAGATCCAAGTTTGAAAGAAGTGTGGAAGTTTATTAAACAAATTCTGTAATCTTACCTTGAAAATAAAAAATTAGCATCTTAAAATGAAGTAATTAGTGTTATTGTAACATAGGATATCGTCATCAATTTGTGTAAGTACTTTAGATGTAATAAATCTGAATTGAATCATAAGGGGGCTTGCTTAATAGTTGATTAGGAGGTCTATTAAAGAATAGTTGAAAAAATTAAGCGAATCTTTAAATTAACTTCATTAACCAATATAAGAGAACTTGATCGCCGGCTAGATTATTATTTATAGTGACTAAATTCGGAATAAATAATTTTGAAGCTTATTGCTTTATCTTATTATGATAATTACATTTTAATTTTTTCATCATCAATAACAATTAATTTAAAATAAAAAATTCAGAAATTATTAGTTGTGGATGAACATAATCAAATTTTTAATAGATTTTTAGTGATAATATGATTAAAGAAATCAAAATTACATTTTTAGGCAATTCTGGGGTTGGAAAGAGTAGCATTGTAAAGCGTTATTGTTTTGAAGAATTTGATGAACACAATCAATCAAATTTAGGGGCAGATTATGTTCCAAAGGAAATGGAATATTAAAACAATAAAATAAAGTTATAAATATGGGATACAGCTGGATAAGAGAAATTCAGATCTTTGGTTCCTCTTTTTTTAAGAAGTATTAATTTAGAAAATTTAGATGCTCAAGCGGTAATCATTGTTTATGATATAACATAAAAATCATCATTTACTTAATTAAAAGAGTGGGTTTCTAGTCTTGAATAAATATGTTCAAAAAATTAACGTAATTTTCCATATTATTCTAGTTTTTTTCCTTGTTGGTAATAAATGTGATTTAATAGAATAAGAATAGGTTACATATGACGAAGCTAAGCAATATTCATATGTACAATAACCATATATTTAGAATCTTAAAGCACCCCTCCAATATACAAGTTGCAAAAACAATGAAGGGATTCAAGAACTATTTCAAAAAATTGTAGAGGAATATTTAAAATAAGAAGAGGAATTAAAAAACAAAGTAGAATTTAATAATTCTATTGTAGGAATTACTAATAAATGAGAAATAAAATAGTAAATTGAAAGTTGAAAAAAAGAACTATTCTACCTGTTGTTGATAATTTTATTATATATTGTATTAAAATTACTACTTATCCCTTGAATCAGTGTTATTAAGATTTGCCAATATCATTTAATTCTTTTTGTAATTTCTATTTTTCTTCGCATAGCTATGAAACTTAATTAGTTAACTCAGTTACTATATTTTACATTAGAGAATAATGTTTTTCTAATTCTGTTGCTCTTTTTTTCATCTCTTCTAAATGATAGTCTTCCTATTATTGTATAGATAATTTAAAAATGATATTTTCATTTTGATATTAAGAGACTTTAGTATTTGCTAATTTTACATGTTTATTTGTTGAGACCACTATTTCTTATAATTTTTAATTTTCAGAAAGTAATACACTAATGATAAATTAGGATTTTACTGTAATTTATTAATGGATTTCTAAGAAGATTCAGATGTTTCTTTTAATTATTTGTCCCTTTCAATAGAAATTTATTTTAATTAGTGATTTTACGATTTTAATTAGTTATAGTCTATTTCTAATTTTTCATTAAACGTTATAACAGCTTATAATTAATCAGTGAGATATTTAAGTTAATCTTATTTTTAATTTGCTACTTGGACAGACTTAACACTGCCACTATCACTTGGTTCATAATATAATGATGATCTAAATTAATACATTTTAAACAATTAATTCTTGATCAATAAAATAATAAAAATTATAAAACTAATTTTAATTAATACATAATTTATTCATATTGAAGTGTTCCTCGTTTTTGTTTCTAGAAATTAATGAATTATTGATTTAATAGATTCATTTATTTCTATTAAGGAGAAACTTAAAATAGGATAAGAGTTTTCGAATTCTTAATCATCTTAAAGAGAGTCTAACAAGCTGATTAGCTTTTTGATTTGTTATAGTACTCTCTATGAAAATTCTTTATCGTGGTATAATGTTTTTTCATCGTCCAAATTCACTTATTTAGTAATGTTTCGCAATTTAAATTGTTTCTTGATTTCGTGTTGAATAATTATTGAAATATTGGAACGTATTATAATTAAGTAATTAATACGTTCTCTTGTTTTGTGGTTTAAACTATCAGTATTTCCAATAAGTTCTATTAATTAACTAAGTCTATGGTATTGCTCTAGTATTAATTAATTTTCAGTTTTTTTTTCTATTTCCTCTCTAGGCTTCTCATTGAGACGAATATCACAATTCTCAGTTTTCGGTTTTTTACTATAGCATGAGCCCATTATTACAAATGTAATTGTAAAACTAAAACAATAATGATTATTTAAAAATTATTATATTCAGAACTCTTGAGAAAAAGATTTATTTCAAACCATACGTAATTAATTTCTAAATAAAATTACAAACCAATCCAATTTATTAGGATTTAAATTTATTCTATGGCTTTAATCAAATGTTATTGATCTATTGTGCAAATAGGTAAATTATAGTTTTTAAAGATATTAAAATTCGTACAAATTTATGATTATTGATTTACAACTTAAGGTTTCATTCGTCTTTTTCTTTGAAGTTCAGTGAAGCATCTAAATAGGAAATGACATCATTTAATATTATAATTAAGTGTTGTTGAACATTCACACTCAAATTAGTTTATATTTCATATACCTAAAATTAATATTAAGAAAATAATTATATTCAAATTTGTATAATTATAGTTAATTACATATAAATAAATTTAACTATTAGTCAATTAATTTTAATTTAGTTTACTCACATAAATGAATTTTAAATCGAATTCTAAAAAGCAGCTATAAATACTCATATATTTTGTTTAGATGTCCGAATCAAATTAAATTAGCAACAATTGCGAATCAAATTATGGATTTCAATTTAATTAAATGAAATTAATGTTAATAATAACAAGAAATTAATTTTTTCTGATTAAATAAATTGTTTCTATTAACTTCAAACCATGATTTCAAAGGTATAGAATAGTATACAAAATGGAACGGAAAGAATCATTTTAATTTTCTAATTGGTTGATAGTTGAAGAAGTTTTAATTCATTCATATATTGAATAATTTTTAACCTGAAATTTATTCATTATTAATCTGGATCTTCTTCTATTAGAATATCATTTTCCCATTTTCCAGTGATAATCATCCCCTTCAGTGTTGATTTTCCATACCCATCTTTCTTACCATCTTTGAATGAACCATCATGTTGATCATCTGAACTATTGTGCAGAATTCCTTATCCATGCATTTTTCCATTTAGAAAATCACCTACACAAATCAAATACAAATTTATACCTCTATAAAACTTATTATTAGGATATCTCATTTCTCCTTTTCCTGTGATTTAACCCTCTTTAAAATTACCTTCGTAAACAACTTTGTTACTGAAATAATACTTCCCACGCCCGTCCATTTTATCATCTTTGAATTAGCCATCATAAATATCATTTTTTTCCTTATACTTTAAATATCCTCTCCCATTTTTTAAGCCTTTTTAGAAATAGCCTTCATATACATAATCCTTATTTTCTAATTTACCTTTTCCATGAGGCAATCCCTATTGACAATCCCCTTTGTAGTATTCATCCTGTTTTCTGATTTCAAGGTTGCTGGTAATTATATCGCCTTTCCAAATTCCTTACTTAAAATCATTTAAGAGTTTACTTTTAAGATATCTTATTGTAATTCTCTACCCCAGCCATTTCTAATGTTTTTTTCAAAATATCCCTCAAAAAGTTCTGATTCTTGCAAATAAACTCCATAACCATGTCTATCATAACCTTAGACCTATCCTTTATAGTAACTTCCATCTTCATATTGAAGAATGACTTCTGTACTATTTTCATAATTAATTTTTTCAGGACATTGATAATTACCATATTACTCAATCATCTTATTCATCCATTCTGGAAAATGGTTTTAAATTTAGAAATTCGTATCAGATATTTTTTTTGGATTGCTTTTTAAAAATATTCTAGATTAATTGTTTGATAAATTATTCTATTAATTTTATTATTCAGTTTTTCTAATTTAGGATCCAATTAAAGATTCTTTTAGTTATTATACCTCCTATTTAACTGGCTATTAGACTTCTTACTTTAAGTCTTTAATCAAAGATATCTTGCTTTAATTAATTTAACTAGTTGTTTATTTACCCTTTTGTAATATATGTAATTCTTACTACTTTAATTTAGCTATTGGTTTTCGGAACTTTAATTTATTCCTTTTTATGATTTAAAGTGAACTATTCTACAATAATATCTGGTTCATTGATTTCACCTTGTTAAATTATTATGTCCTATTAATTATCCGAGGGATCGTTGAAGCTATCTTAAGAGAGTTATCCACCCATTTGCTGTACAAAGGATATAAATATTAATAAAATAATTATTAAAAATCTAATAATTTTATAAACATAAAATTTAAGAAGATGTAAGAATTGACTAGTATCAGATAAACCACTGACGATGATATTAATACCACTTGCTAATCTATCTAAATCCCTGTGTTTAAAAGGCATTTTGGAAACAATCTGACATTATTATATATAAGAGGTGAGCCATTAATCACAATTGGTCCCCATTGTAAATAATTTATAAATAATTAGTTTAGGGCCTCTGACATTATGCATGATAGTAACTTTTGGTGCAGCCAGTTATTTTTTAATTTTTGAGATCGCAATTAGCAAGGGTCTTTACGTATACTACTGCTCAATTTTTGTTGCTGCACTGTAAATGTTTAGTTACTTGATTACTGCCCTCAAAAATCCTGGCATTGTGACTAGTTCTAGAGAATATAAAGGTGTATTGTAATGCATAGTAAGAAAAAGCGATAATTAAATTTTATTAGGTTTGTAACAACCCAAGAGACTTAGGTGCATTGTATCATTGCGAAGATTGTGATGTGTGTATCTAAGGATTCGATCATCATTGTCCATGGACAGGTAAATGTATAGGTAGAGGAAATATTAATGCCTTTTATATATTCGTCACTATGATACCTATATATATTGTATATTTCATCATAGTTTCCTTGTTATGATTAATGAAATAATATATTCAATCGATTTTTTTATTTTAGTAATATTTTCCACATCTTAAAGCGAAAATTCTTAAAAATAGAATTAAATTTTGATAATTAATGATAAGATACTTAACAATTATGTTATATATAATTGTAGACTGTAATTAAAAGGAATCTTTGCTAGTTATACAATATTATATATGATTATTTGTTATAATTTAATACTCTTATATTTCATTTCATTGTAGGCATGGCTGTGCTTAATGTATAGCTGTCTGATGGTTCTTTCCATCTAGAAGTGATTGTTTTCATTTAAGTGAAAAATCTAATACCGGCTTTGCCATAGAAATTGGCATCACCGTTAAAAGATCTCTTATTTCCAGTGAATGAAAACATAGGCAAAGGAACTGGGATAGGGAGGTTGATTCCAATTTGTCCTGCATTAACTTCATTTTAGAATTTTCTAGCGATTGATCCATTTTATGTGAAGATGGCTGTTCCATTTCCCCAAGGATTACTATTAATATATATAAGATTGCATTACTTATTAATAATCTCTAAGGCTTGATCAAGGGTATCTGCATACAATATATTAAGGACTGGTCCAAATACTTCTTCTTTGTAGGATGTATTATTTGTGTTCATCTTAAAATAGAACAATTGTATACATTATCAATAATGGTTGGACCAACAAAATAGCCCTTTGGATATTTTGGATGTTTAAAGGATCTTCCATCCAAAATCAATTTACCTCCTTCCTTTTCAGCTGTACCAACTAAATAATGAATTCTCTCATATAATTCTTTATATGAGACAGGGGCGATATCAATATTTTCATGTCCAGGTCCAACCTTGAAAGATTTAGCTTTAGCAATTAGATCAGGAATCCATTCCCTGCTCTTTCCTACAAAAATAGCCACACTCAAGGCCATGCACCTTTAACCAGTTGAGCCAAAGGCTGCTGAAGCCAAAGCATTCAAACAATCCTCCTTATCAGCATCTGGCATAATGACACCGTGATTCTTGGCTCCCATATTGATTTGACATCTCTTAAATGTTTTTGATGCATTTTCATAGATATAATCACCAGCTTTGTTTCCACCCACAAATGATACAGCCTTGATATCAGGGTGTTCACAGATGTGTTTAGTTGTTTCAAAACCTCCTTGTACAACATTGACAACTCCTTTAGGAACTCCAGATTCCTCAAGTAATTTAGTCAAATAAGTGACTGCTCCTGGTACTCTCTCACTTGGTTTCAACACATAGGTATTTCCTGTGACAATTGCAATGGGGAACATCCATAACTAAAATAATGATCTATAAATATACTGGAATCATTGCGGGGAAATTAAAAGGACAGACTCCTGCACAGACACCCAAAGGCACTCTGTAACTATAGGTGTCAACACCTTTAGCCAAATTCTCCACTGTTTCTCCCTACATGACATGTGTAATTCCACAAGCAGCTTCTACAACTTCCAATCCTCTGATGACATCACCTTTTGCATCTGCCAATGTTTTTCCGTGCTCCTCTACTATTATATTAGCAATATCATCTATTTTAGATCTGATCCTAGCTTGATACTCAAACATGTATCTAGAGTTAAATCTACAGATTACCTTTGTCTGGTTGGTAATGGCACTTAAGACCATGTTTTAAATGCTGTTTTAGCTGCATCTACTGCCTCATTGAATTCAGCTTAAGTTGTCTATTTAGTAATTCCAACAACTTCATCGGTCAGAGGAGATCTCCTTTCCAAAGCTATTCCTCCGTTAGATGCTTTCCAGACTCCATTAATGTAATTTTAAGCAATGTTGCTGAATCTAAAAGATTACTTTCGTAGCTGATTGTGGAACATTAATAAAATATTTGCGTATTATTTTAAATCTTTTAATCCGATATTAACTATTAAACAAATTCAGAACTTTGATATATTATTAGACATCCTACTAATCAATTTTATTGAATTCTCTCAACCAATACAATTATAATAGAATCTGATACCTGTCTACAAGGGATTCTAGATTTCATCTTATATTATAAATAATGATTTTGCTTTAGTTTATAATTCAAAAAAGTAATAAATATAAAATGAATCCTCATTTGGCGACATCATAGAATAGAGAAATTATTAAATGAAGCAACTCATCCTTATTATTTAAAACTTCAACATAATATTGATTCAAAGCTTGTAAATCATTTTAATGTTTTTCTGTAATCTCTTGCATTTAATCAGGAGTTTTATTATTCACTATTACAGCATTTAATTTCTGTATCTATTCATTTTACTTTACTATTTATTTGCACAAATCTATAAAATTTTAATTCTATTACTGTCTTAATTCGTTGATCTCCTTATCCTTTTATTACGACAACTCAACATACTATCTTAATGTCTTAAATAATAGATATAAAATACATCTAAAATAGTAGGTTACTCAAAAGTCCTTTCCTGTTAAATTTAATATTATTTTGTCATTGAATTCCTCCTGGAATGAGAACCTTACTGAACCACATTCAACTATCTCTCCAATTATGTCACCTTGTTGGATTTCTCTTTTAATTACAACTGTAATTTTGTGATGTTGGTCTCATCCATATATTTTATTGATTGATTATTCTGAGACATAGCGTGATCGAATTCAGATTTATTTTGAGACTAGAAAAAGTCAAGACATGTTGATTTAGGCGATTATCCAAATCGTTACTCAACCTCACATATATAACTATTGTTTTATGAATATACTCCTTGATGTCGTAAACTCTCAAAGGGTAATTTCTTATCATATTAATTCATGCTTTAATATTCTTCGAGTTCTAATTTGAACTTCTCCATCTTCTTCTTAAAAGATGTTGCCTATTGTTCTGCTTCATAAAGGCTCCTCCTTAATGCGGTTAATTAGGATTCATATTATGCTTGTTTCATTCCTAATATTCTTTAATTCTCTTCCTTGATTCCTTGAATTTGAGCTTTCAAACTCTCTATCGTTTTCAATTCCTATGGATCTTTTATTATAATCTATTGTTATTCTGGCTCGATTGATCTTGCAGTTGGTGGACATGATAGTAACTATGATTTAAGGGATTAGTTCTTTTATTGCACCTTAGCGATTTCCTTTTACTGGTTTTACACAAGATAATTCATATCTTCTATTATTTGCTTATTATTTTCAATTTCTTTGATATATTCCTGAAATTTATTGTGTACCTCCTCAAAATCACCACAATTTAGTTTTGATAAAAAGAATCCTTCTGAATCATATAATTATCCTATTCTTTCCCGCAATTCAGTAATTTTCGTTTGTTAATCTTCAACCTTATTTTGATATTCAATTTTCAATTGTTCTATTTATTTATTTTGTTGTGCTATGATACTATCCTTTGCATTCAGACTTTCTTCTAAAGTAATAATTGTGTTAGTTGTCTAATGCTCAAATTATCCATAATCTTGAAAACTTCCAATGTCATCAATTGGGTTTTACAAAAATCCCATAATCTCTTATTATTATTGTGGCAATAATTATTACATCATCTCTATTAAATATTGCGAATTCACTCGTAACAGCGTATTTATAAAGTACTATATAAATTTTGCTAATTCTAAATTGCTATCAGAAAGTGCTATGTCATCATCAAAGTCTATAACATCTAATTTATATTTTTTCCTTGTTAGTTGTATATTACTAATAATTTGGTTCCATAGTGCTCTTCTAACATCCATACCTAGACTAGAAATTTTGAACAATATATTTACTAATCTTCCAATAATTAAGCAAACACTATGCCATCTTAAATTTCCGTAAAGTTATGCATCTACCTTTTTGAGTAATTCCATTTATTTAGCTATATCAATAGTGATGATTCTTACAAGTGTAATAGCACTTTTCATTATTAATTTTTGATAAAAATATTGAAAAAACAATAAATTCTTATTGATTATACTCTATATAAATTTCATAATCTTTAGTTATGGCTCAATCTTTTATAATAAAGCCATTAAATATAGTTTATAGCGCAACCTCAAGATATTGTAGGCATTTTTCAATGAATAATATAATTTAAGAGAATTCGAACTTCTATTCAAATTTAATTTGAATACGTAATTATTAATTTTACTTCATAGAATACAGGAATAATATTCTAATTATTGATAATGAATGTGGTTATACACTTCTCTCTAAGAGGCTTGATTTCAAAAAGGTTAGAGAATTTAAAAAAAATATTACCATTAGTCTTTCATTCTTAAGAAATAAGATAATTATGTCCATCAGAATTAAGTATTTTTTAACATAAATATATATATATATATAAATTAAAGACTTTAATCAGTGCTTTTGAGGTCCTAATTTAATCTTTGATAGTTCTATGATATCTTTGTTGGTTTTGATTAATCTCTGGAAGTTATGCTGACTTTGGGATGCATTTGTTTAAATTTAGAAAGACTTTTTGTAGAGCTAATTCAGTCGATTTTCGGAATATGATTAGTAAGATCCTTCTTGACTTATGAGATTCTACATTGGATCGTATTTTTATATGTCTTAATCTTTATCACCAAGATCTAATAGTTAAGGTTAGGAGTGGGGCTTATATTATCTTCGAGATAAAGCGCAATGTTACTTTGAGAACAATTTTAAGCCATTTTCATTATCCTTAAGTAAGTTGAATTTCATACTTTAGTATTTTGATTAAGGTTTATTCTTGTTTTAAGAATAACACTTTATTTTATCTTACTTTGTAATGATTTAATTTCTTTGTCGTCTACGCTCCATAGATACAATTCCTTTTCTTAATAATGGTCATCGACATCAATGGAGCTCAAAAATCGTTGAGTTCTGCTTGAATATCGACAACTTTCCTTTGCATTGCTTAGCTAATTATTATGCTTTCTGTCAGAATGAAAATTAGAGATCTTGGAAGTCTGATTCATTTTGAGTTGTACAGCATCTCTCCTTTATTCTGAGATCTCCTTGATTTTCAATTAATGGGGATCAATCTTTTTTTATTCTAGATTTTTGTAAAAATGCCTTGGTGAAGATGATTTGCCTTTTGGAGCAAACATACTCATGACCATCTACATTTACAGTCTTTGATTAGCAGCTTAGTCTTCTTTTTTATTGCGAAATCTTTGGATCATCTTCCTAAAAATATGAGCATATTTGGTAATTTTAGATAAGTCATTTGCTTATCTGATCTACTGTCTTCTGTCGATAATTGAGTCAATTAACTTAAGTCTATCATGATAATTGTCAAGAGATTCGACAGCGTTTTTTATTTAAGCTCGGGAAAAAACATCAGATATTTGGTTATATGTATTAGCTAATTTTTTATTCATTATATTATTGAGTAGATATTATAAAATCAAGTAGTAAATTTCTCGAAATACCTATTATTGAATTGAATACAAACTAATTTTGGTAATAAGTTAGCAAATATATTTATGCTTCTCCAGAAAGTTATTTCATAATTATAAATAATGTTAGACTCTATAAATCAAGAAATGATGAGCAACTAAACCCTTAATAAATGAATAACATAATAATAAAATAAAGAAACTATACTAATTATATTACCATTACATTTTTATAATTATATTATGTTCAATATACTTAAAACTAAATCTATACATAGGCAAGATAAGTCGGAAGCCTACGATGCATTCAAAAGACCTCCAGACTTTTAGTTCGCTGAAAAGCATGGAGTATAATAGACTTTGAAATTAGCTAGCCTCTAGATTTGCAGTTGCCGAAAATGAAAAAGTATAATTTTGTGCTTGTTGTGGAATGCCAATCTAAAACGATCAGTTACCATTGTGTTGCGATAAATAGGATATTAATTTCAATGGGGCTGGGATTCCATTATATTTTGAGTTCATCTAATTTGCTGCAGTTTTGCTAGTAACCTTGGGGTATTTTGTATCTAATTGAATAGATTGATATCTGGTATATACAATACTGTGACTAATGTCCAAGGTAGCTCTTGTGAAGAGTAATCAGATACTTGTTCTTTGAATTATTACAATAAATACGCTTTGTCCAACAAGGCAGAGTAAATTATTAAAAGTCTATAATAGATAATATGATGTTGGTCTTAATGTTTTAGATTTAATTTCTACTATCATCATAATTGGTTTTACGATTTACTATAGAAGATGGATGAATTTAACTGCATAAGAAGTGGATAACTCAGTTGTTACCATCTCCGATTTTTCTATTTAAGTAAGCAATTTGCCTTTAGACGCAACCGAATAAGAAATAAAGGAATTTTTTAGTAAAATTGAAAAGAAGGGAGTTGAAAAATAATTACATATTTAAAGTATTTGTCTAGGATGGAACATTTAGTAGTACACTAATACTCTCAATGATAAGTTAGCCAAAGAAATTTAGATTAGTAATTTGATAGCATTGTATTTTTTTACTTCATTTTCCCTAGAGAATAAGCAGGAAAGTTGAAGAACAAATAGCAAAAAGAAATACTTGAATAAGAAATAACTGCACTAAATAAAGAAATTCAAGGGTTTCTTGAGGCATTCGATTAAAAATTCTTACTAAGTGGAGTTGCATTTATTACATTTAACACAAGCGTAATTATTGAGGATATATTATCAGTAAGAAGCCCAAGAATGCAGAAAGTTCCATAATCAAACAAAAATTTAATTGCTATTTCATTCATTTTATTATTGCTTCAGGAAAAAGAGATAATTAACAAAATTCAAAGGAAAAACACCATATGTGGTAAGGGCACCTGAACCAGGCGACATCATGTGGGAAAATCTGGGAGAAAAACCTTGGAAATAGATATCTAATTAAACTTGGACAAATTTAGCAACACTTTTAATATTGTGCGTATGTTTTGCAGCTATCCTCGGAATTTCAATTGGTTAAACTTCTTTAGCTAAAAGTGGATCAAAATCTGAGAGTAAATCAGTAGGATTTATCATCACTTTCTTGGGTTTAGTAGCTTCCTTTATTATTTCATTCCTTAATACAATTATGGCATTCACAATAAAGAAGCTAGTATAATATGAAAAACCATACACTTAAACTGATTTTAATATTAGTTATGCAAATAAGTTAGGAATGGTAATTTTAATTATTTAATTAAGTCCTAATTTATTAATACAGCCATCATACCATTATTAGTTAATCTAACTCTATAGGATGAGGAACTATTAATAAGTTTATGGAAAAGTGGCGGACTCAATTCTGATGTGAGTCTCATCTTAATTATGAATGCTATATTTCCATGGTTAATCAATATTTTAGACCCATTCTACTTTTGGAAACTAATCAAAAGATAGAGAGCCAAAACTCTAGGAAGTTAATGCACACTAACTCAAAGAGAAGCTAACCTGCTATTTGAAGGAACTAAAAGTGACTTATCTCAAAAATATGCAACAATAGTTAAGTCATTAATGTTGACTTTCTTTTATGCTTAACTATTGCCTATAGGAATACCAATTGCTTTGGCATTTTTGCTGGTAAACTATTGGATCGAAAAATATTTATTATTAAAAAGATCATCAAGAAATGCACCTTTAGGGAAGTAATTGGCAGAGGAGATGATAGATTTGTATATAGAATTGACTTTATTGCTTTTTGCAGCAGGAAATTGTATTTGGTAAAAGGTTGTAGTAGGGGATATTAATGCAATTGTTTGGACATAGTTAGCGGTGGCAGCATTTTAATTCTTACTTCCTGTTGACTGGATATTCGAGTGGTTTTTCAACTTTGAAGAGGCTTAGACTACAGAAACATATGAACAACAGAAAAATTAGTTATGGGATGTAAGATATTAGAATATTAAAGGATTATTTAAAACGAAATCCTGTAACTCAATAAAAATGTATTGAATAATGGATTCAGGAATAGGGAGGAGAATAAAATAAAAATGTCTAAGGATTCTTGTAAAAATTAGAAATAAAGTACTAACAAGACATGACAGAGGCCCAACACAAGCTTATTAAAAAGTTTGTACCAAAAGATTTAATCAATGTATATATAATTCACTCTATCCAAGTCTCATTATGAGATCAGAAAAAATCAAATTCTACCTAATAATCTAGAAGAATCTTTATTATTCAAATAGTAAGGAATGAGTGCTCAGAAGCCTGATATCAGATAAGCAGAATCCTTATACTTTCCAAAACGAGAAACAGAATTCGTACCAAATAGGCCATAAATTAAATAAGCTGATTCTTTCACATATGATTGAATAAATTTATATAAAATCCAATATGATCATTGTTAACCTTATGAAAATGAAGGGGATACATATTTCTTTGATTTTTTTGGTTATTCCATCTGCTGCGATTAAAATGCAGGTCCTTAGTGTATTTAAGGTGAATTCTGCTTAGATTTCTACAAAGTCTTATTGAATTATTATTAAGTTTCAGGTTACTCATCAAATATTTTATACTTTCTAGTTTAACTAGTACCAATTTTATCGATGGTTTAATCTAATTTAGTTGCTGGTTATAAATATTATTATAATAAATCCTCTTCAGGATCATAAGGTACATCAGCAAGATGCATAGTTTTAACCTATTATACTTCTTGATTTTGATTTTGGACATACTGTTCTTATTTCTTAATACCAATTTCATTTTAGTTTGTTTAGGGAGTAAAGGGAACTCTAGAGAATTCCTATTTTCTTGAAGCAGAGGGTCTTAAATACTTATCCAATTACGTAGTATCTTGGTAATTCGCAATTGGTTAAGGAGAATTGAACTTTTAACCTTATAAGATTGTTTGGTAAGGACTCAAATAATTTTATGATTGACCCGAATGTAGCCTTTAATCTTGATCGATTTGCTATTCAGATTCTTTAGGATCAGGAGAACTGTATCTATTATAGTCAAATTTCTAACCGCCCACTTAGGGTCTTCTTCCTGTAAAGAATTCATAATTTGAGATTCCTCCTTGATCCACTGGCTCAACAAGGGGAATCTATTCTTAGTCATTAGTAAAATGTTCGTATTCTTTTTATTGGGGATGATCAATGTAGACCTAGGGTATTTGTGGAACAAAGAGATCTTCTTATTTAAAGATCTCTGGTATCATTTAAACCTTGGTCTCGATTAGTTTGTATTCGGGCTATTTATTAATGAGGACTGAAAATGGGATTAATGGGCAATATTTGATAAATTATTGAGAAGAGATGATAACATCATTGCATTTAATCCTTTTTTTCAAAAATTGAATATCTTGATTACTAAAGATATACTCCTACTTTTTCATAAAGTTTATAAGACTTAAATTATGCTATTATCATTACTTAAAATTAGGCAATTGATGACTATAATCTTACACAAGAGTGCAGAATTGCTTACCAGTTTCCTTGTGTTTTTCAAACAAAACCATTCTTATTGGTTCTGCCTATCTAAAAAATGCTATTTCTATTTTTAATAATCGTTAAAATAATAAGAGCAGATCTGATACAATCTATTGATTAACATTTTTGTGCATCTAAGTGTCTAGAGAAGTGTCTTGTGGACAAATTAATTGATAAAAATCATCCCAATTGATTTAATAGTTATCACTGGAGTACAACTAAAATATGTACTCTAATTCCTTATCGTTTATGCTCATCATAAAATTGCTGAATAAGCGATAAGAATGACAATTACCTAAATAAATTCTGAATCTCATCTCGATTTATTCCTTGAGGGTTTGATGCTAATTTATTGTAAATTGTCCTTGCTTGAAAATGGGGTGTGATGCTCATAGCAATCCTTTATTCTTCTAACTGATATGATTATCTTCTCATACTTTCGATTCATAATAACAAGTCATCTTAATCAAAGTAGCTATCTCAGAAAGATGCTCCGGTGATAACATTTATTTTAATTATATTTATAAGTACATATAAACTCTATCTTACTTTCTATTTTATTAACTAATCACCAAAATCGTATTATAGTAGGTAAAATATTTCAAATAAAATGGTTTCTCTATTCTGTCATTGACCAAAAGAGTAGAAAATATTTTAGAATGTTGACAAATTTATGGATTCAATTTGAAAATCCTTTTAAATAGAATACAATCTAAATTGAAACCCAAAAATTTTTGTATCTCTTCAAGAATATTAAATATACTTATTTGCAAAAACACTCTTTACAACATAAAAATATCACCAGATTCTAAAATGGGGAGTGTGTTTCTAATTGAATTTTATAATATAATGATAGAGATGCTTAATAAATTTGAAAAACCTACCTAGAGAGTATTTGAAATGATATTAATCATCTTGTATATATAATTAGATTTGCAGACTATTACCTAACAAAAAGGTTTCATATTTATATATAATTTAATAATATTCAGAAAGTATTATGAATCGTTAATTTTCTTCCTATCTTGGATCACAAACGACAAGAAGTAGGTTAAGATCTAATAGTCCTACTCAATTGAAGAATTTAGAGTTTGTAATTAAATCAGCACAGTAAAAATTTAAGTCTTAATAATCAACTCCTATTCGAGGTTAACAAATAGTTGCACCTCTTAAACCATAAAATCTTGATATGTTTAGTACTGCATCTGAAATTAGGAAGCTGAGAGTGTAGAGTATGAGAAGTCAGTCACAAATCGATAATAAAATAATTTGGAATTAGGTTTAAGATCAATTGGAGAAGAAGACTGGGGCTTGTGCTGAGTTCGAAAAGCTGAGAAATAATTCAATTTACAGAAAACTGAGGGAAATGAAGTTTAAAGAAAATGAAGAAAAGAAGCTGCATCTGGAGAGAAGATTGCAAAGGGAATTATTGGCCAAGAACAAGAACTAGGAATTATAGAATAACTAAGCATAGAGATAGATTGAAACCAAACGACAACCCAAGTTTTAATTGTCTACCATAGTGAATGCATTGACTTTGATACAAATACATTCAAAAACCTATTCTATGAAGTTGGCAAAATTAATAGCAAAGAATTATTTAAATATACTGGATTACAATAATTATATGGAATAGAAAAGATTAAATGAGAATTAATCAAGTCAGAATACTCCAAGGACTCCCAATTTAGAAAAAGAGTAAATTTTAGAAATTTAAGATTTAGTTAATGGAGGGATACATTAAATAATAATTGCGAATAAAACAAAGAAGCATCGAGAATAATTAAAAGCCAGTGAAATATTCTCTGAAGATGTTTTAAGAAGAGTGAGACTCTTGTAGAGTTGTTTTCATCTCAAAGTCTTCAGCAAGAAGAGCAAATCCCACAAATATCGAAGACAGTAGATTATTGGAGTTCCCAGTACAAGGGTTAAAGCATAAACCAGAAGATTGGGTGACATCAAATTTATGAACCAGTATTCTCCTAAATCCAATAAGCCTGGAACTATGCTAAATACAAATAATGAATTGAAATAAAATAAAAAGTCTTTAAGGCTTTTTCGAAGTCTCACTAAAGGATCGCTAACAACCTAAAAAAGTTTATTTTTTAATAGACAAAACACTAATGAATTCTTATTAAAGGGAGTTTAGATGCTCCATTATCCAATCATCAAATACATATCCATTTTTTACAAAAACATGGTTGTTTGGTCAATCTCTTACAAAGACATTACATTGGACAAATCTTGTATTGTGTTGTTTTTTAAAGGAGAGGGGAAATACAAATATCGGTATCGTTTGGATGTGCCAATAGGATAGAATCCAATGATAAATTACAATGAAAATTGTTTGACTGTTTGGCCAACAGTCAGAGATTATTTGATTAGTTATTTGCATATGAAAGGGCAATTGGCTTTGCTTGATTAAAAGTAGTTACCAACAGCCTAAGTTTATAAATTGAATTTCATCAAAGGATTAACTGATAGATCTCGAATGAAAATTACTAGTCTAGATATCCATGGCATCACAGAAACTAAGAAAATACTGGATTATCTATAAAAATCTTAGATAGTAAAAATCAAAAAGGTATTTGGCACTGTTTATGAATTGCTTCCTCAATTTATTGAAGTGAATAAATATGGATAAAAGAAATAATACATTGTTAATTTGCCTTTAGTCCACAACATTGTGTTATAGCTTAGGATGTTTGAAGAATAATTGCTACTACAAAAAAGAAGTTTGGGAGAGGTAGAAGAGAATTTGATTGATAGATATTCCTCGTTTCTATGTGGGAATACTGATTATATTAATTAAATCTTGATGTTTCGATTTATTCACAATAACCCTGACTTTTTTCAAGATTAAATGTTAAAAGACATACATTTACTGCAAGAGAAATCTATATACATTTAATCTGCAACATTGAAGTTGAATGATATACTATAAGTGGAGAGTAACACTGATCATATATCTTATGGCAGTTATTGCTTATTAAGTATATTTTTAACAATCAATTGCAGTGTTAATCTAAAATTATTACTATTGGATGTTTCGGATAAGTCAATGTATACTAATCTGTCTGATACTATCAATCTATTTGAGTATGTATGCAAGAAAAGAAATTAATTGCAATTGATTTTTAATTAAGAATATTTTCAATTTTAAATCAAAGTAACATTTCATGAAAGAGATGAGGCAGGCTATAATAGAGATGTATATTCAAAGAATTTATTTGCTGATAAAAAAGACAGACAAACCAAATAACTAGTTTTGAGTGTAAATGAATGGTTGAAACTATGCAAGGCTATTAAAAATAGTGTTCTAGTGGATGATTCTGAATAGTATTTCGATTTCAATAAGTTAGTCAAAAGCATTCTATTAGAATAACCATATCATTCCAGAATCGTCGAAGAAACCTTAAAGTCTGTGTTCTGCATTAGTTTAAAGAAGGAACAAGTGATTTTAAAAGCATCTTACAAACACATCTTATCAGTTTCATATAATTTCATTGAGCAATTGGATCATTACAACTTTTCAAAAAACCTTGGGTATGTTCACAAATATAGTGTATACCCAACAGAATATCATGATATCAAATAGATCATCAAAGAATAAAAAAAGTCAACACTCACTTCAAAAGATGCTAAGCAATTCAATAAATAATTTAAACAAATTAACACTGCCGATATCAAATTAACAAATACTAACACCAAAATCTCACTCATTGTTGACTATTAGTATGAATATCACATATCTCAGAGTATACCTGTAGATTGTAATTAGCTATAACTGATTAGTTACTGTTAATTCAGAAGGAATCATTTCGTATACTAGATCGTCAATAATAGAGACAGTATGAAAATTATAATACAAAAGTTTTTCAAAGCTCCTATTATTATTAAGATTGAAGATATAGATCTAATATTTAAAATATTGAATTGTTAACATCTATCTACATTTTTACTTTCATAAGAATTGCTTGGGTGCATGCATTAAATCTAAAAGAAGAATAGCTTTTTAACAAACAATTTATAATTTTTTATCCAAAAACACAAATACCCATTACCTAGTTACAAATAAATCAAATTCATGTTGATTAATGATTCAGATAAATTGTTGAATTATTTAGATAGATTAAGCTTTATGTTTTTATTTAAACAAACCTTTAGTGGGTCTCAAATTTTAGTGCATGCCAAAATCTATTTTATATGTAAAGATTCTCATACAAGATCTGATGAAAAGATCTACTTTTTTCATTCGGAAGATTTGTTTCTTGGATTAGAAATTCAAGAATTTAAGTCTAAACTCAAAAAATATATTATTATACTCAACAAATTTGACTTAGAAAAGCTATTTGACATCAAAGGCTACTTAGACATTTCAATAGTTCATTATTGGTGTAAAACGATAATCAATAACCTTTCCTTTGATAAGTAGAACATTTATAGATTGCCTTATTTGTAGAATCTGAACCACTACATAATCCCTAAACTTGATGATGAGGAAGAAAATCACAGACTAAAGGCTTAGAGAAGTATGACTAATGATTACAAGCACGATGAGTAGAATACTGTCTGTAAATAGTTTCTATTACCCCAAATAAAACTATTTCGAGTCATAGGTCATTACATTATGAAATATTACCTATTGAAGAATTCAAAGAAGGTCAAATTAGCAACTCGATTACCCTAACAATTTCATAATGAATTTGATTCCTATACCATGGAGTATATCATAATCACCATTCAAGCTCACAATATTTTTGATATGTTTAGAATAATGTATTATTTTCCTAAAAGCAGAAGAAGGTTAATGACTCATATTTCCATATTGCAATTTCAAGAAATGGACTTCAGAGATAATCTGATCTTTGATTTGCTTGAGTATAATGAATACAAGACTTACTAAGATATTGAAGTATATGTCAAATCTCAAAAATGTGGAATTCATTTCAAACACTCAATTTAATTGGATAAGTAGGTTTTAACACGAATCAAATTTATGAAACAATCAGTTGATATCTAGAATCCATTTTAATTTGCATTCAAGAAAAATTAAAACAATTTCTTAAAAGTCAGCGATGACCTGATTACCAAAAATAGATACTTGTTATCATAGATAAAACAAAACTAATAGCTTTCAGACAAAGTTATTAAGTTTATGTAATTTACTCGAAAGTTGAATAATGATTTATAATTTGAATTGTAAAATAAATTAATAGAAATAAAAATATGGGAACTCTTGCTAAATCAAGTATTTGAGTTAAAATTCAACAATTCCAAATCGATTAATAATTATATTCATTTGATTGACAGACTAATTTAGACTTTTGATTAAAAGAAACGAAATTAGGTCAAAATAATTGGTAAAGAATACTTGCTCAAGAAATAATCAAGTGGTGCTCTCAAAAACAATTACACTGTTTAGTCTAATGTGACGTAATTATACACTAGATTAATTCTAACAAACAATATCAAAGTCACTGAAAAATTGAACTTCCCTGACACCGATATTAATCTAAACATAGGTTTTCTATAATATCCCTTGTTAGAATTCATTTGCAGTCAGGAGATTAAATTAGAAAGATTAGGTAATGCATATCTGGAATGTTTCATTGAATAAATCAAGAAGACGCAATAAAATCAATAAGTATTTTATCCTTAATAATTAATATCATATTCACAATCTTCTGATTTTAATATCTATTTGAGATATTATTGTTTATAAAACTTAAAATACAAGGATATCAGATTAAATATGAGAGAGTTACTAAACTTATTCATTGCTGATGGGTTTTTCAAAAGTAAAACTAATTACATGAATAGTAGATTAAGTTAATCAGACATTCAGAATATGTGTTATTATCTAGTCCAAAAAATTAGAGATTAAAATTATCTAAATTTGTCTTCCCTTGTTTTGTTAAAAAAAGAGAGGAAGTTTTCATTAGCCTCTTAAATTCTATTAGAAACTCAAGATTCGTTGATTCCTAATTAAAATAACTCAACAATGCTTTTTGACGAAGGATATCTTTACACGTAATCCATAAAAGGAAATAAATGTTTTCAGATTCTCTAATTACAAATTTTCCCTTCTACTAAAAAAATAATTGTTAATTTGAGTGATAGCAAAGCAATATTATTTTAACAAAAGATATATACCTTCCAAGAAGCAGAAGAATTAGTAATGAACTTTCTTATTCTTTTTCAATCCAAAAATGTATAATAAGCCTTAAAGCGTCTTGCTAAAGCTCTAGAATACAATTTAATTCAAATGCAGAAAATATGATTATATTCTATTACTCTTTAATTATATCAACACAATTAATTTCTTATATGCTATTCTAATTTTTATTAAACTCAATAAGTTTACATAAAATGGTAAAGAATCAACGTTTCTAAATTTAATAAATTATGAAGAAAAATTATATTTTATAAATATAAAAATATGAGCCAAATTAAACAATATACGTACAAATTATATCACAAGATTGTCTTGTATTTTACATCAATTATTTAATGGAAATTCTATATAATCTTTTAAAATCATTAATAAGTCGAATTCAATTACAAAAATCATAAAACTATTATTGAAAAAGGATGCAAAGTAATTTGATGACTTTTACCAAAATTTTTAGATGATTTGAATAATTAATATTCACTAATAAGATAATACAAAGTTAGATGAAAAAAAGTTTGATGTTTAATCTTATTTAAAACACTTAGACATATTAGGTTTGTCTGTAATTTTGAGTTTATTTAACTTAAATTGATATCATAACAATTATAAAAAGATATTTAATATTATTCATTTTCTGTCAAATAATAAATTAAATTCCTTAAATGATATAATTAATTTGTTTTTATTTCATTTTTAGTGAATTATGTTGTTCAATAAAATTATTATAATTAATAAAATTTGATTTAAAAATATATGATTTAAATAAAAATATAATTTATTTGCCTAATAAATTTATGGGAAATCAGCAAGTTTTCGTAAACTATGATTCTGACCTTGCTTTTATACAAGACTTAAATGAATAATTATTGGATAAAGGAACTTAGATTCACCCATCTCTGGGACCAATAAAATTATGGTAAATGAAAAAAGACCCATAACATTAGTTATTTTCTCTCGTATTTATGATTATTATTATGAAAGGTTATTTAAACATCAAAATTGGATGCATAATTATTATAAGTCCATTAATAGAGATGTAAAATGTAACATCCAAATTTATTAAAATATTATGCCTGTTCTAAGTCAATATAATTGGGGGGTGTAGAGAAATAATAATATTTTTTCGAGTATTCGCCAAAAACATTAAAATAAATTACAATTCAAGCTCCATTAAAAGAAGAGTAAATCTGGGCTGTATCTAATATTATAAAATTAAGTTTGTTGAATAAATCGTAGATGTAATGCAATATATTCAGAGTTTGAATAAATTCCATGGAAATCTAACATCAGAAGCAATTTTTATTGATAAGTAGTAAAATGCCAAACTGTTAGACAACTTAGGCTAAAAACGGTAAAATAAAGATTCAATTTCTGAAGATATTTTTTAATTGGGGCTATTATGTTTAGAAATGATGACTCAAAGATGTAATATTAATTTATATTATTTATTAGCAAGCTAATTAAGCTTTAGCAGTGCTCTAAAACAACTAATGGGTAAATACAGTTTACAGTTACTACAACTAACAAGCAAATTATTACATAAAGATGCTGAAATGGGTTTGGATTTTGTTGAATTAAAGAATATATTAAAAAATAGATTTTAAATTCCTATTACAATAAAATAGGCTAAAATTATCAAAACTGAATAAGGTTACTAATCTTGTTCTAGTGTCTAAATATTCGATAAAGAAGAAATAAACAGGATTAAACATCAAAAACCTTAAAATTAAAATTAACATTAAGCAGAGATCATAAACACTATAAAGTATAATTAAAACCAGAACCAAATCCAAATCTAATAAATTAATGGAAATTATTTATAATAATTCAAATAATTACACGTTCTTCCATAAAAATAATAAATTGATCCAGATTTCAGCAAAAAGAATTCAATTCAATAAGTTTAGTTTAATTCTTAGAAGAATTAATAGTAAGCAAACCAAAATATACAATTACATAGAAGCCAACCTCAAATTATATATCATAAATAAACAGCTTCATTATAATTGTAAAACTCCCATGTTACTAGTAGAAATCCTTCCCCAATGGATAGAATACAATTTTCAAAAGTAAAATAACCACAATAACCATAAAATAATCATTTTAATATGAAATAAGCACTAGAAATATTAGATAAGATATACAAAAATTAAAACAATTCATAGTAAAAATAATCATAGAAATTGGATATGCGTTCCTCTATTGATTCGAGTCATAGCACATAATTTTATTTATCATAGAATAAAAGATAATAAACATTATCACACAGCTCTCATTCTGTAATCTAAACACCTTGCCATAGATTTCAAAGCGTATATATAATATTTAATATTTAGTTATAAGCACGTTCCTTCCAAAGTATTCATAAAAAGTAAGAAATTTGATTTATAAAATATTAAAATAAATGCAAAAATTATATAAATAACTTCTACATCCTATATGGGGGTTTCATAAAGCCCAAACATAAAGACGTGATCCCGATTATTGATATGGTTATTACAAAATGCAACAATCAAAAACTGAGTATCTGACAATATATGATCAATTTGGATTTTTGAATAATAAATAGTCCTAAGTTGGGAATGGTAAGATTAAATATGAAAATCAAGAAATTTTTATGGCAAATTATATGATTCTAGTAATCCAAATCATAATAAACACAAGATTACTTTTTCCAAAAATAATTTCCTCAACAATATTACATAACTTTAGCAATAATATTTTCCAATTAAGCTGTTCTACTTATATTATCTTTCAATATCTTAAATGTGGAGAAATTCATTATTGTGAAACTGACAAAAATTATATTTGTAAATGTTATTTTTAATGAGTAAAATTTATCAAAAATATGAATAAATAGACAAAGGGAAGGCAAATGATTTATATATCTTTTAATAGATTACTGATTGAGAATTGCATAATTTATGTCTAATTTAAACATTCAATTTATTGCAATTATTGCACTCCTTATTTCACCCTTTTGATTTGATCCAACACTTCTATTTCTTAATTATTGCGAAACACTTGGACATGGCCGAGCAAAAGTTCCGTTCGAATTAGGTCTCCAAGGTTTCTCATAGGTTTATGTTGCACTCAATTGTTGAAAAGTATTTTATTTGGTCTTAGGATCTGATGCACCTTCTTCCATATATTAGAGCACTTCGAATGTTCCTTAAAATCCTTTTTTATTTTAGTTAGCTGGTCTAAATGGAGCACCTTTATAAAAAGGTCTTTTCGTTTCTTTATTATTAGAATGAAGTATTTACGAGATAAATATCCAGCTCCATCAAGTAATGTACCATCAGCAGTAAAAGGTCGATTACCATGACTTGTTGTAATAAACCTTGTTGTTCCTGGTAAAAACTTGTTCCTATGTTTAATTCTTTCTCGTCTCTCTAGCTCCTCTTATCTATCATAAGGATCAGGTATATATTCGATTTATCCAAATAAATTATTAGATGTGGTTCTGCCTAACCCTTTCTTGGCAGGATTAGTTAAAAAATTTCTGGCTTAGGTTCTCACATCTCCAGTTGGAGTTCTGGTATTAAATACTTTATCATTAAATTCTTTCATGTGTTCGAATTCAGAATGCTTACTTTGATTTTCAAAGAATATATATTTACATTGATTTAACCTGATCATTTGGCTTGAAACAATTTGGATTTTTTATTGCTAATTCTCTTTCTTTATCGTAAATTTATTTAGCTTTAAATTAATCTTTGTATGGATCATTTAATGTTGTGTAACCGGGCTCCTAGAATAACGCAGGTTCATGCTTTTTCTATAATTTTGTATTGACCAAAATGGCTTTTTCCTTGCCTTTGCCTAGATGCAAATAAGAATATTACTTACTTTTTAAGGCATCGTTATATTAGTCTCCCAATAGCAATGGAGGAGGTTGATTGAATAATCCATGACGCTCTCTTTTCATTATGATTTCAAAGTTACCTTTGTGAAATGTTTTCTAAGTCTCGAATATAATTATCGTTGGATGGTATTCTATACTAAGTTGACATATAAATATTTATATTATTCTTTTCAAAATAATTAAAAATATAGATTCTATTTATGCTTTATTAAAGTAAAATAAGTTTATATCAATGAGATCGACCTTTGAATAGAGCAGAGGAAATGATTATAATATTGTATTAGATTGGGGATATTTTTATAATGTACCAAATATATATGAAATCATGCCTTCTTCTTTAATTTAGCAGCTTATTTGGTGGCAATATCGATTTTTTTTAAAGCATTAGCTCTTCTTTATTTAGCATTTAATCTCTTAGCTCTATATTTGGTGTGATCTCTCTTTGGATTTTATTTAGCACCTCTCTTAACTCTGTCACTGTTCTTTCTGATTTCATCGTGAATCTTCTTGAACAATTCTTAAACTGATTTGACACCAGCCTATTAATATTAATTTATTATATTACAGTCTTCAAGGTTTGTTCCCAATTGTGGAATTAGACATCAAACTTAGATCTTCCATCTTTGTTTGTCTTCTTCTCCTTTTATAAGAGAGCCATATATTTATCAACATGAACACCAAAGATTCTGTCCTTGTGAACATTGGCATCATATTTTTCTTTCTTGTCATTATCAACAGAGAATCCTGGGAATCTTCTGTTGTTGTGTGGGATGTGAATACCACCATCAGCAGCACCCTTTAAGGCAGCGAAGACTCTGTTTCCGAGAGTTGATCTGACCAAACCAATATCAAGTACTGCAAAGAATGGTCTTCTTTCTGGGTTTTCCTTTTCAGCAACATCATACAAGTTTCCATCGATGGTTTTGTTACCTTCATAGAATTTATCCATCTTCAATGTTTTAAGTGTTCTTCTGGCCAATAATAAACCTGTGGCATATGCAGCAGCATAGTTGGTTAAACCACTAGTTAAACCAAATCTCTTTAATTCGGTAGATTCAGCAGCAGACACAACCTTGTCTCCCTTTAAGGTGGCGTAGATCACTTAGCAAATGATCTTTGTGTTTGTGTGTCTAACTACAAATCTGTATTTTGGTGAGTTGTATTTATCCTTGTCTTATACGATCAATCTGCTTCTTGCATAGTAATCAGTCTTTCCTTCTCTTCGTCTTCTGAATTTAGTTTAGAATCTTTTGAAATATGGAGTACCTTTAACAAGCTTAACAAATGCCATTAATTATTAAAAAGATTTGAATTTTCACAAATTATACTCAAATACTTATATATATATACATATAAAAATTATCAAATATTTCATTGAGCATTATTGTTCTGAATTAAATCCATATTCTTGATTTTATCAGTTCGTTGCATTGATCAATATCAAATATCTACTCTGCCATTTCCATTAGAAATTCAGAATGTTTAGATATCTCTTATTTTATATCCAAATCTCGGCATGTTTTGGAGGGGTTTAACCATTTTGATAAGATTGACAAAGAATATCATTTTTTTAAAGTATAAGATGATGAGCCTTTAAATAATTGAACTAATTTGAAAAAGCAAGTCTTCTTTAAGATTAATTAATTAATAAAAATTCTAAATCTAAATGAGCAATCAATACTTTAAACAACCTAAATAATCTGAAATCTCATTCAAACCTCTCAGAAATGTTAGACCTTCTGGATTTCTCAATTCTTTTGATCTTCTACCTTAAAACTACTATACTCCCCTTAAAATTTCAGGAAATAAATTTACAAAATAAAATTACAACCTCCAACAAAAGCCCGCTTCTTTAGATCCTATCTATGAATAAAGCTTACCTAAAATTGAGGAGAAGCGAAACCCATTTTAAAACAATGAAAATAGAACCTCATAACAATCTTCAGTGTATACCCAAGTACTAGTAATGAATTCTGATTTAAACAGAAGAATCAAAACTGAAATAGATGAGCAAAATGACAAGATTAGTAAGCTACTCAAGTGTAGGGATAAAAGAGTCTAAATAGTCCCAGTTTTAGATCTCATTAATTAAGGGAATAAATTGGAACATATGGGTTTGGATTAGAATGAACAAAGGCCCAAAAGAAAAATTAATAGATAATTAACTAATGGAAGACTTTTGAAATTGGATCCATGATAGTATTATATATCTGTTTGTGATTTTATATTAATTAGAAATATCTAATATCACTTTATTCATTTTTCGTAAGCATTTAAATTAAGTATCAAATAAAATTAGATGACTATCGCTGTCCTTTTAATAATGAAACTCATATTTATTTTCAATTAATCCTCTGTAGAGGAAATAAATAATTATAGTAATATTATTTAAATTTTGATTCTAATTTTTACCTGAGATAAATTATGTTTCATCTAATTTTACTTTATTAAATTGATGATTTTATTTAAATTAATTTTAGTTAAATTTGATATTTTATATAAGGAGAATGGTATTTCTTGTTAATTGGAAATTTCGATTATAATAAAATAATAATCTTTATCCACCTCAGTATTCCTGTAAAATTCTCAAATCAATTTCTTAAATCCAATCCTTAATCTCATATTTCATATTAAAATCGAATATTATTTCATTATATTCAAATCAACTAATAAAATTACCCATATTATCTTTTCGTATATTTTGATTAAAAATTAGTACAAAAATTAAGTATTAATTAGTACTAACATTTATGTAAACTGATTTTGAAATAAACTAGTTATATTATCATGTATTAGACTTATGTCAATATTTTATAAACCCAATTATTCTAATAATGCTTGTTATATAGAATTCATTTTTTTAAAATAAAAAGCTACTAAAATAAATAGATTTAATTAATCAAAACTAATATCAAAAGTTGAATTAGAAAATCACTTTATTTGGATTCTAGTCAAAATGGAAACATATGAAAGGTAGAATTTAAGAATCTAAATCTATGCATTTATTGATAAGAAATAGCTAATTTGTAAACATAACAATCTAACTTAAAGTATGAAAAGATCAAGTATTTTTAAGATTGATTAAAATAAAAGATTATATTTAAAAATTCTTTCATATAAATAAAAACTATAAATACAAATATAGATACCAACGAATAAAGCAAAGATTAACCTAATAGGCAATCAAGATGAGGAGAGTGTTGATAATGACTACAAAGTCCTCGCTATATTCTTATAAAAGGAGAAATCAAGAATTTTAATGAAGGACTTAACAGCTTAAATAAAATAATAAAGAATTCACTTATTTATCGATTTTCATTGAAAGGAGAAAACTCAAAAGCATGAAGAATGGAAATAGAAGTAAATAATAAAACATTCAAAAAAAAGTACAATTGGTTGGAAAATATATAGATTAAAATATACAAGTAATATAATTATAATCAATTTAGGATTTAAAATTGAAGTCAATTTTTTTAAATAATTTAAAGTAAAATTTATTATTGAAAATAGTGAGATTTGCTAATTTTGTAAAAGTGTAAGAACTTCCATGATTAGGTAAAATTGATTAAATTCTAATAAGAAATTGAAATATTTAATAGTTTCTTGTTACTAAAAATTTGGTAGAAATAACGTAACTTCATACATAATGATTTATATAAAACAAATAATATTTGAATATTCATTAATGGAGTTGATACTATTCTAAACTGGCTAATATTAGTAGACGCTCCTTGTCATTAAGTTCATCAGCAATTCTTTTTTTAAATCTCATTATAGATTTTTCGACTGAATATTCCATCATTTTTTCTTTCAAAAGTGTTCTGGTTGAATGTCCATCCTTCTTTTAAGTGGGGATTTAGATCTCTTCATTAATTGATTACTAAAATAATAAAAATATTTACATTCCTGGAAAATGATACTTCTTCAATATCTTTGGCAATTTTTTGTTCTTCATCTTTATCCTTTTAATTAAGTTCAATAACTCTCATAGCTATCTCTTGAGTTTATTTTCTCTTCTCTGGATTGTAGAGATCTCTTTCATCTCTGGTACTCAAATCTTAGGCTTAGAATTCTTTGGAGATGACTTTTCTTCTCAATTCTAAGTTTTTGTCATCTTTCATGTGTAAATAAATGAGTTTGCATCTTTCAACATATAGTGGTTCTAATTTGGTCTTGTATTATGTATTAAACTTGATATGGGTGTAAACTTCAATGTCTAAAGCCAAATTCTTAATGTATTAAAATAAAGCTGTGTCAGAATTATTGATAATCTCTTTTTCTAGTTGTGTAATAGATGTAGGATCTCTTTAATACATGTCTTTTAATTCTTCAATTCCATAAAAAATAACTGAAAAGAACTTTTCTCTGACTTCTTGTCTTTTCTTTTCAAAACTTGAAGCGTTTGATTCCATTTGTCTGTATCTCTCAACCCAACTTTTCATTTTTTCCACTGCTTAGGCTGATATGTTTTTAAATGGTTGAGTTTGTTGTTTTTATTGTTCAGGAGGATTAGCTTAAGGGATAGTAATTTCATGTTATTTGTTCTTGTCTCTAGAATTTCCATTGTTATTTGAATCTTGCCTCACGATTTACACTTTAGATGAGATTTAGCCATCTTTGGTTTTAATCTTTTTGACTATTTTCTCTAAATCAATTCTTCTTTCATTTCTATCTAGTTATTCTTCTTCCTCTTCTTCCTCAATCTAAATTGCTCTTTATTATTCATAGATTTTTGGTTAATTTGATTGGATAACAACTGTAGATTACCTTGTCTACAATGCATCCTTAATGCGATCTGTAATTTATTGGCTAGAAAGGATTTCCCTGCATGAATCACAATTAACATTTCCTTGATCAAATTGTTTAATTAGACATTCAGCATGAAATGGCTTCTCACATGAAGGACATAGCACAAGTACCTAATCCGGATTTACATATTGACCACAAAAACAGGATTTCAATAGGGGCATCAAATCTTTCGATATAAATTATTGTCTCATCACGTATCCTTTCTTTTCTGACATTTGGACATACTCTGGGAGTTTACTTAATTGGACTTTTTCAATAATATCTGTCATTTTCCCTTTCTTTAATTAATCAGTCTTAAACACTTCATATAATCCATGATGTGGTTGCTTACCTAATAAAATTAATCAAAAAGAAAAATACAATAATAAGGAATATTGGAAAATGTGTGTTGTATAATATTAATATACATAAAATATACAATATATAAACCAACCTGTTGGTAATTCTTCACTTAAAATATATTCGAAATATTCGAACCAATCCTCCTCACGGCTGAAGTTCTCTATCTTCCCTATACCAAAGGTATTACTCTTTCTGAATTTAACAAAATCAGAAAAATTATAGTGTTCACTCATTAAATTATTATTATTAATGACTTCATAATTAGAATGTGTTTGATTTGAAAACAAATAATTGTGTGATAATTTAAAAATCCTCATAATTAATATAATCATTTTTCAGCTAATTTTAGAGCTTCCTAAAAACTCAAATTGCTCACTCCCTTCCCTTCTTTCCATAAGCGAATACTGATATAAGAATAAATCTGAAGTTGCTTGTCTTGGGTATCTAAGTTTTCGATAAGTTGATAAAGAATAAGCAAGAGCTTTCTGAAATAGGATGAAATATAATTACAAAAGTTACAGAATTAAACTTTCCATATTTATGCTTAGTTCTTTAATGATTTGGATCAAAATAAGCCTATTTGAGTTCACTTGTCTCTGATGATAGATATCTTGATTCATTATTCACTCAGTTATATTTTCCTTATGATGCTATATTGTACTAGATAAAGAGTAATTTTCCTGAAGGATTCCCAAAACTGATTTTCAGACTTTAGTGATTAAATGTGAAACTAGAGATATGATTCCTATTGCCTTAAATTATAATAAATTTGCATTGAAATCCTAAGTGGACAAAAGCAAAGTAGAAGTTTCATATTCTTGCTTATTCAGAAGTAGGATTGGCAACTTTTTATGATTTTACAATTTTTAAGAAAATATTTTATAATAAGAATTATCATCCACTAAAAATTGATAGGCGATGAACACATAAATTAATAAACCATTGTGCAATATCTAAGAAATAATTTTGGATTAAAATGAAAATATAAAATTTAAGTAGTTTGATTGATGTAGAGATCTTAAAACATACTAATCAAAGATATAATTGCTTTTTTCTTTTTTTTAAAAACTAAATGTTCGTGTTATATGATGAGGGATGCTAAGAATTATTCATACCATCTTGAGATGTTATAAATTCCTCCTATTGTTAATTTTGATCGACTGATATAAATGCTGTCATAGCCTTTTTTGGGAATCTAAAAGCATTTTATTCTTATTAATTATTTTATGATTGTTTATTATCATCTTCTGAACTTAACTATTATGCTTATTAGAGAATTTCCATAGGTAAAAATGTGTTTCTTTTATCTATTTTCCTTGGTTAATATTCACTATTAAGAGTATTACGTTTCATCATTTTTGGAGATATTTTTGTAGGACTATTTTCATCAAATTTGTTAATAATTCCCTTTTAGAGTAGGACAGTCTTTAATTTGGTCATTTTCCTCTTTAATTCACACGATGCCAATTGCTCCGCATCTTTAATTGCCTTATCTAGGAATCCTTTTTTAGTTTAAGCTTGAAAAATTAAATTTTTTTTGAATTACTCTAAACCTTATTTTTGTTTTGGCTAATTATTGGCTTCAATAATTTATTGTTCAGCCTTTTATTCTAACCCTTATAGATATGCCTTTGTTTTGGTGTACTTGTCTTCATAATCTCTCTTTTTCCTCCGAGCATCTTCATGCAATTCTTCTCCTATTTCTCTAAATTCCGAAAAAAATATTTTAAAGAAATGTGATTTTGATAATGCCAACAATTCAGATTACTTTTATGCAATAGCAGTGTACTTCCTTTAGGTTTCTTTAATCAATTCAATTTCTCCAAAATATTATCCTGCATCTATGGTAACGAAGGGGTGATAATCGCATTCTTTAATACACAAAGAAACGCCTCCTTCTCTAATAAAGTAAATTTCACTTGCATAATCTCCTTCATTATAGATAACATCACCTTCAGGTATTCTTAGTATGGTTAATAAGGGTCCGATATAAGCAGTGAACCTTAATGGCTTCTATTTAAAAAGATCGATTCCCAGAAATACATTCTTATACATGGCTTAAGATAATTCGGTTCTCAAATTTTAAGGGAGCAAATGAAGAAATTCTACAACTTCGTTTTAGTTATTTTTGTAACCTTGTTTTAAGACTTTGCAAATCTTAGCATAGAGAGCATTATCGATTTTATGATTCTTTGTTATTTCATTAAGAGTGTCAATCTTTTCTTTGTATTTAAGGTTCTAAGTATCCAATTAAGTAAGCAAAGAACTCACAGAACCAATAGTGACAGAAAAAAACACAACACCTATTATCATTATGAAAATTGTAATCATTTGCTCTGTGCTATTTGTTGCTGAAATATCACCATAGCCAGTGGTTGCCATGGTTTGAAATACCCAATAGAGACTCATGATGTATCTTTCAAAATTTGTTTAATCTTCTACATAATGCGTAATCCAGGTTTCTGATTCAGATGAAACAGTTCCTATGAAATACCAAAAGCAAGAAAACAGATGACTCACTAGAATCACAGAAAACAATGAAATTATCATCACTCTAATATTTTACTATTTTAAAACAAAAATTGTTACAGTAATATTTGAAAATGAAGTTATCAGCTCCCCGAACTTTTTCTTTTATACACAAAATTTTAGCATTCTTGACATCTTCACTAATTTAATCATTTTATAAGCCTTGGGGAGTTTAGCAAATTTCTAATATCCTGAAGTTTCATTATTATCAAGGATATAATCTAAAGGTACAACACAAACCAAATCCAAAAGGAACCAACTTTTTAAATAATGTTTAATGATAGTAGTTTTATCAACGACCAATTCGTCTTAATCATCTACATACGCACTCAAAAAATTGATTATAATATCTATTCCATAAAGAAGATCTATTGCCAATCCTAAACCAAATTAAGTTGGAGTTTCCTCCTAATTATCATCTTTAAATGAGATATCATAAGGAACCATGATACAGATGTACAATAGTGCGATAACGACTAATATATCCCAAAATAATTTTGTAGGATCATCAGGAAATATAATATATTTTAGATTTGCATATCTATAATTTAAATAATATTGGCTACCTTTTATCGAAACGATATCTGGTTTCATCTCCTAATTCGTTCTGTTCAGTTTCTTCGAAGAATGAATCGTCAGAAAAAGAATCATTCTGGTTTGAACCAATGTTATCTCTTATTTCCTCAGGATATACTCTATTTTTTTTAATTGATTGTGGCAAACTATGTAAGCTACCATTTCATAACGAATCCATACCTTTATAATCTACTAAGTCTTAAGCCCCTGCTTCTAGGTAAAGAGGAATGGCTTATAAATGTCCCTTATTTTAGAATACTTCTAACTTAGGGGATGATTTCCTCCTAAAAATCTTACGGAGTTTTACTAGAACGCCCATTACCGCTTACTAAAGCTTGACTTCCACTTTTATTTGTTATATTTTTCACAGTTTTTTAATCCGATGGGCTAGAACTGCCAGGTCTCTACTTAATCCATTGATTCCCAACACTCTCCCTATCTCTATCTCGGTCAGAATCTAAACTTAATCGTAACCTCTGTTTTTAAGGCTGTATTTATTCTTCTTCAATTTCTTAAATTAGTTATAATTGTTCTGGGTTCTTCAATTTATTTATTAATATTCTACCATGATATGCAATGATTAATTACTTGACAACTAAGGGTTGGGTTCGTGATTATGAGGAGTCTGACTCTAAGTGTATTAACTAACATGATCTTAGTTCATTAATTTAATTAAAATAAATGGCTGAAGACCTTAATCATTTTGCTAAATATCAAACCTTTTCTTCTTATTCAACAATATATAACGAGATTGACACTCCTTCCAAAATTTAGACTTTGAGAAGAAACCCATTAGAATATTACACAAAGAGAGGTTTGGATCCACCAAAAACAGGTTATGGTGATCCAGCAAAGATCCTTGAACCTTAAGAACCTTAAAAATAGGAATAATCAAAAGAAACAGCTTCTGTAGGAACGGTTCATCACTTTGCAAATGAAATAAATCGATTATGTATAGAAGTTGGCCAAATAATATTGAAACCCCAAGCAATCAAAGATCAGCTCAACCATAAAAAGAAAAAATCAGAGGAATAATTCTAAAACCTTCCCTCAAGCGACATCAAAATATCATCACTTAAGTAAATTAGTTCATTTAATGATCTCAATCCATAAATTCAATAGCAGAACCCCTAACAAATGATTTAACATTAACAATAAGATTTGCCAGGTGATGATTAATCAGTTAAAACTAATGGTTTGAAGCAAGAGCTCAAAATGGTATTAACACCATAAAATGAATAAATAGATTCGTTACAACAATAGATGTAAATTTCTTAACAAAGAGATGAATCCCTATATCATGGTCAAAAGAAAACAGTTCAACAGTTATACCAAAGAAGTAATAAGTCAGGTAATTTCTTTCATTTTCCTTATAGTTTTTTCTGTTGAGGAATAGTCGAGGAGAATGAAACTCAATCAGAAACCTTATGTGAGTTCTCTTACTGAATTGGCACAACACTAAGACTAGGAAATTTAGAAGGCAATTAAAATTTTGTAAGGTGGAGTTAAAAAATCTTGAGAATGAACATGTAATTATGTAACTTTTTTTAAACAATAAAATAAAATCATAAAAATAGATTAGGTTTATAGAATTCATTATTTATATGCAAATTGCACCAATTCTTAAAATTTATCCTCTCTTAACTCTTAGAAAATTTATTACACATTCTCGTAATTTTTGGCTAACAATAATTTAGGTTTATATTTATTTAAAAATCCAACGCACAATATAACTAAAATTTCCAGACTATCATGCCCAAGTATTTGATCATAAATAGTTAAAATATGTGGGGGATCCATGTCTCCTACGAAACAATAAATTAACTAATGTATGATCAATTTTAATGTATCACAACCAATTACCTTTAAATGGTGAAATAATTTAGGAGATCTTGTACTTACAATTTCTTCAATTTACATGCAAAGAGACAAAATTGAGTTATATTCAGAAGAAATAGCATGCAAAAAGCAAAAGTATCGGCAAAAGAATTCCTTAAATAAAGCATAAATTATATGTATTTTTGTAGAGAGGTAACATAGAGGTGCAACGTATTTGGAAATGTTTTTGAATGGAAAGAAACCTGCGACTGGCAATTAAAATTCTGCATGTTCCTTTTTCATGCCGTTTTATAATTGAATCTAAAGAAAAATTAACTAACATACCCTTATATTCTCTTTAATTGATTTGTCTCTAATGAAGCATTTTAAACAAGTTAGGATTTACTCTTAAAATACAAAATAGAAGGTATCTTCAGAGATCTCATGTCCATCTATTTCTAGTAATTCATCAATGAACAATTAATTTTAACATTCTTTTTACAGTTTTGCGAAGTTTTACTATAAAACAGTTTCTTGATGATCAAATTCAAAATATTTTAAGTATAGCAGACATCTCTCTCCATTGGGTACATATGTTTAAGCTATTTTTTCTAATTCAATATCTAGATGCTCATTTTCAATTGACTTCCGAATCTTATTAATTTTCTCTTCTGGTAATTCTTCTTAAAGCAATATATACTAATATTTGTCCAATATTTATTATGATGACTTTAAAGGTATATTGATATTTAATAGCTTATTTGATTAGAATTGCACATTTTAGTATAGAACACTCGGTTATTATTGTTTAAAAGTTTATAAAAATGCCAATAGGTTCTTTTCATCATAAATGTATAACTTTGAATCAGTATTAGTGTCATCCTCTTCTTAATTCTTTGCTTTTTAATGAACTATGTCTAAATTTTTAAATAATAATTCTGTCCATTTGATTTTGGAAGTGTTCAGAAACTCAATTTGATCTTCTTTTAGTGTTTCTCTCTTCTTAGATTTTTTGAGAATGTGAGATATCAATTTAATTAATTAGTCCTCAATTTCACAGCTTTGAGCAAATTTTTGAATATCATTGATTCCAATTTTCTGTTAATCACTAAATCCTTGTTTAACCTAGATAGAGTATTAAATACTTTCTTTTTTATATCCCAGAATTATTTTTAAGACTTAAGTTTCATCAATATTTCTTAATTGTCTAATTATTACATGGAACAATTAATTTATATTATAATTTATTTTAACTTGTAAACTTTTATTTTTACTTTTATCTCACTTCAACAGAAAATGAATATATAAAAATGATTTCTTGTAATTTTGTATACATCATAAATATCAAATTTATTCTCCGGCTTATTGTCTTAAGGCCAATTACTCTCTCAAGGTTCTCAATTCTTTATTGACTAATCCGATTGTTTATGAAACTACATCTCTGTCTGATTATCTTGCAGATCTGGCATCTGAGTAATCTTAAACTGCCTCTTCACATTGAGTAAATCTGTCATGTCTGTCAGCAGAAACGTTTTCAATTCTTTAAACAGTAGTATCAAGTGAAGCTTCAACTTGAGCGATGATGTCATTTAAAGCAGCTAAATCAGAAATAGCGTTAGCAAGGGCTGAACCAGCGACATTCAAAGCAATGACAACGAAGTTTCTTGATTTCTTATAGGATTCTACTCTCTTGTCTTCAGCGAATCTCAATAAAGATAATGAGTCAGAAATTTTGGCCAATAATTCATCAGCTAAATCAATGATCTTTTAGACGGCACCAGCATCAGCTAATTATTCAACCTTTGAGGCAATTGTGGCGAAGGCTTTGAATAATTTGCTGTATCCCTTTCTGTGTTAAAATTTAGCAGTCTTCTTGGCAGATGTAGTAAAATGTTTTTAGATCAAATTAGCGACATCCTTGGTAAATTTGTGTGGTTATTTTGCGGCTTTTCCTTTTTAAACGAAAGATTCATGTTCGATGTTATCAGCAAAGAGTCTTCTGGCTTCAGCAATGATTGCTGTTGCTTCTTAGTGTTCTAAGACTTTCTCTTCGAAATCTTCATGTTCTTCAGCTCTTTAAGCATCGAGTTCGTCCAAATCCTTTTAGTATCCCTTGACTTCAGCTTTCTTTTAAGCAACTAAGCCTTCTAAGATTGATCTTTATGGGTATAATTATCCTTCTAATCTGGCTTCAAGTTCAATCTTCTTTCTGTTTGATTCAGCCAAATCCTTATCGAATGCTGTGATATCCTAAAGATAATCATATATTCATACGACTGTGCAAGCACCTTGGTACTCTTAATTTTTAGCATCATCTTCTTTTTATTCAGCTACGTATCTATCTTCCAAGTCTGTCAATGTTGATACTAATCTATCTAATGGGTCTCCTGTTTAGAGTTCTAACCAGATAGTATCGAACAATGTTCTTCCGAATGGGGACTAGTCTATCTTTTTAATTGTATCAATGACATCAGATTATGTTGATGAAACTAATGCAATAAGTGCCAAAGCTAAAATGATGGTCTTCATTAATAATAATATTAAAATATTTCATCCAACATCTACATTATGAATCAAGAATTCAGCAAATAAATTCGTTTTTAAGAAATCGCTTTGAAATTCTTGGCAAATACTCAAAATTATTAAATTTTTATTAATTTTTAATATCACACATTAAATAATTAAAAAAGATATTAAAAAAGTGAATTAACGAAAGGAAATTTATTTTGCAACTGACATATTGTTTCATTTTTAATATTTATTCTGAAAAATAACAAAATAACAAAATTTTCAAAAATTCAGTTTAAGCAAAGTTGTTCTCCCCCAAAATACCCTCAATCAGATTGCTTGCTTAAACTCAAAGGATTCTTTTAAAACTAATTTAATTGAACTCTTTTTTCTAATTAAAAGCATTAGTCATCTATTTAATAATTATGTTATTTAAATATCATGATAAATTTATGAGTAAAGTAGAATTTGAGGTTTTGGATAAATTTAAAGTCACAGAATTTTTATGAACCAAAAGGAATAAAAATTGAATTAAACGTGTTAGATTAACAGAATATCTCTTTTGTTTAATTAATAATCTCTTATTTTATATATTCTAGGAAATTATTTTAAAAATTCTAATATACACATCATTAATATTAATATTAATAATCTAGAATTTTCTAATGTAATACTTACTTACACTCCTTTTATTCTCTTTAGTCCTAGGATAATAAGTGCCAGAGGAGAATGGAGTTTTAATATTGAGCGATTAAAACTTTGAATATGTTTTGAAAAAATATGAATTTGTCTTAATAGATTTCTATGCGCATTGGTGTGGACATTGGTATAAATCAAAAATATAATTTAGTCATCATTTAGCTCCAATATTTGCTTCAGCTGCAAGACAAGTAAGAAATCAAAATGTTTAATTTGCTAAAGTAATAAACTTGATAAATTTAAGATCAATTGTCCTTAATATGAGCATTTGTGTAGAAAATATTAAGTTACTGGATTCCCTACCTTAAAATTATTCGGGGATGGATAATTATAGATGGAATATCAAGGGGATAGAACAGAAAAAGCTATTGTGGATTGGATGAGAAAGAAAACAAGTAAAGATTATATTTATGAGTACTTGCTTAGATAAGGGATCTATTGAGGCTAAATCATTAGACCAATTAAAGAAGATTTCAGAATCCCCAAATTTAGTCATGGTATTCTTTGGTGAATAGAAAGAATCATATGAATTTATGTAATACTTTTAATTCTCTCAGTAATCTCCATATTTTATGTTTTTAGAAAGAATAAACATATCTCAGCTATGCACACATTTAATTAAAATTTTGCTAATGAAATGAGAGCTCAAGTACCCAGTATCGTTATTTATAAACCTTATGATGAAAGAAAGGCTGCTATTTATGATAATTTTGAGATTTCTTACATAGAATAATTCATAAAAAAGCATTCTTATCCAGTCTTGATGAATTTCGATTTACCAGTAAGAATAAAGAAATAAAATATTAGACCGCAAAAAGAATATTTAAAGGGGATTAACCAACACTTTTCTTATTGTAAAATTCATAGACAAATCATGCAGAAAAGCATTTGAGATTAGCTCTATCTAAAATCAAAGATTAAATTCTAATTTGCATTGCTAATACAGATAACAAATATGGATTGAGATTGATGTAATATTTTGGCATTTAAAATGGTAAACAATAGATTTTTACAGTTTAGATTATCTCCCTTAGATTGTAGCATTTAATCCAATTTCTGAGTCTTTTAATTTATTGAGTGAAATCACAAAGGATGGAATCGTTAGCTTTACATAATAATTCCTAGGTCTCCATTAGAATACATAAAAATAAGACTTATGATATATATAATTTATTATGTTTTTAATAAGTGTTAATACAAACATTGATCTTTATGATTAAATACTTTAAACTAGCTTCTTTTTCAAAATACTTATTTTGGATCCAACACTATCTACATAGATCATGACACCATTTTGATCTTTAAGTTAGAATTTGACCATGTCTTTTTTTGTATTTTTCTTAATTTGAATTAGTAAAATAAGTATAAAAAGATTTAAATTACTTGCTTAGATTTAATAAATAATTTATAAATCATGGGTGCTTGTCAAATAAGATCTAAACTAAAATCTGAATAACAAAAAAGAGTTGACAAAAGAAAGAAATTGCTTTATAGCAAATCAGTACTTAGCGGCACCGTTAAGAACTACACTTTTGAAAGTTAACAAACAATAAAAACAGAACAAACATCTTAGAAAGAGTAAGTTTGCAGTATCTTAATCTCTACTCAAAACTTCAATAAAGTCTATACAATCTTAAATTAATACAAACCCATTAGAAGTATGTGTTTTTAAAAAGTCATATAGTTGGTGAAGACAAAATTTTAACGATCCAACATAATATTAATGCTCAAGTGAGACATGCTAGATTTATAGAAAGATCGTAAGAGAATGATTCTTGGATAGAAATCTTTTTAAAATAAAATTTTGTACCATTTTTTAATAATATAGAATCATCCTAATATAATAAGAGTTTTCGAGTATTACTCCTCCGAAAAGGATTACCATATTCTTATTTAAGAATAGATTTTAGGTATTTCCTTATGTGAATACATCAAACCAAGTGAACAAATTAAGGAATGTTTGGCTGCCTCATTAATTGTTTAAGTATTATAGGCTATATAATATCTACACTAAAATGACATAGTACATGGAAGAATATCTCAAAATTCATTCTTTTTTGCTCAAGAGAATAACTTTACTAAACTAAAATTAGTAGATTACAAAGAAATGTACTTGAGACCAGAACTTAATCTAAATTCAATAATATTCATCCCTCCTGAATTAATCACCTTCATCTAACAAGAAAAGTTTTCAAAAGAAGGTGATATTTGGGCTTGTGGAATCTTAAGTTACATAATTTTAAATAGTGCATCTCCTTATTCCAAATGCAAAACCATGTAGAGTATGTAAAGCCAAATAATGCGAGGAACTCTTTTTTTTGAATCTACCAGCTTTGATAAAATATCGAACCCAGGAAAATGCTTTATTAAAAGAATGTTAGCTAGATTATTAACACAACGTCCAACAATCCAATAAGCTCTTAATGATTAATGGATTACTTAAAATACAGTATCCAAGAAAACTAATACCAAAGACACCCTTAATAAACTTTCTTAATTTAAATAAGCTAACAAACTATAGTTTCATATAATGATTCACATGATCAATGTATTTTTTAGTTAGACTTTCTCATAACTAATTAATACTTTCAATGAAATTGATGCAAATAAGGATGGAAAAGTTAACATGGAGGAAATGATGGTAGCTTACAAATCCTTAGGGAGTGAGGATGACGCAAAGGATGAAGTCAAACAAATGTTTGAAAAACTGGATACCGATGGAAGTGGGGATATCGATTTTTATGAATTTCTTATAGCGGTCACAGATCGTTAAGCTCTATTCACAATCTAAAACTTATAAATGACCTTTTAAACTCTCAACATTAGTAGAAATGGAAGGTTAACTGAATAGGAATTATCTTATGCTCTTTAAATTCCTATAGAAACCGTTTAAGAAAACCTTCCTAAAACTCACATCCAAAAAAATGGAAAAGTATATAATTTAATAATTTTTTAGGCCATTTTAGATCTAAGATCATTTAAGGAGTTTATGCTAGACTTATTATGATATGAACCTTTTTAGTAAAATAAATCTTATAATCATAAATCAATCTTTTTTTTTATAATATATTTCTCATTAATAGTTAAAGAGTATCTTTTTTAGAATCAAGTGGTCATCATTTAAGTGAATTGAATTTATAAATCTTTAATTTATATTTGATTAAAACAAAAAATCTAGTACGTATGAGATAAGAGGAAAGCTTAAGAAATTAAAGAATTTGAAGACTAATAATCTGGAAAGAGTACAGTTAGAATGTAATTTAGATTTCAATTCTAAGAAATAACATACACTGTTTTAACAAGTTACATAATTGAACAAAGATTCAAATGTTATTAAAAATAGAGATTTGATATTTTTATATTTGCTTATATGATATCTAGCTTAAGGTTCCCTTTAATACCAGCCTTTGCTGGTTATGGAAAGTTTGAAAATTAGGTTAAACTAAGAAACGATCATAAACATGATTATTGATTTATGTTTACAGCAGTGGAAACATTCATTATGCATAGGTAATTATTTGTAGATTCATTGATGGTTTCTGATGAACATAAGAATCAAATAATCAACATATAATAGTCAATATTTAACCTCTCTTATACTCGAAAATCTTTATAATAAAGTAACTCAATTATTATCAAATAATATGATTCTGCGAAGGAAATAAAGCTAAAATGATGTCATATTTTTGGAATTCATATGTAATTAATTTATAACTACCACACGCAGTATAGACACACTCGTATTTTAATTCATCAAATTTTTAAGAATCTTGTACATATTGGAGTGAAATTGGAATGTATTGATTTTGATAGATATAGTGATAAATATAATAAAAATTAAAAGAAAATTACTCACTTGTTATTTTAATAAAATATCGACCAAACAATATGAAGAGATTTAAAGAAAGTAGTGAAAAAATTGATCATCTAGGCGTTTCAATAAAACAATTCAAGTTAAAAATTATTAATAATGTGTAGACTTATACTTCGTTTATAATCGTAAATCATTTCAACTCTAAATAGAAACATTTTGAACATTATATATAATTCACTTGAGATGAATAGAGTTAAATGGATTAGATTTGTTGATCTCTAAGAATCATGTAGAATACTCTACCCTGGACAAAATTATAGAGAAGTTATTGACGTGTTTTTAAAAATGTTGATTTCTAGAGAAATGAATTTTGGATTTCGTGAGATCATAATATTTGATTGTATCTGTGTTTTCATTTTTTACGAATTCAATTTATACAAGAAGGGTTTAAAATCAAAGGGGGAAACTAGGATATATGAAATTCAATTCATTAGATTGTAATTATGTAAAAGTGAACTTTGATTCAACATCGGAAATTCCAAATATAATAACAGAATTATTTGAGTACGTTGTACTTAGTTCAAGCATTGTCTTGTCTAATTAATTTATATAAAATAAATTCATTTTCCTATTTGATATAACAAAGTCATTTTTAATAAAATTAATAAAATGAACCAAGATAGGATGACAGAAGAAAAAGCGAAAAAAAAAACTAAAAGATTTGATAAACATAATCAACCTATTCTCAAAGGAGTGTCAGCAAAAGCTGTCACATTTAGAGATTAGATTGAAGGCATTCCAATTTAAGATATTTATATAGTTGAGCGAATATAATACTAAGAGTAGAAGAATAAATGTTCTTGTTCCTGTGCTATTCAATGATGTAAATATTGATTATACTGAATAAATATTTTATTTTATTTATGATTTCATGAATAATATTTATTTTCTATGGGAACTTAAACCTTTTGTTCAATGTGATAATCTTCTCTGTTGTGTTATTTTGACAATGCTTTTGGATCTAAAATTAAAAGATAAAATCGCATAGTGTTACCTAATTAGGAGACTTCATCACCCAAAGTATTTTGAATCAATCTAATAGATTCCACGGGGAAACTATTATCGAGTACATGCCAATAATTGGGATCGCCTCTGAAAAAAGTAAGATGGCCCTCTTATTTTGTTTTTTCCTATATGAAAAGTCATTAGTGATGAATTATTTACGCCAATGTTTTTAACTATAGTGTGTAGATCAATAGTTAGTTATCTGTGAACAGGGTCATTTTCTTAAAGATTAAATCCCACCTTTTCATTTAAAGTCGGATGATAATCATCATCTAAATTGGTACAGTTTAAGTCTTCAAGAGCATTTTCATTCACTTCTTCCCATTATTCTCTCACAAAGCTGGCCATGACTTCTCTGATGTTTTCGCCTTAGAAGAAGTCTTAGAGAGCATCTCCACCTCCTACTTAATTGCAATACACTAGTGAGATAGAATGATATCTAACCCCTTTGAGATAAAGGCAATCCGTATTTTTATTCGTAGAGTTGAGTTGCAGCTTATACAGCCTCTGAATTGCTGACTTGGTCCTTAGTAAGTAATTTTAATCTGACCAATCTAGGAGATTCTTAAAGATTATCAATTACTTTTCTGTTGGGGTTTCATTGAGAGGATCTGTAAATGTAAACTTTGCTACTCTCTCGATGACAGGATCATCATGTCTGACATAATATTTGGAGTCACGATAAGGAGTTTTGAAATCATGTTCGACATGGTTAATTTATTCGGATGCTGGTGCAGGGTATCTGAAAATATTGTAACCCTAATAGATTAACAAATTTGTTCACTGGTGTTAGAATTCTAAACCACTAGACGGATGGGTGGAATAGAGTATTATAGGCTCTATTTAACATGTCCTAATATACGGATTTCATTCCTTTTATATTAAATAAAAATATTAATTAATTTTATGAATTAAGAATCCTTGGAAAGCATTATTGAGAGATTGTAATTACTTAAATAGATAACTTAATAGTCAAAGAGATAGACAGGTCATTAGAGATAGAATGGAAGAAAGAAATTAATTATTCGAAAAAGCAAATTAAAATTATAAATCTAATTTATAAAGAGAACTAGAAACAATTAAATTAACAAAGTAAATTATTTCATCACAATGCTTGTAGTAAATAAGCTGAATCTAGGGATCAAGAGTTTAGACAATACATTGTACAATTATTCAAATAATACGACGAAGGGAACTAACAAATGAAATTAACCATTCAATAAACTATACAAGAGAAAATTAATTACAATGATTATTTAATAAGAAACTACCCACTTGACAGTATGAAGGAAAAAAAGGATTTGTAAGAGGAAAACGTAATGCTTAGGAATCAATTGGAGGTTCGTATTTATAATCTAGTTTAAGTAATTTATTTAATAAACAACTACATTGTCCCATTTGTACATTCCTCTAATTGAAATATAGAAGAAAGACTAGGAAGAGCAATTGACCCTAGATAGATACTTAGGGGAACATATAGAAACTAATGTGCAATAGAAATAGTATCCTCCAATTTAGAGTCAATCTACTGTTGCATAAATCATCTCAAAACCAAAGATCCAAGAACAGAATCAAACTACTTAAGTTAAATTACTTAGCACACCTTCAAAAAAAATGGAAAAGGATTTTCTCTAAGAATTTATGGTACCTTTGGCAGGAAGATAATAGTGAAACGTTATTTTTTATTTATTTAAAATAATTGTTGATAACAATATAAGAATTTGAAATTAATTAGGTCTTTATCTTTAGGCGACGACAACATAAATATATTCAATTTATAATTATACAAGTGATTAATTTATTTTGATAATTATTAAAAAATGGATGAAGATGAATAAGTAGATTAAACAATGGTTACTTTTGGTTCTATAATTGCCATATCTGATTTCGTGGATCAGTCTGCTTTCTTATTCTCGGATGGGTTTCTTAAACCTGGCCTATTTTTAAAAAACTTCGTTTATAAAGAATAAAAAAAGTACTTAAGCATGATATATTAGAAAAACATATGAAGGTTTAGATAATGATTCCTTTTACAAATGCTTATTTTAGGTTTTGCCCAGAGTCTCTGATACAGTTAAGTCACGAGTTTTATAAGATTGTAATGTAACGGATAATAAGAAAGAAGAAAAGGATGGAAGAAATGTATGTCAAAAAAATAAATATGTAGGATAAAATCAAAATGTCGAATCAAAGAATGAATGAGGAGCTTAGTTAATTAATGAATGAGTACAAGCAAAACATAGATGCAATAGATAAATCCAGATATTAAAAGTTGACATATCACTAGCCATTTCAATTACTACATATTGCAAGTGGTAAGTTTTTAGCATGTCATGACAACGAAGCCTAGATCGAGAATCAAAACTACTTAGTTAAATTAGATGACTTCTCAAGTGATTACACTGTTTTTAAGATAGTACCTGCATATATGTATTAAAGTCATGGAGAACAGGATGTAAATGCTGGTGAAATGTGTGCTATTACCAGGACTATGCCTATCTCAAATAGGTTAGCATATATTAGTTGCTCATAAATGGAAATTTCAGAAATTAAAGGGAATGCATAATTAAGATCTGAACATATTTTGAAGAGAGAAATAAATGCCAATGTCGAATAGTCTCATTCTTGGAAGATAGTTTTGTTTTAATAATATATATCTGAAAGCTCTCGAAACTTAAGAGTTGGGGATTGCATCTGGTTGTATCATAGTGAAGCCGAGGCTACACTCTCTGTGAAAAAATATCAAGAGGCTGTTGACAAGACCAATTTCACATTTTATCACCTCTCCGAATGGCTATCTATAAACAATTTGTATGTGTCGATCACAAAGTCTCAAACAGAAAGTGCTTAAGGATATCAAGGAAGTACAAATGGATTATGGCAAATTGAAGGGGAGGAGTTCCTTCAAGGAGGATTCGTCAAGTATGAGGCTGGCTATAGACTTAAGAATATTACTACTGGATATTATTTAAGTGTAATAGAAAGTTCAACCGATAAGAATAATAAATAAAATAAAAAACAACAATATAAATATCGTTTAACTTAGGAACTGGACAAATCAACAATCTTCACTTTTGTTGATCTCAAAACTCAACCAAATTAAAAATATTTAAAGGGAGGAAGTTATACCTATCTATAAAATAGACAAAGTTAAAATTGGATGGATTTTTAAAATGATAAATAAAATCATGAATATATTCCAATTTTGAAGGCTCCTTAAGAAAAAACTGAACATGCAGTATTTAAAATTCATATGGCCACTAGGAATGAAGTTTGGGAAATCTAATTTTTGTAATCTTGTTTTCGAAAATTAGCTAAATTTGTTATTCAGATTCAAGATCCAAAATATCCAGGAATCGATAACTTTCCTTCTAAAAGAAAATGGTTCGGAGAATTTTAGTAATTAAAAAGTTGTATTGCAGAATTAGAGAACTTTGTAAACAATAAATCTTATACAACCTCTGCAGAATAGATATTTGGATCCATCAATTAATACAGATAGAAATTAATGAGAGAATAGTTTTACATAGATATTCTTATTAAAATTTTAGAAAGAATTATAACTAAAGGAGAATTAGAGTTTTATTAGAAATTGGAAAATGATTTAGAAAAAAATGACAGACTATCCAAATACAATTTAGAAATTGAAAACAATATAATTTTCGAAGACAAAGCCTTAATGATGCATGAATAAAAAACTGAAAATACATTAAAAACATAATACTAGAATTATGTTAAAGCAAAAGTTGAATTGATTGATTAAATCTATTAATTCTTGGGATCGGTATGTAAATTAAATAAAGAAAATCAAATATACACCTACGATTTGATACCATACTTTTAATTGCATACCAAATATTTGCCAACAGCTATTGAAGCAACAATTAATATTGTATCTAACAATAAATTTTTATTATATAAACTAAGCGAAGATATTAAAATTGAATTTTATGAAGAGAATGAAATTGACAATCAATAAATAAAAATACTTATTAATTTATATTAGTTTGATGACAAAGATGAATAAATGGAAATAAAATAACATGAAAAAATCATGAAAAAACCTGTCCCCTTAATTGAATATTTCATTAATTTGTTGTGGGATGATGATGCTAAAAACAATTCATACTATCTAAAATTTTTAAGAAATGTCTGCAGTCATTAAGAATTTCCCATTTAAATAAACCAAGAAAATATTTATAAGTTATATAAAAAGAATAATACCAAATAACCTAAATTGGGAGTTGAAACCAAAGCAGAAGAAAGCAAAAGTAATGATGGTACAGTAAGGCTGACATCCAAAGCTGGATAGTTGATCATACCTTAAGATTGTGACATAAGAGACATTAATAAAAGTTCAAGGGACAAATTTATGTATATAATTGAGTAACTCACCTTTTTTTCAGAAGTTGCTTTAGGAAGAAACTATTCATGGAAAAATGAATTAGGTGCTTAATTTGAAAAATCATTCTTGTTTAGGAATATATGGTTTAAGCATCCTATTGATCCGAAATATATAGATTTATAGCCTGGATTTGCAAGATTAGCATTAACTTTGTACATTGATTAAGAGCCTTTACGGATTAAGAAAGCACCAATTATGTGTTAATTGTTTAGTGAGTGTGAAAAACCCAGAGATTATATCCTTTTCAAGAGCTCAACATAGGCAGGGGCTTCGAATGTTTAAGAGTTGAACACATACAAAGATCTAGTGAATAATTTGATGAATTATGTGAATGAGAAGGGAGGGGAAATATACGAGATCATGTGTCCTCCAATTCATAATCAAGCTGGTGAGGAAAGTGGTTCCAAGAAGTCCTCAAATTAAATTGGTCCAGATATTTTAAAGGATGAATTAATTTTAAATACAATGAGAATTTTGGATAAAGTTATGAAATTGAACTTGATTTGGGTATTAGATTATTCTTTAGGAGATGCGCTATAAGTCAATTTAAAACCGTAGTTGTTCATTTAATCAATGGTTAAATCTTGTTTAGATATCTTTACTTATGAGAAGTATGAACTTAATTTGATCCAAGCTCATTGTTAAACAGAGAGACAAAGAGTTTAAAAAAAGTTACAAGATAAATAGAGTCAACATAAACTCAGTGCACCAAACTTTATGAATCTCTTAAAAAAATAGAATAAAGAAGAAGATGACAATGAGGAATAGAGAGGAGAAAGCTAAATAACAAACGATCAAAACATATACTTAAATCCCATTATGAAGGGATACTTAAAGTTATAATCAGTAATATAAACGTAAAACTTTTTGGATCCAAAGTATATTGAGAATGAGGTCTAATTAAAAATTAAGATATGCGATTTTCTAGAATACTTGTTAGATCTAAGATAAGATTTCATGATGTAAAATTGTATTGTCTTTTTTAAAACATAGATTCTTTAAGGGGATCATATAGAAAATAACCCTGTTGCTTACAGTCAATATTTGTAAAAAGAGAATAAGAAAAAACCATTAAATCAGAGAAGATAATATGAAGATTTAGACCAAAAAGAAAAAAATCTATTAATTATTCAGAGGTTATTAAAAAACCATGCACTAGGATTATTTCCTAATTTAGCATAGACAGGTATTAAGGAAATAGATGAGCCTCAAAAAGAAGAGATGAGTTTAAGTTCATTCACTTAAAACCTAATAAAAATTAATAAGTAGGAAGAGAAAGCTAAAACTAGATTCTATAATTATATTAACAATCCTCAAATCCCAGAGATTTTAGATCTTGACTAATATTTAAGTTTTGCTTTAGATGATAGAAACCCAAATGATTAACCAGTTGCTAGTTTATTACCAACATTTTTACATACATTTTATCATATAAAAGATAAAGAACTAGAAAAACGAGGTCTGTAATTGTTATTAAGATTGTTTACTTAAAAGGAAGAATTCAAAAAAAACCTGTAAAATATGTAAGTCATTTTCGATTCCGAAAAGACAATACTACATAAATATATTACAATGAACTTGGAAAAATTCTAAACTTTAAATGAGCGACTTGATATATGGATTTCTAGTTATATTTTTGAGGATAAGATCACCAGTGACTTTGAATAAGCATAAAAGTACTTAACAAGTTTTTATCATGGACTAAAAAGTGATATCAAATTTGAGGACAATGAGTTGATCTCATAATTAGATGTGATTGATCCAAAGAAATAATAACTATATGCAAACTTAGGAGCACATATAGCAGTTGTTAATTTATTGCCAAATGGATTAAGATACATTCATGAATACATAATGGATGTAGAATTTGAAGAGGAGAAAAAAATTGTTATGATCGACTTTTTTAGATTAGCATTTGATGTTCTAAAGAATTTCTGTTTTAACAACAATGAAAATTAGATTATACTCTTTGAGTATTTAAATTATTATCGTTACATGCAATACGATCTAGGCTAATTGGAATTAATCGAGACTATATTTTAAAATAATAAGACATTACTAGTTCAAAAAGTAGATTAATAATTAATAGATGTTATTCTATAATTAATTCTAAAAGAAGGAAGGCAAAAGAGATTTTTACTAGCATTTGAATCATTAATGACGTACCATTCCAATTACATATTTGACAATTAGATTTTAATACAAAATAGTCTATTACCATTGGAATTTGGGGAGAAAGACATAAAGGTTTTGTATTGTGATGGCTCAAGAAACAGTGATTTGAGATTGTTTTTAGAGGACCCAATCTAGGAACCTGAATTAAAATTCGTTGATAAATTAAGAGAGATTGACTATAGAGATACATTTAGAGATGAGCCATTCTTCTATCACGCATAATTGTTAGATATTCTCATTTAGACGACTTTAAATAATGTTGAAAAGAGAAAATTTACTGCAGATACAAAGGAGGAAGATATTAAAAAGAATTTCAATATCAGTATAAGTAAATTGAAAAGATTGTTTTCAGCAACATATCTACTTGAAATTTTATGTACCAATGATGCATTTGTGAAAATGCCAATTACAACCAAATCTCAAATTTAATACATTGATAGTAATTAAAAAATTAAAGGGGTAACTTTGATAAAATTGTAAGTAATTGAATTTTTAAGATTGGTCCACATCTCATCTGAAAGAGGATAGGTTTAGCATTCTCAATTATTTCATTGTAGATAGTAAGTCATTGATTTTATGACCTTTGAAATCAACAGATTGGAGAAAATTACTGATTTGCATTTATTTACTTAAGATTTAAAAGTTTATCACATCGAAGGAATCTTCCCTTTTCTTTTGGCTTACTATGACAGATTTCTAAAGAATATAGAGAAATAGGATTTAAGAAAAGACTTATAAATTATAGAAAAATTCTTGTAAGAATGGTTAAAGAAGGTTAAGAATCTAACATCTGAATAAAATATACTTTACCCAATTATTACAACTACTGAAGATGCAAAGTTGTTAGTGAGATGTTTACAAACATTCTGCAAATTATTCTATGAGAAAACTGTAAATTAAAAAGAGGATCCTATTTGGAATTAAGTGAAGATTAAATTGGACTCGCTTAAAGAAGCAGATTAAAATTAAGATGAAGATATTATATAAAATACTAATACTAATAAAAAGGCATATAATGAAATGATAATAGGATAGAATTCTAGGAAAAGCAGTTTGATGTCAAAATAATTAAGCAATCCTGATGAGCAATTAATTTAAAATACAAGTAAGAAATATTTACCGGAAAAGAAGAAAATAACTGTGTTCTCAGATAAGGATGATGATTGTGAGGAATTGTTAGAAGGTTATGATGCCATGAAATCAAAAAAAGTAGAAAAGCTTTGGAAGTTATTTTTAAAAGAACTATTGAATAAGGATCATTTTGTGAAGGAGGCTGAAAAAGAAAGAGAAACGATTGCCAATGCCATCTTAAACATATCTAGTTTATTAAAACCAGAATTTAGTAAGAACTTGACTAATAAACCTGATGTCAAAAGTATATCCAGAAAATTAATATCATATCTCTAATCGGCTTTCTCAGATCCCAACTGCAAGGGGTCCATTTAAACTTTATTACACATTTTAAAAAAGATAATTGATACAGATCCAACTAGAAAGGTAGAGATGCAAAATCTATTCGATAAATTAGGAGCAACATAAATGGTATTGTTAGTTTTGAGTGAAAATAATTAAGATAAGAAATTAATGATGGTATTAATATATGTTATTTACAATAGTCTTTCCTTTAATTTATTAACACTTTGTTAGATGGAGGAAATGATCAAGTTCAAGGAACCATATACAGTTTTATGATGAGCTTTAGTTAATCTGAAAACATTTTCTAGAAGATCTATTTCATCATTCGAAAACAAATTGAAAATCTAGAAATCCTATCAAAGTCAAAAGGAGGATCTGAAGAAGAGTCAGCTGGGTTGCTTTAGATAGATTACAATGAGTTTTAAGAAGATTTAAGTTTGGTGTTGGAAGTATTAACATTCTTGTAAAATGCTGTAGAAGGGCATTATCGAAAACTACAAAATTATTTTAGAGAACAAACTAACTCAAAAAACAACTATGACTTAACCAATGCTATAACCGATCTCTTTAAAACCTATTATTATGATGGTCGTATTTAAAAAAACTATGATAATATGTTGAAGTGTTTAGATACTTTAAATGAACTAGTCTAAGGACCCTGTTCAGACAATTAAAAAGCTATTTCTGAATCTAAATTCTTGGATATAGCAGCTGATTTGTTCTCCTAGTAATATATTCTATCTCCCCCAGAAGAGATAGAATAGATTGGAAAACGAAAATCTCTTTTGGATTAACCATTATAGAGATGGTAAATTTGTAGATTAATGAATAAAATTTTGAATTTGATCATGAGCTTATTAGAAGGAAGTGAAATAAATTAAAACAATCCTATCTTAAAAAGAATCATGAGAAATTTACCAATAAGTTTATTAGAAAAACATTCCGTTAACGAATATAATAAATATGTTAAAATATACGGTGATAAATATGAAATTGAAGCACTCGAACATTTATCAGTTGATCCGTATAAATTACGGAAAATGAAAGAAAGCAAATATGATAAAATTAAACAAATATCCTCATAACTTCCTTACTTCGAAACTATCTTACAGAATGGATTTCTGTTATTCTTCTTAATGAGTTATTACATGGAATGTGACCCCTATATTGTGAGCCCAATAATAAAAATTACAAGGATGCATAAAAAAAGGATATTAAAAACGTAAACGAGCAATGAAGTTTGGTAGATGTTTAAGGATTCTTTTGTATACATGTTAATATAATTTACAATTGCTCTAATAAGGAATTTATTTGGAACTTTGAATTCCATGAAGAATTTAGCAACAGATTAGTTTAAAAACAACTAAGTGTAACCAGATATGTCAGAAGAGGAGAGATAAAGAATCAAAGAGGAACAATATAGACAAGATCTACAAATGGCTATCAATTTTTATTTAGAGAATAGTGCTCATATTGATGTTATGCATGATGAAAATCTAGAAGTTGTTTATTTCATTAAATTACCTTCAACAAAATATTTACCGAAAGAATAAAAAATCCTATTCCACGATCAAGTAGATAGAAGTACCACATAATCAAAGGTTTAAGGGTTAATGAATATAGCTCCTACGTTGATTGAAGTTTGTAAACATGAAGAATATTTAAAGAGATTATTTGATAGATAGAAATATTTAGCCTTATTAACTGACTATGTTAAACTCTGGAGAGAACTCGCCTTTTTCTTAACCTTATTTTTGAATTTATTCATACTGTTTAGTTTTGATGGAACAGTTGGTGATAGGGTTGAGGATTACATCTTTTTTAGTCAATATTAAGATTTTAGTCCTATGCTTACTAAAACTATAATATACATCATAGGTATTGTAATGACTGGCTTATCCTTATTCGTGGTCTCCTTTTATTTGCTAAAGAATGCTCCATTGATTCTAAAAAGAGCTTGGTTGTAAAAAGGGCTATTCGAAGATTAAGACCCAAACCCTCTCTTTATATTAATAGACATGTTTTACAAATTTATTCAAACTATTTTAAGTTTCTTATAGGAAGTGGAAGTAATGTATTACATCGCATATGGTTTATTTGCAATATTGGGTACTTTTTATCACCCTTTGTTTTTCATATTCCATTTAACTGAAATTTTATTTAGATATCCAACATTAAAAAATATCATTCTATCTGTATATCGTCCTAGAACCTAATTAATTTTAACATTTTTCCTACTATTTCTGTTAGTTTATGTATTCACAATTTTTGCTTATTGGAGATTATCAAATGAGTTTGCAGGATATTGTGATACTCTTTTGTATTGCTTTATGATGAATGTGGAATGGACATTTAGAGGGTCAATAGGAGATTATGTACAATAAGAATTAGGGGTTAATGATGTTGCTAGAGAATTGGGTGTTGGCAGATTCTTCTTTGATGAGGTTAGCAATATCATTTTGGGTGTTATAATGCTGAATATTGTTGCTGGTATTATCATTGATACGTTTGGAAGCTTAAGAGAGGAGGAAGGGAATAAATTAAATGATATGGTTGACAATTGTTTCATATGCGGAAATTTAAAGTATATTTATATTATTATCTTTTAAGAGCTGATTTTGATAGATTGCAATCAAAAAGTAATGGTGGTTTTAGAGAGCATATAAAAATAAATCATTACATGTGGAACTACGTTTATTTCTTTGCTTATTTGAGATGGAAGGAGAAAACAGAATATTCAGGAATCGAGAGTTATGTTGATTAAAAATTGAAAGAGGAAGATCTTTGTTGGGTGCCATTTAATCAAGCGAGAGAATTGGTGGATTTAGACGGTAAGAAGGGCATCAGAGAGAAGGAACTCATATAAAAAATAGAGGAGAAGGTATTTTGTTATTCTTAATTTTAGATTGTTTTTGTCTAAGAACAAATTATTGACATGGGTAAACTCATGAAGGTTGAATTTAAAAAAAACAATTGAACCATGTTATATTTGTATGTGTATTTAAGACATATCAATTTTATTTAGATTTATTCTTAAGTGGTTTACTTTCCTGTTTGAGTGGTTCTGTTTCAACTTGACTTTGCTTAGTTTTTAATTTTCTTTCTTCAATTTATTTTCTTGCTTTTTCAGCATTTGGGAAGTTTTCTGGGTCTTTTATGATCATAACAACATAATAGGCAATGACCAATTGTATGGATACAACAGCTGAAATACCAGCACCTACTTCCCCAAAGGATTCTCTTAATCCAAAAAACATTGAAAATGGTATAATTAAGACGAGGATGAAAATAAAGCAAAATTGTTATGCCACTCTCTTATTATGAAGAGGAATGCCAAAACTATAAATAATTGTCAAATGTAAATTTACAAGTAATATGGAGGAGGCTCTTTGAATTCCTGATCATTTTTTTTATTCATTAAAAATTAATTAGAAATATTTAATCAAAGTGGTTATAGTTTAGGGAAAACCTTTCTTTTCATATATTGCAAACCATATTTAGAATTCGTTATCATATTTTTAAAGTTCTGTTTAAATTCAATGATTGAAGAATGAATCTTGAGTTCCTTTCTTAATATCCGCTCTCCCTTAGCATTCACACATCGAGTGTTATTATTAACTGACTTTAATATATCATCTAACAACTTACAGATTTCGATATCAATTCTGCCTCTGACATTATGCTCTTAATCGATTATCTGCATTAAGCAATCGATGGTAGTTTCACATAACATTATCTCTCTGTTTGAGCTATTTCTTGATTAGATTATTATTATTACATTAATTTATGAGATATTTATCTTGAGCATTTACTCTTACTAAATTTATTTTTAAGAAAGAAAATCAATCATTTCTTTACAAAATTGATTCATAAAAGGTTCATATAAGTTGGACAAAAAGGTAAGATAATAATAAAGACTAGTTCTGAATTTATATGCAGAAAATCAATGTAACTTATATTAATGTGGCTAACTAAGAGAATTATTACAATTTTGAAGACAACTAATAAAACTCATGATAGGAGAAAGTATTTAGCAAACCCATCGGTAGAAATAATCAAAAGAGAACTCTTACATCTTAAAAAAGAAGTCCAATTATACAGTTTATTTAAGAGATATAAATATAGTATTTTACAGAATTTGTTCAACTTTATAGAAATATTGTAAAGATGAAAAATCTATTATATAATTGTGGTTCAATGAGAGTTTTCTTGATAAGTTGATAAATGCAGAAGATAGGGAATATTTAATATTGATTTTGGAAGAATTGGTTCTCGTATTGCTTAGAACTGAACAATATTCTAAGTTTTTTATAGTATAAAATTTACAAACTTTCTGAAACCATAAGGATAGAGGGCCTAGATATTACTTTGTTGTTAGTGATTTAAATTAGCTATCAAATTAGAAATACTAGTTCTAATAAGAGTACTATGCAAATCCTTCATTTGTGGGATTGACTGATAAAGGTAATGAATTTGGTCTCTTCTTGGATGCTTATGAGCAAATAGGAATTGGAGAGAATGGTAGATAATCATTGGAAATGATGGCCACTTTTATTTAGTTTTATCGGTTGTTTTTGATTGAGGTGATTAAAATATATAACATGAAAATAGATTATAAAGTAGTGCCATATATTTATGTGAATTTTTAAAACATAAACTAATTGATGTTAGAAGATATGAACTCTCTCTATTAAGTAGTCTTGGGTATAATGGATTGTTAAAAGTAACTATTGATCCATTGATTAATGCGAAAGGAATTGAAGGGATTAGCTGTGATCTATGAAGATTTGTAGAAGTTTCTAATGATATTTATGAGAACTATTACCTAAAAACTTTTGCATAAAAAGGTTTCTTATCATTAAACTATTGGCTTCAAATCTGAATGATAGAGCAGTATTTCTTAAAAGATGATTGTTGGAGGAATTAGGGTAACATTCATATTTTATGAATTCTTAAAACTGGAATTTATAATTATTCTTTATAATAATTTGTTTTGACTATTTAAGTACACAGTAGTAGTTACAAGAGCAGGAACCCTTTCCAGGACTAGGAATTCTACTAACTTTATAAAGTGGTTAGTATGTCATCATATCAAGAAGAGGATATTTGGATTAAGGCAAGAGTGGGAACATTCCATGCCCCCAGATATATTGATGTCTAATAATAAATATATCAAAATCATTTCAATAATTCCCTTATTTCACATATCTTTTTGAATAGTTCGATCATAGGAATCAGCAACAGGTTGGCATATGTGGCTTCAATTTCTTCTTCAGGTCCACAAATGAAACATCGTCCCATGTAACCCTTCTGGCATGAACGACAATAGGAATGTGCACATGGAATAACAGTGACTGGTTCTTTAAGTTCTTAATGACACAACTTACAAACAATGTAATTCTTCATCTCTAACTTAAGTTTTACATTGATTTATTTACACATATGCTATCAAATTCTCGAAGTGCTTATTATTGCATTTTCATTGGCTTGGATTCTAGGGTTCTTTTCTGCTCTAATTAATCATTTAGCTTTTTCAATTGCAACTGCAGATAGCCGATATGGTTATTTTGATCTTGTAATCTTAAATCTCAATTACTTTGAACCTCTAATCAAAAGTTTTGGAATGTAAATGCAAGCTACTATCTTGAGATCTCAAATGTCGGTTGTTTATTTTTAGATCATCAATTTAATTGGTCATTTAGTTGATCTACAATTGTAAGGCCTTGTTTGATTCCTGCAGTTTTTGAACCTACTCTTGTAAGGATTCATTCAATTGTTGCAATTCCTTATTTACTTCTTGGAGAGATGCATTGGTGAGTCTCAACTCCTCTAAAACGAATTATCGGTCGAAATTCGTGGGAGATTTGTTGTTATGCAAACTTTTACCGAAAGTCGCTTGAGCAGTCTTACGACGAGGCATCAGAGTGAATAATTGTTTTGATTCCACTTAGAGCGGAGACTAAGGATATTATAATTTAGAAATTCCTTCATATCTCAGATAAGCCTTCATATTAATATATTAATTAAATGAATAGCATTGATAGTTATTAGAGTAAAGCTACAATTAATGCATAATCGATTATTTCTAAGATAGCCACTCGAAATGGGCAAGCTGAGTAAGATGATCAAATTGAATATTAGTCATAGCTCCTTGATTGCAGCTTTGGATGAGGAAACTGTTTCAGCTGCTTGGAATGCATTTGGTATTTCCTCACCCACTATTATTAAGGTCTTCATATTTCAAGACAATTGCGTATGGGTAGAGGAGTGGCAGTCAACAAGTTTGGAACGTTTTCATTTAGTGCTCCAGACGTAGTTTTGGATGGAGTAACAAATCCAGTAGATAGAGATAAGTAGCCTCGTTAACCAGTATTTCTTGTTGCTAAAGTATTTCATCTAAATTACTCTAAGGAATTTGTTAATGGCTTTAATCTCAAAACTGCCATAGCCAATGGCCGATAATTAAGACCTTATAACATTCAAACATCTGGTAAAATTTAACATGCTATTGTCAATTGGGCTGAGATTGCACTCTATGCCTCTTAGAATAAGGATTCTGCTAAGATGGCCGTGGAAAGAGTGTTAAAATCATTATCTGATATTGTGCGAAACGTATTTAGCAATCATTTAAATATAGAGAGACATAGTAGAAGTTGAGATTCCATGCGTCGGTACTTTCTTTGTCAAAGCGCGTTGTGCTGCAGTCTAGTTCCTTGAATCTTTGATGGATAGTTGCAAAGTAACAAGTATCTTTAATCCAAGGAAATAACCAAAAGACCCTTGTCAGAAAGAAAATCAAAGGGAGACATGAGATTGACTCAATAATATCTGCAATAATTAAGTAAAAGTTCACATCCGGAGGAAAATAATTTTATCATTGATGATAACGCAAAAAATTATCTTACTAACTAACTCGGAATTGAATTGCCAGAAACAAGACCTAAAACAGCCAAACATTCCTTATATTCAACCAAAAAAGGACCTCTAACGAGTAAAACTGTAAATATTACTAACTATTATTATTCATTAGATTGAAGTAAGACCATCAACACAACAAGCCTCAAGAATAGGCTTCTCCAGATCTGTAAATGACAAAGTCTATGCACTCGAAAGATTGAAATATTACATTAGAGATCATGCCTTAAATATAGAGGATGTAAGAATTAATTACATATTCCAAGTCCTTTTTGGATTTGTGTTAATAGGCCTTTGGGAAGACCAATGAGAGAAAGGTTCGCATGAATTTCGATGATTTCAAAAGAGCTGCCCTATAAATTTAATTGCCACTCAATGAAATTCAAATTATCACATTGTTTTAGACACTTGATGTAAATAATGATGGATTTATTGATAAATTTGATTGGCTTAAGGCTGTTGTAGATAAAAGTAAATATTAATGCTTATATTAATTGAATAGAAACTCATGTTAATTACATCAAGGACGTTGTCTTTAAATTCTAAATTCACACTGATGATCTATTACAAAGAATGAATTTGAATAGAGATCATCCTCCAATTAACCTCCAGTAATTGAAATCAGCTTTAATGCATTTAGACGAATCGTTAAATTAGAATAAAGCACTGAAAGTAGCAAAAGAGATTTTGGATGGAAAAGAAACCATCAGTATGAATGACATTTTAATCCTATTCAATACAGTTGAGGAGGAGGATAAATTATATGATCTATCATGGTTCAAAGATACTCTCCATAAAATGAGAGATCACCTAATAAATCCTTAGAAATTGAAAGTCCTGAGACAATCTTTTGAATATTTTGATGAGCATTAAGAAGGTAATTTGGATACAGCTAATTTTAAAACTGTATTGATGGAGAGTTAATTGGCATTGAATGTTTAAGACATCAATAGATTAGTTCGATATCTCCCAAAGAATAGAGAATCTTTGATAAATTATTACGATTTCATTTAAATGATTATGGATGTTGATAAATAAATGGAGTAAAAGGATACAGCAAAAGATCTTGTTGATTTTGCTTAAAAAATCAGTAAGTACCTGACTCAAAGAAAGTTTACAGTCATTCAATTTTTATAGTAAGTAAAGTCTGGATATGGTTCTTGTAATATTGAATCTACTTCTCAATATCTTGAAAAGAATCTCTTTTCACAACTACCCCATGAAGAATGCTTGGAATATTGCAGAGAAATGGATGTTGATGGAAATGGAGTTGTAAGTGATGAAGACATGAATATTTTCATTAAAAGATATTCGTATTTTAACATAAGAAAAGATCAATCTCAAATTGAATAAATTGCTGAAAGCATGAAAATCAAACCTTAATTTGGTGATACTTTATCAGCCATTGAAAAAACGTTTGTCTAATCCAAATCTATTGATTTAGTGACGATGGGCCAAAAAAAGATGTTTTAATCCTTGGTTGATGGAATGAGTCAAACAAAAAGTCTTTTCCCAATTGAAGAATTGCCAGAATCAAAGTTTGATCAAATTCTAAAAGACTTACGAATTAAATTAACTAGGAAGGGTATGACTTATGATGAACTCTTTACCTTTCTAGACACTGATCATAATGGATTCTTATCAATTAGCGAATTTTATAATATTGATAAAATCATGACTTTGAGCTAGCCCGCTAAGGATGGGTTTTTTGCTTTTATGGATAAGTAGAAAATTGGTTTAATCGATTTAAATACCTTTGTAAAGTTTTTGAGCAAGTCTATAATATAGCAGATGCCATAATTGTCAGAAGATGATTGGGATTGGGAATTGGAGATCTTATTTAAAATAAGAAATTGGTGTCAAAGGGAGAATATTACTATTGAGGATGCATTCAGAACATTCGATAAAGATTTTGATGGATAAATAAATAAAACTGATTTAAGGACATTCTTAAAGGATATCTTGAAAATAGAAGAGAAGGAGATTACTGAAGCTAAAATTAACAGATTATTCAAATTGATGGATTAATATAAAAGAGGAAAAATAACATTAATGGATTTCAGAAGATTTGTAGAAGAAGGATTTTTCTATGGTAAAAACAAACAAATATTTGGATAAACCACAACTTTAGGAGTAAAATAATAACAAGAATCTAAGTCCTCTTTTGATTGGAAGATGAATGCTAGACAATAGATAGGGTTAATTATAAGTAGACATTATCCAAATGTGAAGGAGTCTTTTGATATTGTGTCAGGATATCGTAAGAAATTGGTATTCTAGAAGTTTAAGAAGTGGATAGATGAAAAAAATGTTTTGGCAGGATTTGATTTAACAGAAAAATTAGTGTATGAGATATTTTCAGACTTGGATTCTCATAAAAAAGGGTATTTGATTGAATCAGATTGGTTGAATGCATTTGCTCAATATAATTGGTAAGATTAGATGATCAAGGAGATTTAGGACGCCTTATCAACTTATTTCTCTAGCATTTAAAATGCAATCCATTATTTTTAGATGGAACACAGTCACATCATTACTAAAGAAAGCTTTTATAAGGCTTTATAGGCATTGTTTCCAAAGAGATTCGTTGAAGGGGATATTGAAATCCTGTGGAATAGAGTTTAAAAGAATGGGTCATTAAGCAATCATGCATTTGCACTTATTTTTGGAAAAGGAGGAAAAATCTATGAACCCACAGAAGGATAATAATAATAATAATTAGCTATACGCCCAGCAACTTAAGGGTATTTATTAAGTATAATATTTTAGTGGACTATCCGAATTACCTTTGGATGAGAGAAATTAAGTGAATATCAGCTTGTTAGATAAGATTAGAAGGTTCCTAAGAAATTCAAATAAAAATCTTAATGAATTATTCAAGTAGTATGATTTAGACAACACTGGATTCATAACTAATCTAGAATTCAGACAGGTCATCCGAAGTTTGAATATGGGATTGACCTTTTAAGATATTGACATCTTATCTGCTATGTTGGGTACAGATAGAAATAGTATGGTGAATTGGAAGGAATTTTCTAAGAAGTTAGATTTTAGATAAGCTGATAATAAGATACTTGAGAGAGCTGGCATTCATTTATAAAGAGTCAATGATCACATTTACCATTATTTGTTGTCTCCTAAGGATGCATTCAGATAGATAGATGCTCAACACACAGGATTTCTGACCTTCGATAAATTTAAGGACATGATTGAAATGCTATATAGATTGGCTACTGAAGAAGTTCCACCATTTGCTATAATAAAAGATCTATTTGAATTCATTGATAAAAGAAGAGATGGACATATAGATTTGACTGAGTGGATGGATGCATTCTCTAAATTCTCAAATCCTAATGAGAAGAAAAGGTTTTATATAGTTTATGAACAATTTTAGACCGGTGAGTGCTAACGTCAGAATTAAGAAAGCCTCTTAGAAGTCATTAATGGCTTAGACAGATAAGAATTGGTTGGCCAAATCGAATGGACCTCATCATTAATAATTTGAAGGATTAACTGAAGATGGATTGATAAATGCTTAAAGCAAATTCAAAACATTCCTCAGAAAACCACCTGCTAAGTAGAATGCTCTTCAATATGTTGGTATGTATTGGCACTTAACATTTAGAGAATGGAATTTGGGAGAGTTCAAAAGAGTTTGATAAAACCATAAATGCTATCGGAAAGAATAGAAAATACCTTTTGGAAATCTTTAAACATTTAACACAAAATGGACAAATCCCATTGACGGAAGATGTAACTAGTGTTCTATATCCCAATAGCTTATCAAATAAGAGATGGATAGGATGTTGAGATCTTAAGGTATTGTTGTCAGAGATGAACAGTGGCCTCAACTAATCTCTTGGTCAAAGAAGAATGGCCGCATTGATTATAAGTTTTTACTTGAAGTGTACAAAGATCGCTTAAATGGGATGGACACCCAGCCCAGAACGGGGGATGACGAGTGAATATTTATTAAACTAGCTGGCCATGTTATAATAATAATTAAATAAAAATTTAAAAAAAAGCCTTTACCAGCTTTTTAAAAACAAAAGTCTTCCCCAGAATCGAAAAAGTAAGTTAAAAACTTAAAGTAAACTAGTGAGCAGTAACAAAACCCGAGTATCGAAACAGTCTTAGAAATACAACAGCTCTAAGTGTCTCTTTGTTCCAAAGAATAAGGAACGGTAATCATACTACATCACTCCCCCTTCGAAATACAAGGTAATTCTACTTTTAAATTGTTTTAGAACCCACTCACTAACATCGAGGAATTAAATATTGATTCTAACTGTTCGACTGATAGCAGTCAAAAATTAGAAAATTTAAGTCCTGTGTATTACTGCCCAAAAGGAAAAGAACCATGTGGTGAGTTGCAGGTAGTCCTAAATGGAGATCTGATATAAGTGATTTCTTAGACCAAAAGCAGAAAGAAATCACGAAAATTCAGTGACCAAGAGACCTATGCGATGAGTAATTTCATTGCAGGCCCCAAATGTTAGGAAATACCTTGCCCTAAGTTCCTTTGATGATATATATATATTATCTATTATTTCAAAACACCCTAATCACGATGTTTATACAACATGTGTACATTAGGTTGATGTTTATAATTCTAATTATTAACAAGATACTTTTTCTATTGGCATTCATTTTTAAGAGCTTTTTATTTAAATACTTCTCAAAAATTCTTTGTTCCTATCAATCAAATAAGACAACTTTGATGGGTATGTTAAAATATTCAATTTATATAGATTGTATAATTGGAATTTAAATCTAATGAATTTTCTAGAATCCCTTTGGATCATCAAAAAGAAAATTTAAATTCGAAATAATCATTTGATTTATTCTAATTTATAGTGATATAAAATATTTATATATCGATTTATTATATATATATATATATTATATCTTAGTCATCTTCTGCCTTCTAATAATCTGCCTAATTCATCCTTTAGAGAGTTATTGTATGCTCTGATTTTTTCGATTTCATTTTTATGGTTTTCTGCTTCCTAATAATTAGAACATTTAAAATAGTTACTTTTTATAATTTCTCAGTTTCAACTTTTTTTGTATATTAAATTTTCTACTCCAAATCTTCAACTGCCTTCTATAACTCTTAACACTCTCTATCCATAAACATGATTTTGTTTGATTTGTCTGTCCTCTTTTATTCAGCATCTATCATTTTTCTCATACCGTATGCAATGGAACTCTCATATAAGGTTTTGTATGAATTCAATTGATTACGGAATTCGTTTCGAACTCAAAAGTAATTAAAATTGTAGACATACTTCACCAACAGTAATCCTCTCTGACTGCAATCGATTGTAATTTAGCGAATCAATTCATCAAAACATTATTCGTATAACTCTTCTCTAATGGGACAAATTCCAGTTTCTCTGGCTCCTCTTGACAACAACCTTTTGTCCAATTCCTGTTATAATTAGACAACTTCGATTCTGGTGGCAGGAGTAGATAAAACAGTTTGCACCCACAATTGTCCATTTTTCAATCTGTATTCTTTGGGTGGTAGATTTTATTGTAAAATTTCTTAGGTGATCATTTTCTCTTGCTGTCATAATTTTTTTAAAATTGTACTCTTCCAGGACTATTGACTCTAACTTATTGCTTAGCTTAGGCATCCTTTTTTTCCCCTATTTGTTATCCATTAACTCATACCAGTGTTTTTTCCAGCTACTGACACCAAAACAGGTGTGGAATATTTGACTAAACTATTCAATGACGGTACAAAGTCTTCCATTAAAATAATTAATGAATAATAAAGATTATTTGAAAAAATAACTGGAATACAAATCCAATCTTGTAGGATAAGGATTCCATACCCAATTAGAGGACAATAGACATGCATGTGTGAACATTTTTGGCGAAATCTTGGAGGCTTCCAATTTTGATAATAGCTAAATTTTTCTATAATGGAAATTCAAAATCCCTCCTGGATGGGATTTAGATGATAATGAGTTATTGGAGCTCGATTAAAAAGAATACGAAGATATATAATTAGAAGAATGGAATAGAATGTACTTATTCACTGCTAATATATATCAGATAGTCTATTACGCAATAATCGAAAGTCAATACAATTAAAAATGATGATGGCACTATTACAGCTAAGGCTCATTTTTGCTTTCCCTTTGACTTACAATTATAAGTAGACGAAAACGAATTGAATTTTGGCAAATTTCCTCAACTTCTTGTGCAAGTGAGTTCAATGGACTCTTGGGAAAGAAATTACATTTAGGGGTATGGATTCATTGAAATCCCTCATACTCCAGGATTTCATGAAATTACAATGAAAACCTATAGACCTAACGATGATCTTTACACAAGAGTTTATGAATTCTTCTTGGGAGGAGGCACCAAAGTCAAAGACTTAGATTCCATTTCCAATGCTTTCTATTTTGACAAACAAAATTAACCCAAAGTTTTGAATAGATTTCCTATTGACACAGAGAGTTCAGGGGACATCAAAATAAGAGTTAATGTCTCTATCCAAAGAGAGTATTCATCCCCTATTATATATCTATAGGTCCTATCAAACTATGAGTAGAAAGAAGGATTACTAATAAAAAAATTAAGAAATGAAAACAAAGTATAGGGAAAGACTCGAGTACATGCAATAATAATAGGAAATCTAGACTGGATTACCCACAGCATTAATTAAAACAGATATGGGTTATGTGAATAGATTTCATACAACTAATTTACCATAATATTGAATTTATCATAATATTATATTCAATCCCTATCTAAATCATCATCAGCTGTGGGATCAAACTTTAATTAAATAACTTATATACAATTTTTGCGTTTTCATTATTGACTACATGAGATATCAAACTCTATCCAGACTTCTTCTTTGCCTCATATGATGTTTAGAATTCGGGGAAATGATACAAAAGTATTTCCTCATAAAGAAGATCTAAATTAACTTTAAGGTTTACCTTTAATTTATTCCCTAGTCATTTCATACTTTTCAAATTCGAATTCTAATTGATTAACGAGCTAAGCACTTGGTTCATCCGCTTCAAAGTGTAATTAAGCCAAATAAGGATGTTCTAAGGCCTGTTGAACTGTGATTCTTTATCTATAGTCGAAAGTCAAGAATTTCCTTAATAAATCCAATGCTTAAAAAATAACAATGCTTAATTACCATTTTTAGAGGCATTTTTAAACAACTGCTCTAAAGGGATACCTTGTTTTGGCCCAGTTTCTTTAATTACCTTTCTGAGATTGTTCTAAACCTTTTCATCTTAGAATGATTGGATGTATGCTTCGTTTGGTGTTCCCAACAATTCAAATATTAACTTGACTTGTCTTTTAGCTTAATTAATTTAAAATGAAAAATTACTGGAATCTCCTCTTAAGAAAGGTTTCCTCAATAGCAATTCAGCCAAAATGCATCCGACTGACCACATGTCAACTGCAGGAGTATAATTCTTGAAACTCACAAGCAACTCTGGAGCTCGATACCATCTTGTTTCCACATAATAAGTCATGATGTTGGCGTTGTTTGAAGAGGAAGGATCAGCCATGGCTCTGCCTAATCCAAAATCACAGATTTTTAAATCGCAGTTTCTATTTAATAATAAATTTCTGGGTTTCTAATTTGATTTAACAACAAATAGATACTAAATCTCTATGCAATATTCCTGCAGTATGTAGATATTTCAATCCTCTTAAAATTTAATACAGGAATAATTAGATGTGTTCGTCAGTCAAAACCTGATCGCTCTTGATCACTTAAGCCAGATCTGTTTCTAATAATTCAGTGACCATATAAACATCTTCAAATTCTTCTCTTGATTTTGGAAGAAGCAAGGTTTTTAATTCCACAATCTATGTCACTTTCATGATAATACATTCTCGTGTTTCATTAATCTTAGAATCTTTAATTCCCTAAGTGTTCTTTTCGCATACAATCTATGTTCGAATGCTCTTTCAATTTTCTTTATAGCAACTTATCTGTCCTTCTCAACCTTGGCATTCTTATCATCTGCTTAAATAACACATCCATAAGCACCACTTCCGACTATACAATATGAGATAATCATACTAATTTCAACTGGTGAGTAATTGTCTTCAAACATGAAGGTATGCTCTTGAAGTTGAAATTTCTTGACTTTTTGTGATTTATTCTAATATTTAGCATAGAGTTATATAATCTTTTATGGGCAACTTGAACTCCTACTACATTTATAAATATTATTATTTAATTAAATTTAATAGTAATTATCCCCTCCCTTCCAAATTTATCTAAGAATTGCGATTGGATTTTGTCGATTATTAAATTAGATGTACTATTTTTGAATAAATAGACGACTTTACATTTATTCTTTAAATTTCAATTTAATTATGATACATAATTAATTTAATTGAACAAAAACTAGAAAATTGTCTTTGTTTCTTCTAAAGATTTCCATTTATCCAAAAAAACGAGCCTATTAGTTGAATAATCAGAAAATTACTTAATGTAATTTAATTTTCAATTTACCAAGAAATTATTAAATTCAAAATAATATTATAACAACTTATTTTAACCATCTCTTTTATGATCCCTAAGAGCATCTAAAAGGTGGATAGCCTTAAACTTAATTGGATTCATGTACAATTGCTTCGGTTAGTTTCTAAACTTGATTGAATGATTGGTGTAGAGATCTTTAAATTACTGATTCGAAACATTTAATATATGTATATCTGTCAATAAAATTAATCTAATAACAATGAATTAATCAACTAATAAATAGCATTAGTCTCACAAGGATGATCAAGTTGATTAGCATGGCTAAGGAGCACATGGTTAAGGTTATTAATCCTAAGTATATTTTTGTAAGACTAATTTAGTAATTATAATAATCACATCCTGAAATAGAAAAGCAACCAGATGTATATTATATATACTATTAATATAGCATTCTCAACACTAACATTTGCACAATGATCAGTCTCATCACCAACATTCTAATCATGGTCATTAGGATGGAGATCACTAGATTCACAATACGAGTCATGATCATCACGAGGGCCATTACAACCCTTTGTAAATGCCTTGTGATTGGGAAATAGCAAGAAAGCATGCATTGTCAAGGCGGACGGCATGGGAAAAAAAGAAGGACCCGATGAAAACATTATAAAGTAGTTTAGGATCATGAATAATTTAGTTGAAACGTGTCCTTGCTGTGGATTTGAAGTAGACAGAGAGGATATTCCTTATTGTTCAGATCCTATGGCTTTATCCTTTTTAGGTTCAGGATTTACATTGTTTTATAATTACTTGAAATATTGCATAATTATCCTCTTCATATAACTCTTGGTAAAGTAACTACATAATTTGTACACGAACTTTAATGGTTCGTATTGTAGTCACATAAAAAGAGAGAAGATGGAAGGACATATAATCGAAGAGCCATATTGTCCTGATAGCATATTCTTACAATTATCTTTGGCAAATAAACTTGAGTAATTAAAATACCTAAAATAGCAATCGAGAAGCTCTTGAAATGATGCAAGTCTTAAATTTCATCAGTATTTTCATAATTATGTTTGTTCTCATTTATTTCAGAAAAAGTCAAAGATAAATAGATACTACTATTGATGAAGAACAATTGACTCCTGCAGATTATACCATATGTGTTAAGAATATCCCTACAGGTTTGAGTGTGGATTATAAATATGAACTTAAGAATTTATTTGAAAATTATTCTGTTTTGGATTCAACTAAATAAATTATTGTCAGAAAAGTGGTTTTAGTTTATGATATAGAAGAAATAATAGTACTTGAAAAGAAATTAGATGATTTATTGTAATCAAAGAAGGATGCTATTAAATAAAGTAATTTTAACTTTCATCATGAAAGTGTGTAAAAGATTGATGAAGAAATAGAACATTTGGAGCATCAAATCCATAAAATAGAGGAGGAATATGAAACTCATAACACAAACTTTGCAGGAATAGCCTTCATATCTTTTGACGATGAATCTATGAAGTAATTGGTGTTATAAGACAATCCTCATACTTAATGGGAAAGAATGCGATCTCATGTAAATAGAGGCAAATTAAGAAGCCTCACAAATAATGATTTGTAGTGGAATGGATAAAAACTATTTTTAGAACAGGCACCTGAACCAAATGATGTAGATTGGGAATTTATTCATATTACTACTAGTGAGAAGATATTTAAAAGAGTGAGAGCTTGGGTATATTACATTCTATTTGAAAGTGCTGCCTTTTTCATTATTTACTTAATATCTCATAGATTAGCTTTATTGGGTGATGAGGCTCATGAAGAAGAGTTGAAAGGAAAGTTGGATGAAGATACTAAAAGGAAAATTAATATCATGTCATTTAGTATTTCAATGACAATAGTATTATTCAATAAATTTGGAGTCGCTAAAATAGTTCATTATATTGTTGACGATGAAAAAATATCAAATAAAACAAAATTTTAAATATCTTTCGTTTATAAATATGCATTAGCATTGTTTTTAAATGCAGCCATTATCAGTTTTTTGGTGGACATTGTAATACTAAAGAATGTCAAGGGAGCTGGAGGTTTCATCTAAAATGAAAGTCAAATCTTTGTGCTTAATGCTATCTTCCCTCCATTCATTTGGTGTGTGGATCCATGGAGTTTATGCAAGAACATTTGGAGAAAATACATAATGTCAAAGGGTGACAAAGCACTTTTAACTCAATAAGAGGCAAACAAATTAATGGAGGAGCCAGACTATCTCTCTGCAAAACGATATTCGGATGTTATGAAAACTATGTGGTTTACATTTATGTATGGCACAGCAATACCTTTAGGCACTTTATTCAGTGCGTTCGGAATTCTAATCTACTATTTCGTTGACTACTATAACATATTGAGAAGGAGAACTGTTAAGGAATCTATAAGTATATAGCTCTCTACAGGTACACATGATGATTGATTATTAGAAATGATTGAAATGTTAGAATATATTATTGCCTGGTGTGCTTTTGGAGAAATGATCATGACTTACACATTTTTCAAAGAAGTCAGCAAAATAGATATTCTACTTATCGTATTGGCAATATTATACTAGTAATTGCCTATGGAGGATATATCCGAGTATCTTTTCCCAGTTGAAAACAACGAGGAAGTATAATTCTTGGCTTATTTAGATAAAACCTTATGCTGAAGGGAGTGCAAGCTTTGATACTGATTATGATAGGGAGAATCCTGTTACTAAGCACAAGGCTTTGGCCCAATGGAATAAAAGATAACAAAGTGCGGAGAATCCGAATCCAAAGAACAAAAAGATTTTGGCCTAACAGGATGAGTTTGGATATGCTGGAGATGGCCATTTCGGTCGTAGATGATTTAATATTAGAAAAATATAAAAATTTATTTTTCATTATAGCTGAAATCAGTGGCAATTTCTTCAATATTTCATTGATTATTACTCAATTAAGATGTTAATCATTGATTTTAGCTATAATTAAACATTTTTAACATGAGTGAATTTAAACAAATGGAGATTGAAGTATTGTTTGAGTATTTCATAGTCGTACATTTTAAATTTCAAAGCGAGACACACTGAAATAATAAAGCAAAAACTGTAAAAGCTGCATGAGGAAGAATCTGCGGATTAATTGTAACCATTTTATTAAGCTTTCCTAAAGAACTGTAGAGACTATTTGCATCAAAAATTGGTAAGGCTATGGGTATATCTCTAGAAATTGACTTGTAAAAAGGTTCTAGATGAAGACCTATTAGAACTTTTAAAAGTAAATATTTTTTTGGCAGAATTATCTTATTCAATAAGCAAGGAAGTCCCAGAGCTCAAGTCCTATCCTCTTAGTAAAACCTATAACTAATTTAAGCTTTTAGTGAAGATATCTATGAATGTTTGTCTCTTTCGGAACTTTACGATTACTTTAACAATTTATATAGTTAGATATCCACAATATCGAAATTCCAAGACGAGAACAAATATGTTTTACTGAGAATTTGCAATTCGATGCTCAAACGACTGTCAACAACCCATGACACTTTTTTGAGAGGATAAGTTTAAATATTCTTGACCCAAATATTCTCAACAATACATCCATCCTTGAGGAAGAAGCCAATCAATATAAGGGATAGAGGATTTGATGAAGAATCAGTCAAAGTGAATGCCTCATTGCCGTATTCCTTTTATAAAAATTTTTGGACTTTACAAAAATATCTAAATAATTCTGAATTAATATTCAAAAACAAAGTGGAGTTTGATGACATTGGCGAAGAAGCTGGATAAGTAACTCAAGGAGTCTCTGAACCTCAAAGAACAAAAAACCTGTAGGCTGTGATAAAAGTCATAATGAGAGCTTTGCAATATTTCAAAGAAAATCCTTTAGAACCTGAAATCATAACAGTGAAAAGATTTCCTAAATTCCTTACAAAATATTCTTTATTCAAGAATTAATTAAATGATCCTTACTTTAGAAAGTTGTTCTTGAATTAAGTTTTATTGTTTATTTTTGTAGCTGAACTTGAGAATCATGAAGTATAGAAATCCTGTTATAATTTAGAAATAATTCATATAGAATTTGAAAATTGAAGTACAAAAATAATTAGATGAATTAGGAGATAAATTAGGAGAGAAGGTTCAACATTTAATTGATACAGAACGAACTTGGGTATTCTATTGTAATATCTCAGCGACTTTGGGTGACAGAAAAACAATGCTTTGATGATGGCTATGAAAAACTAAGTATTAAAGCCTCTGAGAAAGCAAAAAAGAAAAGATAAGAAATACAGAAGCGAATTTATGATGACCTCAAATATAAATAGACAGACACATTTTAACAAATTTTACAAGATTAAGGAAGACCTTACAAAATAGAAACTAATCCTATTGAACCAGGGTTAAATTATTATTTAAATGAAGTGTTTTATTAATTAGATCAGAATCGTAAAATTGCTGACAATGAAAGATGTAAGAATTTGAAGGATTATGCTTGGAAATCAGTTAGAGTTATCTCCAAATTTCTTTTGAAAGAATTAAAAATTACTAATCTAATTACTTAGGAATTGAAACCATTACCTAATCTGGAAGACATTGTAGAAAACTTGAAGAATGCTGGAAATGAAATGACAGCAGAAAGATAATAATAATCTAATAATAATAACAATAATTAAAATAATAACAATAATAATAATAATAATAACAATAATAATAACACTAACAATAATAACAATAATAATAATCCTGTTACAATCAAACCTGTTCACATAAATTAATAAATATCAAACTAGAAGTGAATTATAATTTTAAACGTATATACAATTAAAATAATTATTTAATACTCAAATAAATGGAATAAGCTTTTAAGCAAGATTATAATTTTCCCGGTAATATAATAGATCTCACCGATTCTCAATAAGAACTAGTAGAGGACTCATAATAGTACAAACCGCTTGATGGACTTACTGAAAGGATTTTGAGGAAACGAAAAAATTGCCCATTAAATAAATCCCTCTATGATCAATTATTCTCAGACCCTATTTACAAAAGCTGTATTCAAAATGAATTCCTCTTTATCAAGCATCTAGAGTCACTTGGTTTCAACGATATATATGATTATTTGAAACATTGCAATAAAAATGGAATCCTCCTTGAAGACGAAGCATTTAAAAGTATCTTAAATAACAATTGAATTCTAGAATACAACATAAAGCCTCCATAATCGAAATATAACTTATATTAATGCAAAATCATTCACGAAAAAAATGTCGATTTTAGAAATATACAATAAATTTTGAGTGGAATGAAATAACTCAAAAAGACTATGAAACTTGAATCAAAGTCTAAAAAGGATCTAAATATTGAATTTTATTAAACTAATGACACCACTACCAATTTTGTAATACATTAAACTAAATAACATCGATATATTGCACCAAATTTAATTAATAAAATGCTCTATGAGGTAGAACCCTTGAATTAAGAAATTAATGAAAATTTAATTCACCATTGCTGGAAACAGTATAGAAAGTTTTATAATAAATGTCTAGAGGAATATCAAGCTATGCTAAATGGGAATCACAATGAGTTTGAAGATGAACTTTCTGAAACTAATATTGATTTTGATCAAATGTCACAGGATTCTTTAGCACCATGGTTTATAGATCCTCCTTATGAAAGGAAACCTCAATACCGATCTATGAATTTGTCTTACTAAATATAACACTTGAAAATTTTATAGTTGTCTGTTATTTGATTTAAATTTTAATCTAATAATCAGAATTATTATTATTATATATTTTTAATAATTTATTATAAAGAGAACCGATGCTCTTTCTATTTGTTTGTATTTATAAACCCTTAATCTTTAGGATATTATAAAGCAATGGCAATTCAAATGATAAGTTTCGCATTAGCCAAAGATTACACTTAATCAAGTCTTCAATTATTTTGGGAATATTTGAAGCTTCCTCTGAAATCTTGGCATTTTATAAAAGGTGAATTTTCAATACTTCTATTAATAGTGTAATTCATTATTTTTATAGTAGGATTTACAAATTTCATTATTTTCAAACATTATCACTTTTTAGGATTCTGTCAAAATGGTTACATTTTCGTAGGAAGATAAATTCAATTAACTAGATGCGCATTTATATTCAATATTTTTTTAAATACAACGAATGAGGAATGAAATGAATATTCCATCATTAAAATATTTGATTTTCAATATATGCAGATTCCTACCTCAAATATATATTAAAAATATGAAGAAATATTATTCTTTCAGTTAAATTAAGTTGGATGAACATCAAATTCTAACAAAATTGATTATATTATCATAAATATATATAGTTCAATATAATTTATAAATTTATTTGTAATTACAAATTTTCATTCTTTGATATTAGAGGCAAATAATATTTATATTTCAAGTTATCAACTTTTAATTTGCTTTAATTGTTTTTCCACTATTAAAAATATATATTGAAATTAAAAATAAAATATGATATATTATTTTTGCTCATTTAATGACTAACTTTTTGATAAAGAATGATAATAAATAAGTTTAATCAAGAGTATAACAACAGAGAACTCCCATATTTGATGATAAAATTTGAAATTAAGTTATTTACTCAAGCTACTTTAATTTAAAATTATAATAGAGCTTCTGAGTATTAATTGATAATTGAATTCTAAAGAAACATATTACTTATCATCACTTTTCATGATGAGTAGTAATTAATAAAGCAGAGATATGAAACCCAGAATCAAAGAAAGTGGTTTAAGAATTTCTTAATAAAGTTAGAGTTTAAGCTAAAAAAATGGTAAGTTAGAGTATGTTAATAGTTCAGAAATTGTTTAAGAAGGAGTTCAAAATATTTCAATTTGAAATGTAGAGTATTTAATATTTAATTTCATTAGTTCACATAGTTTCATTTAATTAAATTATGGAATAATTAAATGAAAAACTGGTGAGAATCTATATTTACTGTTAATTGAATAATTGCAATTAATTTACAAATAGAAAATAGTATAAATAAATTTACTTCATTCTGTGCTTTTCTCAGCCAGATGAACAAAACTTGTTGTTAACCCAGTACTTAGGAAATATGGAGCTTCTTCACAATTTGTAGAGTTTAAAAACTCAAGAAATGTTTTTCTATTTTTCTCTGCCAAATTGGGTACCTTCATTTCTTCCAAGATATTATCCAATTCTAGTTTAAAAATGTTGATCTAAGACAATATTTGATTGAATTTACTGTAGTATAATCGTTACTTAGAAAATTAATTTATTTTAAATTCGTTTAAGGATTTAAACTTATATGATTTATGATACTTCTGATTAAGCATTCTGCATTGTACTATTTTGGGATAGTAAAATTTAAAGCATTTTATTCAGTAAAAGTGATTTCTGACAAAATATTCTCTTCTGCAACTTGCAAACTAGACATCAACTATACATAGATACCATTTTTCATAAGTTGAATACACTTTTTATAAATCTTTAACCTCGGAATACATCGGTAATTTAGCATGAAGTAGATAAAGATTCTATCTTTCTGTTAAAATAACGTCACCTACATGCACTAGATAGAAGGAAGAATATACTTGCTCTGATCTCATCCCTCTATTTCTTTTTGATATTCTGATCTCTAGATATTTTTTTAAATAAAATACTGTTTAACGATTAACGAATCAGCAGGCTCATATGAACAATTCACTACGATAGACAATTGTAATACCTATATTTAATCCACTAACAAATATATCTCCCTACAAGATCGAACATGTAGTTTAATTGAACTGTCTCCTTATTGTTAAATTGGATTCCCTCAAAGTTAAGGACGATTTCGATTTTTTTGTGCAGGAGCTCAAAGCATCTTTTAAATATAAATAAATGGTACCATTTCCCATTACGAATATATTAATAAATATTATTACATATGCAATTAAATCATCGATGAGTACATAATATTAAAAATAAAGAATGAATAAATTTGTTCTATTTCTGAGCGTTCTTTCCATATCTCTTTGTCTCCAAGCATTAGACGACGAAGCTGATTTAGTCGATAAAAATGAGTTGAATAGATTATTCAATATAAACTACGATGGAAAAGTGTAAGATTCTTAATTAATATTTTAGCTATTCAGGTTACCTTAAGGCAAATACTGAAGGAACAGCCTAGTTTCATTACATGTTTTATCCAGCTCCAGTTGATGCATTAAATAAACCTGTAATTCTTTGGCTGAATGGCGGTCCAGGATGCTCTTCATTACAAGGTGCATTTAATGAGAATGGTCCTTTTGTATTTAAAGCAGGCACTGCAGAATTTGAGATGAATCAGTTTTCTTGGACAAATTTTGTAAAATTCCTTATCTTATAATTAAGGCCAATATGCTCTATATTGAATCTCCAATTACAGTAGGATTTTCATATGGTCCTTAAGGTGACTAGTCTGACGAATCTACAGCAAAATATAACATTAATGCCTTGGTTGACTTTTTTAGTAGATTCACAGAATATAAAAAATTACCATTCTTCATTTCTGGTGAAAGCTATGCTGGAATTTACATCCCAACTCTAGCTAATGAAATCATTGATTATAATGCTGGTTTGGCTGCAGATAGCCGAATTAATTTATAAGGTTTGGCAATAGGAAATGGTTGTACAGACCCAACTGAATGCACTGATGACGCTGATCCATTCCAAATTCATGTTTACAAATTTTACGGAAGACACAATTTTATTAGTGAGGAATTATATGAATAAATATTGACAGTCTAAAATGATTGTTATGGAGTCAAAGATGGATAGTGCAAGGAATTGGCTGATAAAGTAGAAGTTGAAGTTAGTGGAAAAGAATAAGATTAAATTAAATTCAATCCTTATAATATATATGGGTATTGCTTCACCTACACTCCAGAAGGTAGTAAGATGAGTTAGAAATTTGGTGGTATGAGGTCACCAAACGAAGATTCTGATATTCCTCCTTGTGCTGATGTTCAAGGATTATATCATCATTTGAGATCCGCCGAAGTCAGAAATGTATTAATCCTACCTAAAGTTAGCTCCTCAAAATCAGACAATAATCTGCTTAATGGGCTGTCTGTTCAAGAACTTTGGGCAATTATCATGTGAATCCTAAAGGATCTTACTATTTATATCAGAAGATCTTGAAGAATTAAATAAGAATTTTGAAATTCAGCGGTGATGTTGATGCAGTTGTCCCCTTAACAGGAACTATGTATTGGGTTGATAAATTGTAGAAGGAATTATGTATTACTTTCCTTATAAATATGAAGATTTGGCTACTTTGAAACCTTGGAGACCTTGGTTTGTTCATGCTTAGAGAGATGTTGATCCAGATCAAAATGCTGGTTATGTTCTGGATTTGGACGGTCTTACATTGTTAACAATAAGGAATGCAGGTCATATGGTGCCATTGGACAAAAGAGAGGAATCAGAAATCTTTATGTAGAAATTTATAAAAGATGAATTATTCCCTTGAGTTTATAAATTTGTTAGCTTTGTATGAGTGTATAATTCTATAATAATATTTAATATTAATTAATCAATAGTAATGAGGTCAAAATCATTAACAATTATTCTCCAATTGCCAACAATTGTCATCAATTAGATATCGTTAGTAGATTAGTAAAAGAAAAATGCTATAATATGTAAGTCTATAGATTGAATTTTTTGGTTTAAGTATTTTTAAATGTAATTTATTCTTTCTCTTTGTTTATTCTCTCATTTCAGGGTACTCAATGAAAATTGAGAAGTATTTTTCATTTATTGAAGTAGAAGACTAGTAAAAATTGGATACATTTTAAAAGTTTTAGTTATATTTTTTAGAGTGATTAGTTTTTCATTCTATAATAGGCTCTACTAAAGATCTAACTGTATTAAGAAGTCTTGCTATTTATAGTGGAGAGAATCTTTTTATTCCAAATTCATTAATATTCAAATTGATGTATTGCATAAGAAAGCACTTTTTACTTGATAAAAGCTATTTTATATACATTAACCAAGACAGCATAGATATCGGGGAAGTAATATTTTGGTTAATAGTTAAGTCTAATTAAAAAATCAAGTATGCGATCCCAATGAATTTACAAACTATAATCGATTGGAAAGTAAACAGAGAAAATCAAAAATTGGAAGCATTTGCAGTGCGTTGGAAGGGAAAATGGAAGTTCTTTTATGCTGATTAGAATGTATTACTAAGAGTTAAGGAACATATGGATAGAAAAGTGGCGTATAAAAGCATGGATTCTTTCTTTACTATTACGGAAAAAATAGAAGCCACCCAATAAAGTTCTGTAATTAAATATCTTTAATAATTAGATTCTATTAGTATAGAGAAATGAGAATGAATAAATTTTTGTTTGTAAGGAGATGAAGAAACTGAAAAAATATTCCTAATTAGTATAATGTATTATTATTGTAGTTATTTCAAAATGAAGTTGAAGCACTGAAATAATTGTCTCATAAAAATTTGGTAAAGCTTATTGAAGTCTATGAATCTGAAGAATAATATTCGATAGTGATGGAATATCTAAAAGGTGGTTCATTAAATCAGTGTCTTAAGTATTGTAAATTGAAGAATCGTGAGGTAGACGTCATAATACAAGTATAATCCTTATTGTAATCTCATTAGTAAATTATGGAGGGAATTAATTACATTCACTAAAGTGGATTTGTACATAGAGATATGAAACCAGATAATATAGTATTTAATGATTTGGGTTAATTTTCACAATTAAAAATAATTGACTTTGGAATTACAAAAAGGATAGAGGATTTGGAAAAAGAAAAGGATATGAAATTTGGAACTCCTGGATACATGGCACCTGAAATTTTTGATTACAAATAAAAAATAACCGAAAAAGTAGATATTTTTGCTTGTGGTGTTATGCTCTACTAAATGTAAGCATTTTTATAATTGTAGGTTGACTGGGTAAAAATTAATACCTGGAAGTAGTTCAAAATTAATATAGGAAAATAACAAGAACTTTAACTTAAGCAATTAAATATTGTCCAAAATAAAACATCCTGACTTTAGAATTCTTGTTTCATAAATGTTAGAAAAAGATCCAGAAAAAAGAATTAGTGCACTTCAAACTTTAAATTATTTAAATTTGATGAAAATCCCTTCAGTGGCAGTATCGACATCAATTTAGATCCTCCATCATCATGAACCTGTCTAATAATTGCCTAATTTCAAAAAATTGATTGATAAATAATGATATAAAGTTATAATGATTAGTTTAATTAAAACCTCGATATAATGATTTATTAATAGATTTATGGTATAAATTATATACTTTTTAAGTAATCCCAATCAAAGAAATTATTTAAGAAATTAATATATAAAGTTTATTGCATTGGTGCCAATTTTAATTAAATTATGAATTATATTAAATATTATTATATGATGATTATTGTACTAAAATAACATTTTCATGATCTGTAGAGGTTGGGTCTTTTGGCTTTGAACACTGTTCTGAACTTTTTGTGACTAGCTCTTGGAACTGTTTTGACAATTGGGAATTTGATTGAGTCACCCTAAAACTAAATTTTCAAATTTTACTCTGTATTAATTAGTCTTTGCTCTCTTGATATCAGCACTCTTTGTTAATACTGTTGTTCTGAGAATGTGAATTGTTTATGGTTAAGCTCTATGATTTCCAGCCATTTCTTGATCTAAAATATTGTTCAGCTCATATTATTACATAATTAAGAGACTGCTCCATTTAAGGTTGTGTCTCTAAATTCTTTGTACATATTGTGAATGGTTGTTCTTGATTAGTATTTAAGCACAATTCCGTATGTTTTAACGTTTGTGTCTCTTCTTTCAAATAATTCTTATACTGCTAAGATCTATCCATGTGATGGTCTGAGTTTATTCAACCTTCTCAAATTCCACCTAACCATTAACTCATGCTATACCAGAATCTGCTTTTGGCAGCGACTGTGTTTCTTGCAAAGATTCTCATACTAATCACTTTGGGATTTGGATCTTCCTTTGATGGAAGTCTTCTTCCGGAAACCAAATATTATCTGATCTAAACCAATAGCGCTTATTTCAATTACTTTCATTTAGAGTGAATTATCTTATGGGTCTTGTGCTGAGTTTTTAACCATTTTTTTTATATTTTAAAAAAAGATTTAATTTCTCACCCAATTTTCATAAACAATAGAATACAAAACTTTTATTATACTATATATATTCAAAATGAATTATACAATGATTAGTCCAAAAATTCCAAATACCATAACAATATTTATTTTAATCATCTCAAATTTTAAGTTTGTTCTTTATCCAACAACATAAAATAGAAGGTTTTATAAAACAACTATAAATCTTCTGCTATTATCTAATTATACTAATTAAATGAATTAATTCACTTTAAAATTTGAAACTCTTATTTAAATTTGATTAAGGATGCTTAAAATTCCCTTTTTTGTTTTGCTTTTATCTTTTTTATTTTTACCCATAAAGAAATGAATGTTTGTGATAAGATACTAAGTAAGCTATCTAATAATAGTAATATAAATATTATTATTATTTTTATAGAATGGATAATTAAGCATAAGAAGAAATTAATATAGAAGATATTCACAAATAAATTAATGAATAATCTTTTCTTGGAACATTTATCATCTAGGATGTTGAAGATAAATCACAAATTTTACTTTGTGTTTGCGTTGTTTATAACAACAAATACCCTGGATTCTATTTTGAATCAATTTTCAACCATTTTATCAGATTTTCAAATAAAGTGAAATCTTCTTTATGATTATCATATAATGATTAACCAATTTAATGGCATCTTCCTTTTTTGTTCAGATAGATAAAATTAATGAATAAGTAGAAATTTGTGTTCATTTTAAAAAAAGACCAGAAAATGTTTTACCTATTTCATACAACATCTAAGTTGATACCAAGAATTGATATTTTTGGAATCTTTAATAATCTTGCATGATTAGGTATGATGATAAATGGGAAAGACAAATCTTTCAAACTATCACTATAGAACAATAATTTAAAATGTTCCAAACTTATTCTGATCATAATTTCAATCCTCAATTTTATGAATATTTTCACAAAATTTGGTGTCTAAGCAGTCTATAAAAAGAATATTATCTAAGTAATCCAATAAGAATATTTATTGATGGAAATATGATTTAAAGATCCCATGTCTAGAAAGATGTGAAAGAAGCTCTTTTAAATGTCTTATACCCAATTTTAGAGGAAGGTATTATATGATATTTTATTATAGAGTTGAATTACAATGGATTAAAAGTCAATGTATTAGGTCAGATAGCAAATATGGATTTTCCAATAAGATTATTAGTGTCAACCTTTTTCAATCCAGATGGATTTTTTTATATAGTCATAAAAAGATTTTTATTTTTAATAATTTAGATATATAAATTTTAATTTAGATTGATCTTATAAATTTTAATTAATTGCTAAAAAGTATAATAAAATTCTAAAAAATGATTATGTCAATATAAACAACTTAATTATAAGAAGATATTTAAATATATATAAATTAGAGATGTTTATCAATCAACTCAAAATAAGGATGAATAATTCAATTCCTTTTAAGCTAATGTCATTAAAAACTTCAGATTTGGATTGTATTTTACTTCTTATACATTAGGGATAATTTTGTTTTATTTCAATGGAGTAGTGGATCTCTTTCTAGGTTAATTCTCATCCTTTATTTTTTCAGTTGAATATTTAGAACTAATGCGATCAGGTGTTAAGGATCTTGATTATTTTGAATTATAAGCTTCTTTTAAAGTTTGACGAGTTCCATTAATAAAACTTGTATCCTTTTATTATTTCTCTGTTTGTTACTTCAAAAAATAGTTATGATTTTTGGATTATGATTATTTTTAAATTTAATTGTTAATTAGAACTGAGTTCTTATTTAATTTTGGTGTAAATGGTGTTTTTTTTAATTCATCCATTAATAATCTTTACTCATTTATCAATTTGTTTTGATTTGACTTCTGAAACCTTTCTAATACATCATTATCTCTATACTATTTTTTGGCTATCTTTGCGGATAATGGATTAAGACTTGGTTTGAATGTGACTCCTTCTAACTCCTTCTAAATTTTCTCTTATTACTAATTCTATATGTTTTATGTTTTCTTCTCTCTCCAAAAATCAACTTTCTGTAAAAATGAATCTACTGATTTTGAATCACTTTATTTTATTTTAATACTCATCATTTCTTCTAAAAGTTTCAATTTTTCATTTTCTTTAATCTTCTCTTATTTTTCAATTTGCCTGATTTTAGCTCTTTCATATAATGATTAATATTCGCCATTTTGATTTTTTTATTTAAGAATTGATTAGCTCTTCTCATTGACTTTAATAGGTGAATATATTTTATCTTTCCTCTGCTCAATAATTTTATTCTAAGTTCTATGAATGACTTTAAAATACTATTTACTGCTTATATTTATCATTCATTCTTTCCACAAAATGATTGATCTATTCAGATGTCATTTTAGTTTAAGATGTATAGTTAGGTTAAGATGAAACTACAATTGATGCATCTTCTTAATTAATGAGGGTTGGTTTTTTAAACTTTTATTTTTCTAATTTTGGAGGTTCCTCCTTAAGTAACGCATTCAATCTCAAAAGGGCTTAATCAATTTATTGTTAACTTATGTCATTCTAGAAAAATGAATTATTATTATGCATTATTTAACGATAAAATATTATATAGAATTATTCAGCCTAAAATCTTTAAAATACTAGCCCAAGCACTGTCTTTTAATTCCAAAAACTTTTTAATATTTTTCAACTAGTCATTTTCTGTCCTTGTGAGTATTAATGTCACATAAAATTGAGCTACTGACGATTAAATTCCTTAAATATTTACATCAAAAATTATCGTGGTCTTTTAATCAGCATTGATCTTTTTAATCTAGAGGTAGAAATCCTTGTACTCCTCCCCATGAGAATTTGAATCAGAAATGAGAATTTTTTCATTTTAATTCATTTATTTAGAAGACTCTAAAAAGCACTCGTTAGACGTTTTCAAATTGTTATAATTTTTTAACAAAAGAATGGTTTGATTTTGATTTAGAAATAAAACTACCCCGATTGTTAAATTTTATTTATCTTCTAAAATAGCAGCCTTTTATTTTTTTGAATCTTTAAGATTCTTTAGAACATAATCAAACTCTAAAGTTGGTATTAAATCCAAATTATATCTTTGATTCTATTGTAATGTTTAAACAAATGCTTAAGAATAGATGTCTTTATAGTTATTTGATTGAGGAGAAATTATAGATATGAACCTTTTAATATCTACCAACATTTTATAATAATTTTATTCCTTCTATTTTTAATACTCATTGAACTCATCAAAGTCCTATTGCTTATAAAATTCTATAGTTCCATCCCAAAGTTATTTATATGAAGGGTTTTTTTATTTTAGATATTTAATAAGTGCATAAGCCTCTTCAACACTTAGTTTTATAGTCTTTATTTTCTAAATCTTGAAATCCTTTAATTAATTAAAAATGGATGATTTATTTTTATAATGGTCAAAGTAATTGATTATGTAGGCTATTTTATATTTAGTTGTAATATCAAGAATAATGATTGTCTTTTTTACTTTAATAGAGTAGATCCCGACATCAAGTTTGCTTAATTCTTAACACTCTTGAATTTCTTGTATTTTTGTTTATTTATTTTCTCTAGGTGTTAGTCCTGAGAAACCACGACCAAAATTGCCGTATGAAAACTATTGAGGGTATTATTAGGAGGGGTTTATTGCAGTTTCTGTTATAAGATCGCTATAAAATTTCTTAATGAATGCACTTACTGCTAAATACTCCTTACTTATTATGTCTGAGACAGTTCTTCTCATGAAATCTTCGATATTGTATTCTTATTCTTCTGATATAATATCATTTAGATCATAATTTATATACTCTACAAGCTCGGTGTAATCAAAGTTATCTACTTATTCCTCTCTGAAATATTGAGAATTTATGTCTTATTCCATGAAATTTTCATAAAAACCTTGATTAATCTGTTTTATTTATTGGCAAACTCTATTTTGAAAAATCTCTAGAATATCATTTTAAAAGTTTTGATACTATTTACCATTTGGAATAGGTATTCTATTATAAATTAAATAAGTGCAATAATCCTCGTGAAAGATAGATTATAATTATTAGTCGTTGCAATATATTTTAACCCATTTATGCTTAATTATCTTCTTCATGAGTTTTTTATTTTCATTAGGATTAGGCAATAAACTTTCCAATTTATTTTAAAAATTTTTCACTGTAGGGCAAACATCAAATATATATGTTTTATACATATCCATAGACTATCTTATTTTAAATTTTTGTATATGTCTAAGTTGCTAGGCTTTTCTGTATAACCCCTAGACGCGAACAAAATCCTCAATAAATTAATTATTATCTTCCATCCTAATTTTCAATATTAAATTTATATTTATAAAAGTCATATTAATCTTCCTCACATACCGAATTCTATTATCATTTGTACTTGTAGATTGCGTTTGTGAATGAAAAAGAAGGTAAAATAAATATAGATTTATGAATTTGAATTCATCAAAATAATATTTTCATTTATCACCCTGTTTGATAATGGACAAGTTTCTATCATCAAATTCGATCTCATTGAGTTTTGCCTATTCTTATTGTTAAACATCTCTTTAAAATGAAAAAGGTTCTTTCATTTCTTATTCTCTAATAGATTCATAAAAGAAAGCATGTCCTCCACAAATGGTTGGATCCAACCCTTCTAATTCTATAGTATTATTGACTCTAAGCAAACCCATCTTTTCTAGTATTCTACAAGCTGCATAATGCCAAGCAGCAGACCTATGATAAAACTTAAAGAATACCACGCAACAAAGCAAACACAACCGAGCACTTAAACTCCCCATTAATAGGCTCCCTATTCATAATATATTCCTCTCCTTCTATCAAACCATCCTGGACACATGGCCCCCGCTAAGCCACATCCAGCATGAATAGGAATCGCATCTACAGGATCGTCTATATGTAATTTATGTAATATTTTTGCCACCAACACATATATTATTCCTCCTATGATTCCAATTACAAAGGCTGCCCATTACTCAATTTCATCATTAGATCTAAAATCATCAATTGATTGAATACCCTGTTACAGCTACAAGGCCTGCCAAATTTCCATTGCAAACCATCACTAAACTAAACTGATTATCGGTATTTCGATTAGTAAAGTAATGATAGAAGAATACAAACAATCCTCCACTAGCACCACCGACCATAGTGTTAGCAATTGAATTTCCAACTGTAAAAACTGAACCATCAGATAAGGCCAAGGTAGACCCTGAATTGAAACACATCCACGCCATATACAAAGTCAAACAAGACAAACAAATAAAAGTAGTATTGGCTGGTTTAAATTAAGATTCAAACTAGGGATTAAATCTATTTGTTCTAGGCCTAAGCATATAAGTGACAACAAGAGCTCCAATTCCAGCTGTTAGATGGATGGCACCACTTCCAGCGAAATCATGATAACCCAAATCATATAACCATCCTTTAAATGCCCAATGGATACAAATAGGATATATAAAACCAGAGAATAAAGCACTTAGAGCAATATAGCCAGGTATAGACATTCTTTCAGCTGCTCCTCCAGAAACAATACTGTTAGCTGCTGCTGCTAATGCTGCATTAAATATAAAATCAGCATAAGATTCAGGATGATCCTTGAATCTGAATCCTGCAAATCCACTTATTCCATTGAATTATGTGTCATTGGTCTTACCCATCATTAAACCATATCCAACCTAAATTACGATGTTTTCATACAATCCACATCATAATGATACTTATGGCAGTGTTCGCATAAACCTTGATTATGATGCTTTGAATGTTCCTGTATCGTACACACCCTCCCTCTAGAAATGCAAACCCTAACTGCATAATCAAAACGACGGCACTTAATTTAATTCTGCAAATTACCCAGTTAAAGCTGTCCAAAAGTGATCCAAGTCATGCTCATAATGTTAGATCTCCTGTTTTATGTCATAATGAGCTTGGTTGAATTAATCGTTCATCTCAATTAATAATAATGCAATAATGATTACATAATATCATGTATATATAATTAAAGAAATATAAACGATGTAAATACGTCTTAATTATTAGATGCAATCTCTCACAATTGTTTAAGAGGTTCATTAAAGATTTTTGTGACTATTTAAAATCAAAAGTTTAATAATTTGTTTATAGTAAAACAGAAATCAGAGTAGAGAATAGATAATTATTATTTACATATTTCTATGTTTTTGTTCAGATTATCAATGAGAATATTAAAAATAGTATTAATTATTTTTACATTAATATTGAAACATTATAAATATTAAGATTATGAGCACAGTAAAACAAACAAAATAAGTTTCGGATATTTTAAACAAAATACAAGACTTCTATAGAACTCAGAGTTTGAATAAGACAGCAACTAAGAAATTTAACATAAGCAGATAAACTATAAGCAATAAAAATTTATATCTATAATAATTCGAGAAGAAATTGGAGGAAGTTACTGCATTCAATCCCAGAAAATCAATGGTATTATCTAAGTTCAAAGAATATGAGCAATCAAAACAAGAGCAAAATCATAATAAAGATATTGCAACAATCTTAAAAGAAAAATAAAAAATTCCAAAAACTAGAATTTGTCGTCAATACATTAAAACTAAATAATGCAGAATGGGAGCTAATTGTAAATATGCTCACACCATCAAAGAGCTAGATGTAGAATACGCTCCAGTCGCTTGGACGATTCAATTTAATCCTGATCTTTAAGTAAAAAGACCCAATACTATGGGCGAATAAAGATCATACAGAGTTTTATAACCTTTCTAGAAATCGATGTAATGATATTATTATATATACGTTAAATTTTTTATGAAATATCCAAACTCCCATTATTTTGCATAACTGATCGATCAGAAATTATAATTGAAGTAATTATTTTTGTTAAAGTTATATTAAATTTTCCCTAAATTTGGATTAAGTTGTAACATTCGTGTATTAGAATTTATCAAATTCTATTCTTTTAATATTATAGTAAATAGAATTATAATAGCATATTACTATTTAACAAAAGCAAAAATATTAATTTTAATAAAGGTTGACTATCTTAATTCAAGGAGATAATTATATAATTACAATAATAATTACAATAAATTCCAGAAATAATAGCAAAAATAAAAGTGCTTTAATTTATCTATATTACATATTTTAAACAAAGAATCTCAAATACCGTCAAATGTTAAAGGAGCTGTTCTGCCAATTTTCTTACCCCAATTTTGTCTATATATTTTCATACCTGAGGCTTCACTTAATTCTTCAGCTGTAGCATTACTAAAAGAATTCAAGGTATTTATTACTTTGTTACAGCCTACATAAATGCATAAAGTAGAGAATAAGGAACTTAATTTCTAGATCTAACCTTGAAGCTACAATGATGAATTCAAGTCAGCATTAGCATTGATGCAATCTAGGGATTACCATAAGCGTTGAATCCTAATGGTCTTGGGTTTATTTCAATTTCTGCATCATTAAATCTTCCAGTTAGTGGAATAGGACATGTATGCCATAAATCAAGACTTACTGGTACTAAATTTCTCTTGGCATCTATTTTTGCTCTTCGTAATGCAGTTTCAAAATCTTTGCCCTTTCCTTTTCTATATTCAAAATTTAATATGATACCCATATCCTATAACACCATTTCCATTTCCAATAAAAATCACTTGTCTGAAAGAGTTGATTCTTTATAGGGTAGTTACTTAAGTATTAGTGTCTCTATCAATGAGAATAACAAAAAATTGATCCCTGATTTTGAAACCTGAACGATTTACATTTTTTGGGTCTCTACAAATTTATCATTTTGAGGATCTGATTCATCATTCACTTAATTGTTATCGATGATAATTTCATTTTTTAATGCTTTTTTTCTTTTATCAAGAAATGATTGTAATTGTCTGAATTCTTCCTCTCTTATTTAATTGGTTTTGTTCAAAGGAGATGTTGCATAGCGAGTTAAATCTAATATATTTTTATGCTTCTTTTTGTATTCTGTTAAAAATTCATCAAATCCATCATCATATTTGGACGTTCTATGAATTGTATTATAGAGCTTGTCTAAAGTAAATAGCGGGTAGTGATACTTTCTTAGATTTGAGTGGTTAAGAAATCTTATAGATTATGAACATCTTCTATAGATTGTTTTTATTTAATCCTTGAAGAGAGTTTGGTGATCTTGTTTGCAGCCAATTTATTTGAAATAGCATAAGCCATTTTGATTGTGTTTAGATGCATCCTGACAATCATTGATATAAATTTTAATATAAAATCTATATATTATTTATATAAACATTTTCCTTTCTGTTTACTAAATAAACTCATCCTGTTCATGTCAGATGTAAGTAAGCTAAGAACTTATAAATAAAGAACTTCTGTTCAATAGAAGACTTAAAAATTGAATTCTGAAAGGTTAGAAAATTATCAATCATTAATAATAGACGATCTCTGAATACAGATTTGAATAATTATTTACCCAAACAACCTACTTGGACATAAAAGTGTATTAAAAATGCTAAAAGATGTTCAATCAATGATTCCAATGAATAAGACAAGAGAGGATCCATGAGCACTGTAGCAACATTAACAACAATGAGCACTGACTTTTAAGTATAGGATGATGATCCAATAGAAGAAATGAGTTCTTCAAGTGATGAATCTTAGCATAAGATGAAATTCAAAACAGAAATGTGTAAAAATTGGAGTCTTGTTGGTAAATGCAATTATAGTAATAAATGCTAATTTGCTCATGGCGAAAATGAGAAGATGAGTAGACAATCCAATACTAAATACAAGTCTAAATTATGTAGATCTTTTCATTAAGAATATGTTATATCAATTAGTATCATTAGGTATGCTTTTATGGAGCTCGATGTTAATTTATTCATGAGAGCAGAAGCGTAGAACAAATTAAGAGAGACTACAAATCATAAACAGTTTTCTATTAGCCTAGTTCGTTATAATTCAGATTGAAATCTCTTCAATCAATAACAAGTGATTGGAAATAATAAATTCCACTCCAAGAATGCCTCAAATTGTGGATGACAAAATTATTAATTTAAATCAATCTTTCTTCAAGTAGTGAATGAAGATATTTATAGAAATATGATTATTTATTTATTATTAATTATATTGACATAATTTTAACAGAATGATAAGTTATTCTGAAGAACTATCTATGCTAAATATTTAACTTAACTAAATACTAGTATTAATCATACAATTTTATGTTAAAACTAACATTTGAATACTTAAGAATTTAATTCCTATAGAGAAAATAATTTATTAAAATATTGAATCTCTATTATTAATAAATATTTATTTATTCTTGCAAATATATTGGAACTTGTTAATGTTCATCTAATTATTTTGATAATTTCTACTGCAAATCTGCATTTGCTAATGTTTTACATTAATAATTTGATACATCTATAGAAGAGTTAAATATATTAGATTTAAACTGATAATTAGGAGATCTTATATATATATTTTTATGAATCATGCAATCGAATTAAATCATCCAATGGATTTGTTACTTAGTGTTTACAATTTTCTTAATTAAGTGCTGCTTCTTAGTAATTAACAAAAATCTAGATCAGCAACCTACTCTAAAGGATGTCCTTCATCAGGAACTAACTTTAATATTTCAATAGATTACCTACATCAAAATCGTCAACCTAATTAACAGCTAATCTTGACTGCCTTCTGTTATTGGATAGTTAAGATTGAACCTTTAGATCCAGTTCACTTTAGGATCTTAATTCTATGATAGTTCTTAATGAAGGTAATTCTACTTTTTTCTTCTTAACAACATTCAGTTATTTGATTTTACTCTTGATATTCACAAACCAATGATGTTTCATACTATCAGATATGGTAATTCTTTGCTCTATTATTTAAGAAATAAATACTAGGATTGGTGTATAGCAATTTCGATAATAAATCTAATTCACTTAAACTAATGTTTTTTTCAATTGATTTATCAAGTGGAGAGTTGCCCTCAATAGGATTTTAGGAAAATTTCTTTTACAATAATTTCTAGATTTTGGTAGTGTCAATTTCATATTTGTCAAAATGCTTCTCACTTGGTAATTGTGACGGGAATGTCATAAAGTAAAGCAAGACACCAAGACTATATAGATCGGAAGTGATGTTTGGCGGTACTCCATTGTAGAACTCAGGAGCTATGAATCCTTCGATTTGTCTATTCAAAATCCAATCTAATTTATCATTTATTCTGTATTGCTAGAGATAAGAAAAGAGGTGATACCTTGAAGGACAAGTTAATCATAAAGATCTAAAGGAGTTAGTTATTAGAGTTGATGATTATGTTGAGAGGATTTAGATTTCCATGATAAAATTGATGTTTATCTAAGAATTTAAGTAGTTGTAAGATTTAGTAAACAATCTAATTGAATAGAGATGGTAATTACTGAAGCTATTTGAACTTCGTGTAAGGGATTGGTTATTATTAAATTATAAAGGGACTCTCCTTTGAAATGTTCATATAGGATAAATAAATATGAGTCATCTTCATATACTCTCCTTAATTACAACAAGTTTTAATGCTTAATAGATCGGAGCATTTAAATCTCATTATGTACTACTTCTTCTATTTCAGGCCATTATTCAAAATCTTCCATCTTATAAATTTGAACAGTGAATTAAGCATTGTTCTATGTATCGATAATAAAATGCTTACAGATTTCTTATAGCATTGATATACTCCAGGTAACATTCTATCGGTTAATTTGTACTTCCCAAAGAAATCATTTAATTTACAATATTGTTTCATTAATTTATACCAATTTCTATACTGAATGAATTATGGGAAGAATAAGTAAGTGTTTCCCAAATTGTTAGAAATTATTAATCCATAGGTTTTCGCTTCTTTGTATTGAATTAGCTCCTTTTAGATACTGCAATTACTCAGTATCAAATGAGTATGAATTCTATCATGTTAGCATATTAGAATATTAGGATAGATATGAAAGAGTTTCTCAGAGAATTCCTACTTCTATTGATTGTAGGTAAAAACATTCCCAGATTGAAGTTAAGGATAGAGTAAAATCTTTTTCATGTATTCTTCTCCAATTTCTTTAAGATTTGACTTTTCCAAATCTTTTGGAGAAAATTTACCCACTAGATTTAACAACCAACCAACTGAATTCTATTACTAGTGATCAGAGGAATTCATTCTATCTATGTATTAATATAAATTTAAATTATTTATCATTAATTTACATGCAAAATTAAATGAAGCAGGAAAAAACTAAAACTAAACCAAAAGAATAGAGAGAAGAAATCTTACCCATAAATAAAATAATCTAAAAATGCGAATAGACATTGGGTAATTATTATACCTATCAAAAGAGATCACCCAGCTTGAACAGCAGGAATTAAAAAAAATGTTTTCTATTGTTTCTGACAAAATGCATTAAGTTAATTAAAAAATTTTAACTTTTGAAAGAGAAGAAAGACTCTTGAGAAGAGAAAATGATGAATGGGAATTCTACTTGAAGGAGAAATCCTAACTTTTGAAATAGCTCACATTATTAATCGATTTAATTAGTGGCAAAGATCATTCCTTTGAAATTGATATCTCAACTAATCCTGCTTATAAAGAAATTCAGCATTTTTAACCAAAGAAAAAACAGTATGGAGAAGATCTATTAAAAACCATTTAGAACGATGAAACATCAATTATTAAGCTTTAAGCCTAATTATAAGAAATTGAAGAAGATACCAAGCTTCTAAGACAATCAGGGGCTTTTTGGAACTGTGTTCGTTGTAATGTCACATTAAAAGAGGGCTTTAATGAGGAAGTACTTAACTATTTTATATGAGACTTGCATATTTCATCCCGGTAAACTCAAGTATTTTTCTTGCAGAACTTGTGGAGGAGATGAATACTTTACATGCTGTAATTAGTGTAGAGATTGCAATCCAGGTTGTAAAAAAGGCTTGCACAAACCTTGAAACAGTAAATATCTTATTAAGATTTTAATGCTTAAATTTAATAATTAATTTAATTTTCATTTATCTAGTGCCATTTTGTGTCCTTTGATCATTTATTATAGATCATTTATGACTTTTAACTTCTTATCCTTCTGCTATCTCTAGCATTCCTCTTGACTCTTTATCTTTTCTAATTGCTCCTTTTAACATTTTACTTTCTCCAATTCATTTGTAAAAGTTTACTTCATAATATTTTCTTTCTAAATATTAGATTGCAATTACTTCATTATATTGATTTAACAATTTTTTATTTTCGTATCTATTATTCAAATATTTATTTTTGTAATTGTCCTTTATCCTATCTATTTATTCTAATTCTTTTGTTAGTTATTGACTTTGCACTTTTAACTACCGATTATTTTCAGATAATTATGCATTCTCATATTCCAACGTTTTTATCTAATTCTAAAACTCATTAACTTTTGTCAAATTTTACTCTAATTTTAATTATTATTTCTCAATCTATAATTTCTAATCATTTATTGAATTCTTATTCTCTAATTCCTTATTTTACAAAATTCTAAGTTCATTTTCTAATTCATTTATTCTTTATTATGCAGAAAACAACAAGTTCTCTTAATTTTTGTATTGTTATTCTGTTAACTAGAATTCCTTAGAACGATGATTTTCAGTTTCTTCAAATTGTTTCTATGCTCTTTGAAGTGTGAATTCATTTTCTTATTGTAACTAAGTGAATTTTAGTTTGATTTATTCATTCTATTGTCTTTCATATTACAATTCTAATTCAATCTATTTCAGATTTCGCTTTAATTGATCATTTTCTCCTTAAATATTTTATAATTGCTCTTAAGTCTTGGCTAATAGCTGTCTTTCCACTTATAATTCCTTATTAATAACTAATATATATATGTGTTAAAATACATGAGTCAGAATTGATCGGTTTATTGATTGTAACGATAGGTTCAAAATATGGTTGAGATTACTAGAATTGATTTTCAATTTTAGATTCTAAATCTAATATCTTTTTCTTTAATATCAATTCCTTTGATCTTTATTCATTTATTTCTTTCTCCCTATTTTCTACCTTCAGATTAGCTATTCTTAGTTCCTCCTCTTATCTAATTATCTTCTCTCTGATTGAAAATGATTATTCTTACTCTGAAATCATTTAATACTTCATTTAAGTTATCTACTATTCTAATTTTTAAATTTTCGTATTAGCAGTCTACAAATGAGATTTCAATGAAGTTAATTCATATTATTTTTATTCAACATTTCCATCAAGTTCATTCTTTTTTTAATAGATTTACTATGATAATTCCCGATTAGAAATTTATTCTTTGTCTAATTGTAATTTCAATTTCATATTTTCTTCTTTTATTCTATCTGCTTAATCTCTAACTGACTCTAACTCTCTCTGTAATCTTTAGGATATTTCTTACTCTGGAATTTCATACTATCTTTTTTAGTATATCTCATTCTCTATTTGTTACATTTTAAGACTGATTCCTTTATAATCTTCCTTTAACATTTCATTTTCAATTAAAATTTTATCATTCTCCTGTTTTAATCTTTCATAATCATTTAATGGAACAGTGTTCATTTCATGCTACTAATAAGATTTTCCCAATTGGTCTAATTTTGTACTATATTCTGATTACATTATTTTCATTTCTTTGGTTTGAGATTTTAATTCTTTTTTGACTTACTTATTTTCAAGTTATTTATCATAAATAATTTATTATAATTCGTTGATTTCTTCAGTCAAACGTAAATTCTGTTCATAATATTCGGTTAACAACTTTTTGACTTCTTTGCTTCTATAATACAATATCCTATATTCTCTTAATAGTTTTTCTTTAGTTACAGATTCTAATTTAGTTGTTAACATCAAATTCTCTTCTCTGCTCAATTATCCTGCATCGAGTTCTTTTATTTTTTTCTCATTATCCATAAATACTTCATATTTAGATTATGCATAAGTGGGATTCATTTTCAATTTCATAATTTCCTTTGTGTCACTAGAATCTGTCAATGAACTTGATTCCTCACAGGGAGATTCAGTTCTTCGATTTCTAACTTATTTTTTGGAAGACCCAATTGAACGAGACGGACTTGAATTAATTTAATTAATTACCTTGAGCTTCTATCAACAGTGTTCTTTGCAATTCTTGATTCCAAAATTCTAACATTAGGTCTTGAACTATCTCTTTGTTGTTACATTTCCTTTGAGAAGCTTCCCAATTTATTTTCAAAGGTCTTCTTTTTGAATTTTGGGGTGTTTTAAGTTTTTGAAGACTTTAATGGTTTTTTAGCCTTCTTTGAAGATTTACTTCTGCTTTATTCAAGACTCTTTAATTAAGTTCTTGATTGACTATGTGAGCTCTACCCCTTTTTACTTTAACTCTTCTTTGACTTAGTTGATTTTCTGCTTTTATTTTCTGAGACTGGTGTTTTTAGACGATCATCAGCAGTGAAAGTTCTAAGTTTCTTTTTCATTTTTGCTAATTTCTTTCCTATATCAGTCAATTGTGTCAGTGTCTGACTTTTGCCTGTGAATTCATTTTGTTTAACTTCTTCAAATAAACTCTTTTATTCTCCCTCTCTATCCTTAATCCATCGTTTTGAGATATTCAGAGGTGGGTTGCTTACATTTTGTAAGAGACTATTGATTTATTGTAAAAAACGATTATCGCCTTTTCTTTGATGTTTCGAGCTCTAACTCGTCCTTGTTTAAGACATTAATTTTAATTATATTGTTAAAATTTGAATTTTTCAGATTACTAATAAAATTAAACTTATTTTACACATTATTATTTAAACCTATTCTCGCAAAGTAGAGGGCAATTTTAAATTGAAACAGATTCACCACATTGACCCATGCGACACTTATGCTGAATTTATAAATTGAATAATTGTTATTTGAATTGTAAAATTGAGAGATCTATATTAATTGAGTTTTATTAATCATTTAATATTTAATAAACTAAATTTGAATTAATTAACTGATAAATGAGTACGAAGAGAAAAGACATCATAAAACTTATGAAATCGATGAATATAGATCCAACCACATTTTCTGAGGAAGATATAAGATAATTTGAATAAGGCTAAGTGATGATGAGTGACAGTGAATCAGATAGTATGAGGGATTCGGTATCCATAGCTGATATTGAGAATTATCAATAGACTAAACATAACAGAGGGGGGAACACTCATGATACAGTCAATATGAAAAATGTATTATTGTAATCGATCCATTTTTAGAATTATTCATCCGTTGTGGGCATGCAGGAAAAATAAATAGCTTTTCTAAATGCTGAGATCAAAAGGATCCAAGCAGCCAATGACGCTGATAGACAAAGAGTTTTTGCTAATCATCGAATTGAAACAGATAAACTTTTAAGTGAAATCAAATAACTAAAGTCTAAGATGATCTATCAAGAGTCTCAATTACCAGGCATAAGAGAAGCTTTGGCTTAAGTTAGAGATATGCTTGCTGGATTGGTCCCAGAGGCTGTTTATCTGAGGTTGCGAGATATGAATGAGAAGGAAATGCCCATTCAAGATTGGGTATTGGTTTAGGTTTGGGAAATTGTGTATCCATTCAAAAAGGAGGGGGAGTTTTAGAAAAAGGAAATATTGGCTTTAAGGGAAGAACTCAGATAGATAACAGAGAAGCATTAATTCTTATTGAATGATTTGGAACATGGCTAAAAGATGATGGTAGACAGAGAAGAGGATATTAGAAGACATAAATTAAATTATGATAATGCTAGAAAGGCTTTGGAGTTAGAATTAACAAAATCTTAAGAGGAATTAGCCCTGTTGAGAGAGAAGGGAGCAAGATTTGATGAATTAAGTAGGGATTATAAGAGATTGGAGTAAGAGAAGTTTTTATTGGAAGAGAAGGCTGGTTTCTATCAAAATAATTAAGCCGGAGACAAGGCAGGTGATTAATACAAGGCATAGGATGACGCCAAGAGGAAGGGAGACCTTTTGCAATAAGACAAGGAATATTTGACTAAGGAGAATATTTAACTTTTGGAGAAGGTTAAGAGATTGGAGGACAAATTAGATAGGACAGAGAAGGAGTATTTGGAAGCAAAAAACTAAGCTTAAGAATATCTATTTTAATTACTCAATTCTAAAACAGATTAGACTCAGGCTTATGAAAAAAGAATTTACTCAGAAATTGCAGATCTTAAAGAGAAGCATCATCATGAATTGGAAATTGCCAAATAGAATTTAGTTGATATTTATGAGACTCAAATCAAATTCTTGAAGGATGCAAAGGAGGAAATTTAACTTCGAAAAGATAATCTAGAAGGGCAAGTGAAGGAAAAATCAACTTTATATGATCATTTGCTAATTGATTATAGAAACTTATAAAGAAAATTAGATGGGGACTTATCTGAATAGAGAATTCAATTAAGATTGAAGGTGGAAGAGTTGGATAGAGTATAGAATATCTATGAAGATACTTTGGCCAATCTTAAAGCTACAAAGCATGAAAATGAAATGTTAAGGGAGAAGATCAACGTGTTGAAGGCAGAGTATTATAAGTGTTAGGTAGAGGCTAAGGAATAGATGAGCAGCATAAATGCTTAATTGCAAGTTGCAAAAGAACAATTAACTAATTATGAAGGAATTGAAAAAGAAATTGATGATGCCATAATGAAATCAGCAGGCAATGAATATGATGCAATGAATCCTTTATTGGGATTCATGGGCACTGTACCTACATCTTCAAAAAGAAGGATTCAACAGGCATTAAATCTCGCTTAGAGATTGCAAGCAAAATAAAGAGAATCAGAGGAATTGCAAAGACAATTAAGAGATAAGTCATAAGAGATTGAGAGACTATAGGAAGAGACCAAATTATAAAGAGATGTACTTGACAAAACACATTAACCGTAAATATTCATTAAATATCTTTTATTTTAGTCATTCCTATCTCGTAGCCCATATTGAGGAAAAGGATAGAGAAATTTTGAAATATAAATCCCTTTTAAAGAAAATGGATTAGGATTATTAGATCCTAAAAGCAGAAAACGATGATGTAGCCAATGTAATTATTAGTGTATAAATTTAATAGAGATTCATGCGAGCTGAAGAGGATCTATAGAGATTGAGAATTAAAAGACAGAACCTACAAAACATTTAGAACATTTTGATTGGTATTGCCACTGGTAGTTAGAATGATATGAGATAAAATCTGAGAAGTGCCATAAATGAGATGTCGGAAGCCTTAAATACAAAGACATATATTGATCCTCAAAGTGCGATCTAAAAAAAGGGTATGAATTTGCATTAATTGCAAGGTGGAATTCAAAGTAGTTAATAAAAATAGGAAGATGGTCCTTCTTGGTATTCAAAATTGAAACAAAAACAGAATAAATGACATCATATTTAGTACTACATAATTAAGAGGATAATAAATATAATAATAATTAAATATTAATATTAACTTTTGGTGATTGTGTATGAGAGATAAAGCGATGGTTGGTTATTTCTATAGTAGTCAATTAGCATTGATCTCTAAGATTAATTGTGTTTCTCTGAGTAGATTGTTCTAAAGGAATGAAACATCTATGTGAATAGAACACAAACAAACATATTATATGATATTGAATATCTGCTCTGAAACTATTAAAGATGATTATATTTAATTTATAAAAGATATATAATGAATTAAGAAGAAGGAGAAGTCAACTAACTTGAACAACATGAGAAAGTAGTCAAGTATATCGTAAAGAATACACCATTTGGATAAGCTAATTTAGTGATTAAGGATTTGTGTAAAATCATTGGGAATATTAATCCATAGCATTCTATTATGCTACAAGCATTGAGGGATCATAATGAGGAACACTTGGCTTTGTTTAAAGGCTAAAGCACTTAAGTAAGTGTCTCTGATGACATCAATAGATCCTTACAAGCGTTCTGAATTCTTAAGAGGACTTTTATGTAGATTAGAAAAACAATGAGACAATTTAAGTGGATCATGAAAAATTAGAAGTCATATCCAGATCCTAAGTTGAGTTACCTTCAGATCCTGAATTGAATCAACTTAGAGATGCCCTTGAATAATAACTCAATCTTTATTTGACTTAGCAATTTAATGAGAAAGTTTGTGGAGCTTATGGTATAATTTAAATACATGAAATTAGTTATGTATCAAGGTGACGCTTCAGATTTTACATTCTATATTGGAATTACTGCAAAAACAATTAACTTGCCAAACTTTTTGTAAATTAATGCATAATATAATAGCTGTGGAAGTTGGATCTCAACCTGGGAATTCACAAAAACACAATTGAAAGGTGATTTGAAAGTGCAAGCACATTATTATGAAGATGGAAATGTGTAATTAAAAAATGTAAATACCTTCTCAGAAGGAATCAATGTAGATTTGTCTACTGCAAGCGAGAGTGCCAAATAGATTATTCACACAATCACTAGATTAGAGAATAGACATTTAGCAGGAATGGATAATTTATATAATTCCATGCCAGACATATTCTTTAAAGCAATGAGAAGACCCCTACCAATTACAGGTACAAAGATGAATTGGAATGAAAATGTTCACAAACTAGTAGCAAATTTGAAGTAATGAAATTACAATAAAATATTAATCAATAAATTCATGATAAATTTGAACTCTATCATTTTTGGAGTAAGATATTACTCAAAAACTTTATATATCTTTAATAGTCATTCCTCTGATAAAATTGAAAGTATTATAAAAATAATTAAGAAGGTTTGACCACTTATTTTAAAACACATTTGATTATATCATTCCTGTTACATTTGTTCATTGCTAAACCCATTTTTTTAAAGTAAACTCAAAACTTCTTTTTCATTATAGGTTTTACTCTTGACTTCTTTTCCTTATTAACTGATAACGACAATCTCTATTTTAGAAGGCTAAGGAGACGATGTATCCATAGTTTTCACGAGTGCTTTTATTGCGATATCTAATCCCTAAAAAACTCTTATATTATAGTACTTATTCTAAGGTTAAATTTTCTTTGTAATCTTGCTTTAAATAGCTATTAGCTGCTAAATTATTCTTTCCAATTGCAGTGGCCTTCCACCCAGCATAATTACCTGATGGATCAGTGCTAAATAATTGAAAACCATTTTTTTTATCATAACCAGCAAATAGGAATGCTGTTCCGAAAGGTCTCTACCCACCTACTTAGGTTTTATTCTGTTTGTAATCGCATATGTTTATTATCAATTATTCTAAGGCAATGTTATCTTAAAACTAATATCTAGGATTTGATTCACAATTTACCTATGATTGGCAGCAGCTTCTCTAGCATAATTAATCAAAATGTTTGCATCAGCTGTATGACCTGAAACAACTGAGAAGATGTGTCTATCGATTGGATAGATTTTCTCAGAATGTTTTGAATGTTCTAAGAGATGTGATACTTCTTGTTTTTCTGTAGCCAAAATCATTCCCTCATTAGTTAGTACTCCAAGTGCTGAGCCTGTTTGATTAATTGCCTCGATTGCATATTCCACTTATTTCAATCTGCCATCTGGAGTGAAGGTATTAGTTTTTTAGTCGTATCTCCTTGACATTGTATTTAATTTAAATTAATGTATACTGGTGTTCAAATAAAATTAAGGTAATAATAATCATAAAATCATGTGCTCCACAACATGTTATTACATTACAAACATTTCATATAATCCCAATTCTAACATCAATTCTCTTGTATTATTAATAATGTGCAAAATTTGGTTTTCATGATTAGGCTACAAATATTGCAATCCGTTGATTATTTTAATCAAAATGCTCTATGATTATTCAATGTAATAATTACTCCTAAAGATAAAGATATTAAACCAGCTAGATGTTCATAATCTGGATTATATTAATTGATTGATTATCTCCCTTTTTCTATTTTTCGGATCAATACACTCATTTATTCCACAAACTTCAAATGCTGAACACAAATATTTTATTCAATAAAGTATTAAATTATCGAATACGCCTTCAATAATGATTTGTGAGAGTTCTTCTTCTCAATTTTACTTGTGACTCTATCTAATTTATTCAAAATTACAAGGTCAACATTCTACCTTAATGCTTAATATTTCAAGTTAAATTTATCAAGCAAATAATTCAAACATTTGGCTGTCTTCACTTGAAGTTCGATTTAGAATTTTAAGTTGATTTCAATTATCTTGGCAGTCAAAAATTTAACTAAGATTTTTATGATCTAATGCAACTATTATGTATTATTATGGCAGATACTTAAAACTCCAGATTTATCTAATTGTTCATTATCAGTCGACTCAAGCATTCAATTATCACACATCTATGTTTGTAATAAAACAGTTAAACTTAATCCTACTAACTATATAAATATTGGACTATGAATGGAACGATTTAAGCCACGTCTTTGTAGCTCTCCAAATCAGAAAGCACTAAATCATGAAATGAAGATTTACATTAAACAAATTCTTGTGAGAAATTAAATTTTAGACTTATTACTTCTTTTTCAAATAAATCCTTAAAGTTCTTCACAATGCTTTATTGATGAACTGTCAATATGCTTATTACGTTATCCTTAATAATATTGAAGGACTTTTTGTTTTCCATGCTTTGGAATGACTCCGTTTATATGATGTCCTTGTATTGCACTGATATTAAATGAGGGGAATTTACTTATGGATTGAGTCTCCTACGAATTGATCATCTAATAATCTTTCATCACATTGAATATGGAAAGAGAGGGAAATCCGAGAGGGATTTTAACTGTCCTCATCTAATGCGAAATTAGATCTCTTAGATCCAAGCTCTTGAATATTGAGATTCCATACCTGATCATTGAGCACATACTCATCCATCCTTTTGCACAAATTAATACTATCCATATATTAAAATCCAAAGATTTCAGACTAAAATCATTTTACGTCAGAGTACCTTCTGCATATTTTGATCCTTGATAGCCAATTCAATGTCTTGGGAATTAAGTTATTTTTTTCTGAAGTGTCTTTGATATTTTATTGCCTCCTAATCATCATAACAATATTCACTTGAATGATCTTCCTCACATTCTATTCAACCAATATGAATAAATGTAACTCCGCCCCCTACTCTATAGTTTTACCCTGAAGAAGCCCTTTTAATATGCTTTCATCTCGATACACAGACATTGAAGAAAACACAAATTTTGTCAATTTGATATTTACATTAAAAAAGATATTGAAATAACTTCTACAACCCCGCCTGAAAAGATTAGTATTGATCATTTTTTCCCTCTTTTTGGACTCAAATCTCTTCCCCCAAAGAATGAAGCATCCCTTTAAGTAGTGATCTCCGGGGTTCTGCCCCTTTCCTATTAGGATCGACCAATTAAATTTCCCATTCCAATTGTGCGATCTCACAACTTGTATATATCAATAATTCCCTGTCAAACAATGCTTAGGACCCTACATATTACTCATATGTCCAGCATTCGATGAAGCCTGTATACATTCCTCAGAGTTAATACTAAATGCGCAGAATACATGTTTGAGATTGCTATTACAACTGAGACAGGTGTGCGTATATATGTTTTGCACCTAAGACAATTGAGAATCTGCATTGTTAAGCTGTTTAAAGAATAAATAAATGGTTATAGGTATTAACTCACTAGATGTTCTTATTGATTCAATATATAACTTATTCAGATATTATTATTTATATGTTTTTACCGTTGCTTTATACACTCCTAACTCAATCGAACCATTTAAGGATAATAAAGTCAATAAAAACTATTACAGAGAGGGGAATCGCAGTTTTATTATTTTCTTATTACTAGTGAGAGTAGCAAATTATTATAATTGAGACATTTATTAGTAAAATAATTGCACTATTTAATACAAAAAATCAATCCTCTTTTTGCAGTAGACAATTCAAACATATGTCGAAGTCACAGATTTAACATCTATGTGCTTAATTTTAAATTGTTTCACTGCAATAATCGCACACGTGATGAGGTACAATGCTCAATTTCATTCTTTAAAATAGTAATTAAGAGTTTACGGATGGCCTGCTCCACACATAATTCCAAACAATGGTGGAGGCATGCATTGCAAACAGAATGCTTCTTAGCATTACTAGCACCAATAACGAGATCTGCAATTTTTAATCTTACATTCTGCACATGGATGACCACTACTTGATTTCCAGGTTAATTCATGGCCATTCTTATTGCAATAATAGGTCGGAGGTGGGAAGTATTCTGGATTAGTTTATTGTTGAGAATTCATAACTATTTAAATAAATGAATTCGAATTATTAAACATATTTATTTATTATTGTACTATTCATAATAATATCAATCCTTGGGCTTCTTCTTGATTCTTAATTAGTTTGAATGTCCGCACTTTCTCTTTCTGCAATTGTGAGCCTTTGGTGGTAATCTATTAAATTTTATTTAATTTTATACCTGGCATAGCAAACTCTGCATATTTTTTTTTCAACGTTGTACTTTTTGGCAATAGCAGCAATGGTTGGCTCCATACCACCTCCTCTGAGTCTCAATACCAAATGGAGAGTTGATTCCTTTTGGATGTTATAATCTGAAAGAGTTCTTCCATCTTCCAATTGCTTTCCAGCGAAAATTAATCTTTATTGATCGGGAGGGATTCCTTCCTTGTCCTAGATCTTTGCCTTAACAGCATCGATAGTGTCAGATGGCTCAACATCGAGTGTGATGGTCTTACCCGTGAGGGTCTTAACAAAAATTTACATATTATTTTAAATTTTTAAAAAATCTTTAATAAATTATTTTATATTCTAACATTTAACATAATTTAAAAGGCAACATTTACTCATTTTAATAGAAGAATAAAATTGCAATTATATTTCTATTATGCATCAAATTTACATCATTTTCTTATATTTATCCAAAAATTCGCATTGATGAGTGAAGAATACTTCCTTATTAGTTTCTAACAACTTCAGAGCTCCCTCCAGACTAAACCATAAACTTTGGATGTTAAATCCATCCTTTAAGATTTGAATTTCTTTCTAAGTTTTATGGCATTTTATAGGTAGAGTCTTAACAAAATCTTCCAAATTTCTATGGCTTTCTTCATAAAAATTTTTAGTGCTATTACTATATATTTAATAAATACTCTTCCTTTATTTTATCGAATTTATCTTCATAAACTAATCTAAGAATATCATCTGTGATTTCTATATTTATGGGATCAGTAAACGCTTATTTTTTTTAGGATTCCTAAATAAACTAAACTCCATATAGTGTTGAATAAAATGGATCAAATATTCCATTAATAAAACAATTGGTTTCTATTATTTTCTTTAACTATTCCTGTAAAACACTAAATGTTTGATTATCAGGCAGTTTCAGTTCAACTTTTTTTTATTTCCCTATTATCTCTCCAGATAGTTAACAATATGTTAGTCCATCATATATGAGGTTTATATTTTTTTCCATTAACGGTTAAATCAAATTACTTATTTCCTGAGAAGTCTTGTTTATAGTTGGATTATTAATAAATTCGACGACAGCATTTAGTTCTGACATGTAATAGAAATTGAATTAATTAATATAATGTTTTATTTCAATAATATATTGATTATTAAATTCCCTTTGTGACTTTATTCATCCAATTAAATTTTTTCAGCTCTTTGTTCTTACCACTTCCATCTTCCTTTCCAGGCCAATAAGCAATTAAATTATATTAGGGAGGTAACTTAGCCTCAGACTTATTCCTGGTAACTGGCTTACTTGGATTTCCCTTGACTAACAATTTATCATACCCAATATTTAATTTTGGCTGGCTCTATTTTTTTTTTATCATAAAGCAATTCTAAGGATCTACCAAAAGTATTATAATCAACAGGATATGGCTTATATTTAGTACAATCTGGTTTAGGATAATTTTTAATCATTTCCAACTTAAACTTGTCAAAATCTTTGTGTTTAGCAATCATAACCTTGGGATTTGTATTGTTATGTTTTAATTTGGGTAAAATTGGCTATATTTATTAAAATATATTGAATACATGAGGATTATAGCTGCCTGGACCTGCAGGTAAAACAGCTCCTAAGTGTTAATAATCTTAAACAAAGTCTGGTTTATCTCCATATTGAATTTTAGATTTGCCATTCCACTTTTTAGCCTGATTCTCAATTGATCTATTTTCATCATACTTTCCAGGACCAGGTTTAGGGTAGTTTTGTTTACTGTTCTAAAGGAAAATGTCATCTATAAATGTATTTCTCTTTAACAATTCACTTTTTGATCTATATAATGGGTTGAGTAGGCATTTTACCTTTTCCTCTCCTTGTCTTTCTCATTTACCCACTTGTATTCAACATTATATTAAACAGGGACCTTACGATTTCTAAATGGTTTGGCTATGTCATCCAAGAAATGGCCTCTTTTTGTAATTGTGGGAGGTTTCTTTAATTTGCCTGCAAAGAACTCTCTTTCTTAGGCTTACTTGAGAGGGTCACAATACTTCTTGGGGACTTCATATCCTTCGATACCCCAAGCCCCTGTTTCACCTCTCACAACACTATACATTTATTCAATAGTCATCACTAGATTAATTCATAAGTTACATGAGGGAGCTGATCGACTTGTATGCATTATATTATAATTAATTAATATTTTAACGAATGTCCTAGCAATTTTAAGGGAGGTCCTCTCACGGATAATTGGAAAGGAAATTTGAACCAGCAGTTGAGAATCCCAAACCTACCTAGCAGATTAGAGATATCCATGTGACAGGGGTAAATCGAGATTCTTCAAAAACCATACATTATCCAAAATAACCTAAGGTAATCCACTTGAGTTTCATTTAGCAGATATAAATAATCAAGGTTCCTTAAAGATGTGGAAGTAACCAAACTGTGTGTTCGGTTTAGGGATTTAGTACATTAACATATGATGATATTAGACCAAAAGAAAAAGAAGAGAGTGTAATTAATAAAATTATGAGACTCTTTACTCGAGAAGTTGATCCTTGTAAATGCTTACCTTATTAAAATAACACTTGCATCAAGGCTAAAGAATGGTTAGGCAATTATGATGCTGATAAATTAAAGACTAAATACTCTAATTTATTGGAAAGCAAATGCGAACCAAAGATCATTAAACAAATAAATCTTGATGTTGAAAGAACACATCCTCTGAAGAATTACCCCCAAAAATTATAAGATTTATAATAGGTTTTGATTGCGTATTCCAAATACAACAAAATTGTTGGGTACATGCAAGGAATGAACTTTGTTGCTGCTGGGTTAATATATCATGCTGATAATTATGTGGCTTTTGAATTACTCAGAAAACTGATTGATTTACTGTAAATGAACGATCTATATTCCCCAATGTAAGTTAATATAATAGTAGGTCTCCTGGTTTATCGAAGCATATCTAATTGATTGATTATCTAATCCTAACCAAAATGCCAGATTTATATTCACATTTTTGCATCAACGGAGTCAAAGTCGACATGTTTTGTGCCTCATGGTTGTTTTCCTTATTTGGGATGATGATCCCCATCCAGAAACAAGTGAAATTGTTCGATTGTATCTTCAGGTATGGTTGGACATACATCTATCAATTGATTATTGGTTTTCTTCTTTATCATTAAGAGATTTTGATGAGTGAAGATATGACTGGAATTATATGCATATTGAGCCAATAAAATTATAGAATTGATGACAATGACCTTGAAGTAGATTGGGATGAGTTGCTTGTAAGCTTTCTCATAAATGTTAAAATTAGTAAGACCTTTATACAGGAGATGCATATGAAATTTGATAGCAAGATTTAGACATTTAAATTATGAGAAATCACTAGATTCTAAACTAATAAAATATTATGTATATTTATTAAAATAATATACAAATTATATATGAACAGCATTTAAGTAACTGAGTTCTCAAACCGTGTTTTTGATCGTTATGATAAAAATCGTTCAGGATATATCGAAAAAGATGAATTAGATACATTGTTGAATAATCTGGCATTGGAATTAAATTCTTAGGTTTGTATTGTAAAATAAATTAGTAACCCACAAAAAAGGAAATTGATTATATGTTATCCTATTTGGATACAAATAATGACAGTAAAGTGAGCAGAACAGAATTTTAGAGATTGGGGGAATTGATGGTTAAAGTTTTAGGAAACAAATGATTTTATATTAAATAAATGTCAAATTAAATTATTATAATAACTCTCTTAATTGTCCAGCAAATCAGGGTGTTGGTTGGAAACAAGTTCAATAATATTTGTTTTTAATAAATAATTGCGTTTGAATAATAAACAAATTTATTTAATTTTTATGTCTAGTCAAGAATAAGAAATAGACAAAGAATTAGATTAAGAACAGGAAAATGGGTGCGATTAAGAAGATTAAGAGGAACAAGATAGAACCTTATCTGGAAAAAAGAAATAAACTAAAAAATATGAGTATTTAATAATAAAATTATTATAGACGAATTACTGAAGGTCTTAGCAATAGGAAGCCAGGATAAAAATTCACACCGGAAGAGGATAGATTGATTTTAGAATTGGTTCAGAGTATTGGGCCAAAATTCTAAAAAATTCATAAACATTTCCCTGGCAAAACTTTGGCCATGGTGAAGAACCGATATTATAAATATTTAAGATATAGGTGGGAAGTGCTTGATCAATAAAATAATATAACTGAATAAAACAAAGAAACAAACAAGCAAAACCACCATTCTAATGAATCCTATGAAATATTATGTGAAAAATAAAAAAAAATCAGCAGCCTATTGCATTAGGAGAGAAATGACCTTGTAAATTCAATCGCACAACGCGCTTCGACTCCTAATGCAAAGATATTTGTGGAATATTTAATAGATTAAATGTTATGATAGATAATTGTGTAGTTTGTATAAAATATATTTAAAAAAATAGAAAATGAAAACTCAATATTTACTTAAATATTATTCAAATCTTTTTCTGACATGTTCATAAAATTGAGGCTATTCTTGAATTGCCTTTTCCCATTGAGTTCCTTTGATGTTCTAAGCCAACTTGCAAAATCTTTCATACATAAATTTCCCTATTTTTTTCATTAGAAAATTCATGACTGTTTAAGGAATAAACTTCATTTTAGGATCTAAATTCGCAACGCTTTTCATAACAAACTCTCCTGCATTAATGAGCGTGACTTCAACAGCAAAGAAATTGATTTCTACTTACACACAATTAACTTAGGTAGTATTAATTTAATGCAATGCCTGATATTCTTTATCATGATGGATTGTCTAACAACATATCAAAAATGATTTTGATTGTTCTAATTTATCTACTCCGTATCCTCTAATATAAGCTTCTCTATTAGATAAAACTGGAAGATCCATCATGATATAGCAAATTTTATGACCTAAACCAGGTGTTTTAAGCTATTATTGAATTAGATTTTACTCCTTTGCTAACTTTGCAAAATGGCACCCAATTATTGAAAAGTTCTGTTTGATATATTAAAGCACAAGCATTAATTATGGGTAATTTCATTACAGATTCGAATTTCAATGCAACATTTGTTGAATTTGGAATGAACTTATAACTCATCTAAAAGCTTAATTCAAATCTATAAATACTATTGAGTATTGCAATCATGAATCCAGTCTTTATTATCTGATAATTACTATTTCAAAAATGTGGCTTCTTTATGAAAGGTTTGAATTTCGTGAAATAAATCTTTGTTGATTGGAAAGTTGTCTTTATCTTAATTGTGTCTTGTCATATAAAATTACACAATCTCATAAGCCTGTCTATTTCATAAATTTTTACTTTGTCTAAAAGCATTAGATTATGGCATTGAGAGATTTATAGCATCAACTCAGATGAATTGGATGGTAAATCATATTAAACTTGATCACTTTATTACATATAAATAAATTAATTATAATGGAATAATCAGAGCCAATCCCAGAAGATCCTAAAATGCTACTATTGACAATGGAATTGAATAAAATGGCATATGAGAGATAAATTATCAAATCCAAAGATGAAATTTAGAAGAATTATAATAATTCTAATAAAGATAATCAATACATTAAAGAATAAGAAAAATAAATAAAACAGCTTAAAGAAGCCCTGAATCAAAAGGATTCAATCTTAGAATAGCGAGTTCAAGAACTGAACCAAGAAAAACAAAAAAATCAACAACTCTAAAAATAAATTGATAGTATTTCCATTTAAATTTAATCGAAAAAAGAACATAAATATTAGTTATTAATAGATCAAAAATTGATTCAATAGTTATCGTAGTAAAAATAACAAACCTAAAATTGTCAAGTCTCACCCCTATTGTCGACAGTTAAACAAAAAGGAAACCCAAACTATATATAAAATCCAAATTAGCTACCGTAATAGCCTCCCTTAATTTAATAATAATATTAATCGTATTCATACCAATAACAATAACAATAATACAAACCTTCATTGTCTAAGCATATAAGTAATCAATAGTAGTAGGTTTATTAGCCTCAATAACACTAATATCTGTAATAGTAATAACCTATGTATTCAAATATATAAAAAATTTATTATGGAAGAAATTGAATATATCTATTTTTATTATATTAATATTAAAATAAAATTTATTATTTCATTAAATGGAAGCACTTGATAATGAGAGATGGGTTGATCTTTAAGCCTAAGTGGATCACCAAAACCAGATAATTAAAAGTAATCTTATAAACAAATATAAAAGCCTAATAGGAAGATATCAATCAATACAAATAAATCATATCAAGTTACAAGACATAAATTGGACAAATTGAGAATAAAATGAATTCATTTTCTTAAGCAGAAGTATTGTTAAGAGATGCAAATCATAGAAATGATATCTTGATAGCAGAAATCGAGAGATTAAATGTTATCGTTTTTCAATAAGGAAATGAAGTTGAGGAATGGAAAAACAAAGCACAACGCTTAGATTTAGCCCTACAAGAATACAAATAATTCGAACTAAGCAATAGAGACATGGTTCTCAAGGCAACTAGATTGGCAGAAGAAGTAGAAAGATTGAAAGATTTATTAACAAAAAAATAGCTAGACTACTAGCAACTTCAAATTGAGCTCAATTAAGCTCTACAAGACTTAGAAGACGAAAGAAATAAGGTTAAATTGCTTGAAGACAGACTAGCTGAGTTGGAATCAGAAACTCCAACAGAAAAAGCACTCAAACAAATTCTAATTCAAAAAACAGAAATAATAAGATTGTAATAGGTGATTCAAAGTTTGAATAATAAAATTTAATACTTACAATAAGAAATAGATGAATTAAACATTAAATACAATAATCAATTAAGAGCTAATGATGATTTGAGAACGTCAGCTGAAGCAAATGAGAAAAAGGCAAAGAAAGCTGAGCTTGATCTTTAGAAAGCTTTGGAGGAAATAGAAAAATTGAAAAAATAATTATCTGATGTCAAACCAGTAGTATAAACAGTGCCATAAGGAGTTGATCAATAAAAGGTTGATTAGATGTAAGATTTAATTTATAGTCTTTAAAAATAATTAAGAGAAACAGAGGATAATTTATAAGATGCACTCAATAAACTTAGAGATGCTGAAAACAGAATTAAATAATTAGAAAGATAACTCAAGGACTTAGAATTATAAAATTAAATGGCACAAGATAGATTAAAAGCTTAATAATTGTTATAATCCTAAATGAACAATAATAATAACAATGTTAAATAATAACCATATCCTACAGATATTATAGCTGATTATGAAAGATAAATTCAAGAATTATTGAGGGAATTAGAGAAACTCAGAAATGCTAAACCTTTTGATGACAGAATGTTAAGAAGACAAATCTAAGATTTGTAATCATTAATAGTTCTTATGTGTGCTGAAATTGAAGCTCTAAGAGCTAAAATTAGATGAGTATAATATAAGAAAAAATAATTATAAAGAAATTACTTATAATTTACTTTTTATATTTAATTTTATACATGTTGGCTTTATTAATTTCAATACATATTTACATCCTCTAGTTTTAAATAATCTAAATAATAAAATTTATTGAAAATTAATTTTATATTTTAATAATTTACTTTAATGTAGTGATTTCTATGATGAAAACAAGAAGTAATTTAATGTATTTGCTATTATATAGAACCTCCCTTCAATCAGTACAAAACTAAATGCTAAAAAAATATAGCACCAATCATAAAATCTTTTGAATATAAGAATTCACTTAACGAATAACCAAAAAATAGAAAGATAAACTGTCTAATATTTACTCAATCAATGATGTAATTATGTAGAATCCCTATAAATAATAATGGGAATATTAATAAGTATAGAATTCTCAATATAAATTACTGGAATTGTTAAAACCTATTAAATTTAAGAAGTCCAAGAAAAAATACAATTTTAGATAGTGAAAGCTATATAAACAATTAATAGAAACTACCTAATTTGTCTTTAAGTATAAATACTAATATTAAGACTTGTAATTCATATAGAATTTAAGCAAGATAATCATTTTAGGATATAATTAAATGCAAAATATGCTTCACATATATTGAATATGATAACTTTTAATTACATTGCAAGCACAGCTTCCATAAAGATTGTTTGAAAGATTAACTTTACTAATAAATTAATTAAGGATAATCCCATATAAATGTATTAGTTGCAACGAAGAATACAAAACTATTAGTTGAGAAATCTATTAAACAAGAGTATGATTGAATTATACTACTTATATTAAATTAACTTCATATTTTCAAGATATCGCAATTCAGTAAAATTTGAGAGATGTAAAAAATGTTTCTTTTTTTTGGATTAAATTACCTTTATCAAATAATTATGAACCCTATTGTCATATTTGTGAATCAAATAAATGATTTCAATTTATAAAATACTATTTAGAATATGAGATACATAAAATATTCAATTTTGAACAATTAATCTCTAAAATGAGAAATCCTGAGATTTCCTCTATATCTATTAAATTAAAAATTGATTTCAACACAATATGACTTCTTTTTTATATAAATATTTTAAAATCAAATTTTAATTAAAAATTAAAACAATATCGTGTTTTTCTTTATTTCAAAGGGAATTAAGATGACTTAATTTATATCAAGATAGAACTATTAAATTAATGTCCATGATGTTTGATTAAAGAGTTTATGGAGAGGGATATCTATTATAGAATCAAGAATGCCTCCAATTAATTATTTTATACAGGATAATTGCCTTTATTTGGTTGTTATTACTATATAAAATTTATTGGTTAAAAGATAAATATTGTCTCAATTCTTCTTAACTCCCTATTGTTATTGTTATTATTATTAAGGTTTTCTGTATGGTTTGAATTGCTTTGGCATTCTATGTGGCATAACTGTTTCCCAACCCTTATTTTATTCATAAAACTATTACATCATCTTCCTCGTCCTTCTTTTTATAGTTCTTCTATCCATCACTTCTATTGAATTGTTTTCCATCATGCTCTACAATTTAAATGAAGTGTACCTTTTCTATTATAATGATCTTTATTCTTCTAAGGAGCATCAACAAATTTGCTGCCTGTTGAGGGTAATGGATTTTGCTTATTCACATTATCTGGTATTTTCTATGAGGACTTTTAAAACCTAGGTGGGAATTTGATCCAAAAGCCTCTGTCTTTAATTTTCTGATGATAGGAGATGGGTTTATACAGTTTCCTTGGTTGTGAACAGGAATTCTTTGGCTTATTCCTTATTCTTGAAGAGCAAGCTAAAACTTCCTGGATTGTAATTTTCAACTTTGAGGAATTCGAAGTTAGGGAAAGCTAGTTTCACTTCTTCAATGGTAGCATCAAAATGGCATTTCACTATGTTGAGTAGAATTTCCTCATCAGGACATTCATCAATTAATCTCTCAATCTCTCCTCTGGATTGCATTTTGGGTTTTGGTTTGTTACTTGTGTAATGTTTTTACTATGGCTATTGGGGCTGGGATTCTTCATCCTAAATTTGATCCCACTCTATGATAATGCACATGAATACAGAGAGCTTCTTTTTATGGTTAATCCATGATTTGAAATTAATTTAAATAAAATCTTAATACCAAAGCAAAATACTTATTTCAATAAAATAATTGAAAATTATTCATATCATTCTAATACACCCAATAATCAATTATAAAACATGAATTTATGAATAATATCCTTTATTTAAAACATATGAAAAAGCATTTGATACAAAAAACTTTTAATGAGTTGTTTTTACATAAAACAGCTAGTTTATTTTATTTCAAAATGTGAACAAATGTAGGGATAAACATGCTTTCACTATTATAAAGATATGAAAGTATATATTAATGAATCATCTTTTGAATATAAGAACTTACTCTATTATTCTTGTACGAGATTATAAAAATAAATATATTAAATTTCTTGATGTATTGTATTCTAAATGAGTCATCCTATTCTCATGATGATATACAACAATTTTACGGTTAATTCTCATTTATTTGAGTAAAATAATCTTAAGATCTATTTCCTAATTGTAAATGTATTTAATTCAAATTATATAAATTTTTCTTAAGTAATACAGTATCAACATTTCTTAGGTTGACTACTATCAATGCTATTCATGATGTTTAAATAAATAGATTTAGTTTTCCAATGATATTCTAATATTTAAATAATTTCAAAAAGAAATATCAATAGAAATAATGAAAATCTTAAAATTGGTTTCAACATTAATTTTTTAAAAAGTTCATTGTCCTTACAACAGAATTACAAGCCTTAAAATAAAATAATATCCAAAATGAAAATTGAAAAGTAATGCAAATTTTAGTAGAATTATAATTTATATTATATAAAATATTATTATTAAAAAGGGTGTTAAATTTATTAATTTTAATTAATTAACTAAAATGTTTAGTACAGAAGAATTCATTCTACAGTATTAGAAGCTTGCTAATCCAGACAAAACAATTAGCCATTAAGCAAATTAATACATTCTTAAATTATAATAAAGCAAGGAAGCCTTGAGGATTGCAAAATAATTATTAGACTAACCAAATATTTAATAGGAATATTAATTCATAGCTTGTTAGATGATATACAGAAGATTGAAAGAAGAGTGCAATATTTAAATTTAATAATATCTTCTAGAAATTATTGGCTAGACCTTTACCAAATGTTGCCATGAATTAGGTATGTTCTTCTTTAGCTGTGATCGTTGTTGGAAATAGATCATTATGGGGAGGGTATTATTAAAAATAATGATAGAATATTGTAGGAACTGATTTAGTTAATGAAATCGAGGATGGCAATTGGGATAGAAATTTTAACATAAATTGCAATACAAGGAAAGGAATGGTATAAAAAAAGTGAATAATTAAGATTGCAATAAGAATTTATTTCTCAGGAAAATACTTTATCAGAAATATTCATTAGTTTACTTTAGGTTTAAGACTTGAGTATATTTAATTAAACAGTGAAATGTATTGAATGTTGGGTATAATTCTCATATAATCTATTCAAAGACTTAAAATTAACTAGAGAAATATTAAACTTAGTATATTAAACAGTAATAAATAATGCCCTAAAATATAGTGACAAATTATTTGCATTGTTAAATGAAGGTGTTATTTACTCATAATACAATAGACAATAAAATGTAAACTAGATTGATTCTTAAGTGTTATAGAATTTAAACTTTATTCTTGAGTTTATCATATCAATATACAATCCTCTGTCTTCAAAGGGATATGTTTCATTCACCACCAAATTTTTATGTGATTTCTATGTACTTGTGTTGAATTCGAAATATGAAAAGGATGTTTTTAATTTGATGGGTAATATTATTAGTAATCCATCAAGGAATATTGCATTTTAAACTTTTGAATTTTGGAATCAGATGAGAGAATATAATAACTTATAAGGGTTCGGTTTAAATATATTATAAACTATGATTGATAAATGTAGAATGAAAACAATAAAATTAACAAAGGAATTTATTTAAGGAGAACGTGAAGAGGAAGAGGAGAATGATTATAATCTTAAATATTGTAATGAAACAGAAGAACATTAAATTTCAACATCTGATTTTAGAGAGCATTCCAAAGATATCTTTTATAGTATTTATAAGAGTGCCGAAATTAATATGGAATCAGATCAATATTTGTAAGTTGTATTAAACAATTTGATCATACCCAATTCTTTTGCTCACAATCAGATACTTCAAAGTGAATCTGCATTATTTTCATTGTATTCAATCATCGAACAGGCTGATATTTCAGTCAATAACCAATTAATATTGCAAATAATTTAAGTTATTTTATCATTACCTGTTCATTCTAACTTTGATATCATTGTTAAAACATCTTTATAACTATTTAGTGAGTTTACTAATCAATTACAATTACATAATGACGTTTTGCTTTAATTAACTTAATATTTTTTCAAATACATGCTTCATCCATTGCTAGGACCTTTGGCAGGAGTGTACTAATATAAAAAAAAATTATTTTAGAGCATTCGAACAGATCTGCAACTTAAGCAGTATGGATAATGTTGAACTAATATCTGAAAGTGTCAAATTCTTAGAGTTGCATTTCTATGAGTTCATCAATCAATCCCAAGTAAGTAACTATATTGAGGGAATAATAAAGCTGTGTTTTCGGTTATTTGAAGAAGGTAAGCCGGATTGTTTAATTTAGGTAATGATTTATAAGATATTAGTTATTTAAATTTGCAAATCATCAGTTTTAATAAGTTTGTAATCCCCAAGTGACTGAGAAGTAGTTTCATTATAATAATTCTTTGGTGGTCGCAATATTCTAATGGGTGAACTTGAATGCGAAAGAGAATGATTAGATCAAGTAACTCTTGGAACTGTTATGTCAATCAATTTTTGAACCCTTGTTAATTGTTTTAAAAGGGTAATATACTTTCTCATTTTTTGATGATACTTTCAAATTAATTCAAATTATACTCAAAGTGTCAAACTTTTCAAATTAATAATAGGTAATTCATCTCTTGTAAATATCTTATTAAATATTTCATTCTGATCCAATTCAGAAGCATCATTGGCTATAATTAATTACCTAAGTAATCAGTAGATCTATCGATCACTAATTTATTGTTTAGTGGGCAATGGTTAATGATCATTAAATTCATTTGTTTTGCATAGAATCCTTTAATCGTTGGAAAGATCCCGATCTAATGAAAGTTTATGTTGAATACATCAAAGAGTGCATTAGATGTTGTCCATAGGTTCTCTTTGAATCACCTTACTTGTAAAAAATTATCGATGTAATCTGCGATGCCTTTATTAATTTATGCTCTTTTGAAATGCATAGAGAGATCTTACACTTTTTTAAGTATAATATCTTATAAAATAAATTAGATTTTTGTTTTAGTCTTTAGAGAATAGTAAAGAGTATTTCAATCCCTTGGTGGTAAGGGTTGTCTCTACCATATTTATGTCAATTAGCGATATAAATCCTGCAATAGTATTTTAAGTAATTTAAATTTTACTGTTAATATTGAAAAAATAAGTGAATTCAAATGAATTGGAAGAATTAATTTTTTAAACATTACAAAAAAGTTGGGGAAAAGATAAACCAGCACAGAAAGTTAAATTAGTCAGTTAAGCCATAATTTCATACATATTGAAATCTGAGTAAGGAGAAGTCAATAAGGATTTGAAAATACTACTTGAGAACTTGCGACCTTAAAGTGAAGAAGAAATCAATTATGTTCAATTAGAAATAGTAATTAAACGAAAGTGATTTTATTTAATAATTTAATCTATAAATTTTATTCGCTTAAATACCACATAACTCTGGTTATTAATGGTTGAGCTATAGATTCATCTTCACTTTTCTAAAACAACATTTTTTATTCCATCTTTAATTTTATTAAACATTAATTTTAGTTATTTAACAATATTCTGTTTTTGAATGATTTGATTACCAAGTACTACAAGTACTACATGGATATGTGTTCCACTTATTTTTTTAATTGGGTACATTATCATATCGAATAATCATTTTTATTTTGATTTCTCAAAAATTTAATTGTTTCACTAATATTTTTATTCTAATTAATATTTGTTGATTTCGAATTTACTTAAATTTTATTTCATATTGAAGTACTTTTTTACATAATAATAAAACTTAGAAGACATAATTAATCTTAAATTTATTTATTTCAATTATAATTAAAAGACTTTGATTTGAGTAATGTTTTTTTCTCCATCTAAACGATTTGATCTATTTATGTTTTGTGTCTTTGGGTATCAGCCCTGATAAAGGCATCCACCTTATAAAATTAGACCCAAGCCTTTCCTTGTTGCAACTCTTCTAGCTAAGAACTCATAGATTGATTATACTTCATCTGATATCTCTTATTCTGTGTAACCCTACTATTTTACTATATCCCAGAAGGCCAACCATTCCTAAACTGTTATGTTCCCAGTCTTTTTATAATCCACTTAGGAAAATAAAGCATCTGTGTTTATTTTTGCAAAATTCGATTTCCAAAATTATAATGTTCTTTCTTTATCAATATAACCCTTATTCTAAATATCAATCTTTTGAAATATCATTATTGCTTTTAGCCTTAAATTTTCTGAAATCTATTTGTGCTCTGGTCTATTTGAGCAAGTCCCCATTTTACTTTTATTAATTATTTATAATGTTATCTCTCAAAGAAGTCATTCCTGCCCTTACTAAAGATTTCACATAAGGAATCACTCGAGTTGATAAGCATATCTATATTCAACCCAAAAAGGAACATAAATACACCTTCATATGGGTAATACTACCATTTATTAAATTAGATGCATGGATTGGAAGATGTTCCTGATAGTTTTTTGGCTGGATTCAATAATCCTGAATTAAACCCTTTTGACAATTAGACTACTAAAGTGATTTTACTTTGTGCCCCTGTGAGGCCACTAACTAAAAATAAAGGAGAAATGATGACATCATGGTATGATATTATGATTCCAAACTGGAAGTAGTTTTGGGGAATCAAATCTGATAAAGAATTGTGGGGAGTTGATTAAGCTATCGAATCTAGAAATTTCATTTGGAGCTTGATTGATTAGGAGCCTATTCCAAAGAATAACATTTTTATTGGAGGTTTTTCTTAAGGATGCTGCATGTCATTATTGGCAGGATTGGGATACAAGTTATTTTATTTTGTTAATTATAAATAGAGAATCCTTAGGCGGAATACTTGGAAACTCAGGATATTTGTTCCCATTCACTGAAATCAAAAATAAGACTCCTATTCAGATATTACATGGTGTAGAGGACGAAGTAATCCCATATGAATTTGCTGAAAAATCTATTTAACCTTTACTTAAATTCGAAAACAATTTGGAATTCATTAAACTAAAAGGAATAGAACATGCAATGATGTTGGATAATTTTAAATTGATGAAAGAGTTTGTTGCAAGACATTTATCATGAAAATGACAATTTATTTTAAATTATGGTAAATCTTCTAAATTTCTATTTAATTTCTCTTAGACCTTAAGGCAAGTTCCCATTTTTTATTTTTTTTAATCTTATCCACTTGTTTTTCATTAACTTCTTCAATATACATAATCAAATCAGTCAAATATTTATTCCATATACAATTATCTCTCATATTATTTATATTTTTATATTAAAAGATTTATTAAGATATTTTTCTTCGTTTTGTCCATCACTTTACTTCAACTTTATTAATGGATTTTATCAATTTACATGAACCAATTAATTTATAAACTATTATATAAATTAACACATTAAATTTGCGGAATTTACAAATTTTAAAAACAATAATGTATATCATTACATAAATTTTATTTATTGAGTCTTTATTTTTGGTTTTAGGATTGCTGCAATACTAATTGTAAAAAATAAGTTACCTTTGTCCTTTAACAATATTATTTTAACTTTATATTCAGTATATTGCTTTTCTAAATTATAATCTTCATGATTTATTATTTAATGTAATTTTTTCAAAAGTCTCAGGAATAAATAAGAATCGAATAAAAACTATAACGAATCAATGCCGCTTAATAAGAGGAGAAGTATAGGAAACCAAATCCATGTTAAGTTACATTTCCAGAAGAAAACTTTATAGAAATGATAGTTCAACAGGAAGGAAAAATGATCAAATTAAATACCTACAGATTTTAAGCCACTGGAAAACCTAAAGCCATAGTTTTCATGTTTCATGGATTATGTGCACATATTAATCATTGTGCTCATATAGCTTAGAAAATGGCATAAGATGGATTCTTGGTAGTTGGTTTTGATAACAGAGGTTTTGGAAAGTCTGAAGGAATAAGAGGATATTTAGAGAGTCTTGAAATTCATTTATCTGATTGTCGTCTATTTATATAGAAAGTTTAAGAACTGTAAGGGAATTCTAATATTCCTGTCTTTTTATCTGGCTTATCGATGGGAGGAATGACTTCTTTTAGATTGGCTGTTGGAGGAAATATTCCGAATCTTAAAGGAATCATTCTATACGCACCTGCAATTAAGACACTATTTAGTAATCTATAAATTGGTACAATAAAATTTGTGGGGTATATTATCCCAAAATATAAACTCATAAAACCAAAAAGAGGTTAAACTACTAAGAATCCTTAAATAACTGAAGATCTAATGAAAGATCCTTACACATACTAAGAGGAACTCCTTCCTAGAACTATTTCAACAATCACTGTAAGTATGAAAGAATGTGAATCCCTCTATCGATAATTACATACTCCCTGGGTAGTTATACAAGGAGGTTTGGATAAATTGGTTGATCCAGATTTGGCATATATGCTAGAAAGAGAATCGCCGTCGCAAGATAAAACAGTATTATATTATGAAAATTTATGGTATATATACTATTTTATATATGATTAGGCATGATGTTTGGCATGAAGAAGAGATACATGATATCATTCCTAAAGTACTATAATGGTTAAATAAGAGAATATGAATAAATTATTAAAAGTATTAAAAAATAAATTCTTATATTTCTAATTTTCTTATAATTTATAGCTATCTAATTAAAAAAAATAAAGAAAATAGATTTTGGTTAGGAATAAATAGATTAGAGTGTTTTGAACACGGAACACTAGTTGTTCTTGTAAGTTTAAAATAGTTAGATAGTTTATTTAATAATAATATTAAAATTATTGGAATTATGGGTTCTTGTTAAGGGACGACTTAAGATATCTAGCAAGATTTACGAATGAGAGAGATAATGTCACAATTTCAGGTTCCAATGCCTTATACAGATGAGTATTAAATATTTTAAACCTTGAAATGGTTGGAAATGTAACAAAGATTTAATCATAGAATACAACATAATAGTATACCAAATTTTGGGTTGATCTATTCAAAAGCAGCAGACTCTTAGAATAAATTGAAAGAATTTGTTAAGAAATGGAGAACAAAGTATGAATAGCATAACCATCCTAATTTACTATCGATTCATAACATTTCCATCATCGAATCAATGAAGGTCTTTATCCCATACACTGAAATCATACTTCTCATGGATAAGCCAGTGGAGCCTCTATCTCGACATAAGAAAGTCATTATGAAATAGCAATTCACTCAAGATGAAATCCTATTCCTTATGGATTGTGTAGTTTCAGGATTTGCATTTTAATAAGCTAATAAAATATATCCGTCTGGTTTTGACATAGATGATATCATAACTGTTAAAACTCCTTTTAATATTGATGTTTTCAAATTGGTTGATAGATATTAAAAACCGATTAGATAAAACTTGTTTCAAGAATTTATATCACTCTATGATGATAAGCAAAGTACTAAACAATCTTTATGAATTTTAAGCGTTGAATGAAATGAAAAAGACAGCCTTTCTATCTCCAGCATAAATCTCAGCTATTCCAAGAAAGGACAAAGTAAATCTTTTAGTTATTAATTTCACTAGTATCTTAAACATAATAGATATAAATCAGACGTATTCAATTTTGGATTGATGCTTATATATTTAATTGAAGCAAAGAAACCAGAAGTGTATGATTGGAAGAGGTGGGCTATAGATGATTTCGCGTTGAAAAAGGTTCAAGAGGATTTGATAACAACCAATTTTAATGAGCAAATATTACACTTGATTGAAATAATGTTAAATGTAGATGAACACGAACGACCTGATTTTATACAATTAGATGAAATGGTCAATAAGTTGTTTCAGGGCATCAAAAGACATCGTTTATTAGAATAATATTAACCATAAGAATTCTTTGTTGCTGGGTATAACAAGCCTTCTTCGTACGATAATCTACTCGGTTAAAATATCTTTTAATCTAAATATCCTTAATCTCCAACTATGATCAAATCTAATTAAAATTTATTGAAAAACTAATAAATAGAGTAACAAAGATACAGACAACAAGATACTAGCCAGGCTTCAATCAAAGATTAGAGATGGTAAGAAGGTAAAACCTAAGAATCTAAACCAGGTTTCGAAAATAGTGTCACTCAAGGGAAGTTGCATTATCCAAATGGTTTTTATTATATTGGGTAAATATGCAATCGAAAAAGGCACGGATAAGGAACATACTATGATTCTGATAATCATAAGGTAACTGAAGGAATGTGGGTTTTTGATGTTCCTGATGGCGAAGTAATCTTTTATAATAGCCCAAAATAAGAATTAGATAAATCACATAAGAATTTATCAAGGAAAGATTGGATTTAATATAAGGGGTAAGTCAAACACGGATAGAAGCATGGCATTGGAGTTCTCTATTTTGCTGATGGTTCAAAGTTTATGGGACTTTTTTCATGTGATTAGGCACATGGAAAAGGTCAATTTGAATACTAAAGTAAAGAATGCTATATAGGAACTTGGTAGCATGATTTATATGTTAGTTGACATGTTTTATATTTATAATCAATTATATATTCATTTTTGCATATTTCATTAGATTTAAGATAAAATTAAAAATACTTAAATGTTTAAGAATGTAGAAATTAAATTTATTAAAGAAGATTATTGCATCAATCAACCTAATGTAAATGAAACACGAGAGCTTAATGTGAACAAAAGTCTAGAATAGTTAAGTACTTTTAAGCCTTGTGATAAATCTAAAGTTACTTGGATACATTATAAAGTGAATCATTTACGTTAGTTATATAATGGATTATTATCATATCATCAAATGTGCATTCTTTGTAATTATGAATTAACAATTTAAATATTTGGTTTGATCAAAAAAACTTCTAAATTGATTTTTGAAATTAGGATCAATTTGTATTTTATTTTTATTTCTTGATTAAAACAAAGTTTATAAATAAAAAATTGAAAATTATAATACAGTTTTTCTTCAATAATGACTCATGGTATTATGATTTGTAATTTAGTACTTTATTTTGGAGTAGGAGATTTTGCTTTATAGATGTAGACAATAATGAATAATAATTAGAAGTAATTTGTTAAATAGTTATTCAGATTGTAAAGAATAGTGTTCCCATAAAATAAATATTCTAGAGATCCATCTAAAGCCACAAAAAGAGGAGAACAAGAATTATGTTTTATAAGTGTTATTTGTTGCGAATAAAACACCTTTCTGATAGATAGTACAGTTTTATCATAAGGTAGCATAATATGATCTTTGGGCATTTGGGAATTCTCAATTTGCCTAATTAGGTTTATAACAGCCTTCTGTTAATATGCCGATAAATATTTCATAAATAACTTAAAATTCTTATAAATTAGTGAATGCTGGAACTGGTTTTGTAGTTGCATACTCAACAAATAAAAAGATATATGTTTGGGGAAATTGGCACTAATTAAACTACGGCGAAGTTTTGAAGCTTTCTGAGAAATAAGGTTTCACAGAATAAATTGACGCATTTTATTAGATTAGTAGTTTAGATATTACTTATAATTTTTCTATCAACAGATATATGGAATTAGAAAGAAGATCTAGTCATATGCCTGTTCATTAAGCTGAAGTTGTGTCACTAAAATGCGTAGGTACAACAACTTATCTTTTAACTCCAAGTAAATTATTTTGCTTGGGATTGCATCAATAATTTACAGTTTAGTTCATCGGTATAGCTTGCGGTTAGAAGCATGTGTTGGCTTGGGATGAGTAAGGTAAAGTGTGGAGTTGGGGAGACTTTTCGGATGGAAAATTGGGTTACATGGATTTTAATTAGAAAGAACAATTAAGTCCAAAATTGATTGATGATTTCTAAACGAAAATAATGTCTTGTGCTTGTGGTTCCAATTATAGCATAGCACTCGATGTGAAGGGAGATATTTATGGATGGGGTAAAGGTCCATTTTAGATCGATTTATCTAAGGCTGTCATACCATCCAAACTTTGTTAGAAGCAGAAGCCTTTTATCAAAATTATGGCTGGGGATTCTCATTTTGGAGCCTTAGATTTATCAGGTTAGTTGTATGGATGGGGAATAAATGTCAAAAATTGTTTAGGGGATTTAGGCGACAAAGTCAGGTATCCTTAATTGATAGAATTAAACAATATCAAAGTAATCGATGCTGCAATGGGTAGCACATCTACTGTTCTTATAGTTCCAGCTAATTCAAAGTACAAAATACCAAGTTTGAATGTTGATTCCTATACTTCACATTAATAAAAAAGAGTTAGAGAGGAAGCTGCATTTATTAAAGATTTTGCTGATAAAAAGAATAAGATTGATTAAGTATAGGTGCCAACTTCGAATCACATATTGTATGATACTCTGGAATTACCCTCAAAGAATACTTAATATGAATAGACAGCAGGTTTATTAAAGAAGATGAAAAGTTAAGTTGATTCTCTGAAAGGAGTTCCAAAGAATAAATGGAATGCCAAATCTTTAAGGTTGGACACTGAGATGATTAACTTTCATACTCAAGTAAATTAGGATTATGATGATGTGTAATCCAAATTAAAATAATTAGAATATCAAAATTATCTTTACATTCCTGTTTGCAATACTACTCCAACATAATCCTAAAATTGGGAATAGCGTTAAGACATAGATCAATTGTTAAGTCATGAGAATGATGTTTTGAAGTACTAATACATCCTCATGGTTAAGTCGTAAGATGAATCCAAATTTATGAAGACTTTATTGAATGATAACAATAAGTAATCAATTGAAAATCAAAATTACTTTTAATTGAACTCTAAGATTTGCAAAAGAAAAAGCGATTATCTCAATGATAGAAAGAAGTATCATGATAAATTTGATCAGTTTGATCCTTATTTTCTCCACACTGTGAAAAGGGATTTAAAAGCATTGTCATAAAAAAGGAAAGAAATATTTATAAAAAAGCAAAAGGTAAGAGAAGAATTTAACAGGGAAATAGCTGAGAAAATGCAGTTAACAAAAGTACTCATCCAAAATAAAGAAGAAATTATAAAGGGTATCTAAGCTTCAGCATCTGAAAGAAACATGAAGTTAAAAATAGTCCAATAAAAAAAGTAGGATAATTTTTTAGAGAAGATTCAACATATTCAATAGTAAATCTAAGAAAAATCACCAGAATTTAGATTCAAAAAAAGATTAGAAATAATTAGATAATAATAGAACATGTAGGTTTTTGGGATGATTTTGACTTATTTTAATATGGAAAATATTTAATAAATGATGTAGGATACATCTCAAAGAGGTTTAGAGTTGAAACGATTAATGTTTAAAGAGCACATGAAAGCTAGAGTCATCTAAAATACAATTAGAAAAAGAAATATAATTAAGAAAATTAAATTGAAATTAGGTTTAAGATAAAAGAAGATTTTGTTATCATTCATTTTTAGATTCAAAATTCATTTTAGAATTAAATCTAAATATACATATATTAGAAAAATTAATCTATTTAATCTAAAAAGTTCTTTATTTGTTAAATTTAGAATCAACTTATCAACAATCTTGATTAAAACATAATCACTTTAAAGTTTTTGTAGATGGTATAATCATAACTTTTAAGTTCAATTGAGTTATCTCAATTATAAATGGGATGAATATTTGAGATAAAGTTTTAAAGGCTAAATGACTGAAAAGGAGAAGGAAGAATTAAAATAATTTGAAATACCTGATCTAATGGAAAAACAGTAGAATCTTTTGTAGAAATTAACTACTCCATAAAAGTAGTTAAACTGGAACGATTTGAAATTTCAATTAAAACCAGTCTGTAAAGCTTCAGAATTGAGAACAAACTTGTTAAGAAAAGTTAAAGCCGTTGTATAAATAGATGAAGAAATTAAAGACATTGATCCTAAAATTCTTGGAAGAGTGTTCCTTCCATATACTAGATATCATGATAATATAGCTCTTAGCGTAACAGCCAAAATAAGATTTGACTATCAAATGATGATATAGTTGTAAGTTCATGAAAAAGTATTCATGGAAGAATTAATAGTAAAATATGAAATTCTCACACATCATCTTGTAAAAACCAGAAGAGAATTCATTTTATAAATGAGAGATGTAATCTATCTATATATATTATTTAAGTTCTATACAAAATTAAATGAATACAAAGAAACCCATAGGCAATAGATAAACATAGACAGGGGTAAACTAATGATGAGATTTAAGGCTGATGGTCCTGAAATTAAATAACTGAAAGCAAAGGATGATTAAGATATTAAATTAATTTTACTAAAAAGAGAACTTTCAAGGAGAAGAAATGGATAAAATTCTATAATTTTTAAAGATATTATTTTTAATAAAATTCGCCAATTACCACAAGATTAATAACCTTTTCCTAATTTAATTTTAAAATTAACTGAGAACATGTGTTCTGACACAAAACCAAAATTTAAGATGAGATTAAATCAAAATGAATGGTCTAGGCTATTTAATTAATATCAATCTGAACTCAAACACAGATATCTAGCTATAATGAATGAAGCAAGAAAAACTGCAGCACTTAGAATGAAGAATTTAAAACATAACAAATTTATTAAAAGGAAAAAGACTTAAAAGGCAGAATAATGATTATATATATAATTTGATAAATTAATTTATCATATTAACTTAGGTAATCTATAATATATTCTGATTAATCTTAATTTTATACTTTATTAAAGAAAACTAATATAAGGTTTGCTCTTTTGATAGTTTTTGGGTTGTATAACGAAACCAAGATATCCAGTTAGAAATAATAAATTTTAATAATCGTAATCTCATAAATGCATACATTTGTAAATTCAAAATATAATATTAATAATAATATTATTTCAAGCTTCCTCTTAGGGTTATTTTGGTTGCTCAATTTATTCTTTATTCTCATGATCTTCTGTCTAGGGTAATTACTATTCCACTTATAGTTTTTATTCATCCTGTTATGGTAATTATTTTTCCTCTTATGGTTATTATTCATCCTTTTATGGTTATAAATCATCCTTTTATGGTAATTATTCATCCTTTTATGGTAATTATTTTTCCTGTTATGGTTATTATTCATCCTGTTATGGTTATAATTCTTCTTGCTTTGGTTATTATTCTTCTTGCTTTGGTTATTATTCTTCTAGCATTGGTAATTATTCATCCTTTTATGGTTATTATTCTTCTTGCTTTTGTTATTCTTGATGTAAATTCTATTCTTCTTAAATTTAATCTTTACTTTATTGTTGTTATTCTTAATTAGATTCTTCTTTATGTTATGCCATTTCTTATGGTTATTCTTCTTATATCAAATTTGGTTATTATTCTGAAACTTCTTTAGTTTATTCAGGAATATTCTCGTATTAAAATTAAAGCTAAACATCTGTAACATATACTGGTGAATCTAAAATTTATTGTTCATGCTTTTAAATTTATTATTCTTCTAATTATTCTAAATTTTCTTCCCTCACTTGAACAACTTCTAAAGGTGCTTCCTTTTCATTATCAATTTAGGCTTCTTCTGAATCGAATTAATCTGCTGGTTGATTATATTCATTACTATCTTGGTATTAATTATGATTTGAATTTTCTTCTTAGGAGTCTTGTTGGGTTTCACTATTTTCACTAGTTTCAGCAGTTTGGTTATTAGTGGTTTGATATTAGCCAGAGCCTAAAGGTTCAGGCCATAAAAGAGGAGGACTAAACGAATCTACATTAACTTATTCTCTGAATTTTGGATTTATACCCAGTAACCATGCTTATTCAATTTAATTAACTACTTTTAATTCTTCAATATATTTCTACCAATCATTTTGAATATTGGCGATTGCGGTTTAGACTACTAAATATTATTCAAGGACATTAGGAGAATTAATATAATTAGTTATTTTAGTTAGTATACCTTGATATCCATGCTTTTTTTTCCTTTCCTCTAAGCCGTTATTTATTATGAGGAAATTCAAAAAATTAGTTTGGAAAAGGAGTTCATGCAAATGAGGCTGTTTGGAATTTATAATTGCTACTATCATTTTTTCAAATAAAATATGCAATTAATTATTAGTCGAATAGTCAAGCACTAAATTAATTACTTATTGAAATATTTGTCCTTATTAAAATATGATTGCCAATTCTTATTTCTAGATTAACTACACAATTAATTATATTAAAGATAATTTTGAATCGCCTAGTGGTTTAACTGTTGCTCCATAGGTTGTTTAAAAGGATGCTCTCAATATATCCTATTGAATTAGAGCCTTTATTGATTCATCAATTACTGGACTATAAAGAGTAGAGAATTAAATATCGTAGTGTTTTTCTTCAAGCTATGACATTTTGGTATAAAACTCATATTGAACATTGAGTAAATTATACAAAGAACTATTTTAAGTATCGAAAGCTAAACTCATAAAGAACGCTGGTTTTTCAATGGTTAATAAGATTTCTCTCAAAACTTCCATAGTATCAAGAGACATCAATGCTCTTTTATAAACTTCAATGAGTGATTCACATATATTTGTAATTATTGAGTTTTAATGTGATTATCCTTTAAGGTATTTGAGTAATCTAGCTATTAAAAGTTGTCTCTCTTGTATAAACAACCTCTCATCATGCTCTTCTTAACATGTATCTAAAATGATCAACTTTTCAAATATTTCTGTAATATGCCTAATGTTTGCATGCTTAAATAAATTTGAAATTATTTCTGGATTGCTTTTTAAATATTCCCAAAACTTAATTTATTAAAATCAATACATCATATCCTCTTTTATGAATTATGGCTGAAATAATCTTCGTAAAATATCCTGCTGATGTAATTAAGAGACTATCATGTTCCAATATAGAAAGAAGGTCAGGTAAAAGCTTCTATCTTAAATTTTCGTTGTCATTTTGGAATTCTTAAGGTTAACTTTCTGTTGGTTAATCTTCAAGAGGATTTTGTATTTCCTCTTGGGAGATGTCTCCTTATTTTTCAAATAGGAAATTAATCAATTTCTCATTTTCAGAACCCAATACTTCGCTTATCAAAAAGGGATATCTATAAATTTATATATATATATTATTTTTACTTTATGCATGTATTCCTATCTTACTCTCGATCAGTAACATCATTGGTGATGTAATAAATCATTTTAGAGTATTCATTTGGATGCTAAACAATGCTAGAGAATAGTTTGTATGTAAATTTTACAAATCAGCAAATTTGCTTGAACTCTAATTTTTCAACTCAGATAATATGTCTTCCTCATTCAAAATGGCTTCTAAGGTTAGGTTGTCTTATTTTAGCAATGTGTCCATTTTAGATTAGAATCCGAATCCCAAAAATCGACCAAAACTACTATAAAGCCAAGATCATACTTTAAAAACATGAAATGATTTTATTAATTTTATTTAATAATTAATAATGCATAAAATTAAATAGACTAAATAGTGTGCTTAATGTGAAGCAATGGATCCTTCTTATTCATTCGGATGTTCATATTTAATTTATTGATAGAATGCGAACATCATTTCTGTTAGGATTGTTTCAAGCAGATATTAACCAATACTGTGTAATCTAAGAAATCTAAATTTTAAATTAAGTGCCCCATTGATTCATGCAAACACCAAATCGACCTAAAAGAACTACTAAAATATTTAACATTGCCAAATACATGTAAACGTTGTAATGTAGAATAATCCTATACTTGCGGATAATGTGTCGTAAGTGAAATAGAAGAGATAGCAAAAATCAATTATTATTCTAAATTGCTAAAATTTGAAACTCTTATTAATTTGGAATCGTAATAAGAACTGAATGAAGAAATCACAAAGCTTGAATTAATATGTCCAGTTTGTAGAGAATTCAATTAAATTCCAATTATAGTTTGCATGTAAGGTCATGAAATTTGCAAAGATTGTTATTATAATATCAGAAATATAGAAGATGTGAGACAGGCGTGTCCAATTTGTAAATAAGAATTATTACCAGCACCTCCAAATAGTTTGAGAGCATAAGTTTTAATAAAAAATTTAAGTATAAAATGTCCTAATGATAATTGCAAATAGGTAGTCAAGTATCCAGAATTTGTTTAGAATCATTATCGAAATTGTAATTAGATTTATGTTTACTATTACTTTAGGTTGTGAATAAAAAATAGAATGTTAAGATTGCCATGAAAAGGTTGAGCAATTATTTCAAGATATTCATCATTCAAGTTATTGCAGGGGAAATACATGTCCATTTTATTGCGCTCGGAAATTAGGAGTACTAAATTGCATTAAGATAAGGATCACTAAACTAATTTTATTATGGAGCATATATAGTCAACAATGAGATAAAGCGATGTTGCACATTCATTTTTGGTTCGAATGCAAATAATTGAGAAATTCTTATTTAGAGGCTCATTTGGAAGCTGTCCCCAATGCGAATTCTAGTATGCATGGTAAGTAGATGTTAGAGGTATCTAATAGACATTTTGTTTTTATTGTTTTCAATTTACAGGTTGATTATATTATATATAAATATATTAATGAAAATTAATTCTGAATTAATATAAGGATCACATCACTTTATTAATCCATTAAATGAAAGATAGCTTGATCTACGAGGTACTAGAATTTAATATAAACATTTTAGCAAAGAAAATTACAGCCATTGAAAACTTAGGAGCTACATTGGTATCAAGATTCTTTTATGTAGGATTTTTTTGATCACATTGATTTAGGGGATAATGATATCAAAAAGCTAGGGAATCTCACCTTATTAAAGAGGTATTATCATTTATCACTTTTATCTAAGACTCAAGACTCTGAATTTATCCAACAATAGAATCACTAAATTGACAGATGTATCTGATTCATTACCAAATATTGAAAATTTAATCTTGATGAATAACAGACTCACTGATATCAATGAATTATATCAATTAAAGCATTGTAAAAAGCTCAAGCGTTTAATTTTGCATGGGAATCTTATAACTCAATAGCCTGATTATAGATATAAAGTTATTGCAATTTTACCTAATTTAAAAATACTTGATTTCAATAAAGTTACACACTAAGTATTTAAATTAATAAATTCAATTTAGGAAAGACAAAAGGCTGAGGAATCTTTCAAGCCTGATGAATTGACTGATTATATGAATTTAATTAATTTGAAAGATGCTACTTTAGACAAAGAACATATAAAAAAATTATTGGAGAATGCTAAGACATTTGATTAAATTAACTAATTAGAGATGTTGCTCAAGTAATAATAGGTTAAGAACTTATCCATTCTTAGTGAGTAATGATGAGTTAAATATATATATAATAATAATAATAATTAATTTTTAATGAATTCAGAAGGATTTGTTAGCCTTATGATGGAAAAAGATGATTCTTATTAATTTTAACCTACTGAAAATAAATTTAAAATAAATAATGACGATGATTTTTATAGATAATTAAGTTAAGAGTTTTATGGTCAATAAAATTCATCCTATTTTAAAAAAAACAAAAAACTAATAAAAACAATCGACACACACAAATTTAAATCAAAACCTCCATTCTAAACAAGTGAATCTTAAAAATCCCAGTATTCCTTTACTAACCAATAATAATCATAATAAATAATACAATAAGTAAAATAAATAATTATAATCACTTTAGAAGATCTATAAATTATTTACTAAATAAACTCCATTTCAATAGACTTTGAGTAAATAGCTTGACAGATCCATATACAAAGCTAGAAATCTCTATGACAACACTCCTTAATTTACTTTTAAGCTCAATGTCTCAAACTCTTCCAAGAACCTACTGAAACAACAATCTCCCCAACTTAGCTAGCGATCAAAGTTAAATGAGGAAGATTACTAAGGGTTTTAATAACAGCGTTCTCATAGAAATACTTTGAATAGTTGTGACAAAAGTATAAAAAAGTAAGATAAAACATCTGACATCTATTATCCTTTAAAATTGAACCCATATAAAGCTAAAGAAATTGGAAATTTGTTTCAGTTATCATTTAGAAGTAAACAGTGAATATTACACTTAATCCAATTTTTATATTTTGTACTTAGTTAATGTATTTAATATAATATTAATTATGAAACATAAAATCAAACATCCTAACCTACTTCTTGAATATTATATCTTATGTAATCTTTCAATTATTTGATTCTTTGAATGATTCTCAAAGGGATCATCAATATCATCGTTCTTGCATCAAGCATATTCTTAGTAAGAGTTAAATTCAAAGGAAGCCAAAATAAAAAATAAATCACAATTAAGAATATTAAAAATACTATAAAAATAGCCAGTCTTTGTAATTTTAAAGTATTTAAATCATTCTTGAATCCTAGGATAAATTTATTTGTTAAATATCTAAATGCACCTAAATAAATTACATCAAATTACTTTTAAAATACAAATGCTGGACTTCTCTATTCTCTTAAGCTTATACAAAGTTGTTTAAATTAAGTATAAAATTGGTACTATTGTCACTTGTTTTGGTAATATTTCTAAAACTCGTGAATCCACGAGCCAAGAGAGTAAAATTTGCTGATGGATTACCATAGAATTAATTATAGATAGTCATCAAATACCTTTGGTTTTCTATGAATCTTGGTAATCCTACATTAAGACCCTATGAGAATGCTTTGTCCATAAATTAATTACAGATATCAATATCGATCTATTAGTCTTAATCATTTAGTATATCACAAGGATTATATACATATAAAGAGGTAAAAGCATCAATATAGGCTGAATCAAGTAATTCAATGTTTTGAGAATGATATTCTTAAAAAATGGAATCATGGTTGAATAATTCATCAATGTTCTGCATCACGTGGTCGTAAGGATCAGAATTCAAAATATTCATATTTCTTGAATAAAACAAGGACTTTTAACTTATTTCTGAAAAGCGAAAGTAGGATTCACTTCTTGCTGTTAAATTGAATTCAGAACAAACTATTTCAATTTAATCGACCTATGTTTTACTAAAGATGAAGGCTAAAATGAAATAAAATTAAATTAAGAGCATTGTAATAATGATTGCATAGATATGATAATTATCTTCACCATTATTATTTTTAAATTTCTTTTTTGTTCTTTTTGTTTTTAAAGTATTTTGTAATTGTTTATGATCATGTTTCTCCTCTTGATCTTAATTGCTATCATTTTCAGAAGTGAGATCCCCATCTTCCCCTATTTACAGATTTGATAAGAAATTTTCACTTTATCTATACAAATATCTAATAGTCTTGTCTGGTAAATTCAAAAATAATTGTAAAATTTCAGTTTAAGACTTTGAAACCGATAACATTGCAATCACGATAAGTAAAATACCAATACTAATTGTTGAGATTGATATTAATAACAGTAATAGAATGGCTGTATACTTTTTGGAGGCATTTGTAATGAGATTGTCAATAAAATAATTGGAAGATTATTTTAAAGACTAATATATATCATTTAGTAAGTTATAATTTACAAATGAAACATCTAAATCTTAATAATTAAATTATGAGATACTCTTATCTTTTAGTATTAATGACTTACTCAGAATTTATTGGATAGCTTAATTTAGGTTATATAATTGAATAGTTTCTTAATTCTATTTAATTTTGATATTAATCAAGTTGTATTCAAATTCAAAGGCTGAAGAAGTCATACTGTCTACCAATAGTAGAATTTGCTAATTGATATCATTAATCATCGAAATTGAATCATTAATGAATTATTTCTATTGTTATTCATACTAAGTAGCTTATGTTTTATTCATATTGAAAACATTTCTGCTTAAGAGCTACAAATTTAAGACTGAACTTAATATGATACCTAATTCACTATTTCGAATATTCCCTTGATTTGTTAAAAGGATTGTATCATAAATTTGATCTGATTGTGAATTCGATATAGAATAATCAATAATAGACAATGTTAGTATGATAAGGGCAATAATATTAGCAATCCATGTAACTCTGATTATGGCCTTTGGTGTATTTGAGGAAGCAATGATTTTCTATAATTTCTTCCTAGAATGAAATATATTGTTATCAAATTCATAGAGCTATGATTAACTTGATTTAATTTCAATCTAATCTTAAAAGACACTTTCTCTTTCATCCTCATCAGAAAGTTAACTTTCCTCATCCTCTACTTCTTGGAGTTTATTATCAAATAATCTTAAAGTTCTAATATTTTCTGAATAATCTATCATTACTTAGAATCTGTCTCCAAACCTTGTTGATCTACGTCTACTAGACTCCTTATGTGTATGTTCATTATGATGATTATTCTAAGATTCAAAGGAATGATCCACTGAATTTGATTGAATACTATTTGATAATTTTGAATTTTCTTCTAGAATGAAATCCCCTAGATAAATCTATTCATTGATCATATATTTAAATTATAAATTCCTTACCCCTATTTTTTTAACAGATGCTAACCGTTATTATTACTAGGTCTCATTAATTAATTCTAGCTTTACATAATATCCTGTTATTTCATTAACTGATGCATTCATAATTTCTCTTAATATGCAATTAAACTCAAGTTCTTTTTCTAATGCATTTATACTCGAAAGAGATTAATGGACTGTTCTTTTGAGATTATCAGGGAAATATTTGAGACGACCTCCAAATTTGGTTTTACAAGTCTCCAACTCATCAAAGAAATCTGGGAATAATTACTAAAAATATGCCTTTTTTTGTGTTAAATGTCTGTTTTCAATCCCAAAGAATGAAAATACAGATGCAGACATAGAATCGATGACGTATTCATTATCCAAAATAAAATAACAAGTTGGTTTAAATGATTTAATGGTTATAAATTGAGCTGCTAGATTTACATTTTCTTCTAGTGTATGCAATATTCGCAAAACAATTTAACAAGGAATTAGATAATTTTATTTATCCTTTAAAAAGATGAATCTCTCCTTATTGATATTCTTTATATCGCTTGTAATTAAAAATCTTTCCATGTAATGATCATGAAATTTTGTATATAAATTTGGCATAAATAGATTGATCTTTCTGTTTATTATTTCTTATCTCGTATAGCCAATCAATCTACAACATGACTGATTCAGAGTTATCACTTAAGCAAACTTTTCTACTGAAGTTGATACAATCACAGTAGCTTATGGTTCGAATCCAATATCTTCTCCAGATATGAAAGTAACAACTTACTTTTTACTTTATTAATATTACAGTGAATTAAGGACGGATTGTTTTAACATTTCATCACCATATTCTTCATCTTAGATAACCTCTTTTATAAAAGTTCCATAGAGTCTTAAGGCTTTTGATAGGTTCTAAGCTGTTTTTTCGATTTTGAACCACAATTACTCAATTTAAAGAAGTAGTTTACTTACATTTTAGCCATTTTTATAGAGTTTCTGAAAATCTGGGAAATCTTCTTGTAATAAAGACCAAAAATCCATTTAGATCAGGGTTGTCTCTTCAATTAATTATTGAAGTTATCGATAATTATTCTGAAATGTGATCTCAGTTTCTGTGTCAACCTTCCCGAAGTTTTCATTCTAAAATGTATCTAATTGTTCTTAAATTTAAGACCTTTTTCTCATGATTATGAATTCCTCATCAAATTATAAATTCATATATTCAACTTGCTTTAATTCATTGTAAGCCTACTGTAATTATCTCATATAATCTGATAAATGGTAGGCATATTGGATTCTCAATTGAATTGATTCTGGGAATCTTTTGATCTAACTATTATAAATCTATCCTAAAACACAAATTAAATCGACCTCTCTTTCAGTTAAAGATGAATCCCTAAGTAAAGCATTACTTAATTTTATATTTGCTTAATTCTTCACTTTCAAATAACAATCACTTTAAACACATGTGCCTTTATGGATTTCTAAAAAGGCATCAATGATTATTTAAGTATTATCTTCAAATTTAATTAAATTTAGTAATTTCACTAAATAATTGGTCTAATTGATAATATCCTCCACTTATTTGACCTTTGAATGGTTTATTAAAAGGAGATCAAAATTCTATTTTTCTATTCTTAATATTGAAACTGCAAGTATTGGTAATCCAACAAGAAAAGTGTATATAATCCCATTAAAATAACGTTACTCCAGAATCTTTGCACAGCATAGTAGCAGGATTCCCCAAAAATTCAATCCAACTGTAATTGACCAACACTTTTGTATGATCATAGAGTTATAGGGTTAATCCATATGAAATTTCTTTAATAATATTAAACTACCTATCAATATTATTATTATTTCCAAATACTAATATTTTTAATCTTTTATAAGTCTTATTAGAATTACCACTATCAATAGATAGGTGTATAAATATCCTGAAATCTTTCCATTTTATTATGAGTTGGCTTAATCAGGGATAAATTTCAATTCATAATAAATTCCTCCTAAAATCATACAAAATCCATAAAAGATTAAAAGTATAATAATGGCGATAATTCCATGAAGTATATGTGCCCCTACCCAACATTATTAATTTGTAAAATAATAATGTACTTAATTTCCATATCCATCATCCTAGCAATCTATAATTGATATGAATATATCGATGAATGGAAGAAATAAAATTGAAAGGAACAAATTTATTATAATCTTCAATATCAATAGTATCCAACTATTTTCCTCCTTCCTTTTCTTTATATTAAAACCTATGAAACAGGCTAACATCGTCATAACCACAAAAACCCCTACACAGACATAATGCATAATCAAAAGAGACGAATAATCAAATGTTAATGTATAAGGAGAAATAAGAAAATACCTAATATTTGTCAAATATTTTATACTATAGAAAATCGTGGATTCCTTGTGAAACATGATAATTTTTCCAAATTCTCAAAAAATTTTGACCAAACAATAGAGATGCTAACTAGAAATATTGAATAAGGATGACAAAGCAATTTATTATTATTGGTTATTGTTCTCCACCAAGTTATTGAAGTGCAATTGTATAGATTAATTATTTTGCTCTGCTCATAAACAATGATATGCAGCCACTTTTCTTGTTGCTCAAACCAAATGCTTAATTGGTGTTCATTTTCAGGAAAAATATAAAATTGTCAACTATTAAAATTAAACACTTTTTAATGCTTTAGAATTATTTCCATAAAAAGCTTGCAAACCATCACGATTTTATCCCAAGATTTCCTAAATTAAATTTTTATTTGGACTTACATCTACGTTGGTACACACTTTCCAAAAAAATCGTAAAAAAAACATTTTAAATAACTGATTATCATAATTGTTTATTATTATAAGAAATTAACTATTATGATGATGATGGATAGATATGATTTAATAACTCGCAAATTCAAACATATAATAATAAATAAATTAATATTAAGAAAAACACAACTAGAGGAAAATGGTCAATTAATTATTATAAAAACAATTGAAATTGATTAATATTTGAGTTTATTTTTAACCCTTTACAATGTGATATTAATTTTTTAATTTGTATCTAGAAACAAAATATTTAGGTTGCTGAAGAATCAAATTAGTAATTTCATCTTTTAATATGAAGTTGATTGATTTGAAAAAGGAAATTTAGTTCTGACATATGAAATTGTTATTTTATTTGCACTTTATTTCTTGATTGTGAAAATAGGAAATCATTTATTGAGTGTTTTCTCTTATCCACATTTTTAGAATATACAATTTATTATTAATAATAATGAATTAGAGCAATAAAAGTCTTAACAGCACAATGACTCGGATTAAGCAGTTGTCAACCGGCCCTCCTATCGAGGTTGTGCCTAGCGAGATCATATTTAAAGATATATAGATAAATTAGACTTATGAAATCACTGTCTTTGTGAGAAATTTAACATAGACTGCTAGGCGAATTCGAGTTTTTCAACCTCATTCTAACTTCAGATGTGATTATGAAATGCAAGGGTATGTGTCCATTATGAAGAATTTATAGTGCAATAGCAGCAGGTCTCTCAATGAAACTGATAGTAACATTTGAAACAGCCAGTTTGGAATAGTATTAGGACTCTTTGAAAATTGTGTCGGATGGTAACTATACAATTGATGTACCGCTTTTTGCCTTTCCTCCTCAAGCTGCGTATTTTTTACATTAATTAATTTTAGTATAGTATTTGAGCCATTTATTAATTTGGGGTTTGTTCGAGTGGGGAAGGAAAAAGTGGATAATATATACTTCAAGAACGAAGGTCGATCAACTGGCAAGGTAGAACTAAAAATTGATCGTTTGCCTGACTTCAAAATAGAGCCGACTACTTTCAGTTTAGGACCAGGACTAGAATTTACGGTTAAGGTACATTATAAACCAAAAGATGCTGGAATATTTCGTGGTTTAGTAGAAGTAATAGCAGATGGTTAAAGTCTACAGAAAACAATAGACATTAATGCCACATCTATAGAATTTACTCGATTTTTGATAGATGACACTGGAGTTTAGAACAATTTTTTTGATTTTGGTTAGATTTACTATGGATAATACAAGCAGATTGAAACGTATTTAGTCAATAACACTCCGAAGTAACAAAAATTTAAAGTGAAATTGAAGAAAGGATTGCATTAATAAGAAGATGCACTTAAATTGCAGACTCCAGCAGAACTTGGTCTTGAGTAAACAGAAAGAATCATGGAATGTTTTCCTGAGGAAGGTGTTTTGGAAAGCTATTCATAAATTGCAATAGTGTTTAAATGTAAACCTAAGGTCTCAGAAGAATAACAAGTATGGACTAGATCATTTGCCTTGTCTCCCGAGTAATTGAAACCAGATTACGATGAATTTCATTATTCAGCAATTTTCGATTTTTAAGATAATGAGCCTTTGATGAATCATTTGTAAGTGAGATGCATTTGTCCTACAATCAAATTCCCACCAACTGCAATTTTACAATTTGGAGTATGTCCTGCCAATTAAAGCAAAGAAATAGTTTTTGAAGTCACTAACAAATAGACAGAGTTGCCGATTCAAATTCATTGGCCTGTAGTTCCTTATTTTTCAGTGAATCCAACATTATCAACCCTGTAACCTGAGGAAAAGTAAAATTTTTGGGTAAGCTTCAAGCCTAAACACACTGGAAATTTCACAACTGTTATAAGTGCTGAATTGCTTGGAGGGATCTTCAAAATACCTGTGAGATTGGCTGGTGTGAGTTAATAATTTACTAATAAATTATAAGTTAAAAGAGGGCCAGAATCACTCCCAGAGGATTTTGAGATGAAACACACCATTACTAAGGAGTAAAGCATTAGCAATATTAAATCAATTGAGAAGGTTTAAACTTTGGATATATCCTAATCCGTTTAATCTTTGGTTCAGCAAGGAATTTCTTTGGACAAAATTGAGGAATTAAAGCAAAAGTCATTAAATAAAGAAATCTATAATGAGTATTTAAAATTGCATAGGGAATAACGATTAAAAAAGGTTAAGGATAAGAAAATCAAACAGAAATTTACTTAGATGAATGAACGATTGAAGGAAATCAAGTAGGAGCCAGTTAAACCTTCTGGAGCTGCTAAGAAATAAGAACCAGATGAAGAACCAAAGCCTGAACCACCAATCGATTATGAGTTTGCAGTCGGAATGTAAGATGATGGATATGAACAGGAATTACCTTTACCTGAAGCAAATGAGACTCTTTTTGTTACTAAGCCAATCTTTCATTATGAGCCACTTATTTAAAATTAATTAAAGGAAGGAAAACAACTGAAACCATTTGAGCCAGATCTTAGAAATATTCAAAAAAAGAAATTCCCATTTGAACCTAAAACACATAGTGAAATCAGAGATACAAGTGCTGAATTGAATGCAGATTAATTACAGAAAATACAAGCAGGTCCTGTTAAAATAGAATTTGGGAATGTTTTCATAAAAAGTACAGTAATCAAATACTTTTATGTAAGAAATGATCTCAGAAATTCTATTAGTGTTAGATTGCATACTGACAAAGAAGATTTTAATTAATCATACATAAAACCTTAGATCATTCCTAGTGGATAGACAGCTTAATTTGACGTTATTCTATGTTCAAAATAGTTAGGATAGATTAAAACACATCTAAAATATGTAATAAATGAGAATCACATATTTGAATTTCTAGTTTAAGCCAATATTGAGAGAGTCTTTTTAGAGATGAATAGAACTCAAATTAAGTTTGGATTTAATGAAGATAACAATGAAATGGAAACTGCTGAAATAGTTCGCTTAACAAATAATGGGAATGCTGAAGCCAAATTTAGATGGATAACAACTGAAAAAAAGATATTTTATGTTCAACCTGACTCAGGTGTAGTGCCAAGTGGTAAATATATGGAGTGTTAAGTCATTTACAAACCAAGTTAATTATAGCCATTGCCTCCAGAAGTGAAATAACCAGTTGGTACATAGTAATAATAACAAGATAAAAATGCATAAGGTTAGCAATAATAATAGACGTAGTAGTAATAATAATAATCAATAACTATACCTTAATAGTAGGCCACAATCGCCACTATTAGGAATGAGGAAGAAAAATTAACATTAAAAACAGAAGACGGATTAGATTAGAACATAAAGTGTACGGGAGTTGTCTCTGAACCTAAATGTGCGATAAAATAAGCTGTCATAGATTTTAAAGAGATAGTGGTATGTAAATAGGAGGCAAAGGTTTTGACTCTTAAGAATCTATCTAAAAGTTCTGCAGTATTTTAAGTTTAAACATCAAAGCTGCCAGAAGGAATCGAAGTATATCCAATCAAAGGAAAAATAAGTTCAGAAGATTCAAGAGATTTATAGGTTAAATTTCTTTCTAAGGATGAAAAAATAGTTAAAGGAGAAATAATCATTTTAATTAGAGGAGGCAAATAACTACAAGTACCTGTTATTGGATCTGCTATAATACCTAAAATTGAAATTGTGGAAGAAGAATTTGATTTTGGAAACATTACTACTTTAGGAACAAGTAATTAGTTAACGATGACTTTGGTTAATAATTCAACGATACCTGTTGATTTAGTTTTAGATTTGAGACATCAAAATGAGAATCCCAGAGCACCGGATGGAATAGATTGCTTAGAAGTTAAACCTTAAGATGAGGATGATACTATTTTGCATTCTATTCACCCTGAGAATGAGGATGAACCTGCTCCAAAAATGGATGAATCCTTGGATAATCAATCTGATAAATCTGAATAAATTGATTTGGAAACTAAGGAGTACAGATCCTATAATTTAACCATTTTACCTGGAACGACTTAGGTGTTTTTGATGAAATTCTCCCCTAAAGATGTAAAACATTATCAGTTTGATATGCCAATCACTCTGGCCAGATTCAATTAGAATTTACCTTCTTTGACTAGAAGAGTGTCTTGTAAAGGACTTAAACCTAAATTCTTAGTGGAACCTCAATCTATAGAGTTTAAGAAAAAGATTATTACATCTCCTGATAAATGCTATCCAACAGTAGAAGAGATCAAACTATCAAATCCAGATAGAAAGGATGTGAAATGGCGTATTGATACTTCCCCATTAAAAATTGAAAAGATATTTACAATAGAACCAAGTGAAGGCATAGTAGCCTCTGGATAATAGGTGAGAATTAGAGTGAAATTCAACCCTTATGGACCAGGAGTATTTTCATCAACAGTCTCCCTTTATATTGAATCAGATCCTGACATTCCAAAGACTTTGCCATATGTTGATTTAATAATTTAAGGATCAGGAGCATATCCCAGATTATTATTCGATAAAAAGGAGGTCATTCTACCAGTAGTGCCTCTGAATGTAGTTTCAAAATGTTCATTCAAGATAATAAATGATGGATATGAGAATTTGAATCTAAAACACAATTGGTCAAGTGAAACAAGCAACTTTTACTTAGAATTAAAGTTTCCAGAAGGGTAAACATTGGGAGTTGCTAAAAGTAAATTAAGGGTTGATGTGTATTTTTCTCATAAAAAGCCAATATCATTTACAACTAGAGCAGAATTTTAGGATGAAGGCAGAGTGTACTCAATATATGTGTCAGGGACGACAGATAACTGTTTATTGACAAATTAGATATACTTGTAGAGAATACAAAAGTACCAAATGGTAGCTGATGAGAAAAAGCCAGTGATGTTCTAAGAAGATGATGGAGCTGACAGTGATAATGAGAAAATGAAACGAAACCATACTATGTCTGTAAAGAGTACAACAAGTTCAAAAGGAACTTCCCATTTAGGATATAGACCTTTAGATGCAGAAACCTAGAATGAAGCTTGTGATTATATTATGAGATGGATGAATTATCATGTTCTCACTTAACCTATGAATAAGTTCCCAGAAGATATTGTAACCAATTTTGGGTAACAAATATTTGAGTTATTAACATTTCTAACAGGCAAGGCCAATTTCCAATATAAGGCTTAGATTGACTAAAATTGGAAACGCCAACAAAAAGCAGAGGCGTAGTTTAAACAATATGATGAACTTGTAAGACAACTGAAAATAGAAGGAGCTCTTCTGAATCACATAAGATCCGAATACTTATTGGGACATAATGATTATAATGCATGGTTAAAGACTGTGCCTAAAGAGAAATACGAGTTTGTACCGGATAATAGATTATAACTAAGCTAAGCTAAGTACAACTACTTACACTATGATGCATGGATTTCAACATTCTATCAAATAATTAAAATATATTATTTAAATAGAATAACAGCAAAATCGTTTAAACAATTGCCAGGCATTCCAACTGAGAGATTGAACATTCCAGATTATTACTTAGATGGATCTAATGTAATCTCTCATGCAGAAGGTGTTATTCTTTGGTTCTATGAGGTTTGTTATGAACAACAACATACAGGTTAGATTAGAAGGTTAAGTAATTTTGCATCCGAATTCAAGGATAGCTTACTTGTAGCTGATGCAGTGACTTAATTCATTGGTCCTAGCATGTAGAAGTTCTTTAGCAATTTAAGGACTAATTTGTAGAGTGAAGATGATTATAGACATAATGCCGATAAATTAATGCCAGCTTTAAGCGATTATGGTTTACAATCACATGTTCAAGCCAGGGATATCTATTATAAACCTTATCCAAGGGAAATGTTGATGATGTTGGTCCAATTGTTTTTCTCTCTTCCTCATTATGTCCCTTAGAAGGAACCCATTATTTTCTAATGCATCTTGGGTGAGGAAGTAATAAAATCGATTGAATTACGAAATCCGACTCCAAAGCCAATTAGTTATTTTGTTAAATATGAGGGACACCCTGACTTTTAATTGGAAGGAGATGAGAGCATTAAAATTGAGCCTGACATACCTTATAATTACAAAGTGAAATTCACTTCTCGTATTTCTCTGCCTGTAACAGGTAGAGTGATTTTCACAAACAAAAAAGAGACGAATGTTTAGGCAGCAGCACTAGTATTTGATTTGAAAAGTAATATCACAGGAAGGAAGTCTGAAAAGTAATGGAATGTCAGTTCAATTTTATATGAGATTTTTGACTTCCAGATCTAAATTACCAATAAATTTCCATAGGATGGTGAGTTCTAGATATAAGTGATACATGAAAAGAAGTAAATAGAACAAAGAGGCAAAAAGAAGAAGGCTCCTCCAGCAAAGGATGCTCCTCTTGAAGAGGAATTCCCTTCATTCTTTTGCACAATTGACCGACAAAGAATCAGGAAGAATTAAACTATCAATCTATCATTGACCTATATTCCATTAACAATAGACACACACAAATGTTCTCTGATATTTACAGATCCAAATGTGGGTGAATTCTAACACGATTTATAAGGAACAGTTGAATAACCGAATATCATAGGTGAATTTAAACCAGACAAATCATTGTATGTTGATAGCACTTAAACAATATCCTATACGATTCCATTTAGAAATGAATAGTTAGCTCGTGCTCGTAGTTAGATTCAACAATTGGTCTAGATGAAATAGAAAGATAGATATTTAAAAGGTGACAAACAAGCCTCAAGTTTAACAGCCTCTAAAATCAATTTCCCAGGTTCTAATTTAGATATCATCACTTTTGAAGTAGAAATATATCCACCAACACAATACTTGAATCTACCACCTACACTCTAAATAACAGACTTAAATAAATAGACAAAAAAGCCAGGCACTGAGAATATTGATTGTAAATTACCAATTCTGTATGCTTTCAAGAATGCAACCAAAGACTTTAGTGTCATTCTAACTCTAAGAAATAAATTCGATATTAGAAGATATAAATTATCGGCAATAGTGTTACCAAAGATTGTTAAGGCCATGTTAGAATTTAGGGTACCTGCAAGATAATCTGTAATATAAGAAATTCCGATTGTAAATCAAACAGATAGGGATTGGCAAATAAAAGTTCAACTTTCAGAATCAAAAGGTTTATTCTAATGTCCTTAAAGAGACTTTTTTGTCAAAAGAAAAGCCACTAGTAATTTTCCAATTACTTTTAGTCCATCTTGGCTATAGGAGTGTGAAGCTAAATTAGTATTAACCAATCCAACGACGAATGATGTTTTTGAGTATGATCTAAAAGGTTATGGGGAAGAACCAGTAGCAGAAGAACATATCATTCTAAATTGCTAGGCTAGAAAAGTAACAAAGAAGGAAATTGAATTGAGGAACCCAACAGATAAACCAATAATTTATGCTGTTGAAACAGATTTGATCTATGCCACAGGACCTTCATAAATAGTTGTTTAACCATAAAAGAAAGCTAACTATGTATTGCAAGTGTAACCAGTCCTAAGTGGCCAATACACAGGATCAATAACATTTACAGATGAACAAGGACATTTTTTATGGTACACAGTATTCATGAACACTGAATCTCCGAAATCAGTTCAAACACTTGAAGTTTCTTGTTTGATAAGATAAGCTACAGTCATTCAATTAACACTGGCTAATCCTCTTACAGAAACTGCAATTTATGAGGTTATGATAAATGGAGAAGGTTTAATAGGAGAAGAACAATTTGCAATTGGTGCTAGAAAGGAAGCTGGATATGAATTGACCTTTGCTCCATTAAAAATTGGTAGGTGGAGAGGAAGTGTTGCATTTGTAAATAGATTATTAGGTGAAGTGTGGTACGAATTCATCCTCACATGCGAAGACCAGCCCATTGTGAGATTGAATGTCTTAAAAGCCTCTTTGGGTAAGGTTGAATAATAGGTAGTCGTACTCGAAAACCCATCTGATTAAAAGATACAAGTCTAATGCAGAATTACTAATCCTACTAATTTTGATATATATCCAGATTAACTCTAAATATAACCCTATGATTCTTTGAAGGTTGCACTTAGATACACCCCATCCTCATTAGATATCATAGAACAATCAGACATCATATTTACTTCTCCCATAGGTAAATGGCACTATTTGGTCTTTGGAAGTGGATTACCTCCTACCAAATTCCCAGCTACCACTGTTAGTATTGGATTAAACAAAGATTACAGTTCAGTCATTCATTTTAAAAACCCATTCAAAGAACCTATTCAAGTTTCTATTTCATTAGATGCAGAAGGTCACAATCAAGAAGTTTTTAAGCTATTGCTTGTCAGAAATCAAAAAAATGATAAAACTCTTGTTCCAGGGATGAATGTTCTACAAGTTCCTTTCTCATTTGTACCCAGAGAAATTACAAGCTATTATTGTGAAGTTGTCATCTCAATGAATGAGAAGATTTAATGGCATTTCCCTGTTAAAGGAGTCACTGAATCTGTCTCTACTTAGACTCTTTTCCATTTCAAGGCTAAATGCAGGGAAAAATGGGAAGATGAAATTAAAGTAGGTTTGTAAGGAATTGCATAGAGTTTATAAGCAGATGATAAATTTGACTTTGAGTTGGGTGGAATGCCTTTGGATTTATAGACCATGATTTAAAAATGCTTTACTATTAAGTGTCTCAAAAATCACCTTGATAGTCCTCATGATAATTTGCTTTATTTTGTAAGGTTTCAACCAATGAAACCCTTCAAGACTTCTATGGAGTTTATAGTACTCAGACAATCAGGAGGAAGATGGAAATATAAAATTCAATTGGAAGCCACAGAACCTGAGGAAGATGATACTATTTTAATTAGTTCTCCTCTTAATAAAACGACAAGTGTCTCATTTAAATTAACAAATAAAACAAAAAACTATAGTAAATTTACTGCTGCCTTCTCTCCTGAGTCAGATGCTGAATTTTCAGTCATACCTAAAATTGGAGATCTAGAACCTTATGGTAGAGAAGGGACTACCTTCATTATTAGTTTCACACCAGTTGAATATGGCAAAATTAGAAAGGGTAAATTGATAATTTAGACTGAAGATATGTATTGGTATTAAATTCAAAATAAATCTTAGGTCTTATTCTATTAGAGGAGTCTTACCAAGATATGTTCCTCCTTAGATTAAATAATCTTTAGTCGATAACAGATAATAATAATAATAATAATCTTAAATTCAAATGTCAATGACCTTGAGTAGAAACTTTGTTGTGGATAATATAAAGAAAGCAAGGCAATTATCGCCAAAAAGTGCTCGTAATTAATTGAGTTTACCATTAATTGAAAAAAAATGATAAATTATGTAGTTTATTATAAATTATTTATGTTGATTTTATGAGAATAAACAACAATTTTAATAGAAAATTATTAAATAATCTATATTAAATAGATAAATTCATTTAAGATTTATTCATTTTTAGGGAAAATATCTAATTTAATTAATAATAAATTTACACAAAAATTCCCAATTTAATTTTATTATATTTGTTAGACAAGCAAGAGTCTGCCCAATCAAAGTTATCATATGTGTAATATTTGAAGATCATCTGCTCTTCTAAATTATTAGACTATCATTTTGTAATTTGGCTCTTATTTTAATTCTAGTCTTCTAATGCAATTTAAATTAGAAATTTGAATGATACTCAAAAATGCATTAAGATTCTATACAATAATCTTTAAATATTTCATGTTCCATAGACAATTACATTTCTCCAACTTTCTTTGCTCTTTCTTCATCTTATAAACAATCATATTTTGCCAAGGTAACTATCTTATTAATAAATGTTTAATTACCCATTCAAAAAATACAAAACGACATTCATCAAAGATTCTAAAATCATCTTTACGCCCCAATTTATGTCCCATATGTGCTGGTATCAAAGCATATCGAGTTTTACCTAAAAAGGATTTTTGATCTTTGAATTATCTAAATTTAGATGTCGACTAAAATTCTATATACATATACATTCTATTTGAATCTCTTTAAATTTTGCTAATCCCAAGATCTATTAAAAATATCTTCAAATTCTCTTTGTCCACTCCTAATAAGATATTTTGTGGTTCAAATGTTTGATTAAGATATTTTTGTTACTTTATCCTATAATTTATTGTAGTTTATGTGAATATGGGAGTGCGATATATCATTATGGAGAGTCTTTTTACATATGCAATGTTGAATTTTTCTATAATAATCTTAATCATTTCTTTGCTGAAATTCTAATTAGTAGGGAATATCTCTTATATAGAAATAAAGTATGCTCAAAAAAAGAGAAAAAACATCAAAAGAAGTCAATGTTTTGACTATATGATCTGAGGTCTTAGGCTTGGCAACAATAGTTTCAAATTATAATTTAGTATATTTAAATTAAAATCTAAATCAATGTCAAGGTTTTTTATTATTTCTAAGTCATTACTATTTCTATATTGCATAAATGGTTCAGATCTTTATTTTACTATGACTGAATTATCCAATCTTTAGTAATATTAATTGTTTAAACGCATGATATATTTAGCAATCAGTGCTTAAGAAAAATTAGAATTTATTTAAAGGAGAAAATAGAAATATATAGATATCAATATAATCAACAATTAGATGAGATATTTTACTTTTTGATAAATATAAAAAATTGAATCTCAAAATTATTAAAGAGAAAGTTCTTATTTTTATTTTTTCATATCATAAATCTTAATTTATTATTAAAATATTGTAGCAATAGATGGATTCAATTGTCTATATTTTGATTTCATGTAAATTCTTTCTTAAGCATCAATGATATCGCTAACTACATATTAGTATTGGCTTTCAATTTCATTTTTCCTTTACTGATATAAATATTATGATGTTACTTTTTAAAAGTTTGATTCGCTTGAAATGAAACCTCTTATTCTTTAAAGTAATTCGTATTATGGTGAATTTGGGATTAGATTATTAGATAACAAAATAAAATAAAACTCTATCATATAATCATAGATATTACTTGTTTAACTATCATATTATATCAAATATTAAGCAAATGAGGTAGACATAGACAGAATTGAAGATTATTACCTCTGTCTACTTAAAATAAATTTTTCAATTCTGCTTCTTTCTTCAACCCAAGCTTTATCACTGTTAAATCCTTTCCTTATGAGCATAAGAAAGTATTATTTTTTTAAATCATACATTAAAAATCCTTTAAATGCCTTTTAATCAACATCCTAAGTATATTGTTTGTATTAAGAAAGTGTTTCAATATTTTCTTCTGTCACACATGTAAAAGATTTTAATTTTGATATTTGTTCCTGATCCACATCCAAATAATTTATTTTAGGTAAGCTGAGAGAAAAAATGTTTGAAAGGTTCAATTTTTCTTCATATTTTTTAATGATTCTATCAATTTGATACTTCTATTATAGTTCAAGTTCAGTTGTATTGATCTATTAAATAACTAAGACTATTACAGTCTAATAATGAATAATTTCATAAAGATGAGAGTAAATTTAAAGTAATAGTTCATTTTAAAATATTTCTTGGACGTGTTAGTTGGAAATTAAAATTAATACCCGATCTAATATGAATAGTACTTGTATTACTTTTGAAAATATCAAATTTACCTCTCACTGCACCAAAGTTTGATTTCATTTATAGCAATTTATCTTCAAGAACATTCTATTTATGCAGTTATAGCTTTATTTCTTTGAGAAGAGCCTACCATTCATTATCAAATTCAATATCTCTACTCATTTACAAGTAAAATGATGAAATATTAAAATCATAGATCAAAAATGCACGAAACCAATTCATCATTTACTAATATTTTAATTTTTATCAAAAGGAGTTTATTTACCCAAAAATTTAGATATGGATATATAATAATGGTAATTATTCTGATTATAAATTAATTTCTTTATATTCAATTATTATTATGATTAAATTGTTCCTTAATTAATCAAGATCAATTTTACCTTTACCCTAAAATATCTTGAACATCCAATCAGTATAAGTAAATATTAATAAAGGGAATGATTATGATTCAAACATATATTATAAATTAACTTTAAGACTATTAACTTTACATAGATGAATGGTTATCTTATAAAATTTGATAATGAATGAGATTCTATTTATTGATTATAAGATCACTTCAATTTGGTTTATGAAATAATAAGTAAAATACAAATATCGAAAAATAATTAATAAGTGAAAATCTACAGAGATCATTTTATATAAAACCATCAAAACAAATTTAATAATGCTTTATCTGTCAATGAGTTATTGATTATATGTTGATAACCTTAGGAGATACTTGAAAAAATATAGAAGTTAATTATATTTTGAAATGTGAATAAATTTATATATAAATATACATGTAATAACTGAATAGCAACGACGAAACTTCTTCAATCGATGAGAACATTTCTAAATATTATCAAATAATAGAGTTTAAAGGCAAAGGAGCTTATGGGATAATTTGGAAGGCAATCGATAAATAAACAAAGAAAATTGTTGCTTTGAAAAAGGTTTTTGTGATAAATATCGTAAAAGGTTTTTGACGCATTTTCAAATGATACAGATGCACAAAGAACTTATAGGGAAGTGATATATCTCTAGCAATTGACGTAACATGAGAATATTGTGAAATTGCTGCGTGTACATAGAGCTATGAATATGAAAGATCTTTACATGACTTTTGAATACATAGAATCAGATCTTCATAAAGTATAATATCTTTTAAATTAAGGTAATCCGAGCGAATCTCCTATAGATATAGCATGTTATTTATATACTCTACTAATTGCTCAAATGTCTAAAATATATTCATTCAGGAGGATTGATTCATAGAGATTTGAAGCCTTCAAATATATTGATAGATTAAGAATGCAGAATAAAGTTAGCTGATTTTGGATTGGCAAGGCTGGCAAGTGAAATGGATGAAACAGCAGTGATGACGGAATATGTAGCCACACGATGGTACAGAGCACCTGAAATTCTGTTGGGATCTCCTTTATATTCAAAGGCTGTGGATATGTGGAGTGTGGGATGCATTCTGGCAGAAATGATAATGTGCAAATCCCTTTTTGCAGGATAATCAACTTTAAATTAATTGGAAAAAATTGTAGAAGTAATTGGTAGACCTTCTCAAGATGATCTAAATTAAATCAATGCTCCTTTGGCTGATAAGATCTTTAGGGAAATTTAAAACTCAAGAAGAAGGCCCTTAACATAGTTTATCAAAACACAAGATGATATAATAGACTTCATTCAAAAGTGTCTAACTTGGAATCCCTATAAAAGAATGACAATTGAAGAGGCCTTTTCCCATTCTTTGTTGAATGAATTTAAAGGATCAGAATCTGAATTAACATATCCAGGTTAAATCAAAATTGATTTGCCTGAGAATGTTAAATTTGATAGAAAGAAATATCGAGAAATCCTATACAAATTGGATATCAATTATCAAAAATAGCAATATATAAGATCATTAATTTAGGAAGATCAAATCCCTACGACTCTGAAAAATAACAAAAGATTTCCTCATTAGTACTAAACATAATTCAAACCTGTAAACAATGGAATCGAAATGAGATAAGTAAGAAAATCCAGATCTTCTATAAAATAACACACTCAACCACAACAGTATCATTCATAATTAGATATCTAAAATCAAATACTGATTAGTCAATCATTACAATAGTAGAATTAGTATCCTACTAAATAAAAACAATTGCAAAACAGAATTAAAACTCTACCTGAAAATCATGTTGAGAAAATAGTTCCTATAGATCCCAAAAGTCCTGTTAGAGGCAGATATTTTTCATAAAATAAAATACCTTAACAAACTCAGATGGTTACATCGACTACTCCTACAAGGAGCAAATCAATGAAAAATAGAAAGTATAATGATTCTTTGGATTTCAATTCCTATCTTAATAATAGTTCCACAATGTAAAAGTTATTGACTGCTTATTTGAATCCGAAAAGACCTACTTAATACAATTTCAAAAAAATTGCCATCAGAAACAAAACTAATATGGATAAGACTTTCATAAAAAAGCATATTGCATCAATACACAATATAGATGCTGCTAGTGTGATCTCCCTCTTAAAATGAATTAATCATATTTTTAATTATTAAATTAACTTTCTCTTATTTAGTCCAATTGATAATTAAACTATATAAATAATTACTTATCATGGAAGCAAGAAATCATCACAACCAAAAGACAACGCAGCCATCCATACACACAAAACACTCTAGCAAATAATATTCTATCAAATCTGAAAACAGAATCAAAACATCTCAAACTGATCTTCCTAAATAAATTGACACTTAAAAAATAATGAGTGATTTTTATGATTAATGCAAAAAAAGACAAAGTAAGTTACTATATCCCTATGAAGGAACCCAAAATTTCATACACCAAAGAAATAAGTCTTAGTAATTGCAAAATGATTCTTTGTTGCAATCCATTGATAGTTGTCCCTCCTTCAGAAATTAAATAAGGACAACCCACAACTCCCCACCCAATAAGTACCTCTTATTCAACACTTGCGAGAAGATTTTAAATCAAAAAAGCAATGGATCTAAACGCATCTAAACCAAATAGGCAGAAAAACTGTTTATGCAATAAATAAATTAAAATAATAGAGCAGAATTATTAATAAAAATAGAGCATTATATAAGAGATTTTTTCACTGAAGAGTGTAGAGAAATGGCTAATTTATTTGATACTTTTATGAGAGAACTAAATTATTAAATATAAGATTAAAAATATTAATTAACCTTACAAGAAAAACAATTAGAAATTTAGAAAATAGATGAAATCATTAGAATGAACAATAATCATGTATGGGCACACGAAGATATGGAAAAATAATTGCTTTCCTTAAAATCCTAAAATATGGATCAATCAACATTAATTAAGAAAAATGAGAACGATGTCAAAGACTTGCAAGCCAAAATAAGTCAATAAAAACATTTACTTGAATAAAAACAAAATGAAATCCTGATCAAAAACAGGAAAATTAAAGAATTGGGATATGAAGTACTATAATTACAAAGAAAACTTGATTACTTAGAAAATAAGGCCCTAAAAGATAACAGATCATCAATCTAATAAGTCAGATATTCTATGTTTCAAAGCTAATAAATTGGATCCAATTCAAATCTCAGTCAACAAGGCAACAATACCTCTAATAAGGAAAACAAGTTCACTCCATTAATCGAAGAGCAACAAGAGGATTCCTCTGTTTCAATCACGGAGTAAGAAGATGAAGAAGAAAAAGAGTTAAATTAAATTGAATTTAATACTGAAAGAATTGTTGAAACCAGAGAAAAAGAATCATAAGTCGGACCAGATCTAATTATTAATTATACACCAATGAAAGAAGTTTAAACCCAATTAAATTTGACAGATAAAAAATTTGATGATTTGACCTAAGATATTTGTGAATAAGCCATCAATTTTATTGATTTTTTAAACATTTCTAAAGATAAAACCGAAACTGATTTATCTTAAGTAAATATTTCATTTATGAACATCAACACTGTTGATAAATTAAGTGAGGAAGATATCATCAAATTTGTTGATCAACAGGTTTCTCAATATGGAATTCCATAAAGCACATCCTCTCTTGTGAAGTAGCCTTCCATGAGGGCAAATATGAAACGAGCTTCTATTATTTTAGACAAATAACCACCTTAAACTTAATAAACATCCATCAATAATTCTAAAGTTAAGTCTATGATTACATTTATCAAATTTTAAGGAATTAAATTATTACAATTAGAAAACAATCTTAAAGAAAGCAATTCCACAACAGAAGAATTAAAAAAGGTTAATGATAATTTGGTGATCTAAAATAAAGAGCTCAAAGATCAGAACTCTAAACTGATTGAGTAAATAGCTGGTCTCCATGTTAAAGTATCAGATTTGGAAAATTAAATTATGTCCGATGCTATGGATCTCAATTAAGTGCTTTAATAATAGGAGAAGAAACCATAGAACTAAAAAGTTAACACATTAGCTTAAAGGAAAAATAAAAAGGCAGCACCTTAATTGGGGTAAAAGGTATATAAACATGATTCTATTTGTAGGTGACAATCAGCTATGACTTTTAGAAAAATTAGTCAAAATTGCTTATTGAAAAAATAAAATCTAAGTCGATGGGGAAATTTAGTAATTTCTTACCTCTTAAACTTGTACTCAAAATGATAAGTACATTCTATTTTGAAAAAATAACGAATTAAAAAGAAAATAAACTACTGAGAGATTAAGATATGTCAGCATACATTTATAATTACTATTTACAGCAATTTGGATATACCAAAGTTACTGAATAGAGATTCATGATTTTAGTTTTATCAGTGAAGAAATATATACAAATTGTAAGAGTTAATATGTTTGCTAAATTTATGAATTTATTAGAGGAGAAATCAAACTATAGAGTTGAAGAACTATAAAGATACTTAGAGGCATTAGAATACGTGTAGAATATTTAAAATCTTGGGATTACGATTAAAGACAATGAGTCGGAATAAAAGCATTATATTCCATATGTGAGAGCTCTAGCATATTTGGGATAATTATAAAATTTTAATTTCACTTAGGAGGAGTTAAATTATTTAAAATAGGATTTGGAAAATTAAAAAGAAAATGATCCAAAAAATATCAACAAAGCAGGAATTGTTGATTTTGATCTACTTATGATTAGAGTATTAACCATATTTAGAAATAATGTTGAAAAAACTAAATTGTATGTAATTAATGCATTTGCGGCATGTGATCTTGATGGGAATGGTATGTGTAATTTGGATGAATGGCTGCTTTTGATTAGACATATTGAACCAGACAAATTTGAAGAAGATAAATTTGTAGACATTTTTGAAGAATATGCTGACTTATTAGAGGATGATGAAAAAAATCTTTCTTTTGACAGATTCTCTATATTATGTATGGAACATGAATTATTTAGTGATGCCTAATAAAATAAGTTTCTTAAAGTTAAAAGTATATTTAATTACTAAATAATAAGATAATGCTGATGCTGAGTAAAAGTTTGAGTAGTTAAAAGAGAATTGGATATAAGTGTATACTGAATAGATAAAGAGATTAAATGAGCTCAAAATGGAAGAAATTGACAAACAAAAGTGGCAAAAAATCCTCAGTGTTTTGGACAGAAAAATAGCTTAAGAACACAATAGTAAAAAGCCACTTCTTATAGCCTTTAAAATCTTTCTAGATGAGTCTAAATGAAAACTATCCTGTAATTAAAAGAAAGTATATGTTTGTGATAATTTAATCAAATATATTTTAAATTAGTTGCATTTGAATATCTTTAACATGTTTAAGATCTTATGATTAATAATTTATGTCACGCATGTTAACTAATAAATTTTTCACTCAATTAGATTATTAATCTATGAGAATGTCTTTTTTCAAAATATTTTAAATATTAAATGATATAAGTCACAAAATTAAATTTTTGGACCAAATACTAGAAATAACTTTCTTCCCTGATTTAAATGTGCCAGGTCCATTTATCATATTGTCTTTAAATTATCCTTCAAATCTAAAATTAATTATATTGATTTACCTATCTCCATTTGTAAATATTAATACACCTTTTCCTTATTTTTTATCAAAGGCAAAGTCTCCTGAATAACTAATCCAGCAATCACCAATGGAGGTCAAATCTTCATAATTGATATCTTGACAATCTTTAGGATTTTCATTAAATAGCATTCCCTTACCTTAAAACTTCCCATTGACCCAACATCCTTAATATGCAAGTTTCCCTGAAGGATAATATAATGATCCATATCCATTCATAACATCATTTTGCCACTGTCCAATATAGAAACCTCCGTCGCTGTAATAAAGACTTCCTTGTCCATTTTTTTTTTGATTCCTCTTAAATCCTTCATAAATAGAGCCATCTAGATAAGTCTCACAAATATATTCTTCATTTTAGAAATTAAATTATTTGGATAAAGTATTGACATCCGATTCTTGTTCTCTATAAAATGGATCAGATTATAAATCTATTTATAAGCCTTTAGAAAAGGACTTCAAATCTTCTGATCCAGTGGATGAGGTTTCCGATTATTTTTCTGGACTTTTACGATACAAATACACTTATGAAGGTTACTATTAGTATTTGTGATTAAAATATGTGGCTCTGATTTATTCTATTTTTTCTTATAAAACACTTTAATTATTAGATCTAGTAGTAGAAATAGGGGTGATATTTTCCTTTTTTTGAGAAATAGCATTTGAATTGATAATTAAATTAGATTAGGCTAATGGAATGAGTGGCAGTGGTTAACTCTATTAAGTCTTTGTAATTTATTGTTATTAAGAAATGGCTTCATAATATTTTGATTGTTCTTAAATAGAGAAATTAGTTGGATGTTGCATATTTTCTGGCTACATTTGGAAGGCTGGTTCTAACCTTATAATTTATCCATTTAAATCATCTCTTAATTGAATGAAAGTTGGCCTTTGGATTCCTCCGAAGATGCATAGCAAGCATTACTTTAAGAATGGTTCATTGATTTACTCTAATAAATGATTAAAAAGGTGAGTATTTAAAGTTCCATCCATGTTAACTAAGTTGGTCATTAAATTGAGTGTAATCATTTCTAATAGTATAATTCCTATTGGCCATGATGAATATACAGAGCCAGATTGGTCTTTGTAATGTGGCTATTGGGGTGATTTAAGATTGAATATGTATGGGTCCATGATCTTGAGGATTTTATCAAAAAGCAATGTGTTGGACGATAAATTATACTGGATGTTGAACGTTTGATAAATTGCCATGGCTTCAATTAATTATTTTAAGTTGTAGACAAGTTCTTGGTTAGTAAAGGTTTAAGAGGTTATACGTCTTCTTCTTATCTCATTTGATAAGTCAATCTCACTAAATTCTGTATAGATTTTTATTGTATTATTGGAGTTGCAAAAGATTCCAGAGTCATCCTTTTGGACAGCATGAATTTTAAGGAAAATTGGTTCTATCATATTCTGTTCTTTAAGTCTAATAAAATTAGTCAGTGTGCTGACTTGTTCATCTGTTAACTATATTTTTCTCTCTAATATGCCACATGGGTAATGAGTTCCCATTTTTGTTTACTTGAGAGGTTAACCCAACATCAATGATGATTGTGAGGTTCCCATAATTAATATGTTTCTGTTAAATTTAATAAATGAACAAAGTTCATCCAAACTGCTTCAATGAAAGGGATGATTGAAAATTTGAGAAATAAAATACTCTATATCTCAATTACTTTTGTTAAATACCATCCTTGGATAAGGTAAATTAGCATATAAAATAGAATGACCTGATTTTATTGGTTTAAATTCTAATTTTTAAAATCTTTGAAAAAGCATGAACTACACTATAACATCTCTTTATTAGAATTAGCTATAATTTAAAGATTCCTTAAGAAATTTGAAATTGCACATTCCAAATATTGGAGTATTGGGACTTTCATAAAATATGATAATTAGAAAGGGAATTAAATGAATATCGTAGTTATTGTAAATAGTAGAATTAGAATGCAAAGATGATAAAATATTACTATTACTATTTGATTTCATAATTTTATTTAATCTTTACAATTTCTATTAGATTATTTTAGATAACTTAATCCCTAAATTAATAAATTATTTTTGCAAAAAAGTGAATGCAACTATCATTTGATATTAAATTTAAGAGTAAGAGTATAATAGCTACTCACTGATTAGATTCATAATTTATTAGAATGTGAATTAAAATGAGAACTAGAATCAAATTTATTATCATTATTTTATAATTTTTAATTTGAAAATAATTATATAAAAACCAATATAGAAATGGATTTTATTGATTAAGAAGACTATGATTTACCTATAGATTACGAAGATCTTTTCTTCAATACAAATATTTTTAATAACCATCCAACTCCAGATCATAGTATATCTACAGAAGATTTGGAATAAAAGATTAAGGATGACAGAAAACAAAGGATTCTAAAAAAAAGAATTGAAAAAAAATAAAAGGTTAAAACAGAAGTAGTTTAAACTATGTCCAAAGATGAAATGAGGAAATTAAGAAATAGAAATTCTGCTCAGTTATCAAGAGATAAGAAAAAAATTATATTTGACAATCTAATTCAAGAAAATAAGTCTTATTCTAATATGTTACAATAGAAGGATGAATAAATTTAACTATTGCAACAAGAAAATACTAGTTTAAGATTAAGAGTTCAACATTTGGAGGAAATCACGTAAATTATAAAACATAAAACTAGTTAATAATATAAATGTATTCATAGGGTATAAGATGATGGTGTATAGATATAAAGGGTGAATGCAGAAGCATAATCAAAAATGATGAATTATGGAGTGATTTCTCTTTTAGCCATTGCATGCATATTGTCAGTGATTAATAATGATTATCAATACAATCCAAAACCAATTGCTTTATCATAATTATCAAATTAGAAATATGATTTTTTGGCTCCAAAAATATCACAAAAGAATCAAACCTCTTTATTTAATTAAGAATCTAATTTCACTATTCCAACTCATACATTCCAGAATTAAACGCTATTTTACAATTGCACAGGAAAGGATAAGGAATGCCAAAACTTTTTAAACATTGTAAAGGCAGAAAATGCAGATAATATTTACTTTGTAAATGATGAAACTGATCACACACCAGCTGATCGGACTCACAACTTTGAAATGGGAGAGAATGTTTACTTAATGAAGATAAAACAGGATGATGAGGATAATTTTATCATTTTGAGGGCAAGATGCCAAATAACAGAGAATAACTCTCTTGCTCTGGGGAGGAATACTTATGAAGAATATAATAATAATTAACAGTATTGAATTACTTTTTAATTTTTTAATATATAATTCAGCTAACTCTAATTCTATTAGCATAATTAAATTTAAGATAATAGTTAGTATGGAAGCCTTTGAACATATGCCTAGATAAAAACCAATAGAAAGGAAACAAATCATGATTTTATGCGAAGACTTGAGTCATAAAAATGAAATAGTCCAATATATATTGTTAAAGCCTAAAGCTGATGTTAGATCAAGACTTCTTTGCAGAAAGTGCATTGAGGGTAAGTTTAATTAACAAACCAATGAAATTTGTCTAATATCTGAAGTAAGCCTACTTAATATTTTAGGTTCTGGATGACCCTTATAAAGTGTTAAAGTATTCAAATTATTAAGGGAATGTTAATTAGATATTGAATGATTTTCTTCATTCCTATGATTTCTCATTTGATGTTGATGCAATTCGTTATGTAAGATAAAGATTAACTTTGATAGAAAATTGAAGAAATCAGATAAAGATTTTTATACCATCTTGATGAATTAGAAAAAAAACTAATAGAAAAATATGAATAATATTAAGGCACTAAGGCTCAGGTGGATAACCTTAAAGCCAAATTTGAATCAGTATGAAGTTGTAAAAATAAGAATAGTACTTTGACATTACTAAGCTTGAAGAAAGTTTGACTTAAGCAGGAATGCAGTTTGGCAAGCTTACAACCAAAGATAAGTAGAAATTGAGAAAGGGTGTTAATGACTATGTGGCTTAAATACATAGGTTGAATTAAGATTAGGCCGACTAGGAAGTATATAAGACTTAATTCAATGTAATAGATCAAAATAAAAGGAATTTAGCTGAAAAGGAATCATAATTAAGGTATTATGTGTAATGTTAAACTAAAGACTCTAAAAAGAAAAATTGGATTAAGGGTGTGAGAAAATAATAAAGGAACTTTAGAATATGGAATAGACCTACAGCACACTCAATTTTAGATAGTCTGAATTAAGTACAACTTACATGGATGAGTTTATGGCAAGGGTGAATCACAACTTTAAGTAACGAAACAATTTTATGGACAAAATCAAAAGGATCTACTAATCAAAATATGACGGATTGAATCCATTGAAAGTGCATGAGAAAATCATATCTTTGGGTTAATGGAATACCTAGACACTACTGTTTTTATTTTAGACTTCTTCTTAATAAGTATTTGGGGTATACGTTTCTTCAAATTCCTCAGAAATATTTCATTAAAATAAAAAATAGGAGTTCGTAATAAAAAGAGGAGTCGATCCTTTGACTTTGAATTACAGCAACAATCAGGCTGATGTATTGTTGACATTCGGTAAGGGTGATATCATAATTAAATCTTCATTTAATGGGTGCCTTTCTGATTTGGGAGAAGGGTTTTAAGATAAACCAGAATATAATATTGGGAACTTGAAGAGATATTTGGCCAATTAAGACTATTTTGACATTGTTGAGATGGAAATCTTTTAAATATTGAAATGAAAATAATATTCATTTTAAAACATATATATATATAATTGACTTTTCATTCATCAGCTACTACTGAATAAACTGATGGTGCTCTAGAATTGATGTTTTTTTCGTTTTTTCTGAAATAAATGATGAATCCAATGAATGCAAGACTGAAGATGAGTCCAAATGTCAATGTGACATAGAAGATAACATCCTTGTGTTTTTCAAGATCTTTGACATCTTGGAAATGTTCATTCATCTGATCTTCTGTATACTCATAAGTGATGGATCTTTGGGCAAGGGGGACGAATAATTCATCATTTAGAGGTTCTTGTTGTAATGGACTAGTATTATCTACTTTTAGCCAATAGATGTATGTTTTAGTAAATGAAACGACTTTACCAGTAATTGCTTCAATAGTGTAGTATGATTCAGGAACATTCACTAAGTATTAATTACATGATTTTCCATTGATGGAAGCACAACCATCGAGCGATACTTCACCAATAGTCAAAATGATTGGCATATCTGTGTAAGGTTCCAGAGAGATGATTTGATCTTCTACTTTGTATTTAATTACATCATAACCCTTATGAGTGGTGGTTTCATGGTAATGTAATTTAAGGTCCTTATGAATATCGAAATCAAAGATGGTTAATTCCTTCTAGAATTTAGCTATCAAATCAGGCTGGAATGCATAACCATAACTGCCAGAAACATTCACATTCTTCCCATAAGGATAATTGTAGGATTGAGTGGAGTATTCAGTTTATGGATTATAATAGATAGTACTCTTTCTTTTGATTTTTGATTCATCCAATGTTCTCTTGATTTACCCAACATTTGCTATATCTTTGATACCAGTATCCATTTAGTAAAAGTCATACATGGTGGCGAACTTTAAGAACTCCTAATTATTTGGTTCTAGGAGATGAGCACCATTGTCTCTAAAGTTGCTGCCCTCATAGATTGGTTCGAATTCAGCTACTCTGTCAGTGAAAGCATTATCATAGTCGAATAAATATTTGGATGGTTAGGTTACAATCATATGGCCACCATACCAATAATTTGTGAGACAGTGTTTCAAATACTTGATGAGCAACTTCAATTGTTCACCTTTCAAAGGGAACTTAGGACTCAACTCTTTTGTACTATTGAAATGATGTTCATATAGGTTTCTTAACGAATAATATCCAAATATTCCTCCCATGTCAAAATTGAATAGTTGTTATTGTACCTTCTCAGTTATTTTTTCACCACAAAATGCGAAAAACTCATAATACACAAATGGTTTGTCTGCATAGATATCCCATTTTGAAATCGTATTTGTTTTATCACTATCCCAAAACGCTAATTCTTTTGGATAACTTTGAGTGACTGAACCATATCCCCATTACTTAAACCATAACTCTTCTGCCTAACAGACTTAGTAAATGCACTTATAATGTTTTGAGATTGCCAAATGAAACTCATTCATGGCTTTTGAAAAATCTGACATCCCATCAGTTAAGTAATCCCACAATACTTACTCATTGGCTTTCAGTTCTTTCATCAAGGTCTTAAATGAATTTGATTGTTTTTTTTCAAAAGCAGCGTTGACCCAAATCAATGCATTCTTTGCATTCAAAGTGAAATCATACTTGCCACCACAAGCATCTTGGAATGGAATGAAATAATCATCTTCACATTTGATGCTTTCGAATTTATAATACAAGGCTTTGGCATATAAACCATCTCTCAACATGACACCTGCCTCATATATCATCTTGCTCATGAATCTCCAAGTTTAAAAGGCATAAGTGTCTTCAATATTGTTAATATAGTCATAATGAGTATTTAGATACTTGATTAAATTCCTAGACTTTGTGAAATTGTTTTCATTGTCAGTTTACCACACTAGTTTGTTTGAAACTCTTTCAAGAAAATCTCTATTCTCCCAAATGTATTACATAGTATTGAATCCCAAAAGATTTGGCATCTATTCAAATTATTGACTGATGATATTCTTAACATCATCATATTAATATTCAGATCCACCTAAATAGAATTCGTAACTTTGAGGGATTGAATCATTAAATTTAGAATAACTTCCACCTGAGAATGTAACTGGTGGAACAAAGTCTTTTGCTGTTAAACCACCAAATGCCCATTGAATGATTCCTAATTCCCACAATGTGCATTCATTTTTCTTTAAGCAAGATCCTTTTTATTATCCTTACACTCCTGTAGAAACTGAATTGATGATGAGTTTTCTGAGTTTGTTGATTGTCGATCCTTTTCCAATTAGTTAATTCATCTGGTCATCAGACAAGGAAAAATAAAGTTGGAGATTACTATCTCCTCCATTGAAATATGCTCTAATCCATTTTGAGAAACTAACTTCAGAACTCCATCCATATTATTCATCATTCCACATTTTGTTTTGTGTCTCTTGACTACACATATTGTGATTATTTATACTTAATTTTGGCTGGGGTGAATATGGTATCAAAAACCAATTGTTAATCCGATGTGTAGAAATCAAAGATGGTGTGAGTAAAGTAGTAATTCATGAAGTCCTCAGACAACCCTCTAAAGATCATGTTCAAGTATCTGGGCAACTTAGCGAAGGCAGGTTGATTGAAACTCTTGTAAAAGTATTAGATTGCTGCAATGTTCAGGTTTGTAATAGAACTAGTTGGATCTGATATTTTCTCAAACTTAAATTTGGGCAAAAATTTAATGAATCCCAGAGACTATGTTTATAAACAAATGTATTACTGAAGGAACATAAGTTCTATTCGATAATTCAGATACATAGGAATAATTCAATGATTCATTCGTACTAGCAAACATTATTCCTGACTGATGAGTAAAAAATTAAAAGGTATTTATTTCCTTCACATCCTTATATCCTGGAGTAGCTCCCCAATTCAAAGCATTAGCACTAATTATCGATTAAATACTTACTCTGTCAAGATCGACTTTTTTTGTATCAGAGCATCCTTGTCTTAGTCATATTTGGTTAAGAAAATTCCCATAGAAGAGAACGATAATATAATTCCCATTGTCAGAAACCCGAAAATAGCCCAAAAGGTTGGCTTTTCCATATTTAAAATAATATTATTAAATTATGGATACGAAGACATTTGCTCTTAAATACTACTTTTAGATAATATTCTTAAATTCTTATAATAAAATTCCATATCATTAGAAGTTATTTAATAACAATAATAGAACACTTATCTTATTGTACATTTTGTGCATATGTCACAAAAATCAATATTAAATATAATTTATCTGTTAATAAAATGAAATTACGATCAATAAGCACTATCGATCATCCAAAAGAATTCTTGTTTCCAATTGAACCAGATCTTTCAGCCTCTATGACTGTGCAAAATTCAAAGATTTATCAAATGTATTAGAAGAACAAGTAAGCAACTCCAAATAAGAATCCATTACAAGCTCAATTTAATTTTACTAATACTTCCAAATTAGAAAATAATAATTCAATCTCTCCATTAAGATTGTATCCAGAAAAAACAGAACTCATTAATTTATCATCTAAACGATCTTTAACTCCAACTTCTTAACCATAACAAATTAAAATTAAAGGACTCACTGAAAAATTTAATGAAACTCAACTCAAAAGGACTTTGAGACACCAAGGAGTCGGAATTGTTTATTGTAGACAGAATTACAATAAGATCAATAACAAATTAGATGGGACTGGAGAAATCATGCTTGAAGGCATCCAAAATCTCCACGATGTCAAAAAGCGACTCAAGACCTTTGGACTGGAATTGGAAAACGAAGGAATACAACATGGTGTTAAACATATGATCTCTGAAAAATTTGCAAAGATCTTATAAACTGAAAGAAATAAAACATCTAGAAATCAACACAATTACTTTAGAGCATGATTATTATATATATATATTCTAAAATCATCCTCTTCTACTAATAGTTCCATATTATGATTTTGCTCCAACTTGAGACTTAGCTCCAATTGGTGACTTTCCCACATCAATTGCAGATTTGTTTAAGATTTCATCCTGATTTTATTGGACTTAAGCCTTAGTGACATCTTATTATATTGGTAATTGTGCTTTTAGAGGTTTCATTCTAGCTTGAATTAAGAGCTATCTAATTTCATCATGATCTTAAACTGGCATTGAAAACAATAAGCTTAAAGCACTTAAGATTGTAATTGGAATTATATATAAATAAGACCTGTATAGGAGATGAGTTGGACTGCATTCCGATCTTAGATCCACGTCAGCCTAATAAATGAGAGCTAATTATCATAAATGTTGTAAACCTATTAAACCACTCTAACCTATTATTGTCAACATTAATAAAAATCGGAACAAATTTGGGATTGTAACCTTCTTTGTTAAAAACAATCCAATGTTTAGAGGCAAACCAATTAAACAGGATATTAAAGCTATAAATAACAGTCCAAATTCAATGTTAGATATGTCTCTTGAACACAATGATTATGGTGAATTTGCTGCCAATATCAAATAAATTGCAAAGAACGAATTTGGTAAATTTGTTATTCTGAAAGCAAATAATATTGGAGAAAATAGAGTTAGTAAAACCTATTTATCATGTGTTTAAGCTTACTTCTAAATGAGTTTTCAAATGAAAAAAGAGTATCAATTTCTATGATAAGATAACTCCTTCACATTCGTTTGGCTGTGTTGTAACATCTAAATATGTCTAACCGATCATGATTCCGCTCCAACATATGTTAATTGCATACATTACAAAAAATTCAAGTCTGATTCAATAACAAAATATTGTACCTTGCAAATGGTTCCTTGAGCCATATAAATAGTAGTGAGATTATATTTAAAATTAACAGTACTATATCACCTTTGTAGCTTAAAGAGATTAATTTTATTCCCTCATCTTATGAATGATATATTTGACTTACTTGAGCAAACTTAATTTGTGTAGCTTATTATAATAGGTAACAAATTCGAAAAGACAGTTAAATAGAATTGCATTCTAGCAAACTAAAAGAAAACATTAACAGCTTTGGTTTTAGGGATATTTATGTCAGTTTCCATTATTAATATTCAAAAAAAATTATATAATTTATTTATTTAATCAATAACAACTAAAAACTTATCATTATTACTATAGCTTAATTATTCTTTCAAGTAACTCTTAGCTAACCTCTATTTGAGATCCCACAATGGCCAGGTTGTATAGGATTGATTGTCTATATTTGGTCACGATTTATTAATTATAATCATAGGGTAGGTTTTGATAAGTATAGAGTAACGAAAGCAATGTAAAGATTCCGCAATCGTAACTAGTAGTGATATTAGTTAATTATACCCATTGCTTTACTTATTAAAATGGGTTGATATGGCATATTCAGAAATCATAGTAACTCCAATGAATTTGAGTATCTCTTTAGCTGCTGTAATGATATCTTCATTCAAGTATTATTTATAGGAATCAAAGAACTTAATCTTCTTTTCTTTGAGACTAATAATCAAACAAATCCAATGTTGATTTTGCTAATTAATGGGAAAAAATAGATAATCTTAATTTTTCAAAGATTAAATATCTTTTAGATCGTTCTGATTAACCATTTATGTGAGCAAACTCTCTAATTTGTTAATATTGTATTTCTCTTTATTTTGTATGGTAGTATTTTGAACATATTGTATATTTGTAATTTGGAAGTTCCATTTTTAGTTATTGCTGGTCAAGTTCTTTACAATTATGTTCTACTATTGTTAAGGATTAGCAATTTGAGACTATAATTCTTAATTAGTGTTTTATTGCTATGAATTCTAAGTATTTTACTTAATGCTGAGTTCGTGTTTCTTAACTAATAATGAAGTATCAATAATTGAGTTATCGATTTATTTAGTAGATGCTTCCATATATTCAGCAAAAAAATAACATTGAGCAATTGCAATCTAGGATCAAATGTTTGTTACTTTTTTGTGTTAATAGGCATGTCTAAATAAGTTACAATAGAACAACAAGTGTGAACTTGTTAAATACTAATTTGTCAATATTTCTTATAAAAATCTAAAGTCTACGGTAACTCCATATAAGCTGTTTCTCTCATCAATCATGCTATATTTTCTATAATTTTGAGGGTGAACATAAATTATTTTATGAGTTTCCTATAAATCTTCTATTTTCATAGGCATCATTTAAATAATTAAAATATAAGTATATGAGTAAAGCATTGCAATACAATACCATATCCAAGGGAGATTATCTTACTTAAAAGAGCATCCCCAATTCAGCTCCTATGTTAAGACCATAATCAGAAATGGTCAAACAATCTCAAGTATCACCTCCAGTTTAAGCTCCAACAGATGTCATAGCAAGTTAACCAATGTATAAAGAAAAATAAGAAAAACCTTAAAAGGATGCTCCATTTGAAAGAAGTATCTTTCCATAGAGTGAAATCCCATAACAAAATGCACCCATCAAAAGCGCAATGATAAATACCTAACAGTAAATCGCAAGTTAAACTAATATTCCACAACAGCAATCCAATGTATCAAATTAAAACTAAATTCAAATTTTACAATAACTAAAAGGGTTACAATTGGAGAATTAAGAATTGAGAGCATAATTGATAAATTAAACAAGAGAAATAATGAATGCTGGGGCTTTGAAGAGTGAAAATGCAGCTCTTAGAGAGAGAGCTGATGAATTGAAGGTTATTGCAGATCATGTTAAAGAAGCTGATGCTTAAAATTAGGCTATGAAGAAACAAGTGACTGAATTATAAACTTAATTAAGTTAGCTTAAAGCACAAAATGGAGAATTATAGAAAGTAGCTGATGAAGTGGAGTAAGTTAGAAAAGAGATAGCCACTTATAAAGCCTTTGAAATGCAGTATAAAGAATTATTAAGATAGACTTTATAATTAAAATCAGATCACGATGCTTTAAATAAACAGTTTAATAAGTTATTGAGTGTTTAAGATGAAAATAAAAGAGTCAGTTAATAATATGATTAATAAGTAACCGAAAATGAGTAACTGAGAAAACAATTAGCATAACAAGAAAAAGACAATTAATTATTGCTTAATGATAATATTAGTATGAAATAATTACTAGATCAATTAAACTTTGATCATAGAAGTCTTAGATCTTAATTTGCTAAATTGCAATAATAATAATAATCATAATATGAAGAAAACTAGAAGTTGAAAGATAAGATATCATAGTTGGAATTAGAAATAGTATAATTAAGATCTAGAAATGATGGGTTGTAAAAGTTTGTTACTGCTGTTGATACACGAGAGTAAGAAATTGGAACTCTCAAATATCATTTAGGAATGTGTGAAAATAATATGAAAATTGTATAATAAAATTATGATGCCTCCCTTAAAAAACTAGAAATCTAAAGGAAAGATATTGAATAATTAGTAAGCGATAACAATTTGTTGAAAGGATAGTTGGAGCATTTAACACTATAGAATAGATAATTAAATGAATGTAATCTTATATTTCCATAAAAATAGTACAATGGAAAAATAAAGAACAAGATCACCAGACTAAACAAATGGCTGAAGAGATTAAAAGATTAAACAGTCTTATCCTAGTCAAAAATAATGAGTGTAATTAATATAAAAATGATGCCTCCAGATTTCATTCTCAAATGATGAGTTTGTAGAATACTGAAAATTTGAATAAAAGAATGAATGACTAAATTCAACAGATGGACTAAGACATATAGTTTTTAAGGAAAATGAATTAAGATTAATAAATGCAAATTAAACAATTAGAGGAATTCAGATATAATACTATCTACAATATAAAATAACAAGACTTTAGCAGTAAATAAAATCCTTATTGAATAATATAACCTATTTATTTAAAAATCATATATCATTAAACCATTAAGATTTGTATACTTTTGCTTCAAAATTCATACAATCCTGAAATTAACTAGAATTTTGATAACAGTTATTGCTAAATCAGTACTTGATGATTTGGAAATTCATCAAATTCTTAATAACATAAATGGATTATCAAGGATCTGACCATAAATATCTCTTATAGAAGACTGATATTAGAGTCTTATAATTTTGAACTGGGAATTATGATTGTGAACAAACATACTGATTATAATATTCTTAGACCTTATGAATTTAATTCTCTTTAGAGAAAATGAAATACAGAGCAATTATCAATTTTAGTTAAATACCATAATTGATAATATATTATATAACTTAAATGGTAAATAATGATAATTTAATGATTGTCAAATAAATCAAAATACTAAAAAACTTGACTAAATAGATGTTATTCCTAGAATATTAAATCAAATTATATAGCAGTGGTTCCAATAATGCTTTTATATATACAGTAGAGATCATTAATAAAAATAAATGATGTAACTAGTATCAATAACTCTAATATAAACTAGTACATAATTTGATCACATTTGTTAAAATTTCTTTTTTCTTCTATAAAAATACTATAAGAACTATATTTATGATCCTCTCATTATGTGATTTAAGGGAATTTACTAGAATAATAAGTAATTTTCATAATCTTTTATTTTTTCATCTGAACTTTTAGAGTGAATTATAGATATACTGTAATCATTAGTACCTCGATCAATTAGGTAATTAATTTTAGATTATCATTTTATTAATATTCTACTCTCCAACCACTGATATTAGAATTTTCTAAATAATTCTTTGGATAAACTATTAATCTTAAATTTAATGTAATTTTGTATAAATTGTTAAGAGTAATAGGCTATCAAGTCAATGTCATTTAATAATAAAAATGATATAAATATTCTGATTTCTGTGTTAATATTGAGTGTTATTTTAAATCATAATTTGCCTCCTCTTTTCCATTTAATATGAACTCTCTTTTTTTTAAAATAAATAATTGAAATCCATTTTTGTTATGTGATTTTAATATTAATTTTTTGAATTTCAAATGTCAGGTATCACTATATATCTATAATAGAGGAATCACAATATTCTGAGCATCCAGGAGGGTGGATTGAATGGTTTTGTCAATTGCCTTAAAATTAATATCTGACTGAAGTGGATTCCGAATTCATTCAAGATCCAAATAATTACGGCCACCTCATTAAATAATTCAATCTCTTTTAATAAGCCTTACAAATGATATTGTCATCAGAATAGCCAGATACTTTGGATCTAGAAAACGAGAAGTATTTTATTTTATCATACCTAGATTCCTTGAATTATACACAGAAGCCAGTGATATTTATGGATTACTTCATCAGGCATTCATCTAAACTCCAAAAGGCTTAGCAATAATGAGAGAAAGATTTTTGAATGGCAGATTTGGTCACTGTCCAAGAGTCCTTTGTGAAAAACAGAATACCATACCTATTGGATTGAGTGAGAGCCTAAAAACTAGCAGAATTAAAGTGTATTGCCCAAGATGCAAGGAAGCATATGCCCCACGCAAGAGTTAGGCAGACTTCGATGGGGCATATTTTGGTCGCAGTTTCCCCATGCTGCTTTTGTTGGTATGGATTAATATCTTATCATAAGACTTACCCTGATGTGCATCCTAAATTCACTATTCAATTAGGCACTGAGTTATTTACCCCTTTCTAACCAACTCTTTATGGATTCAAAGTTAGAGATGAAAAATAAATCTAATAAACTTCTACATAGTTACAATCATAATTACCATAACAACAACAGTAATAATAATAAATTATTACTGAACACACAAATGGAATTGTTGAAAAAGAAAATCACCATTAATAAGAAAAATAAAATGCTGAATAAGAATCAAAATAGTAAAAAAAGAAAAAGAAAAATAAAAAACAATGAATATATGAATTTATTTCATTATCGAATTAATAATATAATTATTTTTTGTTTAAGAAGTTTTCATTTAATGACTTTATTATAGTGAACTTAATAAATGGCTTAAATTATTTATAATAAAATGAAGTTAATAAATGATAAAAAAAATCATCCATTTTTAATTATAATTAGTGATTGTAGTGTAGGATTAATTGACAATGTGGAGATTTTATCGTATATTGACTATTTGAAAATCAATTGCTTTGAAATGATGACTAAAATTATAAATGTGATTTTGAAAATTAATTTTTATTATTAAACAATAGATAACTCTAATTAAAAATGGTTTTAATACAATAAATTGTAAGAAATAATAAGAAGTTAACAAAAACTTAAATGTAGTTTATACTGATTAAGCAATATTTAATAATTTTATCAATATTATATAGTAATGTAATAATAAAAAAGGATAGATTAAGAATTGTAAATAATTCTAAATAATCGATGATATATATTTAATTATCAAGGCTTATCTCCCAATTTGTTATGAGCCAATTTATCCCAACACTAAAATTAATAAATAGTTTACGTGGTAATAGTCATGATCCAAGTTTACTTAGTCATCCATTACAAATGTACAAGTCTTAAACATATAGGTACTTTCAAACATAAATGCCAAATTTTCATAAGGATATCTTATTGGCTAATAGGTATAATGCACAAAATATACTTGCAAATCAATATTAGACCATTTGGTAAATGATTCATGATCAGGACCATGTCCTTACAAAAGACTATGTAATGATCCATATCCAGGTTAGAAGCCACCTTCCTTGGCATCGTATTAACCAGAAATATTTCCCATGTATTCACTCATAACATTTCTGTGATAATAGGGTGGTCTGAAAGTATGTTCTGCAACCATCCATCTTGGTGGGAATATAGCAAAGTCACATACTGCAACTCTTTGGAAAAATAGATATATTTGTACCCTGGTTCATCAGTTTAACATGTAATTACAGTGAATATGGATGGATCAGGATGATCGAATGTAACAGTTCCCATTGCATTGAAAAGATCCAAATTATATTTGAATGGATAATAGTTTCCATGCCATCCAACAACGTCATAAGGTGATCCTTTCTTTGTACATTTATAGAATTTTCCCAAATATTTATTGATAATTTAGAATTCTTCTTCGGTATTCTCATAAAAGGCTACTGGAACCAAGAAATCTCTTGGGTTGGCTAAACCATTAGCTCCAATAGGTCCCAAATCTGGGATTCTGAAGTGACCTTTAAAGACTTCGCATATGTATCCTCTTATTGGCTGAGTCATTTCTACACTAAACTTGATTCCACGAGGAATAACACAAATTTCTCTTGGTTTGACTGTCATTTTACCCATTTCTGAAGTAATCAACATCTCTCCTTCCCAAGGCACTACGTTGAATGAGAATAAATACCAATTAAGAAGTCTCCGTCACTATTAAACATACTAGAGTTGGTCATACTCTTGTTTGCAGCATATAAATATATTGCAATTCCTTATTTGATGGATGGATCGCCTGCTCCACAGACGGTGACCAAACCTTCAGCAAAAGTAGTAGGTTTTTCAGGGATGGGTAGTCGTTTCCATCTGATAATAATATTTTTGGAATTTACCTTAATTGATTAGGAGTAATGGTGAGTCCATGATCATTCAAAAAATCGTTTTTAACATACTTTCCAAACTCTGGGGCATCTACAAATGGAGAGTGGGCAGCACTTGGCCTAATTTTATAGAGCCATGTCTTTTGATTGCTTGCTCTGGGTAAAGTGAAGGCTGTTCCTGAAAATTATTCAGCTATCAAATTGTAAGCACATTTTTGAGGACTATTTTATCCTTTTGGCACTGCTCCCTTGAGTGCTTCTGTTTCTACATAATTGCCAAATCCAATGGCATAATCAAGGTTTTCGTAATTGCGATGTGTATCCATTATAAGATATTTAATTAAATTTATCAAATAATTACGTATTATCAATTTGCTTATATTTCACATGACATACTATTTTTAGTTTTTTAATTTAATTATAACTTTGATTATCACCCTCAAATCAACAACTCAATTATAAGTGAAACAACAAAGTTCATTTTCTAATCTCTTATATATATTTATATGATTTATAAATATGTAAATAATATAAATATAAATTAATTTTACTTCATTTTATTTAAATGTTTGATAATTGAATTTGAGATTTAATTAAAAATGATCTGTAAGTATACTTAATATTATTACTTGATAGATTTACAAATGTTCCTTATATCTTATCCTTATTGCAATTTGAATGTCTCTTATCTTTTAGACAGAGTCAAAATGAAATGCTTATCATCTTTAACTTGAAGATCAGTAATCTCATTCGCCTTATAGATGAACCTTTTTGCTGGTGTTTCCAATTCTAAAATATAGTCATTGTAAATATTTTATCGAAGAATAAAAGCACAATTGATCTCAAGCAATTAATTTTTTAATATCAATCTGTGCTGTAGAAATTTCCCTCTTATCTCTTCCAATTCTTAGATACTTAGCTTATATTATTCAATGATATTTTCTTAATTCTATATTTCACTTTCTTTCTGCAATAAGCCTTATTCCAGATTCTGGATTTTAATCTTCAACTCCGTATTAATTTATGATTGTTCAATTATTTTATTGTATAAATCTTCTTCAATATCATGAATGTTTTTTTTTAGCTATCTATTCAGAATGTTTGCCTCTTCCAACTCTTTGCTGAGTTTACCCAATACAGATTCTTTATTACTCAATTCTTTTTATAAATTGTTTTACTCATGTTATAAAATACAGGATTATGCCTAGAAGTTATTTTACAATATTTTTATTTCTCTATTATATGCCACAACACTTACTATTATAATTGCTTATTCAATTTTATCATGCTTTGTAATTGTTAATCTGTTGTTCCTTCTGCTTTAACTATTTAAGCAGAAAAATTGCTCTAAGATTATATTCTAACAGGAGTTGTTTCTATATTCCCTTCCAAAATAGAAATTCTTTGCTTTAATTCCTCTACTAGTTCAACGTAAGATTGTTCCTTATCAATTTCAAATGATTCTTACATTTTGATCCTTTTCCTTAAGTACCTTAGCTAATTCAATCGATAAGGATTGATTGGAAATTTCTAATTATTCCTTTTACTCTCTTAATTCGAACACGGCTTTCTTTAATACTTGAATTTTTGCCTTGTCACTTACATTATTACACGAATCAGAAGCACCCTCTGACTTTTGAGACTTTAGCATATATTGATATTTTATATTTATAATAATTCAACAATAACATCCAACAATATAAATGTCTAATGCTGGTAGTATTTTGCATACACAATCCTCGCCTGCACATTCATCTCTCCCAATCTAAATTAAGAAGTCTGATATGCATTCTGTAGTAGCGTAAGTCTTAGGTGTGCTACACGCTTCATTTCCCAATTTTGCTGGTTCCTAACAACTATTTGGACATGTGATATCCTTATGGCTTTTAAAAGAACTCGTGCACTTATTATTCAATGAACAACGTGCTAAATATTATACATCCAGTGAATATGAACTAAAAATACATGCTTCTAAGCAATTATCCTCTCTAGATTCACATTCTAAAACCTTTAATAAACTACATACATTCTTCACAAGTTTTAAATGTTTGCTGACAGGCAGGTTTATTTTAGCAATATTAATAAGGAACAGCACAAGCAGCTTTTTAACATGCACGATAATAGTTCAAGTTATATGCGATACTACATGCTGTCATCAATGACAAAATAATAATCTTGTTCATTTCAATTTATTTAGTAATTATTATTAATAATATACATTATTCAAAGAAAAGTAGAACTTATCTAATTAAAAAAATAAAGATTATTCTAAATTTCATTTTATTGAAAATAAGTTCTTAGATCTATTAAATTCAAGTAGTCTTATCAATTTTAACATCTAATGGCTCTATTACAAATGTTTATGGAATTTCAAGTTTTGATATTGAGATCTGCTAATTTAGTTTTAGAAATAGCTGATAATTATAAAGAGCTAAAAAAACAAGTAATTAGAACTAAATAAACTTTATTTTATATCTAATATAAATTTATCAAATAAAAATGGACCCAAAATCGACAGCATTCCATCTTTACAAATAAACATTAATTAGAAAGAACACTAACCCTATTGGACAAATCTATAGTTACGAGCAGAAGGATGTAATTATTCAGTTTTAATATGTGTAGAAAATTGGCCAAGGAGCATACGGTAGCGTGTACAAGGCTATACATAAAGTAAGCAAATAGGTTAGGGCAGTTAAAGTTATAAACAAACTTAATATCAAATATAAGGAAAGGCTGTTAAGCGAGATAACTATAATGGAGTTATTGGTAAATAATATATATCATCAATTAGGATCATCCTAGCATTTTGAGATTATATGAAACATTCGAGGATGCAGAGTACTTATACATGGTTTTAGAGTAAATATATATCTTATATAAAGAATATGCTAAGGAGGAGATGTGTTTGATAAGGTTCTAGAAAAGGGATGTCTACCAGTAGAAGATGCTTTTAAAATATTTATTTAATATATGCGAGCTGTTAACTATTATTAAGGGTTTAAAATTGTGCATAGGTATTATAAGCCATAATTAAATAGAGATTTAAAACCAGAAAATTTTTTATTTTAGAAAAAAAATGATTTATCATCTTTAACCTTGATTGATTTTGGTATTGCAAAAAGGTGTGTTGACAAATTAAAAACAAAAAGTGGCACAGTAAATTTTATTAAGAAGCTAGGCATATTATGTTGCTCCTGAAGTTTTGGATGGTTTATATGATCATAAATGTGATGTATGGTCAGCTGGAGTTGTGCTTTATGTAATTTTGTGTGGTTATCCTCCATTCTATGGTGAAAATGAAAAGGAAATACTTACAGAAATTAAAACTGGTTCATTATAATTTGATGGTAATAATTAAGTAATTCTAAAATAGGCGATGAATGGTAAGGCATTTCCCAAGAAATTAAAGACTTTATTAGATCTTAAGTCTGTCCAGCTGAAAAGAGAGTTTTACCAAAGGATTTATTAAGTCATAAGGTTATCACTCAATACAATCAAAAATTTGTTTAAGATAATAAATTATTATCTATGATTACGCTTAATTAATGGGTCAAATATCATCCAATTAGAAGACTAGCTCTCTTTTATTTAGCAACATAGCTTGATTCAAGTGAGTTAGTCAATTAGAAAAATTGCTTTTTCTTCATAAATACTTCTCAAACTGGATTAATAACTTAATAAGAGTTATCAACCTATTTAAAAGTTAATAAACAAGATGTACAAAAATTATGGCCTTTTATTGATTGTAACAGCAATGGCTACTTGGATTATTTTGAATTTGTTGCTATAACACTCACTTAGTAAGAATTTGTAAAATAATTACAATTTATGTTCGACTTCTTGAGTTAGCAAGATAAGGTCATTTCTTAAAAGAGCATCAAATCTATTTTCGATTAGAATGCTAACTTTAATAATAAATGGGACAGCATCTCAGATACAAAAAACCATTTGGCTATAGTGAACTAACACGAATAATAAATAAATGTTAAAAATATAATAGACAAAGATATGGATTTCAATGCCTTTAAAGCCATAATGTAGTGAAATATACATTCATATATCAATATAAATATATATATAATAATTTAAGATGCTTTGACAAGAATAATATCTTTTTCACTTTTCAAAATAGTTCAATTTATATTAAGTCATGTTTGAAAATGTTGGAGACTGAAAAATTGAGGGGTTCATCATACTTATGAATTGTCAAAATACTTTAATATAAGTGGATTGAAAAATAAATAGATTTCTAATTTTATTCATATTCTCTGTCATAATATATTTATATATAAATTTATAAATGAAATCAAATAAATGTTAGCGTTAGAGCAATAAACCTAAGCAATTATTAGTTATAATTTTTATCATATCATTTCTGACACAATCATACAATAATTTGAACATTTTAAAAAGCTGTTATAATACTTAAAGAAATTTTGCTTGTGAATTGGTATGAAATAAATAATATTGTTATTATTACTACTATTCAAAAGATCATCAACAACATATCCTGTAAAATATATTTATCTTAATTATTTTCAATGAGGAAATCTTAGTATGCTGACTTACTAGAATCAGACGATAGATAGAACTAAGGATCGGAATCATCTGAATACTAGGTAGAATCGATAAATTAGAGGGGATGTTAGTCAGCTAGTGCTGATGCCAAACGTTACCACAAAATCCCTTTAAAAACGTAAATTTTGTTATTTTAGATGGTATTTGTTAATGGAAAGCGAATAAAGCAAGTATATGCATATACATAATATTTAGGTTGCCAAGTCTTTGGGTATAAATTACTCAAGTGCAAAATCATTGATTCATTATTATAAAAATAATAAAAGACCGATCCCATCTGCAATTTCAAGTATTTTGAATCAAGCCAAGCCTTGTGGAATAAAAAAGACTAAGCATGGCAATAAAAATATGTTTGTTGTCGTTCAGATTCAAAAGAACACCATTAAATAATACAATTTTTATTAATTACTCTAATAACAACAAAACCCTTGAGAATATTCAGAGAATAAACACATGATTCAATATATATCTTATATTAATTAATGATACTTTCAAATTCAATTATAAACTTAGTTATATACATATTTTATAGGTTTCTATTAAGGAAGTTTGAATGCAATCATGGCAATAAGGAGTCTTTTAGGTGTTTTTATAGATTTATAAGGTTTATTCTTTATTTTCAATTATTAGGAATAACGCTTTTCTTTAAGAGATTACAATTCTGTTTTATGAATATAAAAATTAAATCTTAATTTAATTTAAATCAAAATATGTGTTATAAAATGAAAAATAATTCAATATATCATTATCAGACCTTACAAAGATTGCAAATAATTGATAACTAAGAAATGCACAAATAGTAAATTATTGTAACAAATATAAATATAATTGCTACAAATAATAACTTAATTTGATAATAATTATTTTTAGTTATTTTAAAATTTCCCTTCTTAAGACTTTCTTTCATATGTAAAACACTGATTAGGAATCTTCTATTAATAATTCAATTGCAAAAGAATAAGAATAACAAAATTTTGTTAAAAATAAAAAGAATACAAAAAAGTCATCTAGACGAATCCACAAAATACCAATACGAACGTAATAATTATTGTTCGTATAAGTTTTCTAAGAAGGAAAATCAATCAAATAAGTAAAAGTTGCAATATATCACCTTAGGTTGCTGATGATTTAAAACTAAACTATTCTAGCGCTAAATCCTTAATACATTACTATAAAAACCATAAAAGGCCTGCTCCTAATTAAGTAGTTGATGTATTAAATGGAAAGAAGCCATGCCTTTATAAAAACATGCAAAATAACTAGAATGCTTATAATAATCTAAAAATAGAAGTTTGGCTAAAACATTCATTTATTAAAGCCTATAACTTCTATGAGAGATTAAGAAAGCAAGAGTAACGTTTTGCAAGTCAATGCCTTTCATGATATTCATTAATTTAGAAATTATTGTTTGGAATTTGATGATTCTTGTTTTTAAATAAATCCATCTTTACTTTGTAAATTGTTCTTTAACCATCAACCTAAAACTTTCAATGAATTATCAATTAAAATCACTTATTTTCCTAAAATAGCACGAGAAAATATACAAATATGATTCGAATATCAACAGAAATAAGGTGTATCTATTGTCTACTATTTTTAGTATCAATGTCAGAATATGATTAAATTCGTTTAAATTTTGTGATTTATTTATTTATATGATTCTAAAGTAGGTGTGATATAGTTGAGATTAGTTTGGGTATCAAATAAGAGTTTGTGACAATTGAATCCTGATGATAAATAAAGTTTGCTGTAGTCCTGAATACAAATTAATCTATAAATAACTCTTTCTCTAATTTGAATGTACAATGTACTATTTCACTAATAGTAATGATTTTCTATGTAAAAAGTTAGCATCAAAGTGTACAAACATGAAAATGTTTACATTTCTATAAAATTGTTAGTTCATTATAAATAACATTTTTAAAGAAAAATTCTTTTTTCATCTTAATCGCAGCAAGTTAGATCATAGAACGATAGATCAGAAAGCACTCTGTTTTAGTTCAGATTGAAAATATAAATGAAATCGATAATTTAAGTTCCCATTTTTCATTTTACTCCCAAGATCCTATAAAATGGCAAATAATTTATAAATATTATTTAATATATAGCATTTGATATTATCAAATCCTTTCAATTTCTAATTAAAGGATGTTCTAACAACTAATAATTCAGGAGTATGTTATTTGACTTTATTCTTTTTGAGTAAATTCATAATAAAATATAATAACTTTTTGTATGTAAATATTAGAAAAGGAAAGTAAAATTTAAGATGAAGCCTCATTTGAAATGATTTTATGAAAATCTTGAAGACATTAATTGAAATAAAAAATATGACATATTTATTATTAATTACAACTTTAATAGTATTAGGTTCGTCATTGTCGACGTAGCTTTCATAATAGCCAACATGCTTTATAGTGAATTCGCCTGAGGAAAATTCAAATCTGACTGTAAATTATATTGTTTCTGGTTTGGATGAAAATTAGACTGATGTTTTTATTAGAAAGAAGGATGGAGAAGTATTAATTAAAGTCCAAAATACAAAAGATGGAAAAATTAGAGAAATTTTGAAAGAGAAGGGCAACTATTACGTTTGTTTCTAAAGTAAAGATAAGAGCTACAAAATGGTGAGTTTCGATTTTGATCTCGAAGGAGTTGATAAGGAATATGCATAAACCGAACAATTTGATTAAATGTCAAAAGAGTTATAAAAAACATAAAAGAATTTCTAAAACATTTACAGAAATCAACATTGGATATCAGACAGAGAAAGTGCTCATGCATTGATCTTAGATTAAACAGAAAAGTCTGTTTAATGGTGCATAGTCATCAAAGTGGGGATACTTATTGTAATCAGTTTGTCATAAATCTATATTGTTTATAATTATTTCAAAGACAAGGATTTGAGTGGATAAGTGTGAGAAATTAGAGAATATATATTATAATTAAATTTATAGATATAAATTTTAGTTTATAAGATGATCACAAAAATGAGTCTATGAAACACTCATAATCCAAAGGATTAAGTGCTGTACTATTGTAATCGACATAGGGATTTGGAGATCCAATTTTAGATTCCTGAAATTGGTCTTCTTTAATTGGTTTGTATTCCCCTAAAAATTTGTTGGTTTGTGTTTCACTTTTATCTAAAGATATATTAAATAATGATACTTTCTTATCTTAATTCTTCATTTATTGCGTGAAGCATTTAGCCGACTTATTTAAATTTTACTTCGATGTCGACGCTTTAATTGTAAACAAACTGATTATATTGATAAGTTCTTACATGATTTAAGTTCTGCATCTAATCAATTAGATAGGAAGATGTTTCTTATAATAATTTCATATCTTCTTTCAACTTATTATTAGTCTCCTTGATATCTATGGCACATTCTTTAAATAAGTTCTGTTCTTCCTTAACTTAAATTGCTATCAAAATAACGATAAATTGCATACTTGGTTCTTCCTGAATGGCAGGAGCAATAAGATCTTCTTGATTTCTCCTTTTTATAAATTATAACATCGATCTTTTAAAGATAAGAAAATAGAAATACTTCATTCCTTTTCTAAAGCATTTATGCTTAAATATTTATCCTTCATTTGATCGAACTTTCTTGAAATTATATAGATTTAGCTATCTATAAAGCATATACAACAACGGAATACCTGACAAAACTTGAATAATTGCTGTGTTTGAAGAAATTTTGTAAAACCTATTTCTCCATTTACGATTGATTATATACTATGAAGGCAGTGCCTTGAGCAGTCCAACTGACTATGTTAGAATGCTTTTGTTCCTTAAAAGATATTCAATAGGGTTTACTTCAAGCATTTAATAGGTTTTCAGTATGAATGTTGGAATAGGAGTTCTAGTGCTCATAAATTGTTAAAATATAATATAATTTTTAGTAAAAATGAATTAATCGATATTTAAATCCTATCAATTTGATAAAATCTATGTTTTCCACCAGAAATAAATCTCTCCACCAGAATCGGATATTTGCTTATATTTATATATATTTTATAAATTAATGAAGCCTTTCCTCATATTTATTCTAATCCTCTACATATTATTTATTGTGGCTCTTGAAAGTAATAATAACCAAATTAATTTTATTTTAAAGCCAACGATAAAGCTAAACCAAAGAAGTCAAAAAAGAATAAAAGCATAAGTGAAATGAAAACACCCATAACTGTCAGTGGAAGAGCTTGGGCTAGAAAGAATTGCATGTTTGGTGAAATTTTGAGTAAAGGAGGAATAGAAGTATTGCATAATAAAGAAATAGGCTAAAAATTTAAAAACGAAAAAATTGGAAGCCTAGGTTTTGAAAACTAAATTGTTAAAAGTGGGAACTCTAAAATCAAAGAAAGAAGGTAGACCATTGGTTATAAATGGTTCGATATCTGTTTATAAGATGAAAACATAAGAGAAAAAACAGAAAGTCTTATTATAAGAAAGTTTATCAATTAACTATTCTAGTTTAGTGGGAGTTGTTGCATCATCTAGATTTCAATGATTAATCAAGTAGTAAATGTGAAAATTTGAGAGATGGTCATTACTTTGGAGGCTATTGCGAAAACACAAATCAAACTTTAAGCAAAAAGTTTAACAGCTTACCTTAACATACTCAAGTAAAAGTTGAATTAGCATTACACGTATTTGATTAGTGGGAATCAGAATAAATCATCATGAAAGCAGATGAATAAATTAGTATTTAAAATTACAAAACTATTAGTTTGGAAGAATAAATTTGAAAATACTGCTCATCATAACAATTTCTGTGGAAGTTCTAGATTTGGAGATCAAATCAACATGTATTGCTAATTTAATATATAGATTAGTCCTATTATGAAGATATTTGATCACACTCACAATGAACTGAATTTGTAATTATAAGGCTTAACATCAAAAAGCACTTGTGAAGCCAGTTTTGGAATTGATAATCTAGTTATTTATTATAGATGAATGTTGATTTATTATTAATTTTAAATTCAAAATGTCTTAAAGCAGTAAATGTTTCAATTTCATAAACATTAGATATTTCCGTAAATGACAATGGGTGGATTAAATGGTATTGCAATTTAGAAGACCATCACTTTTTTTGTGAGATTGATGAATTTTTTATAGCAGACTAATTTAATCTTTATGGATTGAAATAGTTGTTTGATCATTTTGAGTAAATCAATTAAAGTATTATATTAGAGAAGCATTATAAATGATTTTATCTCCAAATACTCCAACAGATGAAGATTTAGAGGATGATTAGTATTAAATGAAAAATTATAATTAAGATTTTTGGAACTCTATAATGAAGCATCAGAATTATATGGTTTATTGCATGCTAGATTTATTATTACTCCCTAGGGATTAACATTAATGAAATCCAAATATTTATAAGGCAGATTCGGAGTGTGTCCTAGAGTCTTGTGCGAGAGATAGAATGTGTTGCCAATAGGTTTAAGTCACGACCTAAGAACTTCTCGAGTTAAGGTAATCGACTATTACATAAATAATCAAGATATTCTGTCCAAGATGTTAGGATGTTTATTCTCCTAAAAAGTAAATGAGTGATGTGGACGGTTCATTTTTTGGTTCTGTGTTTCCTCACATATTTTTATCTGTATTTTCAGAATTAAATCCTACTTAACCAGCAAATGAATACGTATCCAAAATATTTGGGTTTAAAGTTCATAAAAAAAAAGGTTCAAAATTTCAAATTCAATAAAATTAAACTGAGATGTATTATTATGCTGAGGATCATATTAAAAGACTCTCGCAAATATAGGGTTCATAATAATAATAATCTTAATAATAATAATAATAATAATAATAATCTCAGAAAAATGATGAGGAAGCAGAAAAAAAATAAAAAGAGGCATTAAATGCCATATAAAAGTTATAGAAATAAAAGTAAAAAAAATGATTTTGGTATAATTAATTATTTTCATTGTCCTCTCATTATTATTCTAAAGCTGCTTATTCTATTTCTACAAATTGGACATTTAGAACTTCTTTCCTTCAACCCTTAGCAACAAGTCTAACATAAACTCATATGTTTGCATGGTAAAATCAATGTATTAACTTTGTTACTCAAACAAATAACACAATCTTTATCTTAATCCTCTTAACCCCCATAAACATCTCTAACACTAAAGGCCTTTCCATTCTTTTACATCTTAATCTCTAGTGTCTATAATTGTATTTCATTTTAATTCAACTTGAAAAAACAGTATTAAAATAATGCTTTCTCTTATGTTTCCTAAATAATTATGGGATTAATACCATTTCAATGATCAATGGATATTATCGTTTTTCTTAATTTGTATACTCTAAATCTTCTAGTTTGATCTATCGTATATCAAACTGAAACTAATCAAATTTATATGCTGAAACAGGTTCGAAATGGTAGGTCTTTGATTAATAGGCAGTAATTTTTTAAGTAATAAATTCATTATTAATTGTTTCAACGGCTAACAAATGAATTTTAAGTGTCACAGGCTCTAAACATTCGAAGACAAATTCTATTTAATAAGTGCTAGCATCTATTTGTGCCTGAAATGATAAGTATTTTATATATACTAATTTAAAAGAGTCCTTTTTAATGTAAGTATTATTTTGTTTTGGAACAACTTTCTTGACTTCGACATTGTGTTTAAATCTTGCTGGATGTTAATCCTGATTTTGTAGATATTAAGGAAAATCCTAAACTATCTATTATGGATTGTTTTAATATAAATCTCGAAGCACTTATTGATAATTTGGATCATTGGTTAAATGTTGTACACTTTAATGATTAGCAGCATTATTATTATTTTAATTGTTTCCCATTTTAATTATAATATTTAATACATATTTATGATATCAATCAATATATCTTTAGCATTCTGCCATTCTTTCTAATTAATGTTTGATATTGTAAAACCCTATCAAACTACCTAAAAATTGATCATCTATTTTTTCTCCTTATCTCAAACAATATAAACTTTTAAAAATATTGTCACTTATGGTTAAATGCCAATCTGAATTGATTCTAGAACTTCCATTTTAATCAAAATTTGAATAATGATTCTCAATCTTAATATTGTCTTGAGGATCTAGTTTCTAATTTAGGTAAGGTTAAAATCTATCAATAAATTAATCATCATCTCTTTTCTATTCCATTTTGATTCTCTTCTTTATTTTCTTATCATTACTTTCCATTTTAATATTATCATAACTAGGAAAATTTTTCTGTAGTTTCTCGAAGAATTATAATAACTTTCTATTAGCCTAACTAATGAATTCTTCTACTTTTGTTTCATCTACTGACCAGGTTGATTCATCATTTCTTTTAAAAACAACTGCAGACAAACAACCTTTCACAGTTCTTGTTGCCATTCCTGTAAAATTCTTTCCATTCTACTTTCTCAAAAATGGAAGGTAAGGTTCTGTAACATTTATTAGATTATTTAGTGTAGCATTCCCCTCTTATAACTGAATCGCCTTGATCAAATGGCCTGTCAATGACATTTAATACAATTCATCCTTATCCACCATTTCATGCCATTTATTTATATTGAAGGCCTTAGCTTACTAAATAGAGTTTCATTTAATATAGTACATGTTTCAGCGTTTCTGAATGATATCTACGCTCATCTTAGCGTGGCTAGTTTAATCGAATGTTTATTATTTAACTCAATTATAAAGGCTTACTCTGCTGAAAATATTTATGCTATTGATCACATAGATCAGCCTACTTTATTATTTTATTAATATACTTCGACTTTAGTTTTTTAATCCATTTGGTCTGTTTATATATAATATTACCCCCTTTTATAAATTAAAATAAAGGGGGATCAAATACTCACTTAAATAGTAATTTCCCCCAATTTCTGTAATAAATAATATATATATAATAGAATTTACAATGAGATCAAAGAATGAGCAAGCACAGATTGATATTTTATTATTTATCAATTAATTCGATTTTCTTCATAAATTTTATTTCATTTAATCATAGATATTTAACTAGGATATATATATACTAATTATTATCATTGTTACTGCTATTAATCTAGTTTAATTTCAAAAATTATAATTTCTCATAATGAAAATAATTAAGATTTATAAAAGATGATTTAAATCTAATAATTGTTTTAGGGTTATAATTACTTTTGAAAATACTCATAATTAATAAACTTTCAAATTGAGGAATTACTTTGTGGTTACTTAATTAATTTTGAACTTCTTTTTTGTTAAATAAATTCTCCATTGTGTTTTATTACGTATGTATCAAGCATTGATTAATATTATATCTAAACATTGTTATCAAATTGCATTAGAGATTATGATTCTAATCCTTAGATCTAATTTCACCAAATGAAATCGGATTTAATATACTAAAACCTAATAAATACTTTATTTTTATTACATTAGTCAAATAATAAATAAACTTAAATTGCATGAATTTATGAATAAAAATATAATTAAGCCAATCTAATGTCGTTTATATTTTTGTTTATTACAATGGTTATTTACATCTTCAATAGTTATTAATTTTCAAAGTAAAATGAATAATTTTCATCCTAATAGATCCATTTATAATATTCTTTTGGTTTATATCTTACAGTATTAGATTATATTAATCTAACAACAAATAAGAAATTAATTTTATTAGATAATGTATCTAAATTATGGGTTATGATTTCTTGTATGATAGATTTTTTTATTCAAATTCTAATACTATTATTTATAATATTTATTATTATTTTCATTAGCTTATTGTTCTCAATGACTATCGTGATGAATATTAACGATATAAAACGCTGTTTCGATGCTTGAGACAAGAAATGCTCTGTCTTTAATTTCGATTCCAAATTCTTTTTCTAAAGCGTCATGAATGTGGATGCAAGTTGCAACATCAACATAACCAGCTGCATCATTCCAATTAGTATTAAATGTGATTGGAGTTGATTCCCACTAATTTTATTATATTGTTATACTCTTTCTGGATCAATCTTTCTCAATCGTTCTCCAACTACTTTTATGATCCTTTTTGCTGTAACTGCTGGCTTTAAATTAATTCATTATTACATTATTATAAACTGAACCATTAGGAAAATGATATGAATAAATGGGGACTTGAGTGGATAAATTTTTAGCAAAATTAGATATTAATTTATACATTTTATTTTATATTATTTAATTTTTGAGTGAAGAATTTTAATAATTTGTATCGATTAATATTATAAATAAATATAATTATTGATGATAACACCTGGTAATTATATCGATGATTGTATTGATTAAATATATATTAGAACAGAAGAACACTATTTTAATGCAATTATTTTTGATTATTAAAATGAATTAGACATTATCATTAACATTTCTTTGTAATTTTGATGAAATAAATAAAAAATAAATGTGATTAACTGCTATAAAAATTAGGAATCATGAGAATGAGTAAAGTAAGGATGGTGATTTGTTAGATGATATTAATTTATTATATGGTATGTGGTGTATACTTATTATATTTTATGTAATTAATATACGTGATCATTATTTCTTTGCTTATGGTTTCTTGGTTTAAGGTTTCTTAGTTTCTTTTTTCTATTCTTTAGGTTTTTCTTCTTTAGGTTATTATTTTTTTTCTTTCTTTTCTTCTTTAACTTCTACTTCAGCATCGTCTTTCAATTTCTTGATTCTCAACATACCTTATTTTGCAGACAATCCAGCAGGAGTGCTAAATGAATAGCAATTATTTAGTACTTGACTTCCCAAGCTCCACCAGCAATTTGTAAGCCTGTTTAAGTGCATCTCCATATACCAATGGCTTATCTTTTTAATGAATGCTAAAATATAGATAATTTCATTTCATACAGCTCCTGTGAAAGTATTGAAATATCTTTGATGTTGGGAGATTTCGAATTTCTTGATAATCTTTCTTAAAGAAGCACCATATCTGGTTCCATATTTTCCTGTGATTCCAACCTTCTTTGTCTTCTTTGTCATTTCAAATAATATTTAAAATCTTTAATTTATTTACAATTATAATGATGAATTGATTTATACTATTTAAATTTATTGTGAATACGCAAACATATATGAAAGGAGTGTGGATTGATTGACAGTCATTTATATGTATTCGGAGTATATAAACTCTAATAGTTCAATTAATCATTTATTTTTAAATAATATAGTTAAATTAATAAAGCATGGCTTAATTTAAAAAATAGTAATAAAAGACATAGGCTCCTTAAAAAAAGAAGGTAAAAAGCGAATTGACTGATGACTAAAAACAAGAAATTAAAGAGGCATTTGATTTATTTGATACTGATCGTTCTGGAGCTATAGATTGTCATGAAATTAAAGTAATTCTCCGTGCTCTGGGATTCGAAGTAAAAAAGTAAGAGGTGCAAGCATTGATGAAAGAATATGATCGAGATGAAACCGGTCGTATTGAGTATAGTGATTATATAGAACTAAGTAAATGAATAATTCAAATTTTAGTGACTAGAAAGTATTGCGAAAGAGATCCTTAAGATGAAATATTCAGAGCATTTAAACTGTTTGATGATGATAACTCAGGAAAGATTACTTTGAGGAAATTAAAAAAAGTATCAAAAGAATTGGGGGAGAGTTTGAGTGATTAAGAATTGTAAGCTATGATAGATGAATTCGATAAAGATGGGGATGGACAAATTAACATTGATGAATTTCTTAGCATCATGAAATAAACAACAATTTATTGAACCAATTAATGATTAATATATCTTAATTATATATTGAATATAACATGTTTTATCAATTAGAATTTAGTTTAGAAATTTATAATTGCTATCAACATTTAATTAAACTTATCTAATAATCTTAAATAATTATAAATTATTTGCTTTAATAAACTTCATAATTCAACTTCTATTTATGATTTGTTTTTATCTACAATATGGCAACCTGTATCAACCAGGAAACGATAATATTTAGAATCTGGATCATGTATTTATGATATTATTGGAATATTCTAAATCTCTTCCAATCTCATGGATCGAATCAATAGAATATTTTATAGTTTCGGGTATTTTGATAAACATTTTAATACTTGATCTACGCATCCTAATGATTATATAATGAATTTATTACTATGTTCTTCAATTTAATCTAAAATTTAATGCAATCTTTTTGCCTAATTTTAATTTTATTTATTTAAATCACGTTAGTCTTGATAATTGTTCTCTTTTTCATGTTACAAACATAAATTCACAAAATTTTAACATAATTATTCATTTTCAGAAATTAATTCGAATACTTTCTCTAATCTTAAGCTTGTCTGTAAATAGCATTAAAATAATATATCATATAGTCTATTATTAATTAAAATATCTTAAAATTCTTCCTTTGAAATTTAGTTAGAGAATTCTTAAATTACTTAAAATTGCAATGGAGATATTTTTCTTTCAAACTCAAACACAATTGAAATGTCTGTTATAATATACTTAAACAATGAAAAAAATGCTATTTATGGTTGTTCCCTCAATTTATTTAAGGCTTTTATGATTAAACTTAACCATTCCGGTTCATGAGTCCAAAACTTAGGATATTGAATATTATTGAACTCTTTTGCTTCATTAATGCCAGAATAAATAATAGTTAAAATATTGAACAAATGGTTTTCCTTACCCTCAAGTTTCAAAAGTTATTCAAGTATTGTATAAAGGTCTTCCAAATTTGAATAAAATTAGTATTTAAATTAAGAGAATACTAACCATTTATTTAAACAATCTTGTATTAATTATTATAAACTATTTTCATTTTTACTAATATATTCACCAACTTTTAAACAAATTTGAGACCTAATTAAGTTTAATATAATTTATTCATTTTTAACCACTGTTTTTGTGTATTATTTCCATTATTCTAGTTTATTTTGGTTTTCTTACAATTAACTCTCAACAACTGTGTATTTTGAAATGGGAGTTTCCATATAATCCCAAAGAATTTAATTAATAACTTAACATATTATTTATTCTTAAAATGCCTAAAATTCCAATTTCAAGAATGCTGAATTTTAATTTGAGTGGGTACAGAATTAATTAAAGCCTTCTTTTAATAAATTGAAAACGATTTCATTCTTACATCTTCCTTAAAAATGGGTGATTCTATTAAAAATGATAAATCTTATAATTTTACAATTATTTAGGGCATTTTTACTAATTTTCTCCTGCAATAAGTATTTTCCCATTAAAGCAGACCTTCAATTAAGACAATCCATTGTTTACTGAAATTCCAGCACCTTAGAGATTCCCCTTAAAAAGTGTATTGTCTTTGAAAGATGTGCATAAGTTGTTGTGATAATAATTAGTATCCAAAACTGAGTATAAGAGGACAATATCTTAATCATTCTAAAAGAAAAAGGATTTAAGTTTCTCTCCATGCAGTTGCAATTCATTCAAATCTTCATAGTTTGGTCTATCTAGATTGAAAAAATCAGCCTTTGGATCTGTTATTTCCATCTCTTTAGACATCAATTTTAGTTGGCAATTTCTTTCTAATTAATCCATATTTTATATGATTGTCAGGAACATCAATTTGATTCCTTTGGAAGTCTTGAATAAATGAAAATTGTTGATAGCCAGTTAACAATTCAGATTAATGACATCGCAAACAAATGTCTTCTGTGATTAGGACTAGAAGAATAGATAGAAATACATACTATTAAATTGTAAGGGTTCAAACTGCATTAATATGATTTTATCTAATTTGCTGATGTTTTTTGAATGATTAGGAGAGTGTCTTCAAATACTGAAAACTTGAAAGTAGCGTCTGGGATATAGAAATCTAAATTATTTTAGAACAGCAAATTGGCGATAAAATTTCCCTTTTTTACCAAAGGTTGGTAATTGAATCTATTATCTTTGTTAGCTAGATTTAATGTAATTAGATCGAAATGATCAGTAAGAATATATAAATTGAAGTCTTGTTCAAGTATTTGTACTTCTGAGAATTATAATTTCCTTCTGACTCTGTAATCATCATTCATATAAAATTTGCAGGTTTTCGGTAATTCATAGACGTCATAGCCAATAATTGTATCTTTGAATTAGAGGGGATAATATACTATTTCCGATTAGGATCATTTGTTTTTAATCAAATTATTCATTGGCAAACTTGAAAAAGTGTATTTATACTTTGCCACATTGTGTTTTGCCAAACAATTGGGTGAGATCAATCTCATTAGCCTATTTTAAAGAATAAAGAGGTACATCTTGTAATCCATCTTTGTAGAGTGTTAAATCGGAGTCTTTTTGAACTGCGATCCAATCAAAGTTACAAAACTAAACATAGCTATCCTATTTAATTTACAGTGTTTCCATAGATCTCTTAAATGGCATATCATTCTAGGTTATGGAAAATATGTACATCTTCAAATTATTTGATGAGACTGAATTTCATATATTAATTTTATAACACAATTTTTACTTCATTAATAAATGTTATTATCTAAATAAAATTATGATGATTTTTAATAATACAACATTCACAAAACAATCAAATAGGAGTAGTTCCAAATTAAATAAATGAAATAGGAAGTTATGAAGACTTCACTAGAAGAATAGAGACAAATATAAGAGGAGGCAAAAAGAAGAAATTAGGAATTAAGACAAAAAGAGGACACTGATGAAATTTAGAGAATCTAATTACTCAACAAAGAGATGGCTGATCAATAGAAGTAAAAAAAACTATAAACAAAAGAGTCCTTATCTAAAAAATATTCAGAAATTATAGATTAAAGAAACTTGATTGTAAATTAAAAGGTAAAACAATTTACTTATCCTTATAGAAAAGCGAAGATTTAAACATTGAAAATCAAATTATTGATAGTGCTTAAAAAGCTTTACAAGAAGAAAGATAGAATCAATTGCAAAAAAGACTTATGCAAAAGTAAATTTATGATGAATAGATGAAACTTATAGAAGAAAAAAAGCAGAAGGAGAGATTAAATAGGGATTAGGAGAGAGTATTATTTTAGGAATATGCGATCAAAGATTAACAAAGGATTATTCAATAAGAAGAAGAATATAAAAAAGTATTGATTCACACTATCATTAGTATTATCAAAGATTAGCTGAAAGAAATGACCATTTGTAGGATATTTATAGGAAAAATGTAGATGATCCCAGATCCTCTTTAGACTACATTATCAATAAATAAGTTAAAGAAAAGATGGATAGAGAATAAGAGGAAATAAATACTAAAAGATAGAATGATAAACAACTTAAAGATTAATACTTGAACACATTATCACTACAAGTAAAAGAAAAGGAATAGAGAAGAAAGGATCAAGAAATTTTGGCTACTTAAAATAAATAAGAAATACGCAAAGCTGCCGAAAGCTTTAATGATGAACAATAATAGGAGAGGAGAAAAAAAAGAGATTATCAATCATAATATTATGAATAGTTATCTAGTATGGTAATAATTATATTCTACTCAAACATAGGGAAATGGCTAAAATCAATAAGATAAATTGATTGACAATTTAAGTTTACAATAGTCTTAGGCTTATAATCCATTAACAAATCCAAATCCACATTAAATTCAGAATCCCTATATATTGAGACAACTTGGACTTAACAAATAGAGTAATCTTTAGTCCCCTCAATAAAGTTAATCAAAACTGGCTTAGTTAGGATAAAGCAGCCTGTTCAAATGAGATATATGTTTAGGCGTTATTTTAAAGTTCATTTATTAATAATATTAAAATTGATGTTTTGCTCTTATAAGTATTGTGGATTTTCAAATAAAGCCTAATCCGATGGTGTTATTTCGTGTCCATTTTGCTATTAGATTAGGTATTGCTCATAAAGATGTAAGGATCTTGATTGGTATCAAATGTTGTTAATTTTAGGACAATTTCTCATAAATAAAATTGCAAAGGAAAATAATAGAGGTAATCAGATATCAATGATACTCAATCTACTCTCAAATCTATTGGCAAGAACATTGACGATTTCGAAATTATAGTTAAAGATGGGAAGTCTGAATTAGGAAAAGGCAGTTATGGTTAAGTCAAGTTAGTAAAGGATCGTTAAAATGGATAGTTTTATGCCATGAAAATAGTAATTAGATGTGATATAAAAATAGTTAAACAAAAAGAGAATATTTGAGTTTTGGTCAATAGATAACCTAAAAAGAGAAATTAAAATTCAAAGAAGATTAGCTCATCCACACATTGTTAGATTACATCATTATTTTGAAGATAAAGAAAATGTCTATTTGATTTTGGAATTAGCAGATAATGGGAGTTTATTTTAATATATAAGAAAAAGAAAAAGATTACCAGAAAAAGAAGCCTTTGTCTATTTTTTTTAAACTTGTTTAGGAATTGAATATCTACATAAGAAGAATATTCTCCATAGAGACTTAAAGCCTGAAAATCTACTCATAGATAAACAAGGAAACATAAAAGTATGTGATTTTGGTTGGTCAGCTGAAGCCAATTAATCCACCAAAAGAACAACTTTCTGTGGTACTGTAGATTACATGGCTCCAGAAATGATACTTAATAAACCTTATGATTTTAAATTAGATATTTGGTGTTTAGGAATTTTATTGTATGAATTAGTTCATGGATATGCTCCTTTTAAAGGAAAATCCAATCAAGAAATTACCTAAAACATAGTAAATCTATCAATTATAGAATTTAATCAAATCTGTTCTTTCGAACTTAAAGATCTCATTTGCAATATCCTTAAATTTAATCCAGAAAACAGACTTTCTTTATTGCAGATATTCGAACATCCCTTTATGAAGAGAAACTATGAAATTTATAAAATTGATTTAAATCAGTATCTTAATAAGGAGGAAAAAATCGATAATAGATCTCTATCTCCAGTTTAGGAATAAATAAAAACAAGGTATTATTACAATATTTATAAGAAATAGAAATTTTGTACTGCCTTAACACAATTCATCTCATGAATTGAATCACCCTCCAATATCGTAAACATTTTCGATTACATAAAAAAATTCTTTAGTTCTGAATTATAAAGTTACTAATTAACCAACTACTGGAACATCTACATCGATATCAACTGTATCAATATTATTTACTTTAGTATTCTCAAGAAGATGAAATAAAGGCCAGAGTCAGTAGGGTTTCTTAAAGACAATAACAAGCATATTAATAAAGGGAAATTGGTTCGCTGAGACAATCCAATAGTGAAATTGGGTTCATGGATAGAGTATTCTAAGCTTTAGGATGTTTAAATAGAGACAAGTAGCAATAAAATTAATAATTTTGAATTATAAATATTACTTTGAGTTTAATTAATTGAACTAATTCTTATATATATAAACCATTTGTAGAGTATTTATTTTTAATATAACATATGATTATCACCAATTAATAAATGGGTCATCAGTTGGTTTTACTGGTTTAGGTAATTCTGTACTATCAGGATATGTGGAATAGTTTGAAGTGTCACCCTTATTTCTTGAAAGTAAAAGAAATATATTTACTTTACAACTGGTTTATATTTTGGTTGTATTTTTTTTTAAAGTAAAAATTCCCAATCTAGACTTTAAAACCATCTGTGAGCCTTTATATCGTTTGCTCCTCCTTTAAGATTACCGTATCTTTTTGTTAAATCAGCTACCAATAAATGTTTGACCAGACTTTTTGCTTCCCTATATGGATAAATAAAAAGTAAACTTGTCGAAATTTCTTGGAAACTTCACCTTTCCCTTTAATATTTTTTAGTATATTGCCATAGGATCTTCATCATTAAATGGATCTATTCCGGCTAACATTTCATAAATTAAAATGCCCAGACACCACCAATCAACTGGTTTTCCATGTCCTATTTTAGTATTTTGAATCTATACCTTTATTGAGTAGAATTTCAGGAGCTAAGTATTCTGGTGTTCCACACAGAGTATAAGTTCTAGAATCAATAAATTTGGCAAATCCAAAATCAGTTAATTTGAGATAACCATCTGATCCAATGAGAAGATTTTCAGGTTTAAGATCTCTATAAACAATATTTTTGGTATGAAGATATTCAAACATCAAAACTACTTGAGATGCATAAAATCTAATTTATTTGAATATTTACTAAGCTTCTTCATTTTCCAGTTTACCCTTATTTCTGAGATACGTAAACAACTCCCCTCCTTAAACATATTCTAAAAGAAAATAGAGATACCTCTCGTCTTGAGTAAATCCAAGCATTTTTATCTAAGCTATAATAAAATCATACTAAAAATGGATGGCTTATATTAGAAAGAATAGTATTCTCTGATATGATGTGATCGACTTACTTAAGCCTTAAGATTTCGGCTTTTTTTAACATTTTCAGAGCTACATATTCACCATTCTATTTATGTTTTGCCAACCTCACTCTTCCAAAGGACCCTGTTCCTAAAGTTTAAAGGATCTCATAATCAGTTAATTTAACTTTTGGTGCCTTAAAGGTGCCTTAATCCATTATATAAATAAACTAAAATTGATATTAATATATATCTAAACTATGTAAATAATTTAGAATCTGAATTTGAAATATATATATATAGCAAATAAAATAATGAGTATATAGAAGTTTCTTTTCATAAATTTAGGTTATAATAATCTTCAGAAATTAAATTTGTTTTATATTGTTTAATTCGAAATCTAAGAGACATTATTTTGATTCTGTTAATAAGTAACACTTTAATTTCTGAAACTTCGCTAAAGATATTAATATAAATTATTACATCTTCTTATAATGGTATGGGAGATGTGTACTTTGTGAAGGTTTGACTTTTCAATGTTGAAAAACCTGGCATTTAAGCTGGTGCTTAAACTTTAGTTTCATTCAAGCATTTATTTAAGTACTAAATCATTTAATTATTGGATTCAAGCAATTTCTAACTTTCAGCCAATTTATTTTTTAAATCTAAATTTGTATTTTCTTAATCTTTGACTCTCAATTCTAAACTGTCCTTCTCTCTTTTTACTATAATAATTAGATCCAATTAATACATTCATTAATCTATTTGTTATTTTAATCATTTGCATCTTACAATTATTATACTGTCTATTCTTATTAAAGAAAAACAGTATTTTTTAATTTATTCTTTTCTTTTTGTTTGCTTAATTCATTCTCTAATTTCTCAATGATTTGGTTTCCCTTATTGACTTCATCACTCATAACAGCTATTCTTTGCTCTAGTTTTTCAATTTGTTTCTTCTAATTATTAGTTTATTCCTCTAAAATAACCTGAATAATTAATATAATTTTATACATTTTACTTTTTTTCATTGTCTACTAATTGTTATTTGTTATTTAAGAAATCCTCCTTATCATGTAATAATTTTTCTAATCCTTCCTTCTATATTCTTAGTTCTATTATTTGTCTTTCCTAAGAAAACTTAAGTGTATCCAATTCTTTATTCAATACTCTAAACTCAGAATTTTCCTTCTATAACTATTAGGATTCTTATGAAATTATTGAAAATCTATTCTTTAACTCCTTTTCTTATTGGGTTAATTGAATTTTTTATTCCGATAATTCTTAATTTATTTATTGCAATTAAGTGTATTTATTTTATAATTCAAAGACAATTTTTTCATACTTTTCAATTATAAATTGCTTTTCATTTTCACTTTCCCTTTTAAAATTAGTTTCCCTGCTTAATGCCTATTCTCTAAAGTCATTTAGTTTCTTTTGTTCATCTAATTACAGTTATTGGAGGACAGCGTTGTTATCCTCTGTAAATTTTCTAACTTCAGATTTCAAATTCTCTAGTTCCCATTATTTCTCTTCCAATTATTCTGTCATTTTCTTAGTTTTCTTTTGCAATTCCTCATTCTCTTACTTTTCTATTGCCAATTTATTTGCTAAAAAGTACTTAAGTATATCATCTGTAGCACTCCTCAATCTCAATGATAAATGTGTTAATTTTTTGAATTCATTATTTTCGATTACTGCTAGTGTGGATTCTCCATTCTTGGTTTCCAAACAAACATAGAAACTACATTATACACTTTAATATCTACTTCACTTTTTCATCTCTTTAACTATTTATGCATAATTATAATAAGTCTGCTAATTTCATCGGAAATGTTGCAAAATCCACATGTAAACTCTATTCATTTTTTAAAGCCAAGAACTCACTCTCATTTAAATCCAATATTTGTAGAAAAGAGAAGTTAGTATCATCTGTCAATTCAATTCTCAATGTTTATCCATGCGCTTATTGACTTGACTGCATAATCATTTTCAATGTTAATTATGTATTCCAATCATCAGTCAGTTATTTAACTTTAACTGGTATTTATAATGTGAAGAGCTCTTTCGATACCATTGTAACAGGAGCATTTATAAAACTAACATTCACTGATTAAGGTTTATTGCTCACTTGCTCATATTTTAATTTCTATGAGGACTAAAAATCATTCATATTGTTTGTAGATTTAACTGGAGTCTATTAAACACCAAATTCAATCCTTTTGAAATTGCCTCTATAGTCTTACATTTTATTTTTTATTTTAAATTTTAACTGTAAATTAATAGGAAAATTTTCATATAAATTCAATAGCCGAAAGCATTAAAAGTGGATTTAGGAAGGTAGTGAGATCTACTTTTGTGTTCAGTTTTTATTAATTTTGAGAGTAATTCATTCTACTTTTAATAAGGTCTCTCATATGTAGTAGTTCTATAACTTGATGTTGGACTTCTTTATGTGCTGAGTAATTCTGTCATGCAAGTTTTTAATTTCATTGTGTCACCTCTATGTTTGATAGAATTTCTAAAGGGCATTGAATTTAATTGTATCTTTCTAGACTAAGAATCATTCATGAAATGAAACAATTTTAATTTTTATCCTTGGATATATTTCTCCTTTGTTAAGGTCGACGAATTCTTCTTTTTGAATAATATGATCTTTGTTTCCCTTGGAGTTTTACATGTAGGAGGTCTTTCCATATTATCATATTCTTGAAATATAATTTATAATCAATACCAACTAAGCTCATCTATTTCGAGAGTTTGCGAGCAAGACTGGGACGCTTTGTGCTTTTCCTTTGATTTTTTTTTAACAATTCAGCAAAGCTTGAGAGAGCGAATTCTTTTCCATTAATTTTCTTATGCATTTCAATCGAAGTGGGATAATTTACCATCTGTTTTTGTTAATTGATTCCAAACAATGATCCATAACAAGATTTTCTTCTGGCCATGATTTCTCTATTGTTAGATCTAATCTTTTCTACAGCATTTTTGAATGGAAGCAAAATCGAAATTCTTTTTGATGGTAATGTTCTTTCTGTGAGAGTGATAGTAAATGCATCAGTTAACAACTCTCTCAAAGACGGAGGTGTAGATTTTGATCTTTTTAATCCAGATTAATTTGAGAAGATCAAAAAATTCTAAATTGGTTTTGTCTCTTTTGGAAAAGAAAGTTCATTACAGATTAGAGCTTTTATTGGTATCCTTTTCCCAGTAAATTCAAAAGGAGGATAATCAACTGAATTCTTAATAAGAATATTAATTACCTATTGAACTTATATTTTTCATTAACTTATAATTTTATATATTTTACAAATCTAATTTGAGAATCAATTATTATCTATTAACCCCCTATTAAAATTAGAGATTTTGCAAAATAACTGCATTAGGTTAAATCCAATTGCATTAATTTTAGCTACCATATCATATCTAATTCCATCTATTCCTTATTATGATAATAATTAATTCTATATTTCAATATTAGCTTATCAAAACTATCAAATAAAAATAACCTTGACTTTCAATTAGATATTCACTCTGGATTTCTAATTTTTATCAATAATTTAGATTAAAATAGTATAGATATTCTATTCCAACAATATCTTGCTAATTTTTTAGAGAATACATAATTTCGAATTACGGAAAATAAAACTTTGAGTTAGAATCAAACCAAATACATTATAAATTTAATGATTTTCATAGTACAATACAAACTTTATAACCGTAATCTCAATTACAAAGCATAAATAATAGAAATAAATTTTATCTTTTTGTGAAGTTTATTGTGTCATTTAAATGTAAGCAAAGTTAATTATTTCAACAAACTTAATATTATTGATGATAATAAATTAAAATAAGAAAGGAATCAGAAATATTATACTGGATGATAGGTGATAGAATTTATACGACATTTATAATCATTATGGGTCTAGCAAACCCTTTTTTTAGTAAAATCAATCATCATATTCGAAACTGTTTTTTCTATTGACAATGGTTTCATTTTCTTATAAAAAGAATTCATTTGTATCAATTAAGTGAGTAGTTGTTTCTGATTACTTTTTGCTCTCTTTAACAATTCTTCGAATCACTCCTATTTTGCAATTCTTAAAATTTTAAAGATCAACTAGATATATTCTAAGGTCATACCTAAAGTTTCTGCTTTCTTCAATTGATAATAGTAATCCTCCAAAGTTTTTCTAGGGATTCCTACTATTTCGGCAGCTTTATCCAAAGTAATTTTTAATTATCTCCCATTCTAGAGATAAGGTTATTAGTATAAGCTCCTATCATATATATTTATATCATACCTCCAATGTTCAACCAGGAGCATAGCTTCATGAACATATCTTTCCTTGATTCGTTTAACTTTATTATGGATTTGGATTTCATTATCCATTAATTATTCAAATGTATTGATAACAAAAAGAATAGAAAGTATATATCTTATGAATTCTGATCAAAATTAAAGTTGACTATTTACAAATGAAAATTAAAATAATTAACTGATAAATTTTGGAGGATAAATATTTATTCAGAAAAATTTCATAAATTACTTAAATAAAATATTGTCATTTTTTGTGAACACTTAACTTTCTATTAGAATTTTCATTTTCTACAGGTTTAGGTTGAAGCATGGTCAATATTACTTTAGTATGTTATTCAATGTTGGGATCTTCTAACTTAGCAAACTTCTTAAGCAGTCTATATAGGAGATAAGATGATTACTTAACACTTTTATATTTTGCTTAGTCTTATTTTTATCTGGATTCATGTTATGAGACACTCTAAGAATAAATAAATGGTATACTTTATAGTTCAATAAATTGTCGCTTAATTCCTGGAGTTATGAATAAATTCGTTATCGTTCTTATATTTCTTACTTGTTTATTTCCATAGATGTTTTTTAAATAACTTCCTGTATTTAATTGAAATCAATACATTTTGATATTATTTGAGCTAATTTTTTTCTTCAATAAATTTGGATTTCATATATAGAGTCATCATTTTATAATCATTTTGTCTTTTCTACCTCTCATAGTTATCTAATTTGTCCTGTTCTTTCAATCTTCTTAATTCCTATTTCAATAGTATCTTGTGTTCTAATTCCTATTTTCTAAGTTTATTTTATTCCTCAATTTTGATAAATTTATCATTTAATTATTTTAATTTTTTACTAAGAATAGAATATATAATTACTCGTGATCCTTAAAGAGATCATTTTGATTCTATTTAATTTTATTAACCTTTTCTTTTTATTATTATTTTTTTTCTAAGTCTTGCATCAATTAAGATTAAAGTTGTCCTCTAAATTCTTGTTCTTTGTTAATCATTTTACTAATCATTGCACTCAAATGTTCTTGAGATTAAATGACATTAATTTCTCTTTATTATTAAATTAATTATTATTCTCGAAAATATTATTCTTTGATTCTCTCAACTTTGATTTATGCTTATTGTTTAGATAATTTTTCACTTTGATTCAATTTCAATTATAACTTTTCAAGGTCCTTTTATAATTCAATATCTTCCATTTTGTTGAGTTCTTCCTTTCTTTGAATGACCATCTCTCTTCTTTACTTGATTTTAGAGTCATCTATTCTAGTTCTGTACATGGTCTTTTGCATTGAAGTATCTCCTCCTCTTAAATTAACATTGATATCTTACTTGTCTATCTTAGATTCACTGTCTCTTTTAAAGGATTTTGGATCTGTAGATTATGGAATTTTTTGAAAAGGAGTTTTTCTTCCACTGCTAGAAGCCTTCATCTTCTGTTTAAATGCATATTGTCTTTTCAATATCGAATCCAAAATTTAGGAATCCTTTTATTTCCACTTCTCTATCAATTATAACCTTTTTGCATCTTCCTTCAATTTCAGTTATGCTTCTCTCTACAATTATTAATATTTTATATACAATCTTCTATTTTTTATGTTTATTGTATCTATCTATTTCCTTTTCGATTCCACCTTCCAATTGATTGAGATCATAGACATCTCCTGTAAAGTGATCTTTAGTTGGAGATTCACTCTTTTAGTGCAAGAAGGATACAGTTCTGTTGTAGATTGAATCTATTTATCGTCGAACCCTAAGAAATTATATGCAGGAGTTGTTACTCGCACTAGTCTAATGATTGCTACAACTTGATTGTTTTTGATCTATCTAGGGATTCTATTGAGGCATTATTATTTAATTGTTTTTGTCTTTGTCTCTAAATTATCTCTTTCCTTCTTTAAGTTATTTCAGTGAACAGTTCTATAATAAATTTTATTCATCTTATACAATGAGCTCTGTTGAGGTAATGTTAATATCTGAGTTGAACGATTTCCTCATCTATGTCATTTTATTTGAAATCTGATTCTTCTCTGGTATACAACAACTAACTTACTTCAATTCTAAAACTATTGGATCGATGCCCAATTCTTAACAAGCCTACAATGTTCTTGGAGAATTAGACTTAATGTTGAACTTTTAGAACCCTTAGATATTTAGATGTCTTGGAAGATAACTAGTATTGCTAGTGGTATTCTCTCGGCTTAGTTTTGGAATCATTAAATAAGAAATAATAAAAAATTAAATTTATTAATAATAATCCCTAAATTAGTAAAAATATCTTTTATTGCAATCAACATTTGTTATTCTAATTGAAAATCAAAAAACTAATCAGTTCTCTTAGATACAATGATTTATTGTTATTAAAATAATGAATAGATTTTACATTACACCCCTTGTCTGTTATGTTTAACCATTGACTTGAATTAGGAGTTCCTTAGATATCAATATCAATTATTTTATTAGAATTTATAATTAAGGTGGTTGAATGGATTTTTGCTTTATTAAATATAATTTAATTAAATGTCACTAAGTTAACTGTCAGGAAAGCAGGGTATAAATTATGCAAGTAAGATGTTTTTTTAATAAGTTCAAGAGAACTCAGACATAAGAAGTCTCCAAATGATTAATAGTCATTTGGTTTATTTGAGGACATGAATAGAAACAATCTACAATACATTGAATCATTGATTTAGAAACGCAAGCCTAGTGTCGACCTAAAACATCAAAGAGCCAAATCCACACTTGATAATAAATAGCATTCATACAGGCAAGGTACACCAATAAATGACATGGAAGAATTGGAAGGGGAAAAATTGTTTGATTAGTTTTTTAAACTAAATAACTCGAAGAGTGATAGTGACTTTATGAAGGAATCTATATAAAGAGATAGTGTCAATAAGAATAATGAGAGTGACTTTCTTAAATTTGTTGAGAATGCTATTGAATATCATAAGCATTCAGATGTAAGGTTTTTCAGACATTCAGTTAATAAATAATCTCACTTGGAATAAAAGTTAAAGGAAATTACCCTATCCAACAGACTACTAGCTAGTTAACTTAACCAATATAAACAGAAAGAAATTGATCTTAAAAGTAAGATCAAAATGATGCAGAAGGAATTTACTATCTAATATTAAAAACTAGTTCAATAAAATTAATGGTTGGAAGAACTACTAGCCAAATAGAAAATTGACAATCAGAACTCACTGTTGGCTGTTAAGAAGACTGTTGAAATGCTACAAATAAAATGTAAATGCCAAAAAGGAAATCAATTATGTGATAAAATATTAAGAGACGTTAAGAATTAGGAAAGAGTGAGACAATAATATGAATGGGATGATGAATCTAAGCCTACTCATTCATCTTCGGAATTAAGCAACAATACTTAAGAAGAGGAAGATGAATCAACTGACTTCAATTATTAATTAAAGAACAGAAGAAAGTCAATCTCAAAAGTCTGTCATAACTCGATCTAATCAGCAGAAGAATAATAAGAATAATTAGTTTAAAGTTTTCTCAATGGAAAAAGTAAAAATCTAAGAGAGTTTCCCAAAGACATGTTTCTTAGAAAAAAATAAACACCAGATCCATACTATATTGAAGAAGAGAACACCATCAACAGTAACTGAAATATATATAACATGATATTAAAATTATTATTTCATAGAATAGATAAGCTCGAATATTAATCAGTGAATTTAATACATTTCTACTTTATTATTTTTGCAATAATATTCATTAAACTAGATATAATCATTTAGTATTAATAAAATACTAAATCATTCTTTTAGTTTATAAAGCAGGATTGGAATAAATTGATTAAAGTGTTGCATTTAATGAAATATTATTATATATGCCTTATTATACTTTGCATTATCAAGAATCACTTGAATCTTATACATAGTCTGATGATACTTCATCATCAGATGATTCATCTTTTTTAACCTTTTTTTTAGGCTTATCCTCATCAGATTAATAGTCAAGTTTATGTGAAACTTTTTCCTTTTTGTTTTTTCTAGTTTGCTTCTTTTTACCAGATTAAGGATCCTCTATGTCTGAACCTGATAGAACATCCTCTTCATATCCTGCAATCTGTTTTTTTACTCTAATGTCCACCTTATCTCTATTTTCTTAATTTTTTCTTGCATCTAATCCTTTATCGATGTCCTTAAATATTTTGTTTTAGAACTCTTCTGTCATCTTTAATTATGTTGAAATATACATGTTTGTAAACTTCAGATTTTTAAGATACAAAGTTTAAAGAATACTTGTCTTTATTTTTAAACAAAATCAAACTTTAGGCTTGGGGTAAATCATCCAAAAACTTTTAACTTTAATAAGGTTGTTTTTCTCTTTCATCTCGAATTATTAGGCTAACATTATTTTATTCTTATACATATTTTTCTTTCTTTATTAATAATAATCTTTTGGAGTATTTTAATCAGCATCTCTAAAATTGCTAAACATTTTTACTTCTTTTTTGGTGGCTGTACTTCTTCTTTCTCAATTTTTATCTCGTTTTTTCTAATCATAAAATGCCCTTTTCTATAATCCTTAGGCATTTCCAGAATAGCTTGATTGTTTCTTTGGTATAATATGTCAACCTTACTAATTTTAGTTTAATTCATATAATAAATAAAATAATCATTAAAAATTTTGACTTCCTACTTCTTACGCTGTAATTTCAACTTCTATTCTCAAATTCTTTAGCTGTTTTCACACTATTCATTGATCCCATCTCAAAACATAGATCATTACCCTAATATCTAAGATATTTAAACTAGTTCCTTTCTCTATATTTTTTCATAGCTCAGTTTCTTTACAATATTGAAAATATTCTAATTAAGATAATGTTATACCATAATATAGAATTACTTATTGTGTATATTTACAATTTCCTATCTAATAATTATCAGATTATCTATTTTCTCATAATAGAATATTTTAATCAACCTTATTGCAATTTCTCTTCTATTTTAGCCACTATACCTGAATAACTCTTTATGTAATATTCTTCTTTGTCTTGAAACTTGAAATAAATTTGAGATCTTCTATTATTTATAATATTAACTTTCGTAATCATTAAAGGATATTGTATTTCCCTATTCTTAAATAGATATCAAGGAAATATAAAATTTTAAAGGTTGTTCTGAATGCTTCCAATTCATTCAAATTTGGTCTATCTTTTAAATGCCTGTTTTGCTAATCGCTTTAATCTATAACCAAGAACTTTTCAATATAACTACTATTAATTGATGAAAGTTAAATTTATGGAATAAATAAATGATTATTTGAAACTCTTCAAAAAGTAAAATAATCAATATGAAACTATTAATAGATGGCTCCATTATTTTCGACATAGTTTAATTATTGTATATTTTGTAAATTAATTTTGGAATAGAATAATAAAATTATATCATGTTCCAGCTGCAAAAACACCAATTAAAATAAATATCAAAAGTCCTCCTAAAATCAATAAGATATTTTAAGTTTAATTTTCTGAAGGATACTCTTATTATTCTCCCTATAATCCTTAATTATTGATATTAAGATCTTTTGAATAACAGTAATTCCATTACTTCAATTTGTTTCTAATATCTTAGAGATTTTGATATTATATTTTCTTAAATTCTTATTAAAGTTAAATTGAGTTTACACCCAATCTTTTAATCATTTCATTAAGATACTAATATATAAATAATTGATTCATACCGGTTTTGGTTTATCAAAGTTGAGTCTGCTTATTTTTTCTAGTTACTTCTTTGCTTCTTAAATTTGATTCAACTCTTATAAAAATTCATTTGCTTCTTTTATCTTTCCTTACTTCTATAAATCTTTTAGCATTTCAATTCCTTTTTTCTCTGTAAATTACTTAACTTCATTAATTTCTTATGGGATTTCCTTAGAATAATCAATTTCATAAGTCAAATTAGCATTTTCAATTAAATTTATCTGATTTAATTGCCTTTTATTCATAATTTCTATTGCTTATTAATATGTGCTGAGAATTAATTGATCTGTTTAAATTTATTAAGCTTTTTGAAGATCTTCGATTGAGGCAAAAAGATTTTCGTTAGTCAGAGGAGAAAGTGATAATAGAGCCTAAGGCGATAAAAACAGAATTTACTTTTCCTCTTCTGAATAAAGCTTTTGGAGAATTCGGATCATGATTTAATACATAGGTTGTGATTTCTACGGTTTACTAATACAATTAAAGTTTGAGATACGTGGCTGATATATTATTCAAAATGGCTATTTTGAGTTCTAGTATAATGGATATTGTCTTACTATTAAGTAGAATCATTTCTTCTGGAGATTTCCCGTTATATTGTACCAAATATTGAGTGTTATTTTTGAATTCCCTGAACTCCAAAAATTAATATAGCTCCTCATAAATTTGGCAAGCAGTTTAAATATCATCTTTTTATTGAGATATAAGAATTTACTCATTTAATAAAATTTATTTCCCCTTTCCTTTAGTAAAGTGCACACCGTCATCTGTATTTGAAAGGATTATTTTCTAAGATTTTAGAAAGTCGTTGACATTTTTATAAATTAAGGTGTTTATTAATCTACAAGGCTCTTTTTATAAGCCTTTTATAACATTTATTAATGAATACATAAATAATCAAATTTTATTCTTTAACACTTACGAAGTTTCAAATATGAAAATACTAATAAATTACAATAATCTCTATAGAACAGACATATTCAAATGAAGTTGCAAATATGATGAAAATTTTAATAGAACTAATTAAATATTAAAGTATATTCTCAACATCTCAAAATTCATTAATACGTCTAATTAATCCAATATTAAAAAAGAGTTGAATAAGTCGTTGTTCTTTCCTACATATTTCAATTTCTTAGAAAAAGTTAGCTAACAATTGGGTTCTAATATATTTATTAACATTTTCTACATCCTTCAGTTTCATCAATGCTTTTTTCGAAAGTTTAAGCATGGCTACTAACAATTTTGTGATATATTTTTAGCCCATGAGTTAATAAATGTTTAAGATTATCATCTAGTATTGGATTGGTGTGCTTTAAAGCATCATTGTTAAATAAAAAGGACTAAAGCTAATGCCTAAATCATTAAGTCCAATTTCTTGCAGATGTTTAAATAATTAAGGAATTTTAGCCTTCAATTTGAATTTCAGTTTTGCTAAGTTTTCAAATAAACCAGGAGTTCCTGTAACATAATTGTTTCTATGTTTGTAGATTAATTCATTGAAGATTTTTTAATTTTAAGGAACTTAAAAATAAACTAAGGTTCCTGCTATGAAGTTCATCCCTTAAACATAACCAACATCTGGATCATGTTATGCATAATTCACCAGAAGTTATCTTATTTTATCTTAATTTTATTTATCTTTAAAATATGGAATCTATTGATAAGTTCTACCAATATCTCTATCAATCAATTCTGCATAATACGCATTTGGTTCCTCAGGATTAGCCATTTAAAATTCTTTGGATTTAGAGAATATATTGATCAAATCGATATGACTTAATAGAATTGGTTATTATACTTTTATGGTGTCAGAGTAGTAGTATAGAACAAAGCTAAAGTTAAGTCATTCTGTCTGAAATCACTGATTGATTCTTCTTCCATTATTTAAGTCCAATCTTCTTTTTATATAGGACTAAAGGATAGGTTGTGTCTTTGAATTTGCAAGTTGGTGTTGTTTTCATTTTCAGAATCTAAATTCTTCGAAACAAGCATTACAGAAAATTTTAACTAAATTAATAAACTGTTAAAAAGAATTTGATATTGTGAATAACTAAATTCAATTACTCATTTTTAATCAAATATATAAATACATATTCATAAACTTTTTGAGAAAGAAAATAATTCTAATCGTTTATGTTTCTTTAAAGTATACAAATATATGAGAGATTAGTTAGTGTGTAAATTATTGTTAGACATTATTCATTGAAGACTTGAAAGACAGGTTTAGAAATTTATTCTGTTATTAAATAATGTACATAATAGGCATTTAGTTTAGGAAGTTGCATATCAAATAAAATTCTAATTATTACTACTCATCAATTGGAAAATAATATATTTCTGAGTAAGATAATAAAAATTAAAACTATACTTCCAATTGCATTTAATCTGAGGAAATATAGCATTTATGAATGACATTCATTGAGTGTCTTTCTTATCAATTCTAAACATCATTATATTTTTTCGATTGAAAATTAATGGTATTTTCATGAACAAAGAATTATTTAGGAAATTAAGGATAAAGAAGGATTAAACTCTTTATATATAATAAAATGAATATACAACATTTTATTTGATTGTGTTACTTGCTCTTATATATTAAAATATATAATTTGAATAAAATTATTATTCCCATCTTTGATGAAGAAAATAAGTTCATAGATTCAATGGCTAATGAATAGAAATAGCGTATAAGAGCCATCACTAAGCAATGAAATTAAATCTTCGAGAAGCAATCCAAAATCTGCCAAGACAGAACGACCTTAATCTAAAACTAAAAAAAATGACTTATTAGATTATTTGAAAAGCGAAAGAAATGCAATTACCCAGACATTTAATTCTGTAAAGAATGCATAGTAAGGAAGCAAAAGCATTGATATTTTATAAACGTAAAGTTAGAAAAGTGAGCGTTTTAACAATGGTTAACTTAATGTAATTCTTTTTATAATGATATTCTAGTATGTGGATTTGAATATATAAACTGATGATAGAAATAATTCAAAAAAGTCAATACTCAAACCTAAAAATTTATCTCTTGCTATAATTTCATTAGAAGTATTCTTAATGAATTTATTCTTTTTAGAATCAACTTTTTAAATAATCACAAACTACTAAATAATCTTACAATTAATCCCCTTAAAATTAAATAAATTCACCGATTATTAAATAAAAAGAATAATATTAATTTGATATGCAAATAGTATTACTATTGAAATAATATAATGTAGTTAAAAAACATAAAAACAAGTTCCTAAGATGATTACCTACAGCACTCTTAAATTACATAAAATAAACAGTCAATTTTATCTGATGATCTATCATATCATAAGAAAACGCTTGAGGATATATTTTGCAATAAAAAGTAACCTAAATAAGCAGGTATATAAAAACCACTTCATTAAAAATAATGTGAAAATGACAAAAGAGTAGCTAATTAAAATCATTGTAAAACAGAAGTATCTCCATCTTAGATTCAATAAAAATATTAAAATACTGAAGAAAAATTAAATTATGAATAGGATCAGCAACTAAAAATAATTCTATATTACAAATAATAGAAGTAAAGAATCATAATAATTTTAGGTATCATTATTTGTTTAAATATTAAAATAAAACAACTGATGATCTTTTTAATTATTTGATACAATAAATAGCTAGTATAGAGAAATAATTTATAAAACATGGAGGAGGCACAGGCTCTACAGATGGAGATTCAATTTAATAAGGTATTTGAAATTTCATTTTAAGAATTAAATAAAATATGTTAGTTCCAAACTCTATCAAAAAATGTACCATATGATTATTACCTAACTTTAAACGAATAGAAATTGGATGTCTTCAAAGGGATAACTCTTCAGATTTAGCCTTTCTATTCCCAACCTATTATAACAAAGAAGGTAGGATTAAAAGATTTTACATTAATTAAATGTATAGGAGTTGGAGGATTTTCGAGGGTATATATGGTGAGAAAGAAAGACAATGGGAAGTTTTATGCTTTAAAGCTTATTGACAAGAAATTTATATTTGAAAATTCAAAAGAAATCATAGTTTAGAATGAGAGAGATATCATGACTAAAATGAACAATCAGTTTGTAACACCATTACATTATTCATTTGAATCAAAATATTATATTGCATTTGTTTTAGAATATTGTGCTGGAGGTGAACTATTTTACCATCTAAGAAAACTTAAGAGATTAAGTGAATAAGATGCTAAAATATATTTCGCTGAAATTTGCTTAGGAATGGCTTATTTGCACTCTTAGAATATAGTATATAGAGACATTAAGCCTGAAAATATTCTCTTAGATTTATAAGGACACCTACTATTAAGTGATTTTGGATTATCAAAGCCAGAAATGACACCAGATGATGTTGCTTATTCATTCTGTGGATCCCCAGAATACATGGCTCCAGAGATGCTAATGAAGACAGGTCATAATTATTTGGTGGATTGCTATTGTTTAGGAGCATTACTCTATGAATTAGTTACTGGATTGCCTCCATTCTATTCACATAATACTTAAGATATTTATAATTCAATTTTGACTGAGTAAATTCAATTTCCTAATTATGTCCATATTTCAACTCTTTTGAAAGACTTAATACAATTATTATTGAAAAAAAATCCAGAAGAAAGACTTGGACATTAGAATGGAATAATCGAAATCTTACATCACAAATGGTTTTAAGATGTTGACTTTGAAGCAATTCTAAATAAAAAAGAAAAGCCTCCTTGTAAACCATACCCTTTAAAATATAATTTTGATGAAGAAGAATTTAACAAAGGAGATGCCGAGTTTAGAAAGCAATTTCAAATTAATTTATAAAAAGAGTATTAAGTATTATTTTAATATTTATCATAAGAATGTTGATAATGCAAATTGTTTATTAGATAACTTCTATTATTCAAGAGAGAGTGTTTATGGATAAGTAAAATCAAGAAGAACTACGAAAGTCTATTTAAATTAATTATAAAATTAAGCAATTATGGCTGAACCATTTTCAATTATTCAATCAATGAGACTTTAATCACCACAGTAAGACTAGAAAGATCAATAATTTTAATAGTCTCCATAAGTATCAAAACGAATAAATGGAACCAAAGTAAAAAGTGAAGCATTTGATCACTCAAAAAAACCAGAAACTATGACTTAATCAACTTAACTTTAGCATTAAACTTCAAAGTTAGGACATAATTATTCAAAAACTATGTAGCAAACTTAATTCTCACTTTAAGAATTTAAAGTATTTATTTTTGATTGATATTAGCAAATTAAATTTCTAATTGATTAATCTAGAGCCTTATAAAGTTCAGATAGAATAACTACAATGCCTGATTAAAATAAAAAAAATATAATAGAAAGAGTCAAAACTGAACAATTTGGAAATTTAGCATCTCCAAAAACAACAACTAGTAGCACTTTGCATAAAATGAATAATTTTTAAGCATTATTTGGATCTGATTGTAAAAAGAAAAAATTATTTTGATAAATTAGAGTAAATTGTAAATTTGATTATGTTAATGTAGAATTATAAATTACGCTGTATCTTAAATTCATTTATCTAATTGGTTATCAATTAAAATTTGTTAATACAGGTTATAAATATTATATCTTTTCAATTCGAATTAAGCAGTGAAATTATGTATAAACTTTGTAATATGATGATACCTATTATGATCAATTTAAAAAGTCTATCATTCTTATAGTCCGTCTAACTAGCTGTTAATTTTTAGTCTTTTCTCAGTTAATTGCTATTCTAATTTCTGTTATTTATTAAATTCAATTTATCTGAATCATCTTCGTTTTTTAAGGTATTTGGTCTTTGGAGAATATTTGAATTTGGATCTTAAAATCTGTTATCAAAACAAACTTGATTTTATTGAGATGGCTTTTGAATTTCTGGTGATTTATACTTATTGATAATTTTGTCTATTTCAGGATTAGGTAAATAAGGTTAATAAGTAAGTTAAGAAAACTTTTGCTTTTGGGGATTGCCCTCATGTCCTGGTTGAGGCAATTATTAGTTCAAATTTGATTATTTATATAGGATTGGGGGTTTTGGATATAATTGTTCTGGCGTGATGACTTTATTGATTACTTACTTTTAATTCTATACAAGTTGCTGGTTATACATTGAAATAGTGATAAATTAATATAATAAATTATTCTGTGCAACAATAATGTACTTATTATATCATTTCTTCTTTGATTCAATTTTTTTAACATAGAATTCTAATTCTTTTCCTTCTAGAATATATCCATCAGCTCTTCCTGATTATCCTGGTCTTGATGTTATTCTGACCAACAATCTTTGATTAGAGAATTACTCTAACCAATTAATCAATCACATTATCTTTTACTCTTTGTTCAAGTTTCTTTTAAAGGGATTTAGATTTTTAAGTTTATTCAGCTGGTGCATCCTAAATATTTCAATTCAATTCTTACTTTCTTATCCTTCTTCTTTGGTCCCAATTCAACATTGTATTTTTTAGCATACCATAATTTGAATGGAGTAGCATCAACTTAAACAATTACTCCTCTTGTTAATGTTTTTGTTCTAACCAATTCATTATTGGAAGGATGATAAACAACCTCAACAATTTTTGCTTTTTTTGCTACACCTTGGCTACCCCAAGAGAAGTTGCCTTCAGACAATCTAAGTGCTCTGAATTTGAAATTTCCTCCTCTAACTCTAATTCTTCTGACTCTTTTTTCTCCAGAAATCAATTTTGTCATTGCAGCCTGTCTTCCTTTTTCGAATGCTCTCTTCTTTTTGTGAATTGGCATACGACCTCCTGTCAGTCTTCTCTTATGTCTACTATCTCTTGAAATTCCCATAAATTATTAATATATTTAATATAAAAAGATTTTATTTAATTTAAAAATCAAATGGAAAACATTCATCAGCTTCTAGATCCATTTTAATATCTGAAAGAAATTCAATTCTCTATATAGTGAGATCTTTGATAATAACAATTTTTAAACATCTTATGAAAATAAGTAAAAAATTCAATTTAATCTAGATATTCGATTTTTCTTGACTCAATATTAATTGTATATGATTAGTGTATATAATCTTTTTACATTATAATTATTAGAGAGGTAATGATCAAAAATTGAGCAAATTACAATTTATTATAATCAAGAATAAAACTATTTAGAAAATGAATTAAAAAAATAAGAGTTTTTAACCTTTAGTTTTTGTACTCATAAAGGTTCTTAGAAGCAATTATTAGATATTTCCTCTAACATATATTGAATTCAGCAAGAAGATTGATGTTATTCTATTTATTGAATATTATAATAAATTGGTTTTTATTAAGTTTTATTTTTTATTGTATCTATTTTTATTATTGATGATATTTAAGTACTAAAAGTCACAATAGTTTATTCTCTCATAATTACAAACTGTCTATCTTTACTATATTTTATTAATTGAATTTATCATATATTTCCTAATTGTATAATTATAAGAATTAATCACTTCATAAAAACTAACTGCATATCCCTAGAAATTCAATTATTTTATTATTGTCATATATTTAATAAAAATATGTATAAACTGTTTGATAGTTTTCATAAGATTCAATTATATTGAAACTCTATACTAAGGTTATCCAAAATGGATATTTCAAAACTGATTATTCAATTAATAGAGATTAGATATGAGATAGATGAAGATAAATTCAAAATGGATTGAAATATATTGTAAACATTCAATATTATAATAATCCATCAATAATCCATTGATTTCTATCTTCTTGGAATGGATGGGCTCTAATTGGAAAGCTTGAATTATTTTTTGGTTCGTCCTAGACTGCAAACAAGTATTGATTAGGGTTGGTTAATGATCGTATTGTCCAATGATTAGATTCTGTTTATTCAATTAACCATACGTTTCTGAGATCTTTGACTGGGTGAAATCGGACATCGTAATCGTGGAATTTATTAAGTTCTTTTTTATTATCGACGTATAGGTAAAATGAAGGGTATTGGAAGGATCTAATTGCAAAGGCATCTCCAGTGACTCTATCGAGTATGAATTTAGAATGTTAATTATTATTTTATTAAACATTGACACTAAAATCATCTGTAAATGATTGATGAGTATCACCAATGGTTAAGGAGTGTTGGGGTAGATGAGCAGGATTGAATGTCACAATTAGTGGTTCATGTTTTAAAGGATAAGGAGTTGTAAAAGTTGGATTGGTGACTAAGTACCAATGATTATTTTAATTTTCTTTATTTTAAGTGCGTACATCAAAATCCTTATCTAGCTTATTAGATTTGTCAGTGGCAACAAACAGAAAATGATTTGGGTTTGTTTCAGATCTAATAGTGAAGACACTCCATCCATGACTTTCAATAATCCAATTATTTCTTGCTTCTTGAAATGAGTGTGTTCTGACATCAAAATCATCTTCATGTTTCCTAGTATCATCATTGGAGCAAAATAAATAATGATTTGGTTTTGCTGCAGATTTGATAACATAAACTTTTTCTTTGACTTGTTGAATTATAAAATAAGTATCATTTGATTTTTCTTAGACACATCTAACATCAAAATCCTCCTTCAAAGCTCTGGACTTATTTGTACAGGCTGCAAGATATCTAGTTGGAGCAGCCACAGGTCTAAAAGAAATAAGTACAGGAGTAGATCCAAGTTCCATAGATAATTTTTATTTATTTTGATTAAAATACAAATCAAATATTCGAAGATATGATTACCTTTATGAAAAATATGGAATGAGCAGATATAATGAATCCATTGTTTGATATATCATAATATCACCATAATTCCAAAGAAATACATGTCCTCATCTTCAAATGACTTCAAAATTCTATAAAATCCTTTACAAGAGAGGAAATGTATGATTAGAGTGTATCTCACAAATTAAAAATAGAAAATGAAAGAGTAAGAAGAGATTTGTGATTTCATTATTAGAAATACAAATAAATAATCTTTGCAATTTAGGAAGATATTAAATTTTGATGGAATATTAAATATGATTATATCTATAATAAAATACTCATCCATTGAATCCATCGATAGCCCATTTATTTCTTTCTTCGTTACATGGATGTGTTCTAACGTTGAATTCTTGACCATTTCCTTCGTCTTAAACTCCAAATAAGAATTGATCTGGATTAGTAGCTGATCTAATAATCCAGTATCCAGGTCCAGAGGGTTCAATGATCCAATTATTTCTGGCTTCTTTGTTAAGGTGGAATCTGGCATCGAAGTCATTCCATTTGTTTAATGTTTTACCGTTGGCACAGAACAAATAGTAAATTGGACTGGCAGTTGGTCTAATTGTGAATGTATTTCCTTAAAGTCTATCCAAATAAAATGTACATTTTTCTGTCCTTAATCCTCTAGCTTTAACTGCAAAATCAGCTTCGAATTCTGAATGTGCATCTCCAAATGTTAAGAAGTGTTATGGCAAAAGGATAGGTCTAAGTGTGACAATAGGTGGTTGATGTAAGAGAGGGTATGGGTGAACAATGTTTGGTATTGTGATAATAAACCAAAGATTTCTTTACTCCAAATTTGTATGAGCCCTCACATCAGATTCATTTTGATGTTATCCCTCGTCAGCTGCAAAAAGATAAAAATTTGGATTTGTTTCAGACCTTATTGTGAATGTACTCCAGCCTACATTCTCAATGATCCAATTGTTTCTTTATTCATTATGATGGTGGGTTCTGATATCCAAATCTGTTCCGTATTTTTTATTGCTTTCGCTTGAGCAGAAAACGAAATGATTTGGATGTGAAGCAGGCTTAATTTTATAGACAGCACCATGAACGTTTTCCAATAAGAAATAGGTGTCTTCAGATTCTTAATGAACAACTTTAACGTCAAGGTCATCTCCATGATGTTTGGCTTTCTTTGATGATGTTGATAAGAATCTATTAGAGTTAGGGAATGGTCTTATTGAGACTACAGCTGGGATTTATGGACCTTACATTTATTAATATAAATCTATTTCAAAATAAAATCTTGCTTAAATAATGTCCCTTTTTTTATAGAATAATTAAGTATTCTATAAACTCTAAATTTTATGATTGATTATTCAAATTCTGACTATTTATAATTTTTGAGTTCTTTAATTATAAATTTTTTTTTCATAAATCACAAAAGATCATCGAAGTACTTTGTTTTCTTTTCCTTAAAATATTATAATTAACTCCCCTAATGCCAAAGCAATCCAGCAACTAAGAGCTTAGTCAATTATAAAGCCTTAATTTCATACTGCATTAATCCAACCGCAAAGGTGAAAAAAAGGCTTTCCCATATTGTGAAGATGAAACAACTCACTATTCTACTATAAAGATTTCCATTATCAACTCCTTTAAGCTTTTTGAGTTGATTATGCATTTATGAAAATTGCACATTTTTTCTCTAATAATATACCTTTAAAAAAATGTACAAAAATGTAGATTAATTTGATCATAGTAATTATTAGTTAGTATATTTTTGCTTTGCGTCTCAAGACTAGAATTTTTCAAAGAAAAAAAAATCATGAAATTAATCACGACATCTGATTCAATTATCAAAAATAAAATTACTAATACTAAAATCAAATTAATGTAGCTTCTGTCATTGAGATTAAGAAATTAAGGGATCCTAAAAGTACAGATCTAATTTATAGATATTTCAGGGTATATTAGTTATAAATTTAATAAGCATTCGTCAATGATTTTATGAAAATTACTATAAACCTCCCTAAATTATTGTATCATAAAATATATCCATTTATAATTGAATAAAAGTTAAATATCAAACTCTATAATAAAGTCAAATGATAGACAAATTGTAACAAATATTTTATTGTGATAATCTTTATTAAATTAATTATAAGTTATATAAATTGTATCCTTTCGCATTGAAAAAATCAGCCTTTTTTTTGGGATTTGATATGTGGAGAATAGAAAATCTAAATATTTAGACTTCAATTAATAAACCACTTAATCATTTCGTAAATAAAAAGAGAGTTATTTTAGAAATAGAAAAAATGCAAAGCCAAGGGTAATCTTCATGTGTTAATAGGTTATTATTACTTTAAGAAAGTTTGAAAAAGGAGGAGAGTATTTAATTAGAGGGGATTTAATGAATTTTTAATATTAAATCATAATGACTATTCTTTTATATCTACAAATCCTCATTCTGCTTAGACATCAATAGCATATAAACCAGGATGAATATTTTTGGAATTTCCTAATTTTTTAATTACCCAACTTTTAGAAGGTTTCATCACACAAATGACTCTAATTGACTTAAATTTGCATTTATACCCAGAATATATTTTAGTTTAATCAGCACTACATCCATTCAGACATTGAGTTATTTTATTCCATTATTCCAAGGTTAATAGCAATCCACAAAATTAACATGCTCTTAAATCCTTTATTTATTTTGGTATTTCAAATGATTTCTCTTCGTATGAGTCTTGGCCTGAATCTGAGTTATTCATCTCCAAACAATTTAAATTAATTAATTATAAAATTCCCACAATATTTTACTTATTAATTGTTTTATAATCTATTAAATGAATCAAATGAACATTTAAAATCAATACAGTTATATTCCTTTATAATTTTTGTGAATGGAACAAGGAAATTCAAAATAATTTGTGTAATTAATAATTTATATCATACTTCTTATTATTCATTTAAATTAATATTTTTTTTAATATTTTTAGTTGAATACGAGTTAACTCTTGTTCAAATTCAAAAGATTAAAGTTCGTATTATATGAATGCTGATTTAAATTACTATATAAAAATGTTAAAGAATTTTATAGATTTTATTATCTTAAATTTACACAAATTATGGTCTTAATCCTGAAAAAGAGTATATATTACTTCTCAATGAGGATGTTAAGAATTTAAATGGCAAACTTTTAAGAAACTAATGAATTTGTAACAATTCAAAATTTATGAATTTCATCTAATTATTTGAGATTTAAACTACTATTTAGTAAAACAATAGAGATGATAATTAAAATTATGTGATCATATTAAATTGTGTTAAGTAAGATCCATAAAATTAAATATATAAAACAATCAATAATCATCATGAACAATTATTCTTGACAGGAGTGATTTTGTTGAGTATACTTATCCACCCAAAACTCCAATTAATAGGGTGCCATTGTTAGTCAGAAGAAATGTAAGAGTACTATCTTTGTCTAACATTGATATAGAATCTACAAATTCATCACTGTTGTATGTAAATTTTTCTTTTTCTGTGATATTTTTATCTAAGATCTTGAAGTTGTTGAAATGATACTTCATTATCATATTATAATCAGTTTCAAAGTATGTTTATAGTCTCAATTAAGTCTATTCTGGAATAATTTCAAATTAGATTCTATGCAATTTCAATGCTTTATATTACTAAGAAATCAGTCTAAATGAATCACAATCCTGAAATTCCAAATGCACCAAAGTATTTTGGATTTGCAGATTCAATAACATTTTGACTTATTCCTTATCACAATTAACCAAAATGGGTATTTTACAATTAGATTTGCAAGAATAGGTATTCATCTATGTGTTCTCTTCAATCTAGGTTTTGATACTGAGTTGATAATTGAGAAAGGAGATCTGATATTGCATGTCCATTCTAAGCAGCTTAAAACTATAATATATATGATGATACTGATAAGGCTTATTTAAAGGCTTCAAGATCAATTCTTTCGATTATCATGGGTTAATTGGTTTTAATTTTGTCGACTTGCAAAGTGAAATGATGAGAATTGGTCCTGCCGATGGAAAGGAAATCTACTTTATTAGTTACACATATATAAAAAGGCTATAAATAGGAAGCAATTGAAAACATCATTGCGCTTGATCTTCATGAGACCATCATAAATTTTTTTACTTTCTTTATTAATTACTCCTGAGAATGTGAATTCTGGATCGACTTCTTACTACATTTTAAAAATAAAGAAATATTATTAATAAAATAAAATCAGCGGGAATTTATTATATTCTACTGATTTATTATTATTAATATTTGTCATTCATTTAATTTAATTGTTAACAGATGAACAAAGAAAATGAGGGGTTTAATTTATAAGAAGTAGGTTGTAAGGCACATTAAAATAAGAAGGTAATTTGGTTGATTGATAATAGGCAAAATACAAAATTGTTGGTACTACCTTCAATAAATCAAAATTCAATTTGATGGATTTGGTGTGTTCAAAATGCGCCATCACACTGATTAGTTAAGGATACAAAGTATTCGAGTACATTTATGTAGGTTGAGAACATAGAATCGGATGAAACTCTCATGAGATAAGACTAAATATAATAGTTCCTTGAAACTATTTCACAAACTTACCTGATTATAAATTAAAATGAATAAAATTTGCTGCAAAAAAAAGAAGATCTAACAAAATTTTGTGAAATGTAGAAGGACAAGGTGAGAGAACATTATACTTCAATGAGAATAGCTTTAGACAATAAATTAAAAGAGTAAATTGATTATTTAAATGAACTTCAATATAAAGCAATCACCCTATTTGATTAAAAGTATCAGGAAATTACAGAGACCCACAATGAACTGATTCAAATGTAAAGTGATATCGAGGTCAATCTTGAAAACATCATTCTCAAAATGGAAGTATTGCCATACAAGTAAATTATGGGATCATATAATAAACGAGTTACAGAGATATAATAGTGTTTAACCAAGCTGGGAACATGCAAAGTAGTTTTAGGAAGAGTTTACAAAAGAGCGGCTGAAACCAAGATATTAGGAGGTTTATTTGAAGATTGTGAATTAGAAATCAAAATTGCATAGACATCACTACTGAAAACAGAATAACAATCGAATTCAAGATTATTGTCACCTCAATCAATGTCCTAGACAAATATCATGCATCAAACTCCAGAGAAACAGAAAAGATCAAATAGTTAATCAAGCAAGTTTTTAGAGATTTTAAACAAAGTAAATGAAAACCAATTGAAGACTAACAACTTTTATACTTAATTATTGAAGGGAGAGACTTCTTTGGAGTTGAGTGAGAGGTATTGTTCTCCAACTTTCAAAAAGTGAATAATTTATTAAATATTTTATAAAATATGATTTTCCATGAAAATTCTAATATTCTATTAAGAATAACTAGATTATTTATCATATTCTATGAATTCTATAGAAAAAATTTGAAATCAACTTTTTGTTCATACAATCACATTCATATTCTCTAATGAACTGATGTAATGTTTAAATAAAGATGAATATTTCAAAATTTATATATTTATGTATAACATAAATATGATAAATCAAAATTATTATTTGAATTTAGTTTTTTCACTTTTTGAAAGATGGTTTCATTTAATAGAAGCACTACATGAAATAGTCATTTAATTAATTAATTTCATGATTTTATCCCTTTAAGTAAATTGGGATATGGATTAATTTTCAAATGAGGAATCAGTTTATTAAATGAATTTGAACCTTTTGATTGAGTTAATAAAGGTGAGATTTTGAGTTTTCAGTCAAGGAGAGATCTGTTTATAGTAATAATTCTTTAGAATTTGTGTTTTAATGATTTTGAAAGAATCATATTTGGAGATAGATAGTTAATCGAAAGATCTAGTGATTTGAGATTAGTTGATTTTTTGAGAGTTGAGGAGATTGTTGTAATATTTAAATATAGATTGAGCAATAAATTTAATAATATTTTAATTTGATAACAAATTTGTTAATGATTAAAACCAGAACTAAACCTGTTTGTAAAACTCACTTTAATTTGTCATCTAAACAAATTAGCAAATATAGAAAGTTTATCCTGAATTTAGTTAATCGAAAGTGGCTAAGATAAGTGGATGATGTTTCAACGGATAAATGTAAAATCAGATTCACCGAGAATAAGATCCACCATTTTGTGCCTTCAGAGACAATGATAAAGAAAGTGATAAGATCTGATAGTTAACCAAAGAAAGGAATACTCAAAACTACCTGAGTTTATGAGATAATATTTACTGTATTTAAAACAAAATTTATGAATTAAACGATAACATAAATATCAATCATAACTTCTACGTTGCCCCTAATTCTTCCAACGAGGTGGTGTAGGTGGTCTCTTTTTGAGTGCTTCTTCATCCTCAATCCAATTATGAGCATTGAGATTTTGAGGATATATTAATTTTGGTACTATCTCTAGGTTTCTCTTGAGTATAAGTACTGCACCTGCATTCTTGTGTCTACCGCAATAATCAGTTGCACTAAAAACTGTGAGTAATTGACCTCCTAATTAAATATCAACATGAAATCTTACCAGCAAATCTCTCAAAGCCATCCATAACACATTCATGAGCACGAATAATAAGAGAAAGATTATTTTTAATGAGGAAGTTGATAACTCTATCTGGTCCAAATTTTACTATATTTCCAGTACCTGCAGGATCCCTGATGATATTTGGTTAGATTCCAAAGTCTTAATCTGTATCAGTTGGATCTGACCATAGGATATCGACCACCAATTACTATTCAGGAGTTGTGACTTCATGGATCACTTCCAAAGGTCTCTAAAGATTCTCTATTTCTGCCACATAATTTAATTGACTCCCTATTCCTCCATGCAAACAAATGATCTTGTCCTCTACTATTGCAGCCAATGGTAACCATTCAAATAATCTATTCACTCTTGCAAACACTGAATCCTCATCATTAGGATCTTCACCTAATCTCTAAGCACATTCCTCTGAAAATCCAAATCCATTATTAATCCACTTGTCTTCATGATTTCCTCTAATCAAATGAATAGATTCAGGGAATCTTACTTTTAGAGCCAACAACAAACAGATTGTCTCTAAAGAGTGATTACCTCTATCCACGAAGTCTCCGAGAAATAGGTAATCAAATGCTTCGATATCACTATCCTTGCCATCAACAAATGGAGATCCCCACAAATCAAAGAATCTCATCAGATCTGAATACTATCCATGGATGTCTCCAAAAATCTTAATTGGAGCCTTGCATCTTAAAACCATAGGTTATTCTTTTAAAACAGCTTCTGCTTAGTCACACAACATTAGTATATGTTGAGCCTAAAATAAAAACTTAGCATTTTCAGAAATGTTGATAAAGGTCTTTGGCTACAATAAAGTACTTATGAATAAATGAGCAATATTATTCTCTTGAGCTGATTAAGGCACTCTTGGTTTTCTATTAGGGGCTTTGGAATCCCGAGCTTCTTCAGCGACGACAGCTTGATTGATAAATTTGAATTAAGATTTATCAGCTTGATTTTGAGCGAATGGTTTCTATTGTTTTTGAGTATTCTAAATAGTCTGACCTGGTTTCTTTTGGATCAAAGAGTTATTCAAAGGAGAAGCTTATTGTGTGTCTGGGGAAATGGGAGTCATTTAAGGTGATAATGATTAGGGTGAAACACTAAATAAAATTTAGATAATACTTTCTTTGAGCATGTTAATATTAAGCCAATTTGTTAGTTAATATTTCGCTTGGCAAGAGTAATCTGTTTAAATTGATCTTCGAAATAATATCAGTGGGAATGTTAGGTGAATCTAATTCAAACCCTCCATATACAAAAATATTAGTGTCTACCAACCATGAGGAATGTCGAAATCTCTGTATACTATTGAACTTAGACCACTCTGATGTTTCTGTATCATAAACATCAATTGTCAAGGTCTCTCCTACATTTCCAGTTCTACCACCTATAACAACTAACATGCTGTAAACAAACAATGTAGTGTGTTGATATCTACCCACTGGTTATTCCTTATCAATTTTATAAGGTGCCTTGACCCAATCCCATCTTCCATCTCTATGTCTTCTCAATCCCCAAGCATCATTCAATGCTTACTGATCATTTGAACGTCCACCAAATGCCACTACCATTCCATTAGCACTACCATTTGTGCAGATGCTGGCAGAATGATATACTCGTGCCAATGGCTATTCTGATTTGCATTCCAATCTCACCCAAGTTATTGGACTCTTCTCCACATTTACACACCCTTGAATTTAAATATGTAATTCATACAGCAATCATTGACTGGCTCCTATCCTGTATTACCTCCAAACACTATCAGAAATGGTTTTGTAAAGGTTAGAGTATGTCCATACCTTCTCCCTGGCGTAGTTCCTACAACTGGTACGACTGTCCATTAACCTAAGTCATCGTTTGATCTCAGATCCAACAAATACAGATCGTCTGATGCCAAACTACCACCTAATGTAAATTAATCTATGTCTTACCTCCTGTGGCTCCTCCATAAATTACTATTTAATTGATATCAACACACACTGCTGAATGTGCTGCTCTTGGAGATGGGGCTGTACCCTAAACTATTCTTTTCTTTATGATTTGTACCTTCCACTCTCTTCCACTATTTGCTCTACATATCGAATGAGAACGTATCTCCTGTAATACTATATTTCCCTGTGTCACCAGTCGCCCCTGTCATTTAATTATTCTCATTTACCCCCAAATAATATTGCTTTCCCCTTAGCAATGTATGTAATTGTATGTCCAAATCTGGCTTAAGGCAATTGTCCAAAAGCATCAACCTTTTCAAAATTATTCATATATTTATTATATTTCAAATTTAAAAAAATAAAACCTTAAAATATCAATTATTTTACATATCATACCAAAATTTCACATTGGATCCAAACAAGCTTCATTCTCTTTGATTAACCCTCCTAATCATTTTTCATTATTTCAACTTTAAAGACATTTAAAATTTTTATTTTATTATTGTACTATTGAAATGCCAATCCACTTATAATAAATATTTTTATAATTTATCTTTTAAGAAGTTGTTGCTATTTCATAATCACAAATACTATATAAATAATTCAATGAGAGTTACAAATTAAAACAAAGCCTATAGAGATAAGTATTTATTTTTGAATAGTTTGCATTAATGAAAGTTTGGGAATAAAGTTATGTGTTTATATTTTGATTCGTATATTAAGAATGAATTGAATTATATTTATTTTTTTTAATCTGAATGAGAATGACACACTTTTAAATTAATTATAATCTATCATAGATCAAAAATATATGAATACAGATATAAGAATATGAACTCAATTATGGTTAGAAACTTGGGAGCTGAGAACTTCTTCTTGTTCAACCTACAATTGTGGTAATTCATTTAGGCATGATCTTCTTGCATAGTTCAAAAACCCTATTCATTATTGTTGTAATTGATCAAGACAAAGGAATCAAAATAATTATAATATATTTCCTTTTAATCATTCCTTTTTTTCATTATAAATAGATCATTAATAAAAAAATAATCTTTTCTTTTTTAAGAACAGTTTTAAGAGTCTGCTTAGAATAGGATTTTCTAATTTACACCAAACTAAAAAGATAATAACTTAACATTTCTAAAAATTGTTTTGAAATTGCGTAGAAATTAATCAAATTGTTAGTTTCATGAAATAAGGAATGTTAACGACATTTATATTCCAAAAAATTAATTTATATCCATCGATGTTGTTATAAACACTAAATTAAAATTAGATCTTAAAATTTAATTTCAGTATTATTAAATCTTTCTTTTTGTGAATATAGTAAATAATTAATTTTCATTCCATCAAATATAGGCAAAATTTTAATTTAGATAGATTGATTGTTTTCATTAACTATTTAATTAGAAATTATTGGTGATCTCAAGGAATGATTATCATCCATTACATTTTACTCCTTAGGGATAAAGTTATGATACAGAAAAATTTTAGTTGAAGTAATTTATAAAAATTATCTGTAATTTAACTTAAAGAAACTTTAAATGTTGGTAACCTTCATTTCTATATTTTTTACTAGATAATATATTATTTCAAAAATCATTAGATCCTTAATTATAATGATATATATATAAAGATTAATTTTGGAACATTAACTGTCATAGCGGAAAACAAGGAATTAAAATTCCACTCTTATGTTCCAAATATAATCTTATCAGTTGTTCTATAATTGTATAAGCTTTTAATTGATTATATTCATCTGTTTGATGCTGACTATATTTATGCCTATATAATGGAATTTCTAAGATTGTGTTACAAATCTTATCTACTAATATTCATAAGGTAAGCATGTTTGAAAATTACTATTAAAAATTAATTAAATAAATTTTATATTGTATAATTATTATTTCATTCACATATATTCTATGTATCACAACAAATAACTTTGTATTTTTTCTGATGAATATCTTCTAAAACTGAATCTGTGTTGATATCATTTGTTTCCAGCCCAAAAGCATGAAAAGTTATGTCAGATTCATCAGGATTTGGTCCTGCGTATAGGCTTGCTAAACCTAATTAGTTCTCTTAAATAATACTAATTGATGATTTCACTATTGTCAGCCAAGCAACCCTTTTATTTGCCTTACAAACAATAACTAAATTTTAAACTTTATCAGGCACATTTTTAAACTCTACTTACGGATTAACTCCAAGTGATATTAAAACACCATTTTCTTTAATACTTTTATTTTTGGAACTAAAGGATACTTTAATTTTAAAGTTTAAAAAATTATCTAGACTATCCTATGCTAATTAGCTTGTTGCACCTCCAATGATCCCTCCAATAAATGCTCCGACTGGAATTCCAGCTGGACCAAACGCAGCTCCAATTGTCCCACCAATACTTGAACCACTCATCCGCCATGAAGCAGCTACTCCAACTGAGAATGCTTATTTTCCAAAAAGAATTGCTTTTTCTACATGAGAAGTGTTTTGATCGCATAAAGTGCATTTTATTAACGAAAGTTGCCACAATATCCAAATAAATTACCTAAACTATACGGAGATGCTTGAAATCCCCATAAAAATACCTTTCAGAGCCAATTATTCAAAACTAGCTTTACCATTCAAAGCATCAACTATAGTAGCTCCAATAACTTAACCACCTGCTTCAGAGGCTTTTATTTGAAAAGTCTATTTTGGATTAAAGTTCTTAAAGTCCTTAAAGTTGTTAATACTCTCTAAGATTTAATTTGAAAATGCCGCCACCCCCTAGACTAATTAATTAGATGCACAATGAGTAATTAAATCATAGCAATTCGAAAATAAAGTTATCAACTTTTCTTTGTATTCTTCAATATTAAAGATTTTTTGTATTATTTTTAGAAATTAATCAATAAGAAGATCTGAAACATCTCTAATAAATTTACTCAACTTCTTAAAAAAGTCGCTTTCTTTGATAAAGGCAGAGTTTATTTCTTTATAACCAGTTTCTAATAATTAATTGAGGATCCTATAATAATCGTCATTATCATTATAAAATGATGAAAGCAAAGACACCAACTTACGAAGATATTATTCTAAATTATTTTTCAATAAAGCTTTTAAGTCATCAATATCTTACGAAAATTACATGATATTTTTAATGATGTAATCAATTCTAATTTAATAAAAAGAACAAATCTTTTTAAGTTTGGGTTTAAGATCATTCTCAATTTTATTGGTCCAATATTTTTATCTTTTAGAATTATCTAAAGACATTGAAAAATTATTATTAACTTACTCAACTTTAACATACTAAATATTGTCTTTATTGTACATATCTACAACTTTAAATTCAAATTAAGGAAACAAGATTACTTCACCCTCATTTGGATATTAAGAGTGATAAGTTTCAATTACAAAGTAGGGATGAGGATTTTATTAATTTAATGTTATTTCAAATAGAATTTTATATCTTTTATTACAAAAGCATCTAGCTACATTCTCTTTGGTAGAAGTACTAGCTAAAGTATTCCAAAACATACTTTAATTGTTCTTTAAGCTTTACTATAGGTCTTGTATAATATTGTTATAAATTTCTTATTCTTGATCACTTATTCCTCTATATAGTATATTATTAGACAATGGCTTACTCTGTAATTTGGAATATCCTTCAAACAATACACACATAATTTATTCTAATTTTGAATAATTAGACTCTGCAAAGTTCCTATTCAACTCTCTATAAATTTCCTTTCCTGTATAATAATATATAAATTTCTCAAAAATACTAAATTTTCCTCCATTTTTTTTATTTTTCTATGCTTCTTACATTTTAGCTTGACAATTTTTGAAAACATCTTATGATACAAATTATAAAATTTCCTTTTCCATTAATTCCTCATTAGTTTAATAGTTTTTTTCTAATTTTTTATTAATCAACAGAAATCTGAAACTTGTAGCCTCAAATTAATGATAATATTAAGTTTATTTTTGAGCTTTTTAATCAAATGATTAGTGTAAATATTCTTTAGCAATTAAGAATTCTTCATTTAGATTTACAATTTCTTCCACTTCTACAATTCCAGAATCAACAAGAACTAATAATTCTTTTTTACTTAAAAACTATTATAAATGCTTTTTAGATTATCCACAAAAGACAATTAAGTTATCGCCTAAGTCTAACTTCTCTTCATAGATAAATTAACCAGATATAATTTTAATGAATTTATCACCTTTCTGTTAATTAAGCAAAATTTTCAAGGCTTCAGAAGTTGAGTCCAAAAATGAACAATCTTGAATTTTGTCCTTAAGTCTTTTTTAGAAAAAAGTGTTTTCGTAATTATTGATTTGCTTATCAATCCACACTAATTTACAATTATTTTACATGTATTTCTATCACACTTAATCTTTGAGTTTAAAATTCATCTAATAGAATTATCAGTTTTTATTTTCAATTATAATTTTGAGGGTATCAGAAAAATACTTGTTTATTTAAATATAAACTCTGAGGTTTCACCAGTTCCTATTAAAATCACTTCAAAACAATTTGATAGTTTTTATTTAACTAAATGAAATATTTCGAAATATATATTACTTCTGACATCAAATTCGATAAGTTAAAATTTAAATTATTTTTTAATGATTTCACTATGAAAGAATGTTAAACCATAGTAATAATTAACAATTTTTTAATTGTTGTATGATAGTAATAGTTAAGAAATTTAAAAGATTACAAAAAAAAATGGTTCTTACTGAAGATTTATGATTAACTATTTTATTATATTAATGAAACTAATCAGAAGTTCAGTTTAATATGCTTCTATAATAAGAGTATGTCCTCTTTAAGTAAATGGCGCAAGCAAAATTTGAAATATTCTTGGTCATTTTTTTATAAATTTGTGAAAAACTCTTACAGGGTATTCTAGGATATTTAGATGAGATATTACCACAAGATTTATGTTTAAACATGGATCTTTCAAATAAGTTAAATCTTCTTCGGTTGTTTCATCACATTCTTCTCCTACTTCTTGATTAAAATCTAAGAATTCACTCATGTACAAGGTTGATCCTGTCTCTAAATCTGCTAATCCTTTGTCTTTCTTTTCTTTGGGATCCAAGGACTAAACTGATAGATATTTAAATAATACAGCAAATCTATCTGCAATGTCTTAATCTTCATCATCTTTAATTTTTTCTAAATCCACATCAACTTGATCTTGGTACTTTTTGTCATTGAAATCGTCATCATCATTGTCCACTTCCAAACGATCATCTTCTTATTATTGATTAACATTATCCTATTTGGAAGGTACAATTTCATTATCTAGACATCTTATCAATAAAGATAAGATTTTGAATGGTGCATATACATCTGATATTATATTGTATGTTAATACCACTATTGATATTCTGATGACTAGGATTGTACCCAATAACTAATAGGTTCTCTAGGGTTTTATCTTTAACTAAGAACAATTTCATTAGAGCTGAAAATGTAGCATTTTTAGTTCCCTTCCCTCTAAACAGAGGTTATTATAATAACCACTTATCAATCAACACTTTCAGAGCCATTCTGTTGTCGATACTCCAAGAAGTCAAAAAGGCTATTGACTCTTTTGGTTTTTCGATTATCATTCTAGCATATACGAGAACTAAGGATTAGACTGTAGATGGCATTCTAGATCTGTAAATCTTAAACACAACTGCCTTTAATAGATTCAGATCAGGATTTCCATCTAAGAGATTGTTGATTGTAATCATAACTAAATTGCCTGCAAATAGTGAAGCTGATTCATTTGCTGAATTCTAAGGTACTTCCAATAATTTTAAGTTGACCTTCATGACATCTTAAACCAAATTCCTAGATTTATATGAACTTAGAGATTACATCTTCAATATTTATCCGGTCTCGATTATAATGAAGTTCTTGAGACATTAACTAGTATGAACTTACAATTGTGGATCTTCATTTATCAGAATTAAATTGACCATAGAAGGTAGTAAATTAATGAAAGCTTCTTGTGCTTTACTATCTGAACAGAATTTGATAAAGGTTGAGGTAATGCTCATGATGGCACTCATCAAGGAAATATCACTTTATTTGATCTTGCTTTTATCTTATATTTTGTGGACATCTTCATAAAATACTTAGAAACAATCCAAAATGAATGGACAAAACACCTTTAATAAACAGTTATGAGTACTTCAAATATGTGAGGGTATGCTTCCTTGCATTAACATATTCTCACTATTAATTCATTTAATGGTTTGATGAAGCATTATTCTGAATGGAAAACACTGAAAAACTATAATAAGACTTTTGATCCATTTTTGGCTAGAGTTGTAGCTAAAGTAGGTGAAAACTTAACTAAATGGATTGTAGATTCTAAAATAGAAATCATTTAGTCTTGATTTGCCTCTTAAAGTACATTAAGCACTGATTCCATAAATTCTTACTAATATTCAAAAGGAATGCTGTATTTGTGAATTTTTGATGCATAACTAATTTCAATTAAGAATCTCTTACTTTCCTAATGCTTTGACTGAAATGATGCGAAGAGTAATGGGGTATTTTGAATCCAAATAATGAATGACAGATTCAAAAAGGGGCACTATCAATTCTTTGAATTAGTGACTAATCAAATCCGAATATCTGGTTGTGCTCCATATAGCTCGAGCTTATAAACTATATGAATCTATTGATATGGATATTACTTCTTACTCTATTTCTCCAATTCATACAGTATATTCTATATACACTTTTTGATATCGAAAGTGCTCTGATGTTTTTATTGGAACACAATTATGTCCTCTGAGAAACTGCCCAACAATAGATAACCAATTTCTTTCCTTTTTTAGATGAATGACTTTAGATAATGATTATTATTGATGGTTATGATGGATCCTTTCATAAATTGCATAACACTATCTTGATCAAAATCTTTTGTTTATTGTCCCTTCAATTCTTGAAAATTCAATTTAGATATAATGGATTATGCCAAATCTAGGAATTCCTTCTCGTCCCTATTGAGTATTAACTTTTCTCCAACTATCAGTATTTGTTGAATAAATTAATCCCCATACTTCTCGATCATATCATTAATCAATCTCAAAGCCAAGGTTCGAACACTTTTTTATAGTAATTCCTCCTCATCATTCAATATGAAGTAACTGGGATCTTTGATCCATTATTTTTCTTATTCTTTGGTGGCAGTCAAAAATGTTGAAAGAGTATTCAATAATGGGAATGTTCCAAATTTGATCAAATTATAAAGAGCTGGTTTTGTAACTAAAATTGTAATCAACTCTATAGAATATGCACACAATCCTTCAATATGATTCTCGTAATCATCATCTTCATTAAGGTATTTGTATTCAATATCTAATAAAATCACACATGTAAATTTACCATTTCTTAAATTTATTATTCTCTAATTACTAAAAGGTAATTCTTTTGTTTCTTCACTAAACAATCCGTCTATGTGTTCCACATCTATCTGATACACTATGTGACCAATGTATAATTGCGTAATGGAATTGAAAAACTTCCAAATTGGAATTAAAGATAGAGCCAAGGATTTCCTACTATAAAATCCAAAATCCCTGAAAATAATGATCAAAATCTTTAAGACCAACTTCTTAATGAAGATGTGTGATCTTGGGGAGGTTTGTAAGGCTGATAAAAACAATGACTATATGTCGTATTAATATATTTGATACCATCCATATTTGGAATGTATTGTCCAAACATTTATTGACTAGGGAGTTGTCTGTTCCATCAGCAAAAGAAATTGATCTCAATATTAGGTACACCATCAATAGTATTTTCTCTCTGAGCATCTCATTTAATTCTGGCTATGCAAATATGCCAAATCCCTTTTCAAGCACTGAAGGCACTATCTCTTTTAATAAGTTTTGATGCTCTCCGTTTGTCTCGCTCAATTTGCCAAACAATTGTAAGAACAGTTCTAAACTAGATTCAACTGCATTTATATCATCCATCCAATTTAAAAGTTCCATCAATGGACTTGGCCAAATGTGACTTGGATCTAATACTATTATGGATACTATTATTGAAGACTTAAAAGTATTAATTATCGATTACAATCAATTCTATGATAGGCATGTTTGAGACATTCATAACTAACCCATTTAAAAGAAGTTCACGTATTATTTTACGAGATGGTTATATCGATTCCCATTATTCGATCAAAATATTCCTAAGCAATACTCCAATATTGATTCTTATTTCAACTGGATAATCAGGAGATACTAGGATTTTTGTGCTCTCCACCATAAAATTGGAATAAGGAGTGTGCAAGATGTCGTATGCTTTCTCCAAATTTTCAAGGGCTGAGGCATAAATCTATAACGTGATTTCAGGCGTAGCTTCTGCCATTTTAAATTTTTTTTGTATTTTTTATTTTATATAATATTTATTCAAATTCTATCCTCTAACTGTTTATTTCTCCATTTTATCTATTCTCGGATTAATTGAATACAAAATTAATGTTCTAAATTCAAATTTCTACAATACTTAAAATTTTGTTGGATAATCAACAATTCCCATTTTTTGAATGCTCTAATATTCTTTATTATTTAACTATGTAATAAATTTAAATTATTGAATGATTGAACATTTAAATACCTTCTCAGTCTACGCATGCCCTTATATTGAAATAATTTGCTATTAATCTTATCTAAGACATTGCCTAAATCAACTTACTTGTTGGATATAACTGGATCGACAGCCAACCATTAACAAGATTACTTAACTCCCACTTCATCTTTGAATTAGATTTGTTATTTATTAGGTATGAGAGTCTTGTTGCTTAGAAATGAAAATTTAAATTAACCCCGTTGTAAATTTTATAAAATATCCTCAATTTCATTAGATTTATATTTATAAAGTAATAATCCATTTTGATAGGTTTATAATTGAGAATGGGTTTTGAAGAGTTCGATGGCTTTGGGATCTCCTTGAGTAGCATATTGATTAAAGGCATCTTCTAGGTTGAGGATCTGTAGAGTGTACAGATACTCTTTATCAAAGTAGAGCAATTTGTTTTTAGCAAAATAGATCTGCTAAGAGATCAATTCAATATTAGTAAGAATGGACATGTCATCGATGAAAATGATGGTGCATGTGTTTTGATTTATGTTGTAAATATAATTATTTACTATATTAATCTAATTAAATTTGAGACCTGCAAATTTATAAGATGATTACACTTCTCCTGTCATTTTAGCCTTCCATAAAATACCATTTGGTCGACCACAAAACAAGTAGGACTAATAAAATGAGCATCCAAACTTTTTATTTTTTTCTGTGTTTCCAACTTTGATCAAACTCCTGGTCTTGTCATCAAAAATGTAATAGTATGAGGATTCAATAGCCACTTTGGGATAACTAATAGCAAAGCTCTCAATTTTCATATTGTTCAAAATTGTGTATTGTTCTTGAGTATTGGTGTTGTGCAATAGAAACTAATCAGTCAACTGAATGAAGATTAAGTTGTTGATAACGAATGCATCGAGTATGTTGGGACTCAAATACACTATGTTTCCATCTCTTTCAAGTATGCCATCTGATGTCAAGATGTATTGGATGGACAAAACCTTCAAATAGGGGACCTCAATGGGCAATATGTTATCATTATGATGGATGGAAGAGTATGTTACAAGTGTTTATTCGTTGAGGATTTGTGTGAGATGGATATTTAGTTTATTCTTCAGAATACACACTTCTTAAGTCTTCATTAATTAATTAATCAAAATTATTGGAGTGCATTATGATGATCAATGGAGTCTTATGGTATATGAGAAAGTGAATAATTAATATTTTAATAAATGAATTTATTTGTACTTTTTCTATTCTGCGTCATATTTCATAATGTCGCTAGCTTGATGCCTATGCCTAAAGCTATATAGAAGGGAGATTAGGTTGTCAAAATTGAGAATAAATGCTCACTACGATATCAAGCAACTGAGGATCAATACCCAGATTTCATTTTGGAATTACTTGAACATTTTCATACTTTGATGACTCCAAAGCAATGTAATTTTAGATAATCTTTTGGGTTTACAAATGACTTGGGAGCCATGAAGATCTCCATGCAAATAGAATCCTTTGAATAATTGTATGGAGTTGATACAACTAAATAAGAATCATATAGATTAGATATTGATAATGAATTGAATGTTTAAATCCAAGTGAATAATCATTGGGGTTTGGTCAGGGCTTTGAACACCTTAAATTAATTAAGTGAGAAAGGAGAGATACATGATCTTCCCTTAACAATAGAGGACGAACCAACTTATAGTTACAGAGGGATTTTGATTGATAGTGCTAGACACTTTCTATCTGTCCAATTGATAGAGAGAACAATTGATTCCTTAGTCATGAATTCAATGAACACAGTCCATTGGCATATTACAGATGACGAGAGTTTTCCATTACTATTAACAGAGTACCCTGGAATTACACATTCAACAAAATATTCAGAGAATTCATATTATACAATAAATGACACTACAAGAATAGTTGAATATGCTTCAAAAAGAGGAGTTTAAATAATACCTAGTTTTGATAGTCCTGGACATTCAATGAGTTGGGGAATGACTAAAGAATTAGCTGATATTATGATGATGTGTGGAAGCACAATAAAATAATATGGTGTGCTTGATCCAACATTAGAGAAGACTTATCAAGTCCTAGAATCTATATTAAAGGACTTCTATCAAATGTTCAAGAAGGTCAAGTTTGTTAACTTTGCAGGTGATGAGGTCAGCAAGACTTGTTGGGATCAAAGACCTGAAATTAAAGAATTCATGTAAAAAAACAACATTAATGATTATTTTGAATTGCAATCCTATTACAGAAGAAGGTAAAAGTAATTATGGAAGGATGTCATTAAAGCAGAACAAGATATCATCTATCTCTATAGAAAAGAAGACAATTTACCACTTGATAAAGACGATATTATTCATTGGTGGGGAAATACTGATCAATTACCAGATGTTGCTGATAAACCTAATAGAATCATATTGATGGATTATTTCCCATTGTTTATTGATGCAGGCTTTGGAAATGCCTTTGGAAATCCTTACTCTGTTTATCATACATGGAAAGAAATCTATAAATGGACTCCATCCCTTCCATAAGGATCACTGAATACTATCATAGGAGGTGAAGTTCCTTTGTGGGGAGAAACTAATAATCAAAATACACATTTCAATAAATTATACATGAGAACATCAGTTATTGCAGAAACGTATTCAAATATTATATATTTATTAGTCTTTGGAATCCAAAAGTCAAAGAAACTGAAAAATATGCTTCTTTTGTTAAACGTCTTATTCAAATGGAAGATAGAATGACAAAATAGGGCTTTCCTGTTACTCCTGTTACTCATGGGTATTGTAGAAAAAATACAGAACTATGTTTTCCAGTCTTAAGTGAAGAGGAATAAAAAGAGTAAATATAAACTGAATGAATGAATTTTATAAATATAATTAATAAATATCATTTTATTTAGTTATAAATAATATACATTATTTTATATTTATTTTATACTAGGTGTTATGGCTGGTGTGTGCAGAAATTTTATTATTATGAAAATTAAGATATAATGCTCTTTTTAATGCAAAATTAAATCAGATTTATGGAAACATTGAATATAATATGTAGAATAACAAATATAACCAACTATTCCCTAAATCTCTTAGAAGTAAATTTTAAATGTATTCTTAGCTAAGGAGAGTACTATAACTAAGCATTCGGAGGCATTTAGTATTGGAGAATCAGGAATGCTAGATGCAAAAGAAAATCTAGAATTGTCTGTTCTTCGATATCCTCATCCTCAACTATTTCAAAATCCTAGTGCTTAGCTAAGCTTTCCTAATTTCTTATTTAGTCACTAATACAATCCAACGATGGCTGAGCATTTAATGCAATCATAAATGTTGCCTCAAAGTAATGCGTTCTAGGCTATGCCTTTGTAAGGTGTGGCTGTTGAAGGAATGAGGATAGTTTGTGAGATTGATATTTTAATGATGAAACATTATTATATATTAAGAGATTAGGTAAAACTTTCTAAAATTCTTTAGATTTTTAACAAACACAATTAAACCACTTTGAAAAGAATGGATAACAATTCTAATCAGATAGATTGGATCAAAGGAAGATTTTAATATAGGTTTAAAGAAAAGATCAGTAAAATGATGTGCAAATTAGTTGATGAGGTTAAATCACTTTTAAATAATAAAACAGAGGATGACTAATAAATCAATATTGAGAGATTGAGATTCCAACCAGATGAACTAATATAACTTGATAAGGAAATAAGGGAGAAGGCATATGATTCATAAGAATATTTGGATCCTTATATCATTTGTGGAAGAATTGCTAAATTGATAGAGATATATTTTAGGAGTTCTGATTAATGATTCGTATGCTTTTCCACAATTTATATTGATTATTAATTTATTATTTTATAAGCAGATCTCATGGAACAACTGCTTGAACGATATGAGGAATTAAAGAAACGGAACATAGAGGAATTGGAGCATGATAAATCAATAACTCATTTGCTCTATATAGAAGGATTCAAATGGGATAATTTAGATAAAATAAAATAGATTAATAAAATATCTCAAACTAAAATAGAAAAGAGAATCACCCTTGTTTAAGATGTAATAATTACAATAATAAAGTTTGGTTTATTAAGGAAAGACCTAGAACCTTATGGGAGTAGCAATTCGAATTGTTAAAGTTTAGTCAAAGATATTGATATGCATATAAATTCCATTATGTTTGAAATAGATAAATTAGAATAATTAAAATAGAAATCGCAAAGATTCTTACGAATTCAAAGTTAGCCGAACATTAAACCAGACACTGCACCAACTGATAGCATGGCTTAGACAGGAGGACTGCTATCAAGTACTAGCGACGGTTAAACAAGAATGTATCAAAGTAGTTTTTAGTTTTACCGAGCATAAAGAGATCAAAAAATTTAATCGCATAATTAAAAATGGATAGAAAAATAATATACAATTTAGAAAAAGTTGATAGAAGATGAAAAAGAGTTTTAGAAATTTAGATATGAAATCGATACTAAATAAAAGAAGGTTGAGATGAACCTTGAAGAATTTCAATTATGGTAGTCTAGAATAATGAAAGAACAATCAGAAGGGAACTCAAAAAGACTGTAATAACATAAATCAAGAGTGTAGTAGGATTAAATGCAAAGATAAGTTACTTTGGAAGCAAAGATTTCAAAAAAAGAATAACAATTACAAAAATAAATGTCATTGTTAAAGGATTTCCATGAGTTATAAAAACAATAGAAGGAAGAACATTTCTTAAAGATTTTGCATAAATCCATGGGAGCTTTAAATGATAAGGACAAATTTAATTAAATTTAAAAGGAGTAATCTGAAAAAAAAGAATTATAAAATAATCATAAGTTGAAATACATCTAAGAATCAAAGGAATGGACTAAATAACAGTTGTAAAGATAGAGTGAATTAAAACAAAAAAAGATTGAAAGGGCTAACGTAAAAGTTCGTTATTATTAAAGTAAATTCAAGTATCTTAGGATATTTAGAGAAGAGAGAAATTTGAAAATAAGGAGAAGAAAAAGCTTGCTTATATGGAGAAATATCATAAAGTGTTTGAGGATTATTAGAATAAAATCAATAAGGAGAAAGAGGATAAAATTCATCAATTTTAAATTGTACTTATTTTATTAATAGAGATTAGAATAAAGCTGTAGAGGATGCAAGCAGAGGATAATTAATTAAATATCAATTTGAAAGAAAATGTTAGAGTTAGGCTCAAGCGTAAAGATTGAGAGATAGAAGGATTAAAATATTTTAGGAAGAGAAGGCTGGGGAACATTTAATGAAATAATTAGAAATCAATTAAAGATTGAATCAAATATAATAAGAGTTAGAAATGAAGAGGAGAATGTAAGAATTGATGGAAGAAGAGTAAAAGTAAAGGAAGTTAATGATAGAGTAATTAATTTAATTATATTATAGGAATGATGAAAGATTGAATATAAGGGAAAGAGAGAAAAATATGAGAAAGTTAGAGATTGAAAAAGAACAGAGAGACAAAGAAATGAAAAAGCTGAAGTATTCTAAGGTTTGATTAAATATATTGTTAAGAAAAATTAATAAAATTTGATTATTTATTTTTGAATTTAATGAATAACCAACTACACAATCTCAATTGTAAATTTTGCAAGATTAATCAAAACAAGTTTATCTAGAAAGAAATACATGAGAAGTATTTTGATAGATTTGAAATTATAGATATTTTGAGTAGTTCAATTTTTATTTTGCCAAGCCCATAACAGAAATTTTAGCTAATGTTCCTATAGATCATGTCATTCTATTTAAAGACTAATTGTATTTACATGATGAAAATGAATATATGAAGCGATTTTATTAAAGAGAGGAACAAGACCCAAGAATTAAATTACTTAGCGATTTTTACTATGAGTAAAATAAAGTAACTCATTTATGTGATTAATCCTTTTTAAGATCCCATAGCCCAATTTATGTAAAGTCAATGCTCATAAGTTCATGGAGAAGAGAATTAATAAATTGTTAAAATTACAATAAAAAGCATAAAATAGTTAGAATCAACAACCAATTACTAAAAAAATGATTCCCGATCATATTTTTAGTGAAAACTACGTTGAATCTGTATCTGAGTAGTATCGACATACTTATTTAGTTCCTATCCCAAGGAACAAATATCATGGGACAGCAAATCGCATAACATCTATGAGATTTCATAAAGTGTAGCATAGTAGTCACAACCAAAAAACAAACCCTCTGCATAATTACCTATTCTTAACATATCTGGTGATCAAAATAAACTATTTAACTGTGAAAATGATTAAGATATAGATAATATCATTAGTGAAGTCAACACACACACATCTCGTTAGTTATCATCAATTACCAAAATACCATTTAAAAAGAAACCTCCAACAAGTGCAAGCAAAAAGAAAAATTAATCAATACAATAGCCTTAGTAACCTAAAGTTCCTATTCCACCATTGAAACTCCAAGAAAGTGCTAAATCATCAACAACCACAGCCCCAAACAATAAGTCAACAAGCATTTAATCTTTAATGAAAAAATATGATTAAATATTGTAAAAACGTTTTTAAGTGAAGGAAATATTAACAGAACGTAACGAAACCCGTTCTGCTGCTGGTTTTGGTTCTAGTTGTGGTATTGGTACAAATAGAGGAGAAGGAGGTTCATCAAAAAAATAAATTACTGATGAAATGCTACTCAAATTAATATCAAACATGAAGAAATCAAAAAATAAATCCGACAATTATTAATTTCATGCCTCCTACAAAAGTGTAGCATCTCATCCTTAAATTGGTCCGGCTTAATCATGCACATTTGAAAAAGAAAATGAAAAAAAGAAAAAGTACCAAGTTTATTTAGTAATCTATTTAATTTAATAGGAAGCCAAAATAAATCAAAAAAAACCCCTCTTAGATGTCATCACCAACAACAGTCTAAAAGTAATTCAATCTACATTATATTAGCACTTGTTCTCCATCTATGCTTCTTAGATCCCTTTCAAATCCTTCAATGGCGCCTTCTCCAATGAGGAGATTAGAAATTAAAGTTAACTTAAATAAACTTATATAATAATAAGAACAAGAAATAGGATATTGGACTTAAAGATGCAAAGTTCGTTGAAACTCACTCTATCAATTAATTTTTACAATAATTATTTTATATCAATTAACCTTCCATACTTCATACTATTCTATTTAAAAAGTTTAAGGATTAATTTCCTTTTATATCAATTAATAATTTTATACTTAATTAATTCTGATGACATAATATAAGAAGTGGAGAATAATGCTAAATATCAAAATAAATTATGAATATTCTAGATGAATGAAGGATTTATATTAGTCTAATCAAACACAAAAATTATTTAATTTATTGAAATAAACAATCTATCATTCTTTTGCATATACTTATTTTAAATCCCAACACTCCAAAAATGTATATACTTTTGGATTGAATAATTGATACAAATGAAAATAAGCCTGATTCATTGCTAGATGCCATAATCCATGCCAAAGCCTTAAGTAATCTTTATATTCATCCAAACCAAAATAAAATGCCACAAAACCAATAAGTAAGTAAAATAATCCTTTCTGTAGGTAATCCTTATTTACTATTTAACCTTTCTTAGGGTAGAAAGTTTATTTGATTATAAACATGATTAAACTTATTAATATTGGAATCACAGTTGCCCATACATTCCATGCATGTGATTCTTATACTATTACAACAGCAATAAAATTAATCCATTAAATGGATTTTCTTGTCCTTCTATCGTTTTGCATTAAATAATTGAATAATTCCATCTAACTTTTAGATCATTTTGAATACCAATCCACAAATTGATGCAATGTTATCAAGCTGATGCCAATCAACCTCTTTTAATATAATTGGCTCTACTCCTATACTTTCAGACAGATGATACATAAATGAGGACACAAACAATAATACAGATAGGAACAATGTATGAGCATTACTAATTTTATATGTGTAAATGATTTAAGGGATCATTACTCCATTTGAAACTGCTGTTATTATTACCATTAAAAACATTTCACCTGGAGAGTGCAAATACTTATTTGTTTTCCCTGTGTCAATCATAAATAAATATGAATTTAATAATCAAGACTCACTAAATTAAAATGATATTACTATTTTAGAATTATTTATCACTAGGCTTTATAAAATATATATATTGTCCTTTTTGCTCTAAATCATTATCTAAAGTAATGAACATAGAATTATAAAAAATATAAAAAATTATAATTGAGAATTTTATTTAAAAATAGTCAATGTATTCTTAATTGGTTTAACCTTTTAAATCTAATATTAAGAGTTATAGTTCGAATACACAATTATAGATGAAATTCATGTTATTCTAAAAGATCTTATTCTAATTAGAGAATTATTTGTTATTTTTTAATTCCAATTTAATAATGTAATTTTCAATCATGTTTAAATTTATTTTTGGAAAGAAATATTTATTAATATACTATATGAAAATCAATTATTCAATAATAAAGATAACAAATTTCCTGATGGCACACTTATTTTACTATTGAATCCTCCTCCTCCTCCACCTAATAATTGTAAATAAAATGAAAAGTCATTCACTTGATTTTTATTTTCATCCTTCTGTGATTTGGATTAATTATCTGTTGAATTTGTAGGTACATCTGTTTATCCTTTGATATATTTTAATCCTGCAACCTAATTATTGGAGGTTCTCTAGCTTTATTTTTATTATTAGTTCTATTCTTGATGGATCTAATCAGATCTATTATTTCTTTTTTAAAAACTAAATTATTCTTCTTCTTTTTATAGTTTAGGGATTTAGGTAGATTCTTTGAAATTATAGCTCTGAATAGATGTATTTTGATTTGTAATACTCTAATGTTATTGATTGTAGTTAGGTTATTAATAATTTAATAAATCCAAGTTGCACTAGTTATATGGGATTCCTTAATATCCTTGATTATATGATTAAGTTGTTTATTAAATATTATTGACTGAATAGATAGGTTAAGGATTAGATGTGTAAATATTAGCAAAGTTTTGATAGCTAATTTAGTTTTAAAATTATTATTATCCTAGTTAATTAAATATATCGATCTATATATTTTGAGCTTAATAATTAATTTAAGATAAATTGTGAACTAAATTAGGTGTTTAATTGGGAAGAATTAAATTATTATTATAAGGAAAGCCAGCCGATACTTATTCTTCTTAATTATGATTGTAAAAATTTTATAACAAATTTGATTATACTTCAAAATTGTGAAAACTTTCTTAACCTATATTATTATTTTCTTAATGGAAAATTTATTATCCAACATTTTAATCATCTTAGAAATTACATTGATAATTTTCAATCTATTAATTGCAATTAAAATCATCTTCTTATTTCTAATGCTATTAATCTGTATCAATTGAAAAAGTTAAATTATTTTTCTCTTTGTCTTATGATTCAGAATCATTCAATTCATCAACTCTATTGGTATCTGGTATATCAATTTTCTAATCATCATGATAATGGTTCTATTGTTAACTAGCGAATGAAAAATCCTAATTTTATTTGCTTTTCTTAATATGCTCATTATTTTTAAGCATAATCCATTTAATGAAAGGTGCAGACATTCGTCTAAGTAATCCTGTTTTTAAAATCTTTCTTACTCCCACTTATTCTAAATATGGTCTGTATTTCTTTCATCTTGTATTGGATTCACACTCCTCTGGATTTTCTTAAACTTCAACTTTTTAAGGATTTTTGATAACAACCTCTTTATAATCATTTAATTTCCTTTTCTTATAAGGGGACAATGTATTTATCAGAGAATTTGATTCATCATCTATTAATTTTATCAAGTAGTTTTAACTCCGTCTAGCTTTATATTTTTGCACTAGTTAATAAACATTCCATCCAAATACTCCTAAAAAAGTTACTGCAAAAGGAATCTCCATATTTAATAAAAATAATAATATTTACTTTAAATTTTATCATTTTCAATTCCATTTTTGTAGATCCAAAAATTAAAATGAAATATATCAACAGATTAAATTATCAAATTTCTTATTATCCATAGTCTAATTTGTAAATGGCAATATATTATTTTACTTCAAAAAATTGAAATAACAAGTTTTTACATTAATAGTATTTATATTAGGGGTGAGTTAAAAAGTATGCTTGTTAGTTTTGTATCAAATTTTCCTCATAATTGTCAAAATCATTGAAATCATTTTAAAGACTAGTTCAATCAAAATAGTTTGGTAAAGCTAATAATGATTAAAGTTATCATTTTAGAATTCAAGTCATTAAGCTCATTCAAACTTAAAAAAGAATTTTTATTTTCCTAGTGATGTTTTAAATTTTTTTTTGTTATATTATTATTGATTTATTTTATCTTGATAATCTATTGCATATCACTTATTCAATTATCATAATTTCTATCTCAATTATTGATAAACTTTAAGAGAGAGTAAAAATGTTCAAAACAATTCACACTTTAGTGAATTTAAGGGAGATAATGTTCTAACTCTAATTATCAATTTTTAAGTCTGAATAGCATTGTAAATAAGTATATATTTTAAGAAAAATAATATAATGTAACAAATAATAATTCTTATTCTATATATATGTAAATATTAGATTAATGAGCTATTTTGTTACAAAATTAAATTTAGAATGAAATATCTGCGAAGTTTAATAGAATTAAAAAATAGGATTCTAAATAGACTATATAACTCTAAAGTTTTGTGAACAGAGTTGTATATAATTCACAAGGGTTGAATGTATGATAATAATTGAGTATGGATATATTAACACTTGATGGATTCATTTAATTAATTTAAAATACAGAATTAGATAGTATATTCATAATATTGCTTGTATTAATTTGTTCTTAGAGATATTTCTTATTTTCATATAATATAGAACCCTGATGAGAAATATTATTTTCACTTTTGCTATTCTTTTGTTTAATATAGACTGAGTTTTAAATAGTATGTATGAATTAGTCAAAGAATGAATAGATATCAAAGTTGTGTATTATAGAGAATACGTTATAATTAATAAAAATTTTGGGGGTATGTGAGAAGATTTAATTGTTTTAATTGATTTAATTTGCTCTAGAAAAGGGAAAAGAATTGAAATCGTAATCAATAATATCTTTTATTTATCTACAAACACATGTCTGAAGAACACCCAGCAGTCGTTATTGATAATGGATCAGGATAATGCAAAGCCGGTATTGCAGGAGATGATGCTCCAAGATGCTGTTTCCCAGCAGTCGTAGGAAGACCCAAACATTAAGGAATTATGGTTGGTATGGACAGCAAGGAAGCCTACGTTGGAGATGAGGCTTAAGCTAAGAGAGGTGTTTTGGCACTTAAGTACCCAATTGATAATGGTATTGTCAATAATTGGGATGGTATAGAATGTGTTTATAAATTACGTAGACATGGAAAGAATTTGGCATCATGCATTCTTCAATGAATTGAGAGTAACACCAGAAGACCACCCAGCTCTTTTGACTGAGGCTCCAATGAATCCAAAGGCCAACAGAGAAAAGATGACATAAATCTTGTTCGAAACATTCAACGTGCCATCATTCTACGTTGCTATTCAAGCAGTGCTTTCACTCTATGCTTCAGGAAGAACAACTGGTATCGTTGTTGATTCTGGAGATGGTGTTTCACACACAGTCCCAATCTATGAAGGTTATGCCCTTCCACATGCTGTACTCAGAATTGACTTGGCAGGAAGAGCCTGTACTTAATATTTGGTTAACATTTTAAATGAATTGGGTGTTTCATTCACATCATCAGCTGAAATGGAAATAGTCAGAGACATGAAAGAGAAATTGTGCTATGTTGCTCTTGATTATGAAGAGGAAATGAAGAAATATAAGGAAAGTGCTGCCAACAATAGACCCTATGAATTGCCAGATGGAAATGTTGTTGTCATCTAAAACCAAAGATTCAGATGTCCTGAATTACTCTTCAAACCAAACTTCATTGGTCTTGAAGTTGCAGGTATCCATGAATTAACATTCAAATCAATTATGAAATGCGATATTGATGTCAGAAAGGATCTGTAACTATTTTAAATTTATATATTTTAGTTACGGAAATGTTGTCATGTCAGGAGGTACAACTATGTTCCCAGGAATCCCAGAAAGATTGAGCAAAGAATTGACATCACTTGCTCCATCATCCATGAAAATCAAAGTTGTTGCCCCACCTGAAAGAAAATTCTCAGTCTGGATCGGTGGATCAATCTTATCATCATTGTCAACATTCCAAGCTATGTGGATCACAAGAAGCGAATACGACGAAAGCGGTCCAACCATTGTCCACAGAAAGTGTTTCTGAGAGATAATAAGTATTAATAATCAATATAAATAACATTTTATCAATACTCATTTTGGGTTGTTCATTTTTATTTTGTGGTCAATTATTTCAAACTCTTCCTTAGTGCAATCCAACTATGGTGAGTTAAATTAAGATAAAGCAAATCTTTTTCTCCAAGCCAATTAAGCTATTAATTCTACCTTTTGCGATTCGAATTCACTTAAAAATAAAATAAAAGGAGTAACAAATGCAACATACCATATATTCCTTCTTCTTACAAATCCTTTGCTAAACACAAAACTTAATATTTATTTTCTCATTTTTTAACTATTATTGCTCTTTATAATTATAACTTATAATAAATTAAACTCATTCAATAATCGAAACAAATTATATTATCTAAAACTATATAACTAGAATCTGCATATATAGTACAAAAATTGTATATAAATACTGTGTTTATTCCTTCATAAAACTTCAGATTTATTATAGTTATATGTGAATCATATTCAAAGCTATTATCATATTACTCATATTAATAAGAATATTTTAATTCTTAGCTTTTATTTTAATCAGGAAGAAGAAAGTAAAATATTCTAGAAAATCTGATCTCATTATAACAATTCATTTTGTTCAATTATCAAGAATAAAACCAATTAAAGAGAATAAATAATCATCTCTTTTTTACTAATTTTATTTATCAATAAATTCCATTTTTTTCAATTCACTTTCATATTAATTAAAAAAATCTAAAAAATTTTTATTTCTATTGCTTCTTAAATTTCATCAAAAAGAATTCGCAGTTTATTCATGTAACAATTATAATCCTTTGTAATAGTTTCTATGATTAAATTCACTATCTCCAAAGAACACAAAAAATCAAAAATATTAGTTAATTACTATTCGTTTATGAATATTAATATAAAATAATAAAATACTTGCCTATTTTAATCTAAGCAATTATAATAATCATATTTATTATCGTATGTTATGTCATTTCATATCCTCTATTAGTGCCAATTATGATCAAAAGGTGATAATTACCTAGAAATTTCATCTATCTCGAAATAAAATATAATTATATTATAATTTAACTTAATAATACATAACATTTATTTTTTAACTAAAAATATTATTAAAATAAATATGAATAATATTAAGGATTTATTTTATAAATATAGAGATTGATCTACATTAAATTATTTAAAATAGGTTATTTAATAAATGTGAGGATAAAAAGTATTTACAAATATAATCACAAAATTTAATGCAGATTATTTAAAATCTTAGCAAATTTGTTACATATATCTAATAACCATTCCTAGTTTTTTTCCATTAGATTATCAAAATTCTTTCTACCATGAAGCCCAAATATTAAAGATTCATCTTAATCAATATTATCATCAGTTATAATGCTGATATCCTACGATTTACTGATTTTAATTCTTCTCTAAAAGAGTTCAGTCGAAGGTTAATCTAATTATTTTAATTCAGAAAAATAATCTTCATACAAAATTTACAATATCCCCATTATGGCAAGAATAATAAACTTACATTACATTTTATGGTTGATATTTTGATAAGCCATATTATTGGATGATTCAATTAAATTAGATACAAATAATCTAAAAATGAAATATTCCCCTGCAATCATTTTTTCTTAATAGATTCCAATCTTAAGTGTATTTTTTGCATAGTATTTAGTTCTTTTAGCAACAAATAATGGAGCTTTTAAGTTTTAACTTTTAAACAATGATAAGAATAGAGAAGTTTAAATTAATTCTGGAATTTTATCCTTTTCTGTAAATTTTTCCATGTTATTCATAACTTAGATGGTTAATTGCATCAATTAATTCTATCTGCACTATATAGAGCTTTCACTATTTGGATTTTTTGAATTTTCATTGGACTGTTGTATAAATTAAATTGAAGAACAAGATTTAATCAAAGGGTCTATAATATTGGATATCCATTATTTGATAATGATTTTGCAGATCAGTACATCTTAATTGGAGATTGTTTCAAGACATTTTGTATATTTTGATCGAATTTGTTTAAGTTGCTACAGTTTTAGATTTCGTTTTTATCTTTTGATAAGATATAATATTACTTATAATTTTTACTCCACCTTGTATATGCTAATATAAATATAAAAAGGACTTTTAAACGAGAAACATTTAGATGATATCTCCTTGTTCTATGTAGAATTTAATATTATTCTCTTGGTGTGGACTTTACCCGTAAATTGGGTAAGTATAATTATGAGGGTTAAGAGGGATCCTCATGATACTTTTAAAATTCTTTTGAATTTCTTGATTGAATTCTGCTAGGTCTATAACTTCTATTTGTATGCTAATAAGAATTTGAGTCTGAATAACTATCATTTCTTGATTGGTTCTAATAGTCGTATGATTATGCTCTTTTTGATTCTTATCCATTTTGGTATAGCCCACTTGTAGAAGGCAAATATTCTTGAAATTCTTAATCAAGAAATGTAAATTATTTTGGTTTAATGACTGGGGGTAGATGAGGATATTAGCAAATTTTTATTAGTTTAGTTATTTCTTTATGCTTATGTCCTATTTCTCTACTCAACAATTCATTTTGTTATTTTAAACTTAAGTTTTCTAACTCATACATTTTCAATTTTAAAAGTTGATTTTGAGAAAGTCTAATATGTTTTATATGTTTACTCGTTAGTTTATATAACATGACTATCTATTTGAACATCTTTTTCATACTAGGTTGAATCTTGTTAGATGGCCTTATTTTTTAGCTTCAAAGCATAAGGTTAATGATAATGATCATTTAATCTTGGACTAAAGACTGCATTTTTATCAGTTATATGCAGATTAAACTGTCCCGGTTACAATAATTATAGCATTTATTTGATGATGTAATAAAAAATTATTAATAAATACAATTAATTGACTAAATTGCCTTAATGTAGCGAATCATATTTAATTGAGAAGGTTCAAGATAATTTTATCTAAGATTTTACATAAATTGATGTCAATATAACCTGTTGTTGGAACTGAGTGTTATGTTTTCATTGATTTAAATACTTCTTTAAATTTATCCAAAGCCGATGTAACTTTATATAATTTACACATTTTATCCTTTAACCAAAGCAATGTCTTTAAAGTATTTGATTTATAGGAATTAAATAAAAATTCCAGTCAGAGGGCAATAAATTTGGTTAGTTTTTGGTAGATACTATCATTATATTCTAAGTTGATTAAAATTGAGCCTAGCTATTAATTATATTATTATAATATTAATGTTTGCAAATCAAAACAAAGGCTTTGCCCTTTAAAGTAAATAGTTTTTTGTAAAATCCTCTTTAATTTAAAAATACATTTTGAATACAACTAAAAAGTAGAATTTAGCTATCAACATTTTAGTCCTCTTTAGTTGATTTAATAAAATATCAATTTCACATGCAATTTTTCTGAATTGTCTTTTGATTGAATTCTTTTCAAACTAAATTTACTCGATAATACTTAATAAATTGAATATGTTTAAATTCAATTATTTGATACTTTGAAGAGACCATTTTGTTCATTCCTTCAGAAAATTCTAGACAAGTTGATTTAATATGAGTATATATTATTTTAATTAATGTATAACGACCCCTTCATTTGTCATATTTATTACATTTTCTAATGATGATATAATTAATGTATTTAATTAAACAAAAATAAATATAATTTGATTGATGTCATCTTCAAATTTACTTATTATGCTTATTTTCTAAACTTATAAGAAACTTGTTAAATGGTGATCACTTGTTATCTTAGTATTCTATTTGGGTCCTTTTTTAGTTTATCTTAATCGTCTATTGTATTGAATTTTTCTTCCAAAAGGATTTCTACTCATTTTATTTTTAAATTCAATAAATAGAGGCTCTATTGTTTTCGTAGGTGGTAAATTTGAAGTGGTTAGATTTTAATTGAAAAAGAGTAAATTATTTATTTATAAGAAATTTGTTAAGCTTCTTTATGCGTGTATGTAAAATATTATTATAAAAAAACAGCAGATAAATATATAGAATCAAATATTATTTTAGGATGCTAAATTATTGATGCTATTTCGAAAAAAGGTTTAGATTTCATCATACCATTTTTAATTTTCTTTTATTAGGTTTTCATAGAAATCTAAATTATTCAAGCCTAATATAATAATCTCATTTTAGTCAATATTTTCATCCTCAATAATTTTTAGTTCTTGATTTTTTGTTTTATTAATATTTAATCTTTTCTAAATGATTTTTAATACTTTCGGTTAAAATACTTATAATTCCTTAAAGTAATTCATATAAAGAATTTAGATCAAACTACAAATAGATACTAATTAAAATTTAGATTCAGCAAGGTGATGTTCATTTATGCATTGTAATTGATTTGAGTTTTTAATAATTTCATCAATTATAAAAGAAAGGAATAAGTAATCACAAATTATTAGTAACTTTTCTTTTGAATTTAGTTTGGTCTTAATTCTCTTTGCCACATATAAACTACATTTTTTGTTTATTTACAAAATGTGATTTTAGGCTTAAAGCAAAATTTCTTGGTTGAGATTTGCTGCTTTCGTCATTAAATCCAAATTCTAAAAAAACAATAAAGTCAAATTTATCATCCATTATTTTCGATTTTGGATAAATTTTTTATCATTTGGGTTTTAGTTTTCTTTAAAATTTGAAGAGAACTTATTCTATTTGATTGTTAATAACACTTTTTCCATTAATTTATCATGCCATTTCATTTTAATGTCAACAATTTGTTATTGATTGGAGGATTCTAACCTAACTCTTAATTCTCTTAAATTTTAAATAGTTTTTAATTGTTTTATTCTCAATTATTTAATCAATCTAAATATAAAAATGAATATAAAGCCCCACAATTTAAGAATATTTTTAGTTTTTTTATATTTCTAAAAGTCTTTTTTTCCATATTTATAAGGTTACTCAACTTTATTTTCAAAGAAATTTATATAATTAGGAATTTATTTACCTTATTTTTTTTCCATTTAATTATGAGAATGTTATGAATCAATATATATTTTAAAATCTAAGATCTAATTACATTAAAACATATTCTTTTAAAATTCATTAGGAGTTTCTTATTCCATTAAGTAAGAATGTGAGTATTGTGGATTTCTTTGGTTGACTGATATTGATCTTAACTTATTACTGGGTTCTTCCTTATCTCCATTATAATTTAATTTGTTCTCAATAGTGATACATTAACTAATAGGATGTTATAATTATTTCAATTTATTGTGGGGTTTTCTTTCTGTTACATCTAGAATTATAGAATTTCTTTATCCTACAGATAGATCGATTTCTTTTTTATTAACTCTTCTTTATAGCAATAGGCTATTTTTAAAATCTTCATCGATTTGATTTGATTATTACTATAATGAAATTCGTCTCTCTTATTCTTTTTGAACACTTCTTTTCATTAATTCATTCTCTATATATTTTGAAAGTTAGGGTAATTGATTCTTTTAAATATTTTTCGTATTTTGATCAGGCTTAGAATCTTTCTTAGTATTTCTATTTGGTGGTAATAAAAGTTAATGAAACATTCGCAGTTTAATTATATTTAAGTTTTTGTGGAATGTATTTATATAATTTAAGAAATTAAATATAAAATTGATCATTGGGATTAGTAAGTCAATCTAAATTATCACAAATTTCAATTTAAGAATAAATATTCTGTATTGTTTTATCAAATAATTTTCCTAATAATTTTTATAAACTCTCTTTTTTTTTCAACAAGTTCCTGACATGTTCTTCTGATTTTAATCCTACAATTATGGTTTCTGACAAACTAATATCCTTGGTGTCTATCAAAATTAATTCCTGATTTTTATCTCCAGAAATATGAAGCTTTCGCTAAAAAAGTAGTTTATCACTAACATCTCCTCTTTAAGGCATATTAAGAAAGTATTTAATAAAATAAATATGTATGATACTGGCAACTTCTATTATTTTTTTTTTTTGTTAAAGATTGTGTTTAAGAGATGAATATTTTAATTTATTTGCTTAATCAAAGAACTACCTCATTATAATGTTGAAATATACAAATTCACCAGCCATAAGTTAATACTCTGTTTTTGAAAGTGGTGAATTTTAGAATTTTAACCTTCTTGCAAGGAATAATGTCATTTAAGTATTCTTTGTTATCATAGTAGCCTTGGATACTTCTTTAATAATTTCAATTGGAATATAACCTTTTCTGGTTATTAATTCAATATTTTAAAATAGAAATTTTGCGTAGTTCAAGCACCAAAGTTGCTCTTAGTCTTAAATCTTCTCACTATCTATTAACTCATCATTTGCTTTATTTTCAGAATTTTTTTCCATATAATAAAGTATTTTCTAAAACGCAGGAGCAGCCCATTCTTGCATTTTTTATATGAAATCCTCATTTAGGTTTCTATCAAGTTTAAATGCGGTTTTTAAGCTATTAAAATGTTCTATCTTAGCTCTTTAAGCATAATAGTCATCTGATATATGTTAAGCCAATCTTAAATACAACAAAACAAATCTCCCTATAGTTCTGGTAAGACATCTAAATTTGTTTAGAATTTTAAATTTTCTTTAATTCTAACAAAATAAATTTGTAATTCTACTAATCTCAGTTTAGTATTACATTTTGAATGGCATTACTTATTTTCTTTTAGTAAATCTTGAGGTTTATATTAGAAAATTTTCAGGACTCTATTAATATTTTTCTTGTAGATTATTTCTAAGAATTGTAGAAGGATTAATAGTTGACCTATATCTGACTTTTTCGCCATGAGTATAATTATAATCTAAAATTAGATCAAGCACTACCTATCTTTCGGCTTAGCTTCAGCTCATCTTGATCATAACACATGGTATAGTTAATGTCAGCTTTAATTTTTGAATTTAGCTAAGAATTTGCAGTCGAGAGTTAATCCATATACACATCTAAGTTACATGTTATTTAACGAGGAGCTTTGGCTTGCCTTGGACGTATAGGAGAAAGGTTCAGCTTAGGGATTTATTGTTATCTAACAGTCACTGTTTGACATTGATGGGAGTCTTTATAATTACGCAAAATGTAATCCTAATGGAGTGACAAAGATAATTTTTTTTGATTTTATCTCAACATGATTATTTCTAGTAATTTAAAAAAAAGTATTTGAAATATAATCATAATTCTTAAATTTTCTGCTAGTATATGTTGCGAACTACCTTTTTAAACTATTTCACCAGATTCGAAAACCACCCTCTTCTTTCAAAAATAGATCTTAATTAGTCAAGTTTAAAAGTTCCTTTATAAAACTCTTCCATATCAGTTTGAATGGGAACTAATATCATCCCATATTTGTTTCTACCAATTTGCATCTATTAATATTTAAATTCGGTATTCAATGTTTACGCCTACGGGATATCAGAAAAAGTCATTATGAATAATTATTGAAGAATTGTGATGAATCCACGAATTAAAAATTAAATATTTTGATCATCTGCATTAAAAACTTTTTTGATTTTCGGTTAGTAAGACTAAATTCGGTATAAAATTATTCATAATTACACACTCCGTTGCAATCATAGCCTTTTCAATAGGTTTGATTTTCGAGTATTTGTTTTATAGATAACCAGTTCTTTTGGTAACAAAAATGTTGTAGGTTGATCTATATTCGACAAATTATTCTAAGTAGGATTGATATCCAAGTTCTGGTAACAAATTGATGGGTTATGTCATTACTTCAAGATTGGAAATTAGATGAGAACATAAATTTAAAAAATTTGTTATAGCCAAATCTTTTTGGAAATCTTCAATATTTCCTTCCTAAAGTCTTAATACATTAATATTACTATAAAATTCCATTATTTAAGAGTTTAATATCTTAAAACAGATAGAACTTTAGTCAATGATATTTAAGTCCATTATTTTATTTTGTTTTAGACTAATTTATCCTTAAATTTAAACAATTTAATTAATTAAGAATATAGTTGCTAATTTAAAGTCCATTTTTATTTTAATGGTCTAAACATCATTATTAAAATAAAATACCTAACTAATATAATCATTCTAAGCACTGCCCTAATAACTATAAAACAGGCTTTAAATTTCTAGCAGTAGATATACTCTTTGCATTTGACTTCTTAAATAGTTTAAGTTAATAAAGGATTTGAATCTTGTGAGGCACCAATTTATTAGATTTCATTTTCTTTTTAGATAATGTTTTTTTCAAAATTTGAAATGCTTTCTTCAATCTCATCGTCTGAAAAATCATTCTCTTTGTTTATATCTAAGTTGCTTTGAAAGTTTTTATTAATTTAAAAAGAATATTATCGTCTTCTTGGTGAATGATTAAGATAAAATTAATTCTAAGAATAAGTCAATTATCGGGATATTTATTTTTTTTCATGATTTTATTCAAATGATTATTCGTGAAGAAAATTATGTTAAAAACCAAGATTTTCATCCATAAGTCCATAAAATTGAAATGATTATTGTAAATTGACTGAGTTATCCTGTTAGACTGGTATTTTATTATCTATTTATGGTAAGAGTAATTTCGTCATCTAGGACTCATTTAGAACCTTTGTTTAATGTTCTGGAGAATAGGTGTCTGAATTCATTTTTCTCGTTAATTAAACTGAAAGATTCAATCCATTAGATTGGTTAGGCAAAATAAAAGATGGCAAAACTAAATCAGGCTCATTTTAATTAATTAATTTTTGTGTCATCTGATCACCTTTAATTAAGCCTCTTTCTGCAGCGCTCTAGAAATTAAATCTCGACCCTATATGTTTATAGTGGTTTTACTTTTCATCAATAATTGCTTTAGAGATTTTAATAAATAAAAATATATTATGTAAAGTTAATTGATATGATCTGTTACTAATTTCAATGGTGAAAATTAAAAAAAAAAAGTTACTTCGTTTAAATAATTATGATTTCATCTAAAAATATACATTACTCAATGATATTATTTTTATAATAACTCAAATTACAAATATGTAAAAACTGATTAATGAATCTAACCCAAGCGATTTTGTGATAGATGCATAGAGTTCTAAAGCACCAAGTTCTCAAGAATTCGAATTTGAAACACAGTCTTTCACAAGCAAAGAAGATCTCTTAAATAATTAGAACTTTAAACCATTTTTGTAGGAAAGAGATTCCACAGGTAAATTAGTTGGAAAAGACAAGAAGTTAAATTTTCTTAAAGGTTAACAAATAGTGTTGTACACATCAGGTTCAAAGAGACTTTAAGTAAAATAAAATTTATTGTTATTAGTTTTCTACAACATCTATCTTAGGTCTCAATTCTAGAGCTGTAACAGCAGATGATAGGAGATTTGCAAAAAGAGAACCACTAAAGAATTTTAAATTGAATTTGTAAGCTGATTAGGGCTTCATCAAACAGTTTCGAGAAATCACAAAACATGTCAAACCATCATCTTCTATGAATAGTGGATTTTTAGGACCTCATAGAGATTATTATTATAAAACAGTATTTAGAAAATTCAATTAAACAAGACAAAAACTCCAGGTCCAGGCGTATATTAATCTCTTTATATTACAGCTACGAATCCAATTGAATTTCCAAAGAGTCCACAAATAAGTAAGCCTGCTTAGCCTGTTTGTAGTAAGGACTTTTATGATTTTAACATGGTTCAGAAAAATATCCCTGGGCCTTCTTTTGTAAAAACTTAGAGTCGAGATAGTGCATATTAAAGAGGAATTTTCGCATAAATTGAGATAGAAAAAAGATAAACTTTGAAATAAAAACCAGAAGAATATGACGAATAAAGGATTGATAGAGAAATAGATTATTTATTGCAGCAATAATAAAAATATGGAAAAATATGTAAGTCACATAAGAATATTTTTAGCATAACCTAACTTGGCTTGGCCAGTTCCATTATAAAAAATAGAATTGCCTGAGAAAGTACATGGATAATGGACTAAAATGCTGTATTTATGAATATATAAATAAAACTAGTGAACGATATGGGTTTAAGAAGTAAACAGGTGGCAGATTAATAAAAAATACAACAGCTTTATGATTATAATATGTCGAAACAGTATTTATTAATATTTATATATGACTGATAGAAAAGCGTGGAATTAAAAAGTATTATGATATCAATAAATAAATGAATAGGAAGATCTAGCCATTCTTCACTTAGTAAAGCAATATGGGATTAAGAAATGGACAACTGTGGCTGAAAAAATGAAAGAAATATATGGTTTATTTGGTCGATCTGGTAAATAATGCAGAGAAAGATATCATAATCATTTGGACCCAACAATCAATAAAGATCCTTGGAGTGAAAATGAAGAGAAAATAATCTTTCTGGCACATAGAGAACATGGAAACAAATGGGTAATAATTGCAGATTTAAAGATGTTAAGGCAGAAATCGCAAAATTGCTTCCAGGTCGAACGGATAATGCAATTAAAAATCATTTTTATTCAACCTTAAGAAGAAGTTTAAGACGCATAAATAAAATGATTGGCGATAAAAACAGTAATCAACGTAAATAAATATTTAGCAAAGAAAAGTGTACCCAATAGATCAAGGACATAAAGCCAGGTGTTTTGTCCAAGATCTTCATACTAGCTGAAAAAAATCCATCTGAACTGAAGGATGATCATATGAAAAAGTTATGTTTAGCTTGCAAAGGATTATAAGATTCCATACTTGAATTTGCATAATCTAAACAAAAATCATTAATTATCCAATTCAATGAGGAAAAATTCAAATAATTGATAGAGAAAATTATGGATTTTAAGTATTACTCTCAAATACTATATTAAGCGGACTTTATACTAGACAAAGGGAAAATAAATTAAAATCAAGAAAATTGAATTTAAAGAAAAGAAAAAATATTATTGAAGATGATGATGAAGAGGATGACTCGTATTCTAGTTTTTATAAAATGGGTGACAATAGTGTGTAAATTCCAATAAAGAGATCAATTCGTTAGAGTTCAAGAAAAAAAATTGTAATTATTTCTCATATAATGCTTATAGAAATTTAATGACGAAGATGATCTTGATATGATTATAAGGACTAAGTAGGGTCCAGTCTTTAAAATAATCTATGATAGATTTTAATTTTAATCAGATGAAAATGTATCTATTTCATTTATAAAAGGAATCTTCATAAAATTGTTATCAAGAATCTTAAAATTCAATTTAGAGTGTATAGAACTAAATTTCAGATCAAATAATAAAGAGTACTTCTTAAAAATCAATTTCGAAAGAACAGTAAAATGAAACATATCTTAAAGAGACTATCAATAATAATTCTAGTTTCACACCTATCATTTTGATAAAACCTGTGATTTATAATTAAGACTATGATCAATATTTAGAAAAGCTTAAATAAGACATAGGTTTAGAATTATTCTTTATATTTAGATGCAAACTCTTAAAAATATCTTTAAGGAGATGATCTTAATTTAGATATCAATATTGATTTTGCAGAAGCAACTAAAGATTTTACTAAATCATCTAGCTCTAAATTTGGATACACTCAAAGTGCATTTAAAAAATACAAGAAAGATCTAGATTTAGATAATTTCTTAGTAACACCTAATAATAATAAATGAAACATTTAATCATGAAATTTCAAAATTATTTCCATGTATTCTAAAAGAAATCTATCAATATTATTATTTATACATTAGAGTTCATTTTATTAAGATTAGTTTCTTATTGTCAACGGATTTTGGATTAAAGGAGATCTCAGAAAATTATTGGCAATCTAATCTAAATTTATTCTCATTGATGATTAATAGCAATTTTAATTATCTTTTTAAGATTATGTTTATTTATTTTATTATTCCAATTTTTTACTGAGTTGATTACTTTTATTTTTCAAATTTAACGATTAAAAATTGAAATCTTAATCTTAAACCGATATAGCTTTTTTCGTCTTATTACTAGGTTATTCCTTTTTCTTCTAAATAGGTGAATATTCTGATTAGATCAATGGGCTTTTTGAAATTCTTAATTATTTATCTTCAGAAAAATTGCAATTTCCCATTCTTGGGGTAATTGACTATTAAATATTGATTACTTTTTCTTTTAAAGTAGCCATTTCTTTCTTCAACTTTTATTATTTACAAGAGCCTAATTGTTAAATTCAAAAATACTCGCAATTAGTTTAATCGTTTCAATTGATATATCCTACGTTTTGCTTTTCATAGCTGATATTCCAATTATCACTAAGTATTTGACTAGCTTTTAAGTAAGCTTAAGATCATATTCTTTGATAAATGAGCTTAATTCTTTAATATTCATTGTTAATTTATATTCTTCTAACAATTAATAAAACCAAATTTTATGAATATCTCATTCTTTAACTTAGAATTTAATAATTGCTATATTATTTAATGCTGTTTGGAAGTAAGTTCAGGCCATTAGATCAATGTGCTCAGAGTTGATTGTAGAAAATTATTTAATAATGAATATATTGGATTAAATTTGAACTAACTTAGTGTTTTTTTCTGACAACTAATATATTTATTAATTATTAACAAGAATTCAGAAAAGAAATCTTAAAAATACCAGAATCTTGAAAATAATATAATAATAATAGTTGGTATATTACTTATGAAATTTATGTTTCATATTTATAATAATCATTTAAGTTGATTAATACAAAAGGCTTTAATGACTTGTTCATCTTTAAACAATAAATATTCATGTACAAATTCATCCTTTTATATAAAACCTATTTCTTAACTCTTCCATAATTCATAACTTGATATTAATGATGGTTCTTTATCAATGCTAATCTTAAAAACATTTACAAATAATTTGTTTTAATTATCCTCGCATTAATATATTGTACTAATCCATATGTAATAATCATCATTAAGCTTTGAAAGGTTGATTGATTATTTTTTTGTTGTTTGAACATCAAATTATCCATCTATCAATTCTTAGCATTTAAAGGTACTGAAGTAGTCTATTTCATGTTCCTTATGGCAAAATTTATAAAATTTGTCCATTCGATCTTTCATGACTAAAACATATTGATCTTTGATTTCTATTATAAATTTTAATTTAAATTCCGATGGCATCTATATGTTGATTGCAAATAAGTCTCCAGACCCATCAAATAAATAGAATTCTTCATCTGCTAAAATCAAAATATGATTAGTATTGTAAATTTTTAAGGTTTAAATTTGCTCTGCTTTTTTAAATTTCTTTCCAGTATGGTATCCGTCTGGGTAATTCAAACACTCTAAATATATTGAGTTTTGTAATTTATAAAGTTCGATCAATGTCACTCTATCTTGAAAGGAATAAACATTATAATTAGACTCACAATCTATTTAATATCTAATTATTATTATTATACTGTTTGTAGGGTAGACTGGGAATTAAATGAACGTTTGTGTGCTCTTTTGGATTGAATTGTACTAAACTTCTATTACCCTAACGAGAAATTAAAGCTAGAATGTGATTCTCATTTGCTATAATATTTGACAGTACTGCCAATCCCTGTCCAATTTAATAAGGTTTCTCAGAAATACATTCTCCATTCTTTATTTCGAAATAAAGAAGCTTTTAATTACTCATTGATAATGAAACAGATCCTTTGATACATAAAATGAATACTTAATTTTTATTCAACTTATTGTTCTCCAAAAACGACATACCCATCTTTCATCTAAACGATTTGCTTAATTGAATTAAATGAAGTTAAATCTAGTTGAAATCCTATATATTAATCCATTGTTTAAATATAAAATAAAATTGAATAAGAATCAAAATTATCTAAACCTAAAATTCCTTCTTTCTGGTTTTAGAAAACCTATTAAATTAATGAGAATATAATTAAATTTATACATTATCTAACACGAAGTTATAGATTGCAAATTAAGAGATTAATTGATATCAGTAAATTTGGGTTAACAAAAAAATAGAAGTAGTTCTTAATTGATTGTTATTTTATTTAAGTTTAAATTTGTTAACCACAACTATAAATTTTATAATGATTTCTTATTAGTTTGTATATATGAATGAGAGAGAGAAAGTTTTCAAACAATAATTTAATTTATAATGATGAATAAACAAAATGATAGTTGTTAAAATAATTGATGATTATGCTAATATTCTGACGATTATTACATAATGGATAACATAGCTTATTTGGAGGGAAATAGAAATGATTTAATTTTTAAATTAAGCCTTCAATTAAATAGAAAGTATTGAATGGAACAATTAGAATTGAAATAGTGAAAATGATTTCACTATAAATCAAGGGAATTTTTTCATTTTTATAGTTTTAAAGTGTTAGAATAATAAATTTATCATTAATATTCATTATTTATTTTACAATATTATAATAAATGAATAATGATTATACAAACAACAATGAAAATTTAAACGGGATAAATCTTCAATTTACCTTATTTCAATTATAGATATATGCATCAGAATTGGATTAATTTTTTTTTATTGATAATCCAGCATTTAATAGAATAGCTGAATTTGATGCAAGAGGCATGGCAATAATAGCAGAGATGAGATAACCTCGTAGAAGAGAAAGACATTCACCTAGGTAAAAATGTAGAAAGTAGCATAGCTAAAAATTAAACCTTTAAAAATATTATTAAAAGAGCACGGAGCCAATATAAAATGATCATTGGGATTAAGAATAACCACACATCAAAGTTACTTCATTAAGAAATACAAATGTTAATAATGAATATATTATTAACGAATTTGGGTAATTATAATAAGGATTTTTATAGACTTATTGGTTCTTAAAAAAATACTAATTCTAAAGATATTTTAATAGGAAGATCTCATCGAAACTAAAATCCAGATCTCATTCCTAATGATATAAGTAGAATTAAAATAATAATTTGATTAGTATTACCAGATGATCGTGCAATCTCAAGGATTCATTGTAAAATAGTTTGTAAAGATTACTTCAGAAAAAATTAAATTTTAGAGAGAAAATATAAATTAGCTCTGAAATACATTAATTTATCAAGATGTATCAAGCATAAAATAAGTTAATTTTTAGAGTATTTTAAAATTTATAAATAGGGAACCAAAAAATGCTTACATTTAAGATTTAGGAAGTATATTTGGAACTTATCTGAGAGTATTCAGATAGGAGCCATATTTATTATCTTATGACAATAAATTTAGTATAGGGAGTGAAACTTATTTTAACATTGTTTTGAATGAGACATATAAAATAAATTCAAAAGAGATAGATTAATAATTTTACAAAACTTTGAAGGCTTTGTCTTGTTTGAAATTGTTATAAAAACACGAAATCCATTTAGGAGATAAATAAAAACAATTAGAATTTCAGCAATTAGAAGAGGATGTAACGAATATGGGGTTTAAAGACCTTTATAATATTTTAAAAGAATATAATGTTCCAATTTTAGGAATTAAATTTTCTGGTTAAGGATTTGATTCAAATAAGCAATAATATATTCTTGTTGGGAAATCTAATTAGGATAGTGATGAATTCAGCATAGGAAGAGGAGCGGATAATACGATAAAGATCAACTCAAACACCATTTCTAGAAAATAATGCAGGATTAAATATTCAGCTTAGTAAAAAGGTTTCTATATAATATTGTTAGATATCAATCTTGGGTGATTTCGGATGGACTATAAGATAGAGATTCAGCCAATGGAACTTGGGTGAGCCTTTAAACAGTTGAGTAATCAGAAAGGAAGAAGGAATCAAATTAAATTTTATTGAAAAATAATTCAGAAATAAAAATAGGGGATTTCTTCTTAAGAGTGGAATTAGTTAAAGGTAGGAACTCCAATTTTAGAAATTAAATTAAAGAATGCTGTCTCTTTGATTGATAATTTTATTAATTAAATAAAAAGTGACACTATTTTGTTATTCATAAAATTATATCTTTTTAATCTCTAAATAAATTTATTTATCATAATAATGAGCAACGTACCCAATTCACATCATCCACCTTAAGCTCCAAAATAAGGTCCACCATACTAACCAACATAATTCCAACCTGGATTTGCTCCTTAATATGCTCCTGCTCCAGTGACTTATGGTCCACCTCTCACTTCATCACCATTGAGATATTCTCAACCTCTTTATTAACCCTCTGTTGTAGCATAACCAGTGTATGCTCCTCCTGTTGTTTAACAACCTGTCTATGCTCCTTCAGTTGTTTAACAACCAGTAGTAACACAATCTGTTGTTGCTCAACCAGTTGTTGCTGCATAACCAATTAAGGGAGAAAGCAGAATTGAATATGTCCCATATGAAAAGACTGTATTGGAATATGAAGAAGTAAGATAAAAAATTCAAGTTCCAAGAGAAAGATATGTGACAGATTATTATGCAGTGGAATACTAAACAGAATATGTTCCATAAGTATTCTAAGAAAAATACACAGGTATTAATAATAATCCTATCCATATTAGAATATGTCCCAGTAGATAGATATTAAGAAAGAGTTGAATATTATCCAGTTGAAAGATAAGTTGTTCATTAACCAGCCCAACAAGTCTAATAAGTTGTAGCTTAACCAGTTGTTTAATAACCAGTCTAAGTTGTTTAACAACCAGTTTAATACGTTCAATAACCAGTCGTCTAATAGCCATTGGTTCAATCAATCCCAGTCTAAACTGTTCGTCCTCCTGTTTATGCTCCTGGATCATTGCCTTTGGGTTAAACTGTTTCACCAAGATTGCCTCCTTAAGCTTAAGTATTTTTAAATAATCATATTTTTAGACCAAACCTTAAGCCTAATTGCCATAAACAAAACAACCATAATAATAATAGAAAACAAAGAGCTTTTTGGACAGATTATTCGACAGAGATTGATATAGAATATTTTTAAAATACATATATTAGATCAAATTTTGTGTTCTGAATTCCTTCCTCAATACACCAATTAATTCAATTGTAATCATTTGATTAATTATTTTCTGTAATGAATAAGTAGGTTTCTACTTAAAACAATCAAGAACTTTAATAATAATAGCAACAATCAACAAAAAATTAGCCACAAACTCCTTAACAAAATAATATATAATATGGCCCTGTCTTTTATATATAACCAAATACGTAAAATACAAGAAAATAACAATAGTTTTCCTATGCCAAACATTTAACAATAACATACAAATGATTATTATAAATCTTGGTTTGTCTATCATCCTGTTATGCCAGATGACCCATTTTTGTCTTATCTTTCATATGTTTCTAATATTGTTCAAAATCCTCATTAATAGTATCCCGACAACCCTATAAAAATTGAGAATGATCAAGATATACCACAACCATAATTCTAGAATTAAACAAGTTAAATCAACCTAAACAAAACAATCTAATAATAAAAGCATTCATAACCAAAAAATTAGATTAAAATAAAAACAATAACTAATCTTTATAAAGCATCAGAAATATAGCCATGTAATTGTTCTTAAAGTAGTTGCCTAAAAAGATACTGTACATGTTTTCATAGTGGCAGAATGTGTATGGATGAATGTTAATGCAAAGATTGCAAAAACTGCGATTTGTTTTCAGAAGAAAGAGAAGCTGCTATTAATTACGTTTTTAAAAAATGTAACAGGGATAAAAATGTTCCAGCAAACGAATTACTATCTTTGTAAATTAGTTATGGGTGTAAATGTAAATCTACAGGATGTTAAAAAAAATATTGCGAATGTTTAAAAAGAGGACAGGCTTGTGGAGACTTGTGTTCTTGTGAAGACTGTCTAAATATTCCATATAACATAACTTTTTAGGATAAATCGAAAAAGAAAATCAATATATAAAAATGATTCACATTTATTTAAATTACCTAATATATTTAATTTTATTATGACATTTAAACAATTATATAAATTCTAATTCCTATCAATCCTAATTAATAATCATTTATAATATAATAGAAATAAATTATATTGCTATTTAATTAAAAATTTTCATAAGTTTAATCAGCAAATTATTTAGAATTATATGAATAAGAAGAGTCCAATTAATTGTTAACAGAAACGATTAGAAATAAATCCAAATTAAGGTATAATATTATTCTATGTAGGTCAACACTTTGGCATCTAAAAAAGATTCTCAAATAACCAAAATGATGTTCGCTCAAAGTCAAGCCAAATCAGAGAGAATAATAAGTTAAAATAAGATGATAACCTTCAGTTAAATTAATATACTCAGAAAACTCATTAAATCGAAACAGAAAATAGAGATACTAGATAAAATAACCCTAATTCTATTAATAATAATTATATGCATTCTAATTATTTTTATCTTGAACAACCAACGAAAATAAAATAAGAAAATTGTAAGGAGGGTCTAAATTATAGATAATAAACCAATAATGATGACCTTTCAAAATACAATAATGATTTATTCATAGAAATAAAACCTCCTATAATACATATTAAAGGAAGCCTTTATTCCCAACAAAATGATGTATAAAATGAAAGAGAAGATATAATTAAAATGAAAGAAGAACTTTCAAAATGCAAAAATGAGTTATAAATAGAAAGATAAAATGTAATTAAAACTAAAGATGAACTTTCTAATTGCCAGAAGGATTTATACAAAGAAAGAGAAAATATAATTAAAATGAAAGAAGAACTTTCAAAATGCAAAAACAATTTATAAAAAGAAAGATAAGATGTAATTAAAACTAAAGATGAACTTTCTAAATGCCAAAATGATTTATCCAAAGAAAGAGAATATAAAATTCAGTTGAAAGAAGAACTTTCAAAATGCAAAAATGATTTATAAAAATAGGGATAAGATATAATTAAAACTTAAGAACAATTTTCTAAATGCTAAAATGAGTTGTAAATAGAAAGAATTCAAACGTTTAAACTGAAGGAAGAAACTATAAAATTAGATGGAATTCTTTCGTCAAAACAGATTGAGATAGATCAAATGTGGAATTAAACTAACACATTTCTACAATTCATAAAAAAATTTAAAGAAAATCCCTTCTCATCGAACTAAGAAGAAGTTAAAATTTTAGTTAAAAAAATATGAGTTTGCACATCCTTTGTAGAAAGCAGTATTAATTTAGTTTATACATAATTTATATTATGAATTAGTATTCTTTAAAGATACTTTAAAATAAGATTAAGAATTAGATATATATATTAGTATTTGCTTATCATTACTAAGTCATTTTAGTATTAAAATCTAATTTAATTAAAGTCATACATTTTGAGAATTTTTTTGATGTTGCTCTTTCTTTTAAAGTAGTATATCATTTTCTTGTTGTAATTATAATAATTTATCTTTAAGCTATTGATTTAACTCTAAAATATTTCCTAAGTCGTGTAATTAATCTTCTTACTTTTTTACAATCTCTTTTAAATTTTGATTTTCCTAATTCAACTCTTTAATTTCTATTTATTATTCATATCCTGTTTTGAATAAAATTTTTTAAGGACTTTCAGAAAGTTTTAAATAGGTTATACTATTTGGATTATAGTAGTTATTAACAGTTTGAAATTATTCTTACTTTTCAGAAACTAACTAAGGGATATACAGTTAGAATTCCCTTTTTTTTTTTGAGTATAAACTCAGTCTAAGATGTACTAGATTTATTTTATCCGGTTGATAATTGTGAAATATATCTTTTCTAAGTTGGTGTTAATAGATTAGGATTCAGCTAATAATTTTAAGGGGATAGTAAAAGACTTTATGATCTCATTATTATTAATTCTAAATAAATTTTATTTTTATTTAACTCTTCAATATTATTCCAAAATTATTTACAAAAAATACATATTATAATTATCAATTGATTAGAGATATACGATATTTAATAAAATGATTGTTGAGTAAATTAATGTTTACAAAAATGGCTCTGAATTTTCATTCTGTTATTATTTCGACTTTTGCTCCTTATGTTTTAACAATACAGCAAAAATGTAATTCTCTATTATCATTTTTTAAGATTATTGAATATCCTTCTAGAGGTTTCTAAGATATATGAAATAAATACTTAAACTTTTTTCCAACTGACCCTTTTAAGAGCTGGTTCATAAGTAACTTCGATAACATCTTTTTCGCCAAATTGAAATCCTTTAGTTTTCCAGTTTAATTCTTCTTATTCAGTATTTATAGTGTCTATGATTATGTATCATTTTACATGAATCTTAAAAGCAAACAAAACATCCATTATTCACAACGTTCAAAGGAGGCCTATAATCTTTAGATTTGAGGATTTTTTAATCACAGATTCCAACTCCAATGTCTCCAATAAATTTTGGAAATTTGAATTAAATAGAACTAGTTTCATTTTAATTCAATCTTTATTCAATAATAGCAAAACAATAATGGTTTTAAGTTTGAGTTTATTCAATTATAGATTTTTCATTAATTTTAATACTTTGATATTTTGAGTTAGTACCAAAATAATATTATAAACTGGAATGTCTTGGAATAATTTCGAGATTAAATTATAATAGTTCTTAAATTTATTTATCCCATAGATTAAATGTCTTCTGAACTCTTCTTACTAATTGATGATTAAATTTAGGGCACTATTCAACATTTTTCTGATTACATACTTTATTCCAATTTGAAATCAGTTATTGCATTTCATCCTCATTTAGTAAGGTGTTTTCATTTTCAATTTTGTTATCATAAATTTGATCAATAGAAGAATTACTTTGAGAAAACTCATAAATCATTTTTTCAATCTAGACTTCTAGTTTTTCAAGCTAAACAACAATGCTTTACTTAAATTGTGAGTAAATTTTTCGAATTTCTTTAACTTGTTCATAAACTTCAAAGGTTTCCTTATTTGCAAACATTTAAATCAAATATGTTTTATTTTAATAAATAATAAGAAAAATTCAATGATATAACTGATTTTTCATTAGATATAAAAGACAAAACTAATAAAATCTATTTAAGGTTTAAGTTGATTTTCATTTTAGTCATCAATCATTAATTTAATTTCACGATTTAATATGTAATGTATTTAAATTTAGTTAATTGTATCATAAATATGTAGATATATATATATAGCTTAATAACATCATATCATATATTTATGAATTAAGCCAATAATGGTAGTATTATTTTTTTTAATTGCCTATTACAATCTGACTATTGATTTAGATTCTTGACTATGACACTCTTAAAATTAATTTAGAAATAATTTTATGGATTAAAAGAAGATTGAGAGTCTTATTAATGAAGCATTAAAAAATCCTGACCCTGATATACAATATATGAGAGCAGAGGAACTCACAAATGAATTGACAATTTTTTATGGGAAACAGGAATAGAATGAAAAGAATTAAAATATTATTAATGAATGCTACAATGTATTTTATTAGCATTTATCATCTCAATATAGAGAAATATAAGGTATAGTACTCAATATATTATATAAGGAAATGCAATTAGATAATTTTAAAGGTTATCTCCATTGATGAGATCTTAAGAGGTGCAATATATAGCATAGGAATTATTGAAGTCTTCAACTCAAGGTATGAATGATACAAGAGAGAATTATCATATTTGTCTTTAAGAAATTGTGGAAAAGATTCCAATTCAAGTCTAGAGTTTATTTGAGGTTTAAGAAGGGATTGTCAAAAGTAAATATGATCATAAGAATAATAGAATTAAGAGAATCAAAGGAAACTGTTAAGAAATTATAAGTTTCCAATTAAATAGTTCACCAAGAGATTTAGTAGAATGTAGAAATATAGGCTGAACTTCTAAAGATTTTAAGTTCTATAATGTCAAGATGGCCTAAACTATATCAGAAAGACTTTAGTGATTTGTTATTAGATAATATAACAAATTCAAATGAATTATCAATTCGAAAAAATTCATGTGTATGTCTAGGCTACTTGGGAGTATCCCTTAGTTAATAAAGCCTAAATGATTTAATCTAAAACAGTAAGAGATTGAAATATATATAGGAATTTTACCACTAGTTAAAGAATTAAGATTTGATTAATAGAGTTTTGCAAAAATACTTTACTTAAATTAAAGTTTGAATCATTTGGCTAAAAGTTCTGGGAAATATTTTGAAAAAGCTTTAGTTGAATAAATATTTGAGAGATTCTTTTAGATATAGAAAGAACAACAAAAAATAGATTTAGATAATATTAATTAATATGCTGAGATATTAGAAATCTAATTACTCACAATAAATTATTTATTATCCAATAATTATGCTCGTGCATTTGATCAAAAATTGATAGATTAGATTACACCATTGATTGACTTTGATCCTTTAGGAGTGGCAGCAATAGAAGAAAATCCATATGATGATGATTACTATATTGATGAGAGTATAATTTGGTTAAATATTCATTAGCCTCTGATTCAACCTGGAGAGTCAGAAGATGTGCATTATACACATTCCAAGAGTTATTGAAGATTTAACCATAATAATACAAGGTAATATTATCAGCTCTATTTGGTCCAAATCAAATTATCATGAACAGAATAAATGAAAAAAATGCTGAAATAAAATTATCAATTGTTTAATTTTTGATTAGTTTGGTTTAGGCATCTGCGGTTACAAACGAGGAATTGAATCCAGAAGATGAACTCTAATAATTGTCATTATTAAAGTAAAGATCAATTCCACCATCTATTTCCCTAATTGAATTAGTAGAATAACTGTTGGATAAAGTATCATTGATCTTTTAGGATGCTTAAGAATAATAATCCTTAAAATCTGAATCCACAAAATTATTATTAGCTATTGGTCAATATTTCCACTCTCAAATATAAAAATCACAATTATGTTTCTCAAAAATTGTTGAAATCATTAAATAATCAATTGATGGTTCTTCTGTTAATTATTCTAATGAATAAAAAGTATTTCTCAATCCTAAATTAGCTTGCCTCCATTTTAACTATGAAAAGTATACTTAAGATTACAGAACCAGCTGCATTTTAAGTACCCATTTTGAAGTCGATGGTTTAAGTACTAATTGAAGCAGTCAATTAGAAATATATCAGAATTTAAATAGAAGGATATAGTACCTTAGAAATATTAGTTTTTGTATTTAAATAGAATTATCAAGAACAATTTTAAGACTCATTGTCAAAAATTAAATAAACTTTAATTATTAAAATTTAGGTTGATACCTTAGATTAAGAGGTTAAATAAAGTTTATTTTCACTCGCTACTAGCTTGTTTAAATACTTCCCTTCCATATATACAAAAACAGAAGTAGAGTAATTAGCTCAAACCTCCTTGCTTAGATTATAAATTGAAGCTCTAACAAACAATATTATGACACTTGTCTAATACTTCAAGAACCTCAATGATCCTAAGATATTGATTTCAAGCATAGCTAATCATCTTTAGAAAAACGACAAATCCTAAACTTACTTAGCATTAATAAATTTAATTTAGAATAACAAAATTGATCAAAATCTAGCGACTGATATTTTAAGTAGATTCAAGTAAATTACAACAGAAAACTATGATTTATAAATTTTAACCCTTTAGGTCTTAATTAAAGTTACTAATATTAAATTACCTGATTCACTTATAAAAGAGACTGTTAAAATTGGATTGTAACAAACAAAAATAAAACCAGAAATTGAAGACTTCTTTAATTTGGTCAATCAGAAAAATTTAATTGAATAAGAAATCACTAAATAATTAGGAAAAGAAGAATTGTATCCTGCCGGATAAATTTATTGTTCAATATTAAAAAATGTACCTGGATCCCTTAGTTCTTTATATTCTTCATTAACAACTAATAGATAATTAAAATTATCAACTTTAAGATTCTTACATAAGTATCAAAAAGATCAAAAGGCTTTAGACATATTATGTTAATTAATTAAAGATAACTAAGATTCAGATTTAGCTGCATTTGTGATTGGATCAGCTGTTACTGACTTTCAATAAATACAAAAGTTGATTGATTAAAATCCTAATTAATATTAATTTTATCAAGCCTTAAAAGAATTCACTGAGATAACATAAATAAATAATCCAACTGAAATTGCATAATATATGTTAAATTAAGTAGATGGAAAAGATAAGACTATTTCAACTATTTGTGGTGACATTTTAGGTGGTTTCTTCAAATAGAATTATACATAACTTGAACAACTGTTATTTTACAGTATCTAAAGTGCATCTTAAGCTATTAGATATTCTTGTATTCAAAGTCTGAAGTATACCCATCAATGGACCAACAAAGCTCATATATTATTAGAAATGCTTTAAAAGGAAAAGGATATTCAAATACTTACAGGAATTATCAAAGCACTTACATAAAATATACAACATATTAAATTAAATAATTTGACTCAATATTTAACTTTTTGTTTAAGAAGGTATGAAGAAAAAGAATTAAATTTTGGTAATTTTGTTGAAAAAAGAGATGATGCCAAAGATTTAAGATCTCTTTCATTTGACTTATTAGAATCATTCTTATCCATATAAAATGTAGAGTTGAAACCTATTTTAGTTGAAGTCTTTGACAAATTTGGTAAAATTTATCATAATTATATGATAGCTGATGATAAATACGAAGAAACCAGAATACCTAGATTAAGAATTATTTAGAAGATCATTAAATCAAACCCTCTTGAATTAGTGCCCTATTTAGAAATTTTGCTAAAAACCTTTGAGCCTATTCTTAAAACATTGCAATAATAATTACAAAAATAAGATTAAGTAAGATATAATTAAATAATAAATAGAATCTTGATAAGGAAAAAGAGAAATTTAGATTAATAATCTCCATTCTGTAAGGATTAAGATTAAATTCAAAAGAAGTTGATTCATTTTGTGGAAAATGTCTAACAGAATAAATCTTAAAGTCTGTAGGTTAATGAGAATTTAAATGTTATAATAATAATAAAGAACTAGTCAAATAACATATATTTAGTTAGTAATGCATAAATATCATTAATCATCCCATGCTATCCGTTTACCTTTACTCCAAAATCCATATTTCCCTTTTTTGTTCATATAAAAGCATCCTTTGCCATGCTACTTACCATTCTCCCACTCTCCTTCATATCTTCTACCATCTCCCCAATCATAAATGCCATAACCCTTATTTTACATCATATGAAAAAGATACATGCTTTTTATCATTAAGATATTATCCTTCATATCTTCTTCCGTCTGGCCAGGTGTATATACCTCTGCCATTCATATTACCAAAGTAAAAATCTCCCTCATATCTTCTTCCATCCATCCAAATTAAAATTCCCCTTCCAGATATTTTATTTTGAACCCAATCTCCTTCATATTTTTGACCATTACTCCATTGATATTTACCTTTTCCATGCTTTAAAGAATTCTGATAATATCCTTCGTACATAGAGCCATCAGGCCATAACTCAATACCATATCCTTGTTACTTGTCATTAAACCATTCTCCCTCGTATTTGGGACCATCAATATGTTTATAGACTCCATATCCATTAGACATATCATTTTCCCATTCTCCCTCATAAGTATCCCCATTAATGTGTGAAAATTTACCTCTTCCATGTGCTTTATTATGTTTCCATTCACCTTCATATTTTGCACCATCCGGCCAAACTTGTATTCCATATCCATCCCTTGAGTTTCCTCTCCATTCACCAGTATAAGTAGCTCCTCCAGGAAATCTAAATATTGGAATTCAATACATATAAGTAAGTTTTTCAACTCTAGCTTAATCATCGTGATTTATTGAGATTCCGCTTTCAACTGTTTCAGTTTCAAAGGCATAAAGTATTTTTTAATAATCAACTTTACGCCTTTCAATATAACCTCTCCAATGTTTTTAGATTACTGTTGCCATTTTATTTTTTGTCATATATGTTTTTTCAGTTTTAGAACCAGTAGTTTGGATTGATAGACATTCCTAATTAAAAATTATATTACTTATATTTCATATGATTTCTTATCACAATTACATAAAGAACAATGAGAACCCATTTAAATATATAATTATATTTGACATTTCTTAATTTTTGAACAATTTATTTTAATAAAATATAACGATTATGTTAGCTGACAAAACAAGTGCCTATGTGAATTAAAGCTCAGTTTAATCTAAACAGCCAAGTAAAAGAGTGGTAATAGATTCTAATAATCCTAGCAACTTGATATATAATATGTGGCACAAACTTTCGAAAAGACTTAATCTATTAATAATCAAAAAAAAATGTTCCCAGATAATCAATCAACTGAATTAAGAAATTCTATGACAAATGAGGAAAGTGAAATTGAAAAATTATCTTAAGCATATGCAGATAAATACTATTATGAGATGAAATTCGAATAATACTAGAATTTGCTCACATAATAATAAGGCACTATAACGAAATTGCTTAATGAAAAAAAGGATTTGCTTGCCCGACTTGAATCTGCTAAAAGCAATGAAAAAGAAATCAGTTTGTTGCAATAATTGGAAGTCAAATTTATTGAAAGTTAAAAAGAAAAATAATAGTTATAAATAGAGTGTTAATAATATAAATATTAAGTTGAATAATTACTCATAGCTAATAATGAATTGTAATAATCGTTTCAATCCTTACATAATTAATTTGTTGAATACAAAGACAAATAAGATAAATATTCAATTAAATAGCAGGACTTGATTGCCAAATTAACTGATGATATTACTAATCAAAAATACTTACAAGAAATTCATTCCTAAATGTAAACTATAAAACTATAAAATAATCATCTATCTGAATAGTTGACTTAACAAGAAATTAATTTCCAAATCAAACTCTCTGAAATTTAAGAAAAGTATATTATCTAAAGTAATGAATTGTCATAAGACTGTGAATCTTAAATTGAATAAAAGGAAGAAGAGTTGCATTTGATAAAAATGGAACTTGAGAAATAAAAATCAGAAACTCAAAAATTACTAAATGAAAACCTTTTATTATAAAATAAAATTTAAGAATTGAATTAGAAGTACATTATTACTATTTATAATTAATAGTTATCAAGATGACATATAAGCTTAAGCTTCACTGCTCTCAGAATAAGTGGCAGAGTATAAGATAGTTATATAGAATCTGGAAAATCAATTATATCAAATGAACTAAGAAATTAAATAACGTGACAGATCTTCTTCAAAAGATAGCATGATAAATTCAAGATTGATTTCGAATTATATTAGCAGATATAAACAATGATAATGGAATATTATTTATTGATATTTTATGTTTTTAATATCAAATATATATAAAACTCAAAGTCAGTCATTATTATATACACTCCAACAAATAAGAATTAAGGATTTAAAAGAATTTTATTAATAATTAATTAATACTATGGATATCTACTTCAATGGTTAGCCCATTTAGGTGCCTGAAAACTTGACATTCTATTAATTATTTTAGTATTCTGGCCTTCCTGGCAATATTAGCGACAAATATTGGCAACGAAATGGTTAGATTTTGTTAGTAAATTAAAATTCTTTAGTAAAAGATCTTGTCTAACCTCATAATTAACTTTAACTTATAGTAAATTTAAAATGTATGTTTAGGATAAGCCATAAAAGACAATATAAACTTTCAATTAGCAATAAGGGAACTTTGGAAACCCGAGTATTATTTCTAATTAAAGTACTTTGTAATAGAAGACAATACCTTAATAAATTTAAAGTAATCCAACTCCCTAATTTGTAATTGCTCAGGGAGTATTCTAACCTCAGATATAAATAAAATAAGGTAATTAGTAATATGATGCACAATAGTCTCGTAAAACCCACAATCGCCTTATTAAAGTATGTAATCTTCTAATGTAAATTTATTACCCTAAATGATTTATCAAACCCCATAATAGAATGTTAATGATGATATTTTCACAACAGTATAGGATCCTAATCCAAAAGTGGATGATATATTTTCAACAGCATATTAATATTCAAATTACGAAACAGATCGATAGAATTATCTGAGAAATAAAGGAACATCTCCTGGAAATAAATTGTAATTATACTAAATATTTTAGTTTGCAATAAAAAAGTTATGGCTATATGTTTACTTTAGATAATTATGGTGATGATCTGATAATTGAAAAATTGGATTCATCTTTTTATCTAAAATTAAACAATTAATTCTCCCTAAATTTAATCAGATAATTAAACATTCCTGATAAGAAACAAAAGTTTGAGAGCAATGTCATATTAGATCTAAACTGTACTAGGGTTTCATGGATACAAGATTTGGAAATATTAGCTGTTCAATTCAACACAGGGAAGATCATCGCCATCTAACTATATATGGGATGAATTGATAATAAAATACAATATAATTATGAATTATTGTAAAATTTGATTCCAAGACTTTAATCATTAAATATAAAATAATTTAGAATAAAAATGAGCATTTGTAGAAGGAGCGCTGCATTAATTCTGATAAGGGATGATTTTAATGTCCTACTGTTAAAAAGAAATAATGATCTATCTTTTGGAGGTTCATTTGCTTTTCCTGGAGGGGTCTTAGAAGAAACAGATTATAAATTAGCATAGGCAGATTCATAATAAATTTAACAAAGTCATTTGAAATATTATTGCCATCAAACTCATTCATGGTATGATTCATCATTAATTGCTGCTATTAGAGAAACAACTGAAGAAACTAATATTCAATTAGATTATAAATAATTATATTCACAAATTAAACCATTCATGAGAATAATTACACCTCAGATGATGAAAAAAAGATATGACACTTAGTTTTTTATTTTAAATTTAAACAATTATGAAGCATTAAATATCAATAAGAATGAAAGTATAAGCTATGAATGGAATACTCCTGTTGGATTTTTAGAAAAATTTATTTCTAATTAGATAAGCTTATTTCCACCCATATTCTTACAATTGCTAATACTTAAATAATTAGGCAGTTATAAAAACATTCTCACTTTTATTGATTCTGGAGATTCATTAAAACATACATATCCTCATATCTTCTAATTCAGTAAATATCAATTACTATCTTCTTATTAGGCAAAAAAGGAATTCTTAATTATCCAGATCCAAACTACGATTTATAAAAGCTGTAAGAATCTGAACAAACAGACTATTTAAAAAATGAAATCAAAGTCAAATATAATCAATTAGAAAGATCAGATTTTAGATTTGAATTAGAGGGTAATTTATAAAGGCTGACTGGACATGTGGGAAAGTTTCAGAATTCACCATTAGCATTTTTGAATGGTGAAGTTGTTAAAGATGGTTAATTTATATAAAATAAGCCAAAATTTTGAGTTTAAATATCAAATACATTAATTAAATGGAATTTGTATTTTTATAATCACTAAAATTGGAAAGTCTATTAAGTTTTTGGTTTTGATTATCTTTACACACTACCTGAATTCATATTCATTCGATTATTGTCTCTTAACACATCATGTTATACAGCAGGACTCTATGCTTTAGTTTAGCTTTAAGGATTATCCTTTTAGATAGCATAGAACTTTTATTTCATAACTAGTAGATCTTTTTCCATGGTTTGATATTTAAGATTTTTCCCTTCCTAATCTTTATTCCTCTGTTAAATTTCTTATTTGCAATCCTAGAGATTATATATGAGAATTACAATTAATTCTTAAATAAGTAATTATACAGATTAGATGATCTTGTCTCCGTCACTACCTTTTATTGTAGAAAATCTGTTTTTAACTCCGCTTAAATTTAAAATTTAATTAAGTTTAGTCATCTCATTATTAAGTCTCTAATTTTCAACCATCAATTTTTACTATAAAAATACACAGTATAAATACCATATCTAATTTAGATGACTAATTATCTGAGTCAGTGTTTTTTCGATTCTATTATTATTACTATAATAATTTATTTTTTTCTTCTATTTCCTTTTGCAATTATTCGGATAAGTATAGTTTTTCTTATTTCAAACAAGAATTTTCTTATTTAATTGTATTTAAATATCTTATTTTTTAAGAGGGATTATTATGACCTCCAAGCTAAGCAATATCCTTTTACATTTCCTCTATTTATTTGTACAACATAGATCTCTCATTATTTGATTTGGTTAACTTTTCATGTTATTCTTATAATTCTTTCTTTAATTTTCCAATCTCATCCTCTAAAGTATGCATTTATCTTAATGCTTGATCTTTTTAATCTTTCATTTATTCATTTTCATCCTCTCTTTCTTGATTTTAAGACTTTAAATATAATAAAGTAAGTTACTAATATTGCATTGTGTTCAGCCTCGAGCTTTAAGTATTGATCCTTAATATCATTAATTTCTTTTTCTTATTATTTACAAAATTCCTTAGCTCGATCATGAACATTTTTTAATGTCTCTTCATTTTACAAGAGTGCTGACTCTAATTGTACTATGATCTTTAATACATAACAATTTATACTTATTATTTTTTATCAATCTTCTATTTTAATTCATTATTTTCTTTTGTTACTTTATCAGCAATATGACTATATTATTCTCTTATCTATGATTCTTATTTCATTTAAGATTCTAATCTAGTAAATTATTCTTTTAAGAGAGTGTATTTTTCTTATTATTCATTAAATTAAATGCTCTATAAATCATTTTACTTCTATACTGATTAATATTTATGAGCATTTTCTTAAATTTAATGACTACTTTCCTCTAATTAACTTTTCAATTGATTGTTGGCATTTTCAAGACTTTAAATTATTTTCTAATAATCAATATATATATGTATTTACCGTGAATTTATTTTAGTCAGATTTTAATTTATCCTTTAATTATTAGATATCCTTTTGAGTCTAATGATTTAAATCTTCTTTCGTTTCAAATGCACACTATAATCCATTTACTTATTTATTTAATGATTCAACAATCAAATCCTTTTATTATAATTGCTTTTGATGAATGTCTAATTGATCTACCAACTCTTAAACTTCTTTTTTATGTTAATCCTCATTTCTTTTTAGATGTAGAGAATATTATTTAATTTCTAATTCAAGTTATTTAGTCAATTTCTTAACAGCTGATTTATTTTCATCAACTTGAGTTTATTTTTAATCCAATTCTATTCTCATCTAATCTATTTCCTCATGTTATGATTCAATATGCTGATTCAATTATTATATTTCCTTTTTCAATAATAAGTTATCTTTAGTCGTTAATTCTAACTATTGTTATAAATTTGTATTGAGATGATTTAATTACAATTTTAATTGATCTATTTATTATTCTTTTAATTGTAAATCATTTAAAGTTGCATTCAATTTTTATTCTAGTTTGTGAATATCTTTTTATTTATCACTTAGTTATTTTTTTAAAATATTGTTATCTATTTCCATCTAATCTGTTTCTTTTTTATAAATTTCAGAGCTCTTATCAAGAACCTAATTTTATTTACTTAATTCTTATTATAAAAACCCAATTTCTTATTCCTTCTGATTTAGCTCATTATTTAAACTTTAAATTTGAGCTTATAATAAGTTATTTTAATTTTAAGATTCATGTTATTATTGTTCTAATAGGCATATGGTTTATTTATTTTTATTGGATTCACATTCAATCTCCTTAATTTTATCATTCAGATTAATCTTTTCAGCAGTCAATTATTCTATTGTTCTCATTTTTATTGATAATTTTTATGTCATATCTTACAATTTACCTTATTATTAAATTTCCATTGTATTTCTGCTTTGTAAATTCTCATTCTCTATTGAGATTACTTTTTATTGTAATTGTTGTATTTCTTTTGTCTAACTCTCTAATTTGGATTTATTTTATAGTATATCTCTTTTCAATTCTGAATTAACTAAGTCCTTTTGTTCCATCCTAGCTTACAAAGAGAGGTAGAGTTCATGAACTTGGTTATAATGATCCGATGTTTCTTGAATTACAGCCTGCTTACTTTCTAATTACTTTTACAATAAGTCTATGCTGGACATTTACTCTTTTTGAATTTCTTGAAACTCATTTTTCTATCCTTCAAGTAAGCTCTCTAATTGTAGAGCTCTTTATGTCTCTTTCTGTATTTTTTAATTTAACAACTAAAAATAAGTATAAATAAAGTACATTAATTTGGAATTCTTATTAGGATTGAGATTCTGTATTATTAGTTTCTTTTTCCTTAATTATGTAATTTAATGAGAGTATCTAATTATATATTAAAAAATACTTCTTGATTCAACTTATTTAAATCACAACTTTGTTTTGTATTAAACTAAAATAATAGCAACTCAAAATCTTTCTTTTACTATTTAATTTATTCTTAATAATCTTTTTCCAAGGTTGAACGTTCAATTTAAGATTTTTATTGATATATTATTATTTCCTATTCATACTTTTGTTATTTTTATTAAAGTTAAATTTGCGTATTTTAAAGATCTTCAGTTTTTGAGTTTAATTCTAGAATCAAAACATCCATTTCTGACTGCATTTCTTAATTTGCTTTTGACAGGAGAGAATTCTCATTTTATAAATTTTAATTATCTCTTTAAGATAACTATAATTAGGAGAATAATTCTTATTCTGAATTTTCTAATTTAGACATTGATAATGATACTTATTCTTACATAAGGGTAAGTTCATTTTATTATTTGGAACATTCTTATTTTAGATTTGCATTTTCTAACTCTAATTAAGAAATAGATTATTAATTTAATTGAAGATTTGCATTCTAATCATTTATATTTTTTTTTAATTAAATGATAATGCTTTCATAAGAAGTTAGTTATTATTTAAATTCTTAAATTGCAATATCGTTATCAACTATTATTTAATCTAGTAATTTTAATTTTTCTTGGTTTTATATTAATTCTTAAGTAAGTTATTTATTTTAATGTTCCTCATTTTCAATTTTATATTTTAAATCTTCATTTTATTGATTTAACTATTGATACTGATTTGAATACTATGAATTTTAATCTTGTAATTAGCTTAGTTGTTACTCGAGATTAATAATTTATTATTTAGAATTATCTTAGAACTCGGATATTTGAGTTTAAGTTAGCTCATAATTACTTTCTATTTCTTATTTTTAATTAACAATTTATTGATTTTCAAACCTTAGTTATTAAATTACCTGTTCTGAGTTTATAGATAATTCTTTTAATTCTTAGTTTGAATTTTGGAGTTCTTAATTAAGATCAGTAATTTTGGTTTTCAAATCCTAAATCTGTTAATCTCTAACATCAACAACTTTATCATTTTCATTAAATGTAATGCCATTTTCTTCTAACTTCTGCAATATTTGTTTTTCAATCTCTTTTATTTAATCCTCCATGAAGACTAATTTTTGTGTTTATTCTGATAAGAGCTTCTCCTTATATTCTGATAAGGTTTCTAATTCTTTAAATTTATCTAATGTAACATATTATGAATTAAATTATAAATCTAATTATTATTGAAACTATCTTCTTTCATTTAGAGAATTCTTTCATAAAAATAATAAATACTTAAACAGTTTCAACTATATCTTTTAATAAATTTAGATTGGTATCAACTTGTACTTAGACTTTTGACACTGTCTATATAGCTCCTTATTACTCTTTTAAGGTTAAATTTTCATAAAATGTTTTCATAACTAAACCTTGACATTGCAAAGCATATGCTAATTATTACTAAATTTATTATTGTATGTCATCTGCTGATTAATTTAACTTTAATTTTTATATTTATTCATTTTACAATTTAATAACAAATTTTAACTGTTACTCTAGTTATTATCCTAATTAAAAGCCTTCCTTTAATTATTTGATTCCATTCAAATATTTTTCAATTTCTAAAAATAAAGCAGTTTCACTTTCAGTTGATTACTCCAAATAACATTTTAAGATTTCTTCAAGTTTGATATAATTTTAATCATTTATCATTAAACTTTCCAATTCTAATGATTGCAAGACTAAGACATAATAAGAAATTTAATACATTATTCATTAATAAACGATTGTTACTGTTTTTATTCAAACTTTTTTGGTGATTCCCATTTTTATTATTATGTAGTAACACTTTTTGCAAGTTCTTATTTGAGTCTTTTGATTTCGTTCTTCAAGCTCTCTAAATTACCACTTTCATCTTCATTGATCCTAGCTTTATTTTTCACTTATTTGACTCTCTTAGAAAACATAAGAGTTGATAAGGTTTCTTGATAGAATTGTTAGGATTATTAAATATTAGCAATAAGATGAGTTCTTGAATTACCTCCCAAAGAATCTTTGAGTAAAAATGTTAATTTAGAATCTCTATAATGCACATATGATTGATTGTCCTCAACCAGAGAATTGATTACATTACCTAAAATGTGTAAACTCTTATTTATATTGCAACCTTCTCTCAATCTTTCACCTTGAACTTAAGATTGTTTCTATCTTTCACTACCTGCAAGATCTACAAAGTGAAATCTAGAGAATCTATGATTTATAACCTATGTCTGAGATGACTATCTTCTTGATTCAAGTTATATCGTGAACACACTATGTGATCTTGATGATTCTATATTCATTTGAGTTGATGATATATGTCTATTAAGACTCCCTTTCTATAGTACTTCTAATGATTCAGCCACATTTGTACAAACTTCTTCACTTAACTATTCCACATAAACCCCTTTTTTTAGATCTTCTCTTAGTTGTAAGTTTCCCAACTGAGGATTCAAAAGATCTATTATATGTTCATTATAGATTTCCAAATAACTGCATTTCACTAAATATTCTACATTTTCTGACGAATCCTCCAAAATGCAATTAAATAGAAAATCGATAACTCTTGGCAATACGCCAGGTTACTTCTATGTACCCATCATAGTATATGTCTTTCCACTTCCAGTTTACCCATAGACAAACACACATCCATTATAACCATCTAGACAATTAATTGCTTATTATTTTCCTACAATATTAAATATGTCTTCTTAGCTTGAGTCTTGTTATGCTACGTAATCAAAATAAAAATATTTCTAATCTTACTATAATTACTGATTGCCCTCAATAATTATAGTATTTTTTAAATTGGAATCCAATTTAATACATGATCTTCCATCTTCTATCAAAGGTCTTGCATACTTAATAAACAGATTCATACTTTATTCTGATGGAAACTTGAATATTGTCTCGTTCCGCCTTAAATTTATCTGTCATTTTTCAATTTTTAAATTTGAAATTATTATAATAAATAAAAATCAGGAAATTATTGCTATTGTAAGCCTTGTCTTAAATATGATTGTATTCCTTAAGTATCTATTCCTAGATTAAGATAGTAACAGTTTCATAAGTAATGTGTGTGGTCTACTTTATTTATATTTTAATAACTCAAGTAATTTTAATTCTTGCAAAATATCTTAAAGAGAATTAAATTTATTAGACATTATTCACAATGGCTTTTTCGTTTACATCAAAAACACTTTTTATTCATAAACATTTTCTTCATTTAATTAAATCTTAAATTCTGAAACTAAAAATTTAAAGTCTTTGCTCATTCTATCTGAATTCCTTTTAAATCACTTTAAACTTAAGACTCTTTTGCAAGTAAAATAAATTAAAATAGATTATTCCAATACATAATTAATTAATGTTTGAGAAGCAATTTAATTCAAGATTAATAGCTAAGAAATGATACATATTAAAACAAAGAAAAAATATTAATCCAAGTTAGGAGAGCAGGATTCATCTAATAGAAAAATAATAATGATGTTATTTTGTGCTTAAAAGGTTTTGAAATATAGATTTCTATTTAATTTTTATTAAATAAATATCCAGAATCAAGATGACCTTCTTAATATTTGAAGATTGTTTGAATAATTGACAATCAATCATTTTCAACAGAAAATTAAAAGCAATTTTTTTATAATTGTATATCGTTTTTGGAACTAATGCCAGGAGCATCTGTTTTTGTTCTGAATTCCCACTAAGATTTAAATTGGAAGTGTTGTCTAACTTTAAAATTTTGTAGGTCTTAAATAATCTAAAATATTCAAATCTTAATATAACTTTTTTATATGTTTTTAATATTTCTTAGGAGCTAAATGTGAAAACTAGTTCAGAATTCTCTTGATTAAACCACAACTAAGTCTCAAACCAATTTAAAATTGTATAATGAAAGGTGGTTTTGAATTATTTCAGTCTATTTTTTAATTAGAGATAAAAATTGTTTGTTTTATCTTTCCAAATATACCACCTAATCAAGGAACTTATATCCTTCAGCAATTATTTTAAATTGATTGGCTAAGCATTAGGACTTCATTAAAAGGTTATATTTGACTCTATTTTTAAAAAGCCCATATTTAAATTTCGTATCAAACTCTCAATGAAATCTCAAATATAATGCCAAACTTTTTATTACATTATTTAGTAATTAAGAGTGTTATAAAATTTGAGAATTTTTAACTAAAATATTTATGATAGATAATTCATTAATAAAATTAATTTATATAATGATGATCACTTCGTCCGTGTTTTTGATTGTTTATGAGATACACTTGTCACTACTCTGAAAATAAACTATACATATATATATATATATATTTATTAAATGTTCAGAAAATTAATCTGGATCAGTTCCATTAATCGAGAGATTGTATTTCAATTTCTCTGTCAATGAAGGTATCAAAATTTTGATAATCAGAATATAAGATCTAAATTCTCAATAGACTCATACATATAAAGCAATCCAATTCTGAAAAGGACATTGGGTCCAATGGGCAAATAGAAAAATCTATCATTGGAAATGGTACCTCAAATGACCAAGTATATTAGATGGAAAGAGTCATTATTGATCTCAAACTAGACTAAGATTACAGAAAGATAAAGGGCTCTTTGCTCAGATGCCCTGGAAACAATATGAATGGAGTCAAGAATTTGGATATTCGCATGGCTCCAAAAAAAGAGAATGTTACAACCCAAGCTAATTCATAAAAAAGAGGAAATCTGTAAAATGTTAGCAAGATCATTGCTGTTTCAAGTTGCAAAGGAGGAGTCGGTAAAAGCACAATTGCCTTAAATCTTACATTTTCCTTGCAAAAATTGGGTTTCAAAGTAGGAATATTTGATGCTGATGTTTATGGTCCATCTCTTCCGACCTTGATTGGCAAAGAGAAATAGTAATTATATGCTCCAGAAGATAAACCTAAAGAAATTCTACCCATAGAATTCAACGGTGTTAAAACCATGAGTTATGGATATGCTAGTGGCAATTAGAAAGCTATTATTCGAGGTCCTATGGTTAGTAGCATCGTTGTTTAATTAGTACAACAGACTTAATGGCAAGACTTAGATTATTTAGTTGTTGATATGCCACCAGGAACAGGAGACATTCAAATCAGTTTATGTTAAGAATTAAATTTTAATGGAGCAATCATTGTTACTACTCCTCAAAGATTAAGTTTCATTGATGTTGTTAAGGGAATAGAAATGTTTGATGTCCTTAAAGTACCAACATTAAGCGTGGTTGAGAATATGGCTGAATATGTCTGTCCTAATTGCAATCACTTACATAGACCTTTTGGACCAGGTTATATAAATCTGTTACAAAAACAATTTGGCATTGCTACCGCTTTGTCTATCCCTTTATATGGAGATATTTCCAAATATTCAGATCTGGGAAGTCCTGTAGTCTTAACCTTACCTGAAGACCACACTATTAATTATATCTATAGAAAATTAGCCAATAACGTTGTAAATGAATTAAATAGAACTGATTTGAATAAAAGTCCCACTGTGAGATATGATACAACTAAAAGAGTGATCATCATTAAGGACTTTGAAGGCAAAGAAAAATCTATAAAATCTCTAGAACTTAGATCAAAATGCAATTGTGCCTTATGTGTAGATGAATTTACTGGAAAAAGATTAAATCAAGTAATTTTAACTTTAAATTAGAATCAAAAATTTGATCAAGAAGTATTTCCATAAAAGATTGAACCAAAAGGAAACTATGCTGTAGCAATTGTTTGGTCTGATGGCCATCGTTCTTCTATCTATCCATATAAGAGAATGTGGAGTGAAGAAATTAATGAGCACTAATCATGATAATCAGATATTAAATTGAGCATATAATAAAAATTTATCAATAAATATAGTATTCTAAAATTTCTTTAACAATGAATTATATAAATTATTACAATTTCCTTTTAACATAATTAAAACCAAAAGTTTATATTAGTTGTATTACAAGTTGTTAATTCTATGAGCTTTAGTAAATCTTTTCATCACTGATTCTATATCATTTCCTTCTCTCATCCAAATTCTAGCCTTTCAATTTTGAGATTCATATTTTGACATTCAATAAATACACTTAGAATTGGAGACTCTTTACTCAAATCAAAAATTTTGGGTACAGATTAATTAGGTCGATTTTGAATATTTGGTATTCAGCATCATAGAAAACCTCCTTTTCCTATTTCATCTATCTTGCCTTATTCATTATCTCTATAAAAAAATTTCAGACTCACTCTTACAGGTTTTAATGAATATTATATTTATTTGTTAATATTGGTTTAAAATGCATCCTTTTAATTCCTCTTCTTCCTTTTATCTCTTCAAATTACCCTTTTTAATTTTACTTATGAATGGTGCTTGCCTCTGTATATTGATAAGACTTTTAGCTTAATATTTTATTTCTGAATTTCTTATTTTAGCTTTCTTATTTTCTCATTTTCTAAGCTTAATTCTAAAATGAAAAAAAAAATTGATCCTATTGAAATTAGTTGTTGATATCAATACAGGTGAAGTATCACGATTTCTAAGATATCAAGTTTAATCTTCATGTTAATAATAATCGGAATCATGTTTGTTGATTTAACAAAAATATTAATAATTTCTATGTTAAACTTATATGTTTGTTGATACTTTCGAAATTATTTTACATAAAATAAGGGTAGTTTTTACAATATTATAAATTTTAATTTATTTTTATAATTCATTTAGTTCCTTTGTTTAGTAATAAATTGCTCTATCGATAGCCTTTAATTTATGGATTGCCTAAAGAATTAGATAAACAAATAGGGCAAAATCCTAGTTGCTTTTAGGTTACCAAATTTTATTACCAAATACATATGAAATTACAATTTTTGCTTGAACATCGAACCAAAGATTATTCTTTATTCTATCTCAACTTTTATTGTATATTTTCACTTAAAACATACAAATCCATTTAATTCTTCATATCAAGATACTAGCGCCCAAAAATTATAAATTACTAACATAGCTTATTGCTAATATTTTGATTGCATTACGGACATTTTGCAAACTATTTATTGAGCAATGCTTAAGTAAAAATTTATTCCAATTATTTCTCTTTAATTTGATGTTTGCATTTATTAGTGAATTATGTGGTTTCATGTAATTTGTTTTCTTATCTTTCAGAAACTGGAGAAATTTATTTTACTTATTGATTGTTCTAATTAACTTTTAAAATTTAGTTTTCAATCTTTAGTCTATTGTTTTCTTCAGCCAAAATTTGATTCTAATTCTATAAGGTTTTAAATGCATCCTTTAGTTTTTAATTTTCAATTTCAAGATTTTTATAATTTTAAGACCTTAATATAAAATATTTATGTACATGCTCTATTGATGATTGGATTATTATTATTCATGGTGAATATTTTCTGTTTTTGACACTAATTATGAAAATTATTGGTATTAAGAAGCTTTTTCTTACATTTATTTGAATTGTTCAAAATTATCAATTCTTTATGATCTTTCTTCTTCATAGTTTTCTTTGTTTCTTAATTAATTTTTCACAACTTAATTTTATGTATTAATATTTAGGTCTGGATTATATTATTCAACACTTGGGATTTAGGTAGCAATGATTCTTTTTTCAGGATATATTTCAGATTAAGTATATTAGTTAATTTTTACATACTCAGATTTCGTTTAGGGATGCTATTCAATCAATCTATACCCTATGCTTCTATTTTTCGTTTTCTTTATAATATCTATTAAATATTGATTCAAATCTCCTGTAAATTAAATATTTTGTTCAAAGTATAGTTTAATATCTGACTTAGTTTGCTAACTTTTATTGATATGAACAATTAAATCTAAAATTGTTGAGTTTTCATAGACCCTAAATGATTACTATGATTAATTGTCTCCTTTATCAAGATTTTTTAGAGTTATTAGAATAGCATCACAACTTTTTGATCTTTAAATTTTTAACATCTTTTTAAGTTTAAATTCAAAATATATTATTATTAGAGTTGTTAATTTTTATAACTAATCTGATCAAATTTTTTCTAAAATTTTGCTAAAATAAATTTGAAATCGATCAAAAATAATATGGAAATTGGAAAAAATGATGTGGAATAATAACTCAAGTTTGATCAGATTGAAAAACTGATGATACTTTCGTAATTAGATGTTCTTCATATAATTTTCATAATTAAAAAAGATAGGAATAAGTTAATTAGTCCTAATTCATTTATTTATTAAAAATGTAAACATTAGAAAATAAGTTATTTGTTCATAATTTTGATTTAAAAATGTCTTTAAAAATCATTTTAATCACCTAATCCTTTGCTGATTAATTTGTGAAAAAAAATAACTCGATTATATTCTAAATTAATCTTATATAGCTTATCCATTAAAAAGGTGAAATTATGATCTCCATTGTATCAACCAAAATCATCAATTTTTTTACTATTTTTCTTTATTTTTTTTCATCTAACACATCGTTAGAGTATCTCTTAACCACAAAGAGTAGTAACAATTTCATTCGTTTCTTTTTTGGCATTTGATACAATTTTATTAGTTAAAACCCAAAAATAAATTATTGTATTAATCCTATAAAATTTTGAGGGTAGGGGATAAATTAGATCAATTTCTTTATTTATTTAAGAGTTGGAGTTTCAGCAAAAAAGATATTACTGATACCTTTATTCTAAATATTCCTTCCTAAACTTTCTAAAGTACTTTCTGGATTTTATATTTCTTTTGTATGAATTATTTGAAAAAATACATTCATTTTTGCTAATGTATTTATATCGTCTGGTGTGAAAGAACCAATTAATGGATAATCCAAATACCCTAAATAGTTTGGTAATAATTCTCTAAACTTTGCACTGCTAGCTTCTAACCAATAGAAAATTAGATCTGTACAAACCCGAGAAGATTTTAGATTGGGTTAAAACGGCACAGGATCTGTCGGAACCTTATTTACTAATTTTTTTATCATTCCTTATAATAATTTTTAGTAATCATAGTCTGCTTTTAAACTAGTTTAAAGATACATGATGAACTTTTGAAGCTCCCCTTCCTAATATGGTGGTCTAAATATAATATATCTAGAAGATTGACTAAGTATCTAAAGAGGGTTTATTATTCTTATTTAAGGCCAGCCAATGTGCAATAATTGATCTTCCTTTATTAAAACCAATAGGTGATCATATTCAATTTTTAAAATAGATCTAGCAAGTGAATATATAAAGCTATCTGTCTGGGTTAAAATGAAGTCTCCCACTTAAACTTTCTATTTAAACTCTTCATTCAATTCATACTACTTGATTGTATACTTTTTATCCATTTATTTAATTATTATTTATATATAATAATAATTAATGAAAAGTTACTCAATACTTCAATATTTTAATCTAATAGCTACTCTAAAATCTTTAAAACAATATTGATTCTGATTTGAAAATCTTTAATGTTTAATTAATACCCATACTCCATTTTTTGAAACCTGCTTTTCAAACCCATCAAGCAAAAATATTCGTCCATTTTAAATTTTAATATGAGCATGCTTACGAGATGAACAATCGCTTGGATTAGCCATCTATATATATTCATATTTATTATCAGAAATCTTTTTAACAAAAACAATTTGCAACATTTCTTTTATCGCAAAAGATTAAGAATTGATGATAATTTGATCTTCTTTTATTTCAATAGTTTATTTATTTGATCCCGCTGGAAGTCCAATCTGATAGTGTTCTCCTCTAAATAATTCTTTTTAGTTATTGATCTTTTCATAAATTCCATCATTCGAGATATTTACAACCATTAATAAACTTTGATTATTGATTTTACTAATATTTATTTATTGTTACGTAGGGTATATTAAACTCAATAATTCATCTTGTTAATAAGTGCAATTAATATCCTTAAGCATAGCTTAATTAAATTAAGTAAGAGTAGAATCTTTTAAAACTAGTCCATTATTTATATCAAAATCATAAGAAAATTCATCAGTTATGCTTCTAAAAACAACTCTAAATATTTATAATGAAAATACTTTTAAAAGGTTTCTTTAGAAATGTCACTTAATATATCGATTGGGACGCTTAATGTAAATTATTAATCCATATTTATTTAATTATTAATTCATTAAAATTATCTAAATGCTCATATATCATAAGGAAAATTTGAATTTTTATTTAATACCAACTGAGCGATATTTATTGTTCTTAAAATTTATTTCTAAATAAAATAAAAAGAATGGCAAAAACATTAACTACTAAAAATATTACAATAATGCTTTGGTATATTCAAATCAAACTATATGGTATTGATAGAATATTTGAATTAAATATTCTAATGATTACGAAGGGTTGGCCTCAGATACCCTATTATTTTACAATAAGATAGATATAATTTTTAATTAATTGACAACTTTGTAATTTTTAGACAACTTTTCCAAATCTAGATATTAAAAATTTGCGATTAATAGTTTTCATATTATTTTTAGATATTAGAGTTATCTGATAGTAATATTGGTAGTATTTTACTCATTATAAAAATTTTTAAAAAATATGGATAATTTGAGAGATGTACTTTTGCTAAGTAATTCACAAAAATCTTTCATTTTGGGTTTCATTCAGAACTCTATAATTGTAAAAAATCATCACTTATGACTTTTGAACTTACGCTAGAAATTATTCCTTAAATATAACTTATGAGTTTTGGAGATATAATTGGCCCATTCTATAAATTTTAGGCGAGGAATTTAACGAAGATATCCATAATTATATGAGTAAATTTCCAAATCTCCAAATTCACCAATAAATTTAACATATCTATTGGTGATTTTCCTCTATTGCAAATTCACCACTTCATATTTGGCAAAAAATATAATAATTTTTTAAATTTTCATTATATAATATAAAAATATCTTAATGAATTTCCTTATTTAGAGATTTATGGAATATAAAAAACAAGTCAAATATAAAATACCTCGCCTCATTAAATTTAAATGTTCTTATATTATGTTCATGGCTTTGTCTTTCTGTTTAGTGCTCTAAACAATAATCCTAAGATAATTTATATATATATTATTTAAAATGTAAGGTAATTTTCTAAAATATACACAGTTTCTTAAAATAGTTGATGCTTTAACAATTAATCATCTTTTATTATTTTTTATTTCAGTCTAGTTTATTGATTTAGAATTTGTACACTTTAAAGTTGGCACTCTATTTAATATCGTGAATTTGCAATTTAATCTGACTTAAAGACCTATTTTATCTCCCAAATCTATAAATTAATAAAATAAATTATATTAATAATAATTTCTGGCATCTGCTATCTAAAATTGCAAACCTTTTGAATTGTAAATTAATTTTAGCATTAAACTATTAAGAATTTATATTGTAATAATCTTAATCATATCTTACTTTTCTCTACAAGAATTCCTTATCACCTTATTTAACCTTGTTTATCAACAAGCAATCAGTAGGTTGTTACAAATCATTTTATTGATAGCAAAATAGACCCATAATAAAATTATATTTTAATTTTTTTTAAGTTATATCCACTTTTTTTTTCTAAATTTTTGTTTCCATATTTTAAAGTTAACTATTCATTTTAATTCTAATTTATCAATATTTAACAATGAAGTTGTAAAATTCCAATTTCAAATTTTTAATATGTGTTTATTCTTAATGTAGCTTTGTAATTATATGATATGCATTCGATGCTTGGTATATAAATTCCATATGAATTGAATTTAGAGGGTAAATTAATTTTTGAGTTTGAACTTTGATTTGTTATTAAAAATTGCCTGTCAAATATTTAAGATCTCCATTTTTCAAAGGAAATGATATATAAGAGAAAAAGAATATCATTTAAAGATTTGCTCGAAAATCACTACAATTCTTCTCGCCAATTATAAAGTAAATTAAGATCCCAAGAATTATAATATTTTTATACTTTAATTTTGTTAATTCTATTATTAGGATCCTTTTGTATAAGTTTTAAGAATAACAAATTTTGTTCGATAATTTTCCTTTTTTTTCTATTCAAGTGTTAAACACTTGAGAGAAATAGTACAACAATATTTCCATTTAACAATTGATTATATAAAACCCCTATCTTACTTTCAATTGAAACAATATTGATTGCATTTATGAAATCTGCATTTTTGATTAACATAAAAATTTAAAAAATTTATACATATTTTTAGTTCTTTCATTTTCAAATAAATATGATTTATAATTTGCTCCCTCACCATTCCTTGTATTTGTAGCAAAGGAAAAATAAATTAAAATATTTTATGGTGTGAATAAGAGATTTATATAATATGATGAGTATAAATTATATATATAATTATTTAATATATTATTTATCATGGACTGAAAGTAAGAAAGATGAAATAGCAAAAATTTTTTATAAATAATTCGATAATTGATGAGAAATTATTTGAGTTTAGCATGAGACAGTCTTACTCTTAATTGAATTCTGCAATTTTGAATTGCATAATTGAATTAATTAACTAGGGTTATGATTAAATAGTATTATGCCCACATGTTGCTGAATAAGCTTTTGAATAACTAATCGAACAACAAACAATAAAATTGCAAGAAAATCATTCAAATCAAGAGATTTTATAAAATTTTTATTCATAATTCAATTGTACATATACGAAAATAGAAATGTATTAAAGTATAATCTAATTTGGATTTACAAGCTTGAGAATATAAATTGATCAACTATATTGATAAATTCAGAAATATATTTAATGAATTCTTATTATATAGAGTAAATTTAAAAATTTGAGAATTTCTTGATTTATTTGTAATCTTAATTATTTATTTTATAATTTAATTAATAAACCAAAAATTACAAAAACGATATTAAAAATTTAAATTTTTAACAACACTATTATCATATAAAAAATATCATATATGTAATCATCCAGAGAGGCAATGTTATTATAGATATCAAATAACTGTTTAATAAAATTACTGCCACTATTTCCTCAGCTGATTATAGATATTATTTTGCTAACATTAATATATTAATGGATGGCGGAGTGCAAAATGTTAGAAATATCATAAACAACTGACATTAATCATTAATAATCTTCTGGCTTTGCACAATGATCACTATAAATATACCAATTATTGGCATCAATAATAACCGATTGAAAGCTATATATAATATTGTTGAATATTTTTCCACTCTTTCCTAATTTTCAAAATAAATCTAATAGAGACTACTCCCAAGAATTAATAATATAATTGGAGAAGTTGCTCTTGATATAGTTTAAAGAGGTAGAAAAATTGCATTATAAATTATCTAGTTTTCAAGTAAAGTTGCCTGAAGCCCTGGAATACATATAAAAACTATTGAAACCAAAGTAGCGTACAAAGGAGGATTCCAAAATGACTTTTTTTAAGATTCATTTTCAGGTTTTGTTTGTTATTACTGAGACAAAGGCAAAGTCAATTAGTGTGATTATGGTACTGATAAATTTGTCATTTCTAGATCACTTTAGTTATTTTCATGCTATTCTAAAATACTTTTTCCAATTGACCACCTTATTGAATTCACTACTACAGTTTAAATAATAACAGTTGTAATAAGTCTTTACTCTAATTATTTTTATGGCTGTCCAGTTATTTTTGCAAAATAATTACTTAACCCATAGCAAAGTTATAATTGTAAATTCGTGGTGTGAGGATTTGCACAGGCTAATATTATTACAGATTTCAAGGCTTTTTCTTTGATCCAATATTTGTTACTTAGTATTCCTGCAACATATCCGAGAATTAAGCAGAGTAAAGTTATGATGATACAAGGAATATACAAATAAATGGTTTCTAGTGTAAGAGTCTTTTAAAAGCTTGTAAATATTAGAGCTGGAGTAAATAAATTCTCAGTTAAGCATGATAGTTGGTTTGTCAATTACTTGTTGATGATTTTCTTGCGAGTTAAATAAGCTCCTAATCCACTTATAAGAAATACACCAAAAGTCGTAGAAACGACTGCTATTAACATTACTAATATTTACATTATAAATTCAATTAATTTAAAATTAGTTGAAATATACATAAAAATACCAGTTCGATAAATTAATTATAATGACGAACCATTGTCTAATTTTACATTTCTGTATTTTTGTTATTTCTGAAAGAAGACCATTTATGATAGATAATTAAATCCAACAAATAGATCATGGAATACTAACGTTGAAATAATTTGACAATGAAGTTGATAAAGAGATAACAATTTATGATAAAGAAGAGCCCAAACAAAGATATGATAAATGAAATATTGTGTTGAATTTTAGTGAGTTTGCGTTAAAGTACATTCATCCCAGAAGGTTTAAGATTAATAATGTACTGAATTTTATTCCATTGTGAATTAAATAGATTATAATTGTTAGAAATCAATAAATATAAGTGGATCATCCCCTATTTAGGTGGAATCTTTGAAAGGTGTAGCAAGCTAATTATTCTGATTTTCTGCTTTATTCTAAGGTGAGATCAAATCTAGATCTTATAGATTATGTTGGCAAGAAAGACCTAATTGATTTAAAGGCTGGAAAAGTAAAAAATGGAGGTTTTCTAGTAGTCAACTACATTTGATGGGTTAGATTGAAGTACAGAATTGGGGACTGGAGGTACGATAGTTCAATTTGAAATGACTTTGAATTTATGAGAATTTGATTCATAACTTTTGGTATAATTAGATTTTAATATTCTTTATTTATTTTGGCCAACAAAAAGGGTCCATAAAACGAGTAAAATGAAATTAAGACATATCAATTAAATATTGGAAAATGATGGAAGCAAACCCTCCCATATTGAAGCTCTTGAGCAATTAAAAACAAACATGCATAGGTTACACAAAATAATATATGTATTGAAATTCTTTGATTCTAATTTATGTAGTTTGAGGAAAATGCAAGGAGAATGATCCAGATCTACGTTACTGCTATGGGAACTGAAGGAAGAGAATTAGAAGGATCTAATAAAGTCGAACAATATGAAAACAATCAAGAGTTGTCCAATATTGCTCCTAAATACATAGAATTAATTTCTTTATAAAATAGCAGATTTATCAATATTCTAGATTTTACATAATATCAAGGTAAAAAGTTATCCTCCACCCCATCTTAAAATTGTTCATCTTCTAAATTTTATCTCACATTTGTTTTAGGAGGTGGTTGTTTATTGGCTCTCCTATAATAATATTTTTTGTAAATACCTAGTGTTATTAGTGAAACTAACAGGATTATCGTCTCCTTAAGGCAAACGAATTTATTCTTCTTCATTATTGATTAAATTTATATCTTGACCCTAATACCCTTCTATCATTTCCATTTCTCTTTCTAATTTTCTTAATTACCCTGCATATTCTTCATATGGTAATCCCATTTCTCTACATAGCTGCACTAAGAATCGAAGACCTAAGATGTTTATATACTTAAAGTACATTCAATGTTATCTGGATAATCGGAATAGATTTTCTAATAGGTGCCTAATGCCTTTTGAAAATGCCCCATTCTTCTATAACAACTTGCAACCATCAATTTCCATTTCTCATCTCTTGTTTACACTTGTGCTGCTCTTTCAAAATATAAGCTCGCCTTCTCATACATTTCTTATTTCACATAATACACTCCCAACCACGATATTGTATCAATGTTTGTTGGTAATATTCTATAGGATTCCAAAAAATAATGCAATGCCTAGGGTTCATCATCTTCCTAATCAAATATAAATATCATTTTATTTACCCTTGCAAATAGTGAACCTAATCTAGCTAGTATATTAGGATCATTTGGAACCTTGTTTAACAATTCTAAATACCATTTCATGGCCTATTTTGAATTACCAGTCATCTCATACAATGTGGCCATTTGATACAAAACTTCAGGGATGCAGACAATTGTTTATAACTTGTCTAATGCTTGCAGAGATTCAACAAACATATTCAATTTTCTATTTACATAAGCTAAATTATAGAGTGCTTCTATGCAATCTGCTTCAACACCTATAGCTTCTAGATATTATTCTTTGGCTCTCAAGAATTCATTTTTCACATATAAGCAATTTCCTCTGTTGACTAAAGCCTTTGCATTGTATCTATCATATGTAATTGCAATTTCAGCATATTTCTCAGCCTGCTTATAATCATTCTCTAAGAAATACAAAAAAGAGATGTTTGTAGCAATGCGAGCCATAATTGATTTATCCTTTTTTTCGAAGCCCTTTAAGTGTTTCGATAGATTTCTCAATGTTCTTTTTCTTTAAATGGGCCATAGCTTTGCATATTTCAATTTCAGTTTCAGCTTCAGGAAATGTAGAATTCTTGAGTTATTCTAAAATCCACTCATATCCAACAATAATATCGTCTTCAATTAATGGAGCAATCAATTTAGCAGATGTTACAATATAATGAACGGCTTCTCTTCTTCTTTCTTTTGTATCCTCTCTCAATTTATCTGTAATGGTAGTACCCTTATTTTCATTATTCTCTTCTTCACTCTCTCCTGGTATTTCTATGGTTAATAGAGTAACGAAATAGTCCTTCATTTTATTCTTAATTCCACTAAAATACAAACAAATCATAAGATTAAACCCAGTTGGAAAATCAGGTGAACTTTTGAGGATTTATTCATATGTGTTGATTGCCTCTAGGATTTTTTCTTTGCCCTACCTTACTTGCGCATGACCTATGTTTTTTTGGATTTTGAACCTCATTTCCTTGGATGTAGCAGGAATCAAATCCAAAGCCATTTTGTACATTTTTATGGCAGTAGGGTATTTCTTCTGTTCAAAATAAATGTTTCCCATATTAACCCTCAATCTACCTGCTTGTGGGTATTATTTACATTTAATAATTTCTTGGTATTTTGCTAAAGCATCTTAATGGAGTCCATTAGCATGTAAAGCACAGGCTTAAGTTAAGGCTGCACAATAACTAAGATCTGCATTGATGGATTCTGCTAAATTTTGTGCTTCTTTAGATTATCTTAATTTTTTTTCTTTATTAAATGCTTCTTTTGCCTTTTCTAGACATTCAGAGAGATTGCCTCTCAATTTAGCGATAGCACTCTATTCTATTAGGGTATTGATTTCCTTTTCCATCCCTTTAAACTATTCTTCAGGATTGGTTTCAAGTTTAGGTTTATTCAAATTAATTTGATTTTGAGTAGAATTGAAAGGGTCCTTTTTTTAACCAAAATTAGCTCCTCTGTTAGATGTCATTGGTCTGGCTTCTGCCTATGGTTGTCTGGCAGCTGTTCCCAGGGGTTTCCCTCTAGATGGTTATGGTCCACCTGGTGCAGGTTGTTGTGCCTAAACTGATAATAATATTGTTTTACTCTGACATTTTCAAAATTATAATTATTGACAGGTGGTTTACCACCAGTTTGGTTGAAATTGTTTCCACTCATACCAAAGGCTCCATATTAAGACTAATTCATTATATATATATATATATTATTATTTAAATTTGTTTAATCATTCTCCTAGAAATAGAATTTTACATGAATTGAAAGCATAGAAGAACATTTGGAATTCATCATATTGCATATTTAATTTACGTAATGACAATTCTTTTTACATATTGATCTAATAAGATTTGATATAAGAATTACTTCATCTGTTGCTCTTTATGATTAATTTGGTTTTGTCGTGGCTAAGGTCTTGGCTGATTTCAAATCAAGATTGAATTTATTTTTGATTTCTTTCCTCCAATGAAGAGATTCAAATTATCCTTTTTAATCTAATAAGGTTAAGAAAAACTGAATTCCCAAAATGAAACCATCATCCTATATTAATACAAATAGTTATTTACACTAATAAAGACTTCAGTAGTAGAGTTCTTCTTACCAATTTGATCTTTTGAAATTAACATTTTTTCAATGAAATTCAGAGTCAATGTTGGAACAATTAAATAAAATAGAGACAAATGTTCATTTTCTGGTGTATTGATACTTGAGAATGCCTTCAACAACAGGTTTATATAATCAATCTTCTCTGAAAAACTACTCTTATATAATGTAAATATCTCCTCCAACTCCTTTGCAGTACTTACAGTGGCATCTATTATTGGATATCAAAAAATATATTTACCACTAAATCCAGCTTCTCTTGTCAAAGATTCTAATTGAGTAGGATTGTATTAACTTGGAACGTATTCTAAACATTTTGAATTAACATGTAAAGCTGCTGATCTCAATAATCTAACAAATGCTAATGAATTTCCTATTTGTGTTATTAAAGTTCTGAATTTGTCAAGGTAATTTGTTCCATCATCAAATGTACCCATTTTCTTGATCTCTTTGTATAATGCCTCTGCTCTATCATAAGGATATTGGCCATCCAATTCATCCTTCTTTTTCCCTAAAAAATCTGTCTTCTCTGACCAAGGGAGATTGAATTAGATCATCAAATAAAAATTGTGAAAACATTTAAATTTTTCTAATGATTCACATATAATATTATACTTTTGTAAGAATTTATACACACTATTAACTGTTGTACTCAGGATACCAATACCATGCGTTCTAATTGAATCTGCAATTTATTGAATACTAATTGAATAGACTTATTTACTCTCCGATGTTACCTATATTGATAATATAAACTTATATACCTAAACAAATTATTACTAATATAAATTGTAGGTGTATTTAGTAAAGAATTGTTGGATATTCTTGAGAACATTGAGCACATCGAAGTTTCCTTAATCAACTGTTTAAGTTGGCAAATAAACATTTATTAAGTTTAATCCAAATTTAGAATTTGCTAAACTTCTCATTTATTCATAGGTTTCTTGATCATACATATTGAGAACATTGATATTATAGAATGTTTCATTGAGTATCTGATTGATTTCAGTTCTTAAATTCACAATTGAATCAAATATCAATACGTAATCAATATCTAGTAATCTTTTCAAGTCTTTCACTTATTATTTGAATGGGTTTAAAGCTGTTATTTTTTCAATCAACACTGTATGCACTTAAATTCTTAAATAATCCTCGATGTCTCTGGCCAAGGGTTACAAATATTAAGCATAAAACTCCTTAACAACATATTATCTAAAAGAATCAAATAATTCATCAGGATTTTCTAAGTGCATACAATCTTTTAATTAGATTGAACAATCAGAAACAGCATTCAATAAAAATTAGAACCTTTTTGCTTATGATGGATTTTAATAGATGTATTAAAAGAATGAAGGTAGCAATTCTCTACACCAATAAAAATAGGTACTTGCTGTCACCTTTTTGACATAGAGTGGTAATAAAATTAATTTATCAAGTTTCCAAAGAATATTTCTAAAATCTTCCTTCTCTGAATTAGTGAATATATCCTTTGCAACCATGAAATCCATCAAATAATACATTGTCTATAATTTCAAAGGCGAAAGTGTGCTCTTGAGAATAGAATTCAAAATTTATAATGCTCCCAAAATTTCTGCACCTCCTGTACCAAAACTCTTAATATTTGCCTTCATCTTCTCTAATACTTATTATATGATTCTCTATCCATTTTTAGTGATGTGATTTTAGATTAAAGCAGGCTAGAAGACATCATATTTTTATTCGAAATAATACTCTATTGCTTTTAGCATCTCCACAGCCAAAACAACATCCTTTGATAATGACATATCTAAAGATTATTCTTCTAATCCAAAATGTCCTAATAGCAATGCTTATAATAGATTCCTTGTTTGAGAAGCTATTGTCAATCCTTACAACACTAAAATTACTCTCTAATTCATTCTCTCTTCAATATATCTCTGTGCTCTTTCCCTATCAATTTTATCAATATTGTTAAAAGAGGCTTAACTACAAGAGAATGAGTCAACTCTAACAATCCAAGTTGTGAATGCAACATATTAAGCAGTTAATGAACTTTAAAATGAGGCTGATAATCTTTATAGATAACTCTTAAAATTGGCAATAGGATCTTTTGGATCCATAGTTGAACTCTTTTTAGATAATGGAGTAACTTCCATAAGAAATTTACTCAAATAACATAGAACTTGTGAGTGTCCATCCACCATTGGAACTTTCTTTTAAAGAGACCAAAGATTTTTCCATAGATCTCTATTCTCATCATTTTGATATAATTATCTGACTAAAGCATAAACACAAAATGTTGGTAATAATAAATCTCTTTCGAACATTTCTTTAGCAGTTCCTAAGGTTTTATCAAATAATTCATATCTTTCTTTGAGGTATGTATTGAGAACATTGTAGAATTCTTTATTGTTTTTGATGGCAGGAATATTGGCATTTTTCTCTTTTCCTGTTTTTTCATGCACATTTTAATCCCAATTTTGTGCTAAAACTGATTAGAGACAAGAACCAGATAGTACAGTCTTGTCTAATCTTATCATAATTTTTTCTAATTGTCTAACATTTTAGGCATTAGAATTAAATTTAGTGGGATCTGGTTTCACAATTTTTATCATTCTCTTACAATAATTCCAATGTTCTTATAAGATAATCATTCTATTCTACAACATTGTCTAAGATGTAAAAGCAGTTGCAATGCTCTTCCTATTGTATCTAATGGAAAATTTTAAGTTAAAGATTTTAATGATTTTAGAAATAGGATCCTTTTTATTGTAAAGTAAATTCAATTGATTGACCAAATGGGTGATGTAATTGATGAGTTTTTTAATAATGTCATATATTTACTTGAATTAGCCAAGCATTCTACATATCATGATTTCAGCCTCACCATCAGTCAATTTTCTCTCTTCTTCCAAATGAAGATCGGCCAACTCTCCATAAATAGTCAGTTTATCAAGGAATTTATAGAACTATAGAATAATAGTTGTTGATGTACTTGATCTTCTATTTATCTAATTTAATTATCGATGAAGACAAAGGATGCACTAATCTTATCAAATACTTTGTTATCTGACTTCATGAAATCAAACAATCCCATGTTCTTTTCGTAAACCATGAAATGACTCTGAATGATGTTTTCATAATCAGGCGAAGTCAATGGGATTTGATAATCCTCTTCAAATGCTGAGAACTTAACGATGTGATTGTTGTATAACTCATTAAACTTTTAGAAGTACTCTTCATAGGGTTTGGCTGATAATAAATGATTAGTGATTACATGCTGTTAATACTTCTTTCCCAAATAGACCATCATCTTCTAAATCAATATCTTCCTCTTCGTCAAAATAATTTTGTTTCTTCTGCTCCTCCTTTTGTTGCTGGAATCTATTTTTCTTCATTGTATATTATTATTATATATAAATATTAATAATATCAACCAATATATTTTACAAATTGATTATAATCCATTCTATAATTCTTATTAAAATCATCGTAAATTAAGTTTTGAAAGAAAACCTCCTCCCAATAACTCTTACATCCTTATTTCACTATATACAATGAGGCATATTTACTATACTTGTTGCTAAACATAATAACATTGAATGTTTACTTTCTCAATTCTGTAATTAGATAATGTAGTTTATCATTTATGGGGTTTTTAGAATTGAAATAAAGATTATCCTCTACTAGATTGAGACTATAGTACTATTTCCCAAATATGTCGCCAATTTGACTTTCATCATGCAACCTAATTATTAAAGATTCAATACTTTTGCATATAAACAATATCAAATAATAACCGCAATCCATCAGTAGTAATCCTCCATTCGAAACCTCCTCCAAAACTAAGGAAATCGGTTATGGATATGTGAAATACCCATTTTCATCCTAAAAGTAATCTTGTTCTTGTAAGATAGAAATGTTGTATAACTGTGGTATCATAGATTAAATATCTGACTACCTATGTATGTATGTAATCAATTCATCCACATCTGTATATTGGATAATTGATCTGAAGGAAATCATATAATCTGTTAGGGCTAACTGTTGATCATAGGCATAATTGAGGATTTCATGATTCCTAACATATAAAAGTTAAAGAATCAAGGGGTTCCTTGAAAATCTTAGAATTATTAGTTATGGATCTGGTTTTAGCTATTAAGAAATCATTGGTTTGAATACAGTCTTTGATCTCTTTGGCACTATTTAATTGAGACAGGGCAATCTTATGTACAATGAGATTTCTAAACATGATTAATCGATTTGAGAATAGATAGCCCTCAAGAAATCACTGTAGGAATACAAAAATTATGAATATGTATTCTTCTCCCCCCTTGGGTTGAAGCATATAGTAAAGCGGCTTATAGATATAAATTATCTTAAGGAGCTCTAGGTTGATTCATTTCTAATTCATAAATTATTACCTTTTGACTATTCTATAAATTAACTTTCCATCCAATTGATATTCGAATTCCGAAGACTGATTCCCAAGTATAATCTCTCTCCAAAACTGAAATTAAATCGGAATAAAACCTTTGAGCTTACCTTAATATAATAATTACTGCAAATAGCGGTATCATCATAAAAAAAGATGTCGCCATTCAAGAATTTGACTAATTAATTTAGAGTCACAACATTATTGAATCCACAAGGTAAAACAAAGATTGAAGAACATATGCAGTTCAAATGCATTTTTCCAGTGATTTACTTTAATACATTGTTTATTGTTAAAAAGCGATTCTAAGATGATTTAGAATTATCAGTTAGATTCAACTCTTTAATTGGAGAGGAGGTCAAAATGATCAATTTGCCTCCTTTGTCTTACATAATTTTAAAAGCAAAATTAAATGCTGAAATGAACTAAGTACTCTTTAATTTTGTTTAGGAAATAAACTATCCAATTGATTCAGAAAGGCCACAATAATATCTTTAGAATCTTACAAATTAAACAAATAATCATCAGGAGTTGGCATTTCGTTGTCATCTGTTAACACATACATTTATACTTATTTAATTTTAGAATTGAAATTGTACGAATGTATACAAGTATTGAACATAATGAATCCAAGCAATGTTCTTTGATTCAATTTATCTTCCACAATCATATCCTTGATGATCTACCCCATAATTCCTAATAATTCTTGACTCTTTTGCGACATGTCAATCATAAAAAAGTAAGCTGGCGCCATTGGTGGTCTCATCTAATACTCTTATCCTGCTCTGATGTCATAGGATCTAGTAGTCAAATCAGGACTCCTATCTAATGAAGTTTGTTGGTATTTTAATTATAGATGTGCAAATGTTACATCTCAAATAATCTTCATCCTTCATATGCTCCATAAAAAGATTGATGTAAGGTTTACAATTCTGGCATCTCAAAATCTGATTGCTCCCATAAATTACAGTAGGGAATCCTTATTATATAGTTAAGCCATAGGGTTAAATAATCACTGCAAATGGAATTTTGACTTCCATATACAGTTATTTAGTTCTTGGAAACACTCTGGATGTAACCCTTATGTTATTAATTGCATTATATTGTTGATATGACTCTAAATTTATGAGAACCTCAAAATCCTATTTTTCTATTTATTATTTAAGCTCCTAAACCTATGGATGTGGATATTATTGCTATTGTTATTGCAGAAAATCCAATCTACCATTCTTCTCCAAAATTTTCCTATGAACACTCATTTTATTATTATTTATTAAATATAAATGATTCAAACACTCTATAGATTAGTCCCCAGATTCAGGTTTGCATCAACACTTGGATCATCCAATGTAGCTTCTGGTACTCAAACATCAGCATCTTAATCAAATCCTATCCCTGTTTATTTAAGACCATATGAAGCCAAGAAATACGAAGTACCATCATCAAAAATCAAATTAACTACTGGATACAGTTTCCTTGATGTTGAGCCCATGCCAAGAGCTAAGATCATGAAATTATGCTACACAATACTTGATAAATTAAAGGCAGAAATTCCTGAAGGTGTTCTTTACAGAATATACACTGAGGAGAAACTAAAATATATTATGCGAATTACAGATGAAATCGAGGATATCAGATAACTTGAGGAGGAATTCGGGTTTGAGTAAATAGAATTCCTCATCTAATCACTTGCCAAGGAAGTTGACTTGGTTGACCAAATGAAGTATACTAACTTTTTATCATTTTCTAGATATTACAAACCTTGGGAGAAGACTCAAGATGACAGCACCTTTGAATTGCTTAGATAACGACACCCTGCTTTGAAGCACTAAAGAAACGAAAGACCAGCCAGAGAATAAACTAAATTTATTGGAAATTGATATTCACAATAATAATAACAATAATAATAAATATTATCTTCATGAACTTACAAGATCAGATCTAATAAGAAGTAATCCTTTTACTATTATTTCTATAGATTACTAACTATTTTCCCAAACTTACATAATACTTACAAGAATTAGGACAATCAACATTAACAATCTAATAACCAAACAATGCCTTAAAGGGTATTCAAATTATCATATCAGTCCTTGATGAATTATTCGGGTATTAGTATAAATATTTCTCTCTAGAATTCTATAAGAAATAAACTGCCAATATGCCTAATTAGAATAATAGTTATAAAAGTATGAAGGAGAGTGCAGATCTCATATCAGAGTATTAATAATTAAAATAACTATAGACAGAATAGAGATTGAAAATTCATTGCGAAAACATCCAAGAACTCTATGAATAACAACTGGTAATAGAAAAAGATTATAAAGCTTAAATCTTGGTATGATCTCTTATTTCTATATTCTTAGAGTTACTAAAAGGAGATTACATAGATGAAGAAAGATCTCGAAGATGCCAAATATTAGAAGAATCAGTAATTGTAACAAAAAACTCAATCAATTATCGATAAAATTATTTTAGATCAATAGAAATAGACCATTCAATACGATTCTAAATCCAGATCAAATACATTCCACAACAATTTCATGAATCTCAATTAATAAAAATAACATATCTCTGTTAAATCTAATACTCGAAAGAATAGATTGATTACTGAATACTAAGATTTTTAAACAAAGTAACTAATAGCATATATTCATCAAGTTCCAAATAGTCAATTGAAGAAAAACAATATTCATCTCTCGAGAAAATTTAGGAATTAGCAACTCTGTACTCTCGACCAAAATCTAGATTATAAGATAATAGCAACAAGAAATCTGTAACTTTGCACGTTGCTTCAATTAAAGCCAAATAAGTAAAGAAATTTTGATACATACATATATTTATATTTGTCTACAATTTTACAATTTGTTGTTGTTTATAGTCTTAAAATAAATTGGCTTTAAATTTACTTTTAATTTTGTTGATTTATTCCTTTACTTAAGTCTTACTTTAATATGTAGAATATTTTTATTCTTAATGCTTTTGGGTTTGTTCTGATATGTAGATTTCGATATATCATTGATATATAAACATCATTAGATTTATAACAAAAATTAATTAATATTATCAAATTGTCTTGATCTTTCTTCTCCAAATATCAAGTTTCCAATCACATTTATTATATATTACTAACCTATCAATCTTGCATTGCAAAATCTTAATTTTGTGGTAAAAGTTCTAATTGATATTTTAATAAATTTTACTTTTGAATTTATTTCAGTTGTCCATTCTCCACGAAAGTCATAGTCAATTCATAAGTTGAAGCTACACTTAATAACTATTTGTTAATAGAAAATTTATTATATTTTTAGATTAAATAGTTGGTTACTTCATTCTATAATTTTCTAATTGCACATGTTTCATTACTGTTTTTATGCTCAATATAATTCTCAATTAATTCATAATTATATGGTAATTGTTTCAAATAATCCTCTTAAGGTATTAACTTATGATTTTTAGAAGTGGGTAAAGCGAGATTTAAGTTACCTTTGTTGTTTTTGATTTAATCGATATCTTGATTAGAATTTTCTAATATATAATCAAATATGACTGGACATAATTATTTAATTACGTGGATTTATGAGCATATTAATGATAAACTTTTATTCTAAGAAGTTTACTTTGATTAAATTTACTTAATCTCAATTTAGCATATCCATTATCCATTTTATTCAGTGTATTGGATTTTAGGCTAAAGATCAAATTATGTAATAATGGCATTATATATATCTCTAATAGAAGCTAACTTCTTTTTTTGGATAATTTTGATAATTGAATTTTAATCAGATTCGCTCAATTCATTCTTATGAGTAAATGAGACAAGTTTCTTTTTACTACTTGGTTTGTAGTGATTCTCATACATTTCATTTACGTAGATGATTTGAGTTTATTCATTTTTTTAATAGTCATCATCTAAATTGATTTGAGATAAGTCAATATTCTAAAACCTTTGCAATTGGTCTGATAAGAACTCTTTAAGGAAATTCAAATAATCACTCATATTTTGACATAAGAAAAAGGATTGAAGTTATTATTAAGTGAGTTGAAAGATATTAGACCATAAATTCATCTATTCTATTAGAATACTATCCAATTCAATTTATTATATAATATTCTCTATCTATTATTAATCCGATAATTCATGTTCTTAAACTGGGGATGTTAATTATCTTAAAAATAGTATAAACAACTATCTATTATGTCTAAATAAGTTAATGTAATGTTGGAGAATGTTATCTGGTAATAGTAATTTTTCTGATCTATATCTCATCACTCTAAATTTGTTAGCCATACACAATGGGTTGTTGTCATCCTTGAAACCAGATGGTTCGTACTTAGATATTGTTGAAATCATAGGACTGTGTTGTTGTTTCACAAGTAAGTGAATATAAAGTTCATATACTTTGCTCATTTTCTAGTTACTTTAAATTATCTAAACTAAAATAAAATAAAGTATTTAAATTAATCATTTTTTCTCTCTATTCAAGCATCCAAATGCTAGAAACACTCTGTCCATAAATGTTAACTTCTCTTCTTATTGCTATTGTTGTAATTAATGTTGATGCATCATAATTTCATTTCTATTTGACACTCTACTAATTCTAGGTTTATTAACGTCATCCTATTTAGTGTTATTATAGTCATTCTAATAAGCCTTGTAATTGGTAGCATTATTATTAATAGGTTATTCTTTAAACTTATTGTAATCTTATGAAATTGGTCTTGCCAATGATTCTTTTTTTTGAATCTCAATAGGCTTTTATTTCTATTGAAAATTGACAGTAGGAATTTATCTAGTTGGATATTAAGTTTTGTAAACAAAAGTCCAAATATCAATGTTGTAATTAGCAGCATGCTTAACCATCCATGGATTATCGAAGATCTAATCCATTGTTAAACGCTCTCCAGGAATATATTTAAGTATTCCTTTGATAAGTGTAATTACTTCCTTTGACAATGTGGGTGCAAAATTAATGGGTTACCCAGACTTAATTTTGTTTCCTAATTCTTCATTGTTCCTTCCTCTGTAGGGTGCATTTCCATGCAATAATTCATATAATAATATACCCAAACTCCAAACATCCAGACTGAAATCATGAGGTTATTTATTTAACATTTCAGGTGCCTAGCAATTTAGATAAATTAATATACCATATATTCATAAGTACCACAAAAAGTCATCCTTTTCTCAGTTAAACTTTCAGCACTCCAACCAAAATCACATATCTTCACATTACCATCATGATCCAATAACAAATTTTCAGGTTTTAGATCTCTGTGGATGATCTTATTTTTATGTAAATAATCTATGCCCAAACAAGTCTAAAAGAAATAGACAAATGCTTCATTCTCTGGCAATTTAGATCGTTTTTTAATGTAATTAAACAGAGATCCATTTTCTATTTAATAAACATTATACATGCATATTCAAGTATCAAATAAACATTTTCCTTATCTTCAAAATAATGGTGCAATTTACAAATGTGAGGATGAGCCAGTTTACGTTGTATTTTAATTTCCCTTTTTAAGTTTTCTACTGAACAATATTCAAAAACTTATCTCTTATTCATCTACACATTTCAATAAAATGATACAATTTTCATTGCATATAATAAGCCATTCTATTTGTCTTTGACTAGTTTAACTGATCCATATGATCCTCTACCTAACTCTTACTTACTTCCAATTGTGATTATTTCAAACTCCTCCGGCCTTCTCCTCACACTTGTTGTTGAACAAGAATCAATAGTATCATTGCAAGATCGTGCTCTATCTGGCTAAGACTTCTTGCAAATCTCTTTGTGATATATTGGCCTTATTGATTAATAATATATAATAATTTACCAATCAAGGTCTCTACATCGAGTGCTGCAATAGTTGGCTCCCATACATAATGGACACATAACTTTATTAAGTTTGGATCTTTGTTCTATTGTAGGTTATTTAATGAAGTATTGACAAGATTTATAATCACAGAATCTGTTCATTTTTATAATTAACTATTTATAATATATGTAAAGTAATTTATATACGCAAATAATTATAAATTTGAATTTTGATTAATTCATATGATATATTTTTTGTATTCAAAATATCATGATTTAAGCAAATTATATGGACAATAGTAAATATTAATTTCAATTTTACTAAACTAAGGAAATCTTCGTTTTATATTATCCTATTACCCTTGTCATTATATCACTACCAATAGATAATATTTTATCAAAAATTTAGATTTTCTTTCAATTGCATTACTTAACCAGCCTATTCGTTACTTATTTTTTATTTTGCTACATCTATTACTATTATCAGTTGTTATGACTACTTTCATGATATGTCCAATTAAGATACTTTCTTCATCTCTTCAAGTAAGATATAAATGAATAAATACATTAAATTCATCCAAATTTACTATTTATACAATAATCAAAGTCAAGATCATGCATTCTCATATACTTGATCAAAATAACATTAATCATATCAATTAGAATTAGGTGTTAGAATAATAATACAATGAATTAATCATTAAAATTATAATAATAAAAAATGAATAGTGGTGAATATTAGAAATTTGAAGAATTAGGTTTAGATTAATGGTTATTGAAATTATGTTGGAAAATCGATTATAAAGAGCCAAGACCAATTTAAGTTTTAAGTATTCCCCCCTTACTATAAGGAAAGAACGTATTGAGTAATAATCCAGGAAATAATTATAGTTTCATCTCAAACAGGTAGCGGAAAGACTGCTGCATTCTCATTTCCAATTCTTTAAACATTAAGTCAAGATCCATATGGAATCTTTGCAATTATATTGACTGCGAATAGAGAGCTTGCAGTATAAATAGCTGAATAAATATAAATATTCGGTGCTAGTGTGAATTTGAGATTGGCTTTATTAATAGGCGGTCTTTCCTCTTCAAAATAGGTCAAATTGTTAGGATAGATTCCACATATAATAGTGGGAACTCCTGGAAGATGTGCAGAATTGCTTAGCATTGATGTTAATTTCTAGAAATATATTAAAAATGTTAAATATTTCATTTTGGATGAAGTAGATAGATTGTTGGAACCTCAGATTTGGGATGATATCAAGAAAGTGTATGAATAATGTGAATCTCCTTAAATAGCATTGGTATCAGCCACTCTTAATAATGTCACTCAATAATTGAAAGAAGAATTTGCTAATATTAACTTTGTTGAATGCATCAATAACCCAGAACAAAAGGTATCAGAAACTATTAAACACAAATTTGTATTGATGCCAGATCTAGTTAAAGATTATTATTTCATACATCTAATGAAAAAATTGGAAGGAGCTTCTACAATTGTTTTTGCTCCTACATGTAGAAAGTGTCATGAATTGAATTAATTGCTTAATCATTTCGAAATTAAATCAACTTGTTTGCATTCTATGTTACCTTAACATGAAAGAATAAGTAATTTAAGAGCCTACAGATCATAAAAAGCTTAAGTTTTGGTAGCCACTGATGTAGCATCAAGAGGACTTGATATACCAAATGTTAAATTTGTTATTAATTGGAATGTACCTAAAGTAGAGGCAGATTATATCCATAGAGTCGGTAGAACAGGAAGAGCTGGCAGAAGGTATGCATAATAATATCTATTTCAATTAGAGGTACAGCCATAACAATGATGACCTAATTTGATGTAGAGAGAGTATTGGCAATTGAAAATCTAATAAACTTGAAAATGGAGGAAATCAAATTCAATGAAGAAAAAGTACTTGCAAATATGACAGATGTCACTAAGGCCATTAAGACTATTAAAATTGTAATTATCACTTCATAATTTTCAATAGACAATGTAATAAGATGGTACAACAGAAAAATTCTTAGATCTTTAAAAGAAAAAAGTAAAATCTAAATAGAAAAGATAAGGAAGTTAAGAAGAATAACAATCATGATTTAATATTGTTTTTAGATTACATTGATATTATACATAATAAAGTCATCGTATTTCATTCCACTTATCCTTTTTATTATTTATTTTTTAACTTTTTCACTTATTTACCATCTTTTTATTATACTTTTGATTTATTTTATACTGTTTATTCAATTTCTATTTATTCTTCTTATTGAGGTTTCACCTTCTTTTTATTAATTTTCTTTCCTCCTTTTAGAATACCACTTTTTTATTTTTTTGGTTAGTGTTCCTGTTCTTCCTCATTTACTAAGTTATTCAATTCTTCCAATTCATTTTAGACTTCCTCTTCTTAATTGTCTTATTAATTTTCTTGTTCTTCTTTGGCTTATTCCTCTAGGTACTCTAAGAATATATAGACTAAATAGAATTACTGGATAAATAATATTTGTATCTCTTTCCATTTACGTGTTTGAGAACAACAGATTTCTTTTTACTAATATTTTATCTGGTTAAATTACAAAATAGTTTATTTCTATATTTTAATTAATTAAATTACTTATCAGTTTTATGCTAGACAATGTATGGTTCAAATTAAGTAAATTCAATCTCATTTTCTAATGCGTTTTTATAGCTTCGACCATTTAAATAATTGGTGAATTCTTGTAAAGTTGGGAGGATTTCATGATGTGTTAGAATGCATTTAATTTTTCCACTTGATAAAAATTCAAAATGCTTATTATTTTAAACAAGCTTTTATAATTCTTTGTTTTTATTTGAATTAGAATCATTTGCTTTGTTATTTTAAGTTTGCTTTCCAGATTCTTTATTTTTATTCATAAATTAAAATAATAATTATATATGAGAACAATGTGCATACGAGGTAATTAAATTATATTTATAAAATTCTTTGAATATTTATTGTTATTGAGTTTAATTCTGGTTAATTAAATTATTGATGATTAATAAAGGAGCATCTTTGACCAGAACTGCATTTCAAATGCTGAAAATGATAACAAAAAATTAAACCAGATATCAATATAGTAAATTAGAGCACTTTTTTGCCAACTATGAAATGAGCGAATTTGAATGTCCAAAAATTACCATTAGCAAATTTTAATATTTAATTGATGACATATATTAATCAAATAGTATTCAATTTAACACATCCTTGGCTTCATATTTGAATGTAAATGATATTGAAATCAGCGAGTTATAAATACTATTAGAGAAAATCTACTAAAATAATTTGTTTTTGTCAAGAACCAATAAATAATGTTTGACATAAATAGTGCTAAATTAATTACACAACTTTAATGAGGACATCATCTCAATAATTAATCAAGCATGTTAATTAGGGTTTATTAATGAATAACTTATGGAAGTCTTTATTAATTAGTTTACAATTTAAGAATTTACATAATATAATTTTACAATTTAAGTGTAATTACTTTTTATTTTTGGTTAAGCCCTTTTAAGGTATAGCAATCTAACTAAAAATGAAGCATTCATAAAATAGTGGTAGGATTTGATAAAATATGCTATTGCTAATTATAAACCAGAATATAAAATATCTGGTTGCATGTTTTCTTAAATTTCATTCCTCATCAAAGGATTATTTTACTTTAAATTAGAACAAGAAGCAACATATATAGGTTAATTTGTTGAATTCTATAAAACCTACTACAAAATATTAATATGTAATTTTGCTGAAGGTTAAGATTTCAATAATATGACACCCAAAGAAACTACAATTTTAATTACTGCCCTTTTAAAACTAAAAGATTAATTTATGAAATAAGAAATAAATGTAATTATATCATCTTTGCTAAATCGAATTTAGAAGACAGGGGTTTCTTCATTTCCAGATCTAGCCTTATAATCATTCGTATTTAATTTAACCCAACTTACAGATTATTAATAATTAATGGCAGGAGAAATTTTATAAGTTATATAATAGAGAGTTTAGATTCAATAATTTTCTACAAAGATCATGATTATAATCTTATTTGAAATGCATTTAAAATGGAATTACGTAGTATCCAAGGAGCATTTGCTCAACCTCATCTCTTTTATAAATATTAAGGAAATCTCAGACTTGGAACTTGGCAGTTACTTTTAATTGCTAACTTTGTTGCCTTTGGATCAGACATAACACATAGTTAGTAATATTGAATCGGTATGATATTGATTTGATCATAGGAAATGATACTCAGAGAGCAATTTTAAAAAATGAATTAATAATTTGCTAAGAATGAGCCTCAATCGACTGATAGAATGAGGAGATCCCTCTAAAAATTAATAAATTTATTGTAAACTCATGGGAAGAATACAGAATCGTTGGAAAGAACAATTAAGAAAATCTTATGAGTAAAACAACTTTGTATATTAATTATAATTATTTATTTTATGCACAATTAAATCATTCATTCAAGCTTTGCAATATGTAAGACAGATGATGAGGAATTTTTTGGAAGCAAGGCATAAGAAATTTTAAAGGAAAAGATGAAAATATTTGAATTAGACAAGATTCCATATATGGGTTAATAACAGAAGAAGAAAACTCCAGATAAATAACGAAACAAATCTCAATAATACTAGAATAATTCTAAAGTTACATAACCATCCTCATATTCTTAATATAGAATATCAAATAAGGAAAATAAGGAATAGATCATGAGCTCATAAAATAGAGTTTCTAAGCAAATATTGGAATCAATTAAGAGAAAGCAAAGTGGACATGAACCCAAATTGATAGATATTCCTATTGTTAGAGTATCTAGGGAACAAGCATTAAGTAGCAAGATTGAATCTCAAAATAATATTTCTTTGATTTTAATGGAGAAGTATTATTAAGCTGCTATGAAATATGAAGAAAAAAATTAAAGATAAACTACTAAAGTAAATCTAACAAAAAATACTTCAAAATTGATAATCAATAATTAAGCAGTTAAAAATTTATAGAGAAAAATAAAAAATAGTAGAAGAGAATTATCAAAAGAACTAAATACCTCAACGAAGAATCAATAAACTAAAGAATAATTGAATTCGGTTACGCCAGTTGGATCTAATAAATATTTCGCGCCTTTTAAGTCTATTTTAATTCGGGGAAATTATTCCACTGATAACTGATTTATATTTATTACTTTAATTATTAATAAGTATTATAATATTTTATAAATAAATTTTATAGAATTCCATAATTTATTTTTACATAAAAATATGTTAATGAAATTCAAATGGTAACCGTATTTAAAATACTATATATTATGAAAAGAATTATCTCATTTAGTAGCACCTTCTTTATATCCAACTTTAAATATATTTTCTGGGATTCTATATTTTATTCCCTAGATAGTTTGTTGTTTTTTCTTTATGGTAGACTTTAGAATGTTTTGACTTCTTTTGAATCTCTAATAAATTCTTATTTTTTGAGGAAAAGAGCAGATAGACTTAATTGATATATTCTAAAAATGGTTTAATGGAAATATATATTGAAATTATATTCTATTCATCAATCAATAGAGATTAGAGATAAGGAGCCCACAATTAGAAGAATGATAACAAAGTGTAATGAGAAAATTTCTTACTCTTGTTTAATTATAAGATATATGTTATAACAATGAAAAAATCCCCTTTTTTTCTATTTTTAAAAGTGGCATTTCTCGATTTTCATATACTTAAACAGTATTTCGATTGTACCTGCATATTAAGAGTGTCGAGGGATTGAAAGAAGAAGTAGATTCATATGATGGTGAGAAAATTGCGTTGTTAAAGGATACGTAGAATTTAAAAAATGTTTGTAAATAGGTGTGATCGTTCTAAACATTAAAGTTATTTCTTTGGGCAACGTCTGATGAGGAGTAGAATTCTTATATCGTAGAAATTTATAATATTAATATTTTTATTAATAATGTAATTTAAAAACAGATTAAATGTTGATAATTAATTTTAAAAATAAAACAAACGTAAGATAAACCAAAAAATATATTAATCAAATAATTTATATAAATTCACAATTAGCACGTACTTTTTAAATAATACTTTAAATGAAATAAATTTTATGCCTTTGGCTTCTGATAGGAATATCATTAAGTGTAACAACATCAATAACTGAATGTTCATGTACACAATTACTATCAAAGACAGATTGCACAAAGAGAACTTCACTTGGCTGTTCATGGGATGAAACTAAAAATACGTGCTCAAAAGGCACTGTTACTCCTCCCGTAACAACAACTTATGCATCCTATTGTTAAAACTTCGCACAAGCTGATTGTGTAAAGACCTTTGGATGCTTATGGAATACTGATAAATGCACCCATTTTACAGGATGCACAGCATTTAAAAAGACTACAGATGATGATTGCAAAGCTATATCTAACAGATGTATTACAGATGGAGTTCATTGTGTAGAGATTGCAGAATGCAAATCATATTTGAATTAGGTCTCATGTGTAGTGAATTCTGATAAAAAAGATTGTTTCTGGAAGGATAATGCATGTATTGATGCTACATTGTGTGAACAATATCCAAAAACCCTAACAACTGATGAACAATGTAGAGCTAAGAATGTCAAATGTACTGTTGCAAAGAGTGGAACTGGATGTTAGGATAGTGCTACATCTTGTGCTTCATAAGATGGACAACCACAATGCAAATATGGAGATCAGTAGGCAAAATAGAAATGCTATTGGAATGGAAATGCATGTGTGAATAAGACTTGTGATTAAGCTCCCACTTCCAACACAAGACATGAACAATGTTTTACAGATTATGATCCCAGTTGTACTACAAATGGAGCTGGATGTAGATAAATAACAATTTGTAGTGATGCAAAGCTATAAGAGGGTTGTAAAATTAATAGTTCTGGTTAATAATGTATTTGGGTTGAAGGTTCATGCAGGGATTATAAATGTGATTCTGCCCCACCTTCAAAGAATACGAACTCCTTATGTAATGGCTTTATCCCAGGATGTGTTACAAAGAAAGATGGAGGTTGTAAAGAAAATGGTACTTGCAGTTCCCTTGATGTAGTTGCATGTGAGAAGGATAAAAATAATTCACCTTGTGTAGTTAATGGAACATTATGTAAAGATAAAATATGTGACAATGCCCCTACTACAAATACAACTCATGAAGCATGTACCTTATATCTCCCCACCTGTACAGTAAATGCTACTTCAAAGGGATGTAGAATCAGATCATGTGATAATGCACCATCTACCTTGGTTTCACTTACTGATTGTAGCAGTTATTGGCCTAATTGTATACCTAAAAAAGGAGGTGGTTGTTAAAATCTTACAACCTGTGATAGAATTGATGTTTAAGAAGTGTGTCTCAAGGATTAATCTAGTAAAGATTGCGTTTGGGATAAAGATTTGAGTAAGTGTCTTGATAAGACTTGTGCAAATGCACCAGCTGATTCTAAGACATCACATGAAAAATGCAATGGATATTTGTCATCTTGTACAGTTAATTCTTAAAAGAATGCTTGTATTGATATGATTTGCGAAAACATTGTAGAATCAGGAGATTGTAAAGTTGATAAAAGTGGTTCAAAATGCAAATATAAGAGCTCTTGTTATAAATAAGAATGCCGTTTAGCATCATAATCTATAACTACATATTCTGGATGCTAATCACATATGCCATCTTGTACACTTGACAATACTGGAAAAGGATGTATGCCAATCCCACCAAGTTGTGGTGCTATCAAAACATAGGAGGGTTGTGTTTCCAATTCATTAAACGGAGATTGTGCATGGTCTGGTGGTAAATGTCAAGATAAATCATGTTCCACAGCACCATCAACAACTACCGATAATACTGCATGTGGCAGCTATAAAAATAATTGTTTAGTAAACAATACTGCAAATGGATGTATTGATCCTACTACTTTTGCTTGCACATCACGTTAAATTGAGGACAACTGTTATTCATCAGTAGGATTTAAATGTGTCTTTAGTCCTTCTAAGAAATGTTAGCCAAGAAGTTGCGACACTGCATCAGATAATACAATTACCTCACCCAGTACTGGTGGATATCTCACATCATTTACTAATTCAAATTGTAGGGCTTATTTTGATGGTTGTGTTGTTAATAATTCAAATAGTGGATGCCGAAACAAAGCTTCTCAATGTGCTGATTATAATTAATATAATTGCTCTGAAAAAACAGCCACTGATAAATCATGTTATTTGAACTCAGATAATACTTGTGTTGACCTAGTATGTGAAAAAATTAAGTTAACTACTCATGTTGCTTGTGAGGGCGTTTCAGGAATGAGTTCAGCATGTACAGTAGCTAAAGGTAGCACTCCAACTGCATGTATGACTAAATTGGAAAGTTGTGGATAATATGAATAGAATTAATGTAAGAGCACTAAATCTGGAAAAAAATGTATTTGGGATAAGGCTGCATGTAGGGAAGCTACATGTTCTGATGCCACAGACGATGGTTCATATAATACACATAAAAAATGTAATGATTATGTTAGTACTTGTACTGTTATCGAAAGAGTAGACAATAAAGGTTGCATACCCAGAAAAGCTAATTGTAGTGATTATACTTCTAAACCTTAATGTGTTCTTAATTCTGCTGGCGGTTCATGCTATTGGAATGGAAATGATACATGTGTGACTTTTAGTACCTTGACTTGTGCTTAAATTGTTTTGGCATCATATAGTGATGCCAATTGTGAAGCTGCTAAAAATACTTGCAAGGCTAATTCTACAACTGCTTGTCAAAATAAAATTTGTGCAGACTATACAAAGGTTGAAGGAACAGCATCTGGCACAGCTGTTTCCACTGAGGATCATTGCAAATCTTTAGATTCAAGTTGTACTATTAATAGTGCTTCTACAAAAGCTTGTATGACAAAACCAGCAACATGTACAGGAACAGATTAAAATGCATGCTCATACTCTACAGCAGGAGAATGTTTTTGGGACGGTACTAATTGTGTATTAAAATCTACTGTTTGTATTTAAAAAACTGGAACTAATTTGACCTTTGCTTAATGCTAAGCTGTTAATTCAACTTGTTCTGTCAACCTTGCTGGTACTGCTTGTATTGATAAAAAAGCTGCTTGTTCAGGTTATACAAGTGCACTTGCAAGCTGTAGAAAATCAACCGCTGGATTGTGTAAGATTAGCGGTACTGATTGTGCCGACATTGATGCAACATTAGATTGTACTAAAATTGTTAAAAATGGCTCCGATAAATTAACATATGAAATATGTTAAGACTTTAGTACATCATGCTCAGTTAAAGCAGATGGATCTGCTTGTTTAACGATTGGAACTTGTAGCTCTTATGTTGCTGCTGCTGGAGCTGATTGTGTAAAGGGTTCCGATGGAACATGTTTGTGGTATGATTCTGATGGTGCTGCCGGAGCAAATGCAGCTAGTTGTGTAGCTATAGCAGCTGGTAGTGATTGTGCCAAAGTAACTGATGCAGGTAGCGCCCTTACAGATGATAAATGCTAATCATATAATTCAAGCTGCTATGCTTTATCAGATGGATCTGCATGTTTTGAAAAGAAAACAAATTGTTCTGATTATGTATAAAAATCTTGCACAAAAACTTCAGGTGGAGCTAAATGTTATTGGTATACCCCAAGTGGAGGAGGTACTGCTTCTTGTATATAAATTTCAACTGCCAGCTCTGATTGTCCCAAACTATTGAAAGCATAATTATCAAATACTAATACTTCTGATGCAATATGTAAAGCATTCAATGCTTCTTGCGTGAAAAATAGTGATGCTTCTTCTTGCGTTGAAGTGAAAACAAAATGCTCTGATTACACTGGTTCATCTACAAATTGTGTAAGCACTTCTGGAGGAATTAAGTGTTACTGGAATACAAGTGGAACTGCTGCTTGTATATAAATAAATGCAACAGATTGTGCTAAAGTAACAGGTACTGGATTAACATATAGTGATTGTCAATCCTACAATACAAATTGTAGCGTTAATACTGCTGCTAATGCTTGTGAAGCTAAATCATGTACAAATAAGCCTACACCATGGAATCATTCTGCATGTTCAACTTACTTGTCAACTTGTACAGCCAATAAAGTGACTGGAGCTGATGCATGCAAAAATGCACCAAATAAATGTTCAGAAGTTACTGTCTAAGCAGACTGCATAGGTTCTGTTACCGATGCAGATTGTGAGTGGGTTGTTGGTAGCGATGGAGGATAATGTGTGAAAAAGACTTGTTATACTAAACCAACTACTACAGCATTAACTCATTCAGATTGTAATACTTATTTAAATACTTGCACAGTTGCAAAAGTAGGTGGTTGTATTCCTAAGGCTGCATGTAATACTTATTTATCCTCTGAATAATGCACAAATGGAGGAAGTTGTTTCTGGAATGAAAAAAAGGCTTTGACATGTGTAGATCTTTCATGTGATAAAATTGAGGATTCTTACAATACTCACGCATTATGTAATGGAATTTCTAGCTTGAAATGTACAGTTAAATCTACAGGAGTAGGATGTTAAAACAGATAGGCTACATGTTCCAGTTATAATGATAAAAATTGTTACCTAAACTCAGCTGAATGGCCATGTGTCATGGTAACACAGGAAGATGGTTCAAATAAATGCATGGAAAAAGCTTGTACAACTGCAGGAAGTTCCTACACTGACCATAATGGTTGTTATGATTACTATAAGGCTAATGCTGGAACCAAGAAATCAGACCATTGCACAGTTGCTATAGTGACAGCCGCAGATGGAACAGTTTCTGCTTCTGGATGTTAAAAGGTTGGAAACTGTACTGATTATGGTTAAGCACAATGCTTTGTTGATTCTGAAGGGAGAACCTGTGTTTGGGATGACACAGCTAAATGCAGAATTAAGACATGTGAAACTGCACCTGATACAGAAAGTTATGATAGCGATGATGAATGCAAATTATATTTGGATGATGGTACATGTACAGTTGCATCAGATAATATGGGTTGTGTTGTTAGACCTGACAAATGTGAAGGAATGACTGAAAAATAATGTGTTAAGGATAAAGGAGGAAATGCATGTTAATATTTGGATGGTGCATGCTATACAAAAGCTTGTTCAACTGCTCCAAGTGATGTAACCACTAAAGATGGATGTGCTAGTTATTTCTCAGGATGTACTTTGGATGAAAGTAGTAAATGTAAACTTGAAATTTGCGAAGATTTCACATTCACTACAGATGACGAATGCTAAAAAGCAAAAGCTGGTTGTACTACTAATGGTACTAAATGTGTATTGAGAACTTCATGTTAAGCTGTCACTAATGTTGCAGGATGTGTGAAAGATGATTAGAATGGAAAATGTTAATGGTTGACAGCCAGTAGCACTTGTGTTTCAAGAACTTGTGCAACAGCTCCTGTTTCTACTGATTATGACACTGAAGCAGAATGTATAGCCTACAAAGAAGAATGTACAACTAAGTAAGGAGGAGGATGTGTTATTAAATCAACATGCTCTGCTGCAACAGCAGAATCAGCATGTAATAATGTTGCAGGCTAACCCCTTAATAAATGTACCTGGGACAATGGTAAATGTAGAGATCAAGGATGTTAAGATTTTTCCTTTGCTACTCATGCAGAATGCAAAGCTGCAACTACTAAAATTAAATGCACTGCTGGCTTGAATGGTAAATGTACCACCCAGTTAACTTGTGAAGCTGCTACAGTAAGAGCTGCTTGTATTGAAGGATTGTATAATGGAACATATCAACCATGTCTTTGGATTTCTGGTGCAAACTCTGGAAATGGAGGTTGTTTCCAATATTCTTCATGCAAGAGTCTAATTTGGACAGACCATGATGAATGTTAAAAGATCTCAGGCTAATGTACTACAGATGGATCAACTTGTTTGGCTATTACTTTATGTTCAGAAACAAATACAAAGGGATGCAGAGTTGGATATGATGGTCCTTGCATTAAGACTGTTCCAGCACTTGATTCAACTGATTCCGCTATTTGTAAAGCTTATACTTCATGCACTGATGCATTCTATAAGACTCACAGATTATGTTAAGAAGCAAGTAATAAATGCACAACTAATGGTGTAACATCTTGTGCTCCTCTTGCTGCTTGTTCAACTTATGGTCTTTAAGAAGCATGTGTCTTAAACAATGTTGGTGCAGTTCTTGAGTAGACAACTAATTTGATTACATCAACAGGTTAATGTGCTTGGGAGAATGGTACTTGCAGAGATGAAGTTTGTAAGGATCTTAAAGGAATAACTCATGATTAGTGCTACAGGTAATTGAAAGGTTGCACTTCAGATGGAACTAATTGTTTAGCAATTTCTACTTGCGCATCTTATACTTCTTAAATAGCTTGTACAACTGCTAATGGATCTGATGGACCTTCTGGTAAATGCTTATGGGATGCTACAGCCAATAACAATGCTGGAGCATGCAGAGTATACCAATGTTCAGATATTGCTGGAGGCATATCAACATCTATCTGTCAGGCTGGATTATCCACATGTGTTTCCAATGGAACTATCTGTATTGACTAAGCAAATTGCAGTAGTACATCATATCAAAATAAAATTGCTTGCAACTCTGCAGGAAAGGATGGAATTTGTGTCTTCACTAAATCTACTGCTACAGGTGCCACTGAAAACTAAGGTACATGTGCCTTGATGACATCATGCACATAAGCTAAAAATGATCCAAAGGCCTGCGCAAATGCCAAAGACAGATGTTCATTTACTCCTGAATCAAAATCAGGAACAACAACCGTTCCTAGCAAATGTGATCCACATACCTGCGCTTCATATAAATAAAGTAATAATGGAAATTGCGTTAATTTCTTAAGTTGGGATTAAAAATCTTAACAAATTTGTGTTGTCGATGGTGCTGATTGTAAAGAAAAGGACCCTGCTACTTTCACCCAAGATTAATGCTACTTGACTTCAGGATATACATATACTTGGAGCACTTCTACAAATAAATGTGGAGTATGCACAGCTGTTTAACCTAATAATAATAACACTACAGATCCTAATACAACAACTCCAAACAACACAGATACCTCAGGTTACATTCTAGGTTTCACAACTATTATCTTAGGATATCTAGTTTTCTGATCCAATTGATTATTAAATTTATATAGGGAAATATTTTAAATCATTTTATTTTTTTCCTCTCCTTATTGTTAAATTAAACTTTGATAATTAATTTAAATTATAAATTACTTAGTGAATATCAGAGTAGTTCATTCAAGAATAATTTGATTATTTCTTTGAGATCTACTTCAATATCTTTATAATTTTCATAAATCAGAAAGTTAAATTAATTTAAACCATGATTGAATCATTAAATATTGAACCTATACAGATTCTTATGTTTTAAAACAAGATTAATAAATATTGAAGAATTGATTTATGGAATAAGTTTATTACCCAAGTTCGTATTGCAAATATTTTGATAAAGGTACTTCTCCTATTTTATATATACAGTCAAACAGTTCTATTTTCTCTGAGTTTATTTAGAAGGGAAAAATATGGATTGAAATTCAGACTTAAGAATTGTTGCAGATTCTTTTAGTGTTTTGACAAAATAATCCCATGTTTTCAAAATAATGTGGCTTTTAGTGTTACTTCAACAACAATTAATATTGTGTTTTGAAAATATTTAAAAATAACCTGTTTAAATGCTATTTCTAAATATTAACCAAAAATATGAGCAGTTTAGATTACACTTTTTTGATACAATTATTTTTAATAAATATTTTTCAAACTTATAACACAAAATGAACACAACCCGTAAATTATAAAATTAGCTCATTAAGATCAAAAAGATTTTGTCAAATTCAGATTGGTGAAAAGATTATCTCAATCTTAGAAATGCAAAATACAACAATATATAGATCTAGCCCTGCTGGGTTGTTTAAGATTAATCATCGAAATACACCATCTAGAAGAAAGGTCAAAATTTACTTGTATTTGGAAAACACTCAAATTATTATAAAATAGAGTCACCTTAAGCAAAGCAAAATGAGTTATAGTTGAATTACTAAATTTCTTAATGAAAATGCATTCACTAGTTAGAATTCTCATAATGAACAAAAAGCTTTCTTAAAAGGAAAGGACAACATGAAACTTTAAAAGATCTTGGTCATAGTAATGGATTACTGTTTCATTTAAATAAGAATAATTTATATATTTAAAGGAATGGAAAAAAAAAAGAACCTTTTTAAAAGTTACAGAATCTATTTCAAGAATATATTGGGTAACTTATAGGGAGAATATTTTATTTAAACTTCATGTTTTCTATTAGTTCGGTTAGTAATTAATTGAAAAATTAATTGCCAATCAAAATAGGCCAAATTTCCTAATTCTATAATTAGCTACTTGCATAATAGATAAATTTGAAATAATCATATCAACTTTGAAGAAGGACAAACCCAATAACTATTTTCGATTTCATAGTCAATATCTGATAGAGAATGAAAACAAACTATAAATGACATAATAAAAAAAGTTAATAAGATAAAATGATTTAGAGAAAGATCTGTACTATTATGGGATTATTGTTTTTATTTCTTGATAAGTTTCATTTTTCAAAGTACTAACAATCCTATTTCAAATTTTTTGAAAAATTTTTAATGTGATTCCTTATATAATATATTGTTCATTATTTTGAGTAATTTAAGTTATTAATTTAGGAAATTTTTGTTTCTCCTTAAATGCCTTTCTTTTACAAATTCTCTATTGATTTATTTATCTAATCATTACTCCTCTTCACATCATTTTATATCTTTTCGTGTCTTCTCTATTTATTATATAAGGTTTCTCCTTAGATCTATATTTTCTTTAAAATTTGACTTTTTTCTAATATATTAAAGAAATTTACATATTTTATACAGATAAATATAAGAGTCTCATCTCTGATTGACGTACATATATACATTACTTAAATTTAATAGAAATAGATACATAAAATTATTTGATAAATTCATATACCTATTTGTTGATTTTTTTAATTTTCATAATTTGCTCTTCACACTCTCCATGTCTAAATTAAAAACTTATTAATGTTTACCAATATTTTTCAGCTAATATGTCCAAGCACTTACCTTAAATTAGATAGAGAAAACAATCGTCTACAAATTAGGGTAGCTTGTAAAACTAGCTCATTCTTAAATAAGAATTTTTTATTTCTATTGTCTAAGTTATTAGCATTTAAAGTATATATTCAGTTCTATCTTAGATGAAGGTCTTTAGGGTAAAATTTTTAGATAGTTTATTTGTTAATAATTCTAAGAAATTTTATTTTTTGATTTAAAAGTCTTTGGCATGAATAATAATCCCATTGCTACTATAAATTTATTTGAAGAGAAAGAAATCTTACTTTAAAATTTTAAAGGGCTGCAATTTAGAAATTAAAATTTACATTTTTCTAATTATTTTATTTTAAAGTGGTGCATTTCTCTTTTCTGTTAATTTATATTAATACCTGAAATTAAAAAAATAATTCGAACACTATGACAGTATCTAAATTTTATTATTTTTAAATATTTTAGGCGTAGATTGAAAAATGAACACTATTATTAATCGCACTTGACATATCTAAATATTCATATTAAAATAATTATAAGGGCTCTCATAATTCAATTTCTAGTAGTTATATTGATACTGATTTTCTATTTCTAATCAAGAGGTCATATTGATAAGTATATAGGGTTATAATTTGTAATTAAAAATAATTTATTTTAGAATAATAATAATAATTAAGAATGATATAAGAAAAGAGTCTAGAATTACCATGCTCTTTGGCTGAACACAAGAGCAATATTAAAATGGTATGTCTAAATGAGCAGTGTAAAGAGTTTAGACTATTTTGCATGAAATGCGTTTAAAATAAGCATCATTCAACTCATTTGTAAGATTGGATAGATATTCCTTAATTTATTGAATAAATAGAAAATTTTGAGACTGATTATCAAAGTCTAATGATTGAGTTATCTCAAGATGTAAATGCAATTATATAGAATTTTAATAATTTGAAGGAAGGAATAAAAACAAAATATATTTTAGACTAGGAGAGAATTGAGAAATTAAGTCTAAAAGAAATAAATGTAGTTGTCAGTTAAATGTTGAAATACAAAGAATTTAAAGAAGAGACTATTAAAACAATTTAAGAGTATGGATCAATGTTTAATCAATAAATAATAAATTTGTAAAATAAGTTAATTGTAAGTGAAGAGAAAAATATGGAGGTCAATCAAGTAGATAATTAATCAAGTGAGAAGATTAGTAGATTAAGTGAATATAAATATTAAGAAGCTATGTAAAAAGATGGTGGATTGAGTGATAAAATTAGTATATCAAGTGATAAGATAAGCAGATCTAACGAGAATATTAGTGTACGAAGTCAAAAAAATAACATATCAACTTAAAAAAAGAGCTAGTCGAGGGAAAAAAAAATTGTTTCAAACCTTAAAGATATTCAGTAATCATTAGAACTTTGCGTTAAGGGTATCTATCTAATATTCAATTTGATAGGTTAGAAGTTAACTGAGAAATAAATGTTTAAAGAAGCTATTGAGATGTTTAATTAATCATTGGTTTTAAATCCAATTAATTCTAAAGCCTTTTATCTGAAATGTATATACCTAACAATTTTTAGCTTACGGTTTAAGGTTAACAGAAAATTATGACGAAGCCCTAGTTTGGGCTGATAAAGTCCTTGAGATAGAACCTAATCATATAAAAGCTTTAGATTGTAAAAGTAAGAATCTGTTAATATTTTAGTTTATTGTCTAAGTATTCTTGGAAAATACAAAGAAGCATTGGATGTTATTGAAAAAGTGTTGCATATAAACCCTAATCATTTAAATTCTATGATTAATAAAGGTAATTAGCAATTGTAATTAATAGTGAATTGCTTAAGAGAACTAGGACAATATCAAAAATCTATTTAATTGGCAGATGTAGTCCTTAAATAAGATCCCAAAAATATAAATATCTTGTTTTGTAAATGTAAACTTAAATTCATATAAATAGTGTATGGTTTAGTTATGGTTGGTAAATGTTAAGAGGCTCTTGAATGTGCTGAGAATGCTTTGGTTGAAAATCCTAACAATTCCAAAATATTATATTGTAAAAGTAAAAGTAATCATTAATTACAAGTTCAAAGTTTATTTGGTCTCTAGAAGTATGAAGAAGCGATTCAATTGATAGATAAAACTTTGAGTGAAGATTCAAACCAAGTCAATCTTTTAAGTGTTAAAGGTAATTTAATTTTGAAAATATAGCAAAAATCTTATTTGTACAAAAAAAAACAAGTGAAGCGTAAAAAGTTGTTGACAAAGTATTGGTATAAGATCCTAATGATATTGATGCCTTGGAATGTAAAAGTATTATTTTAATCCTATAAGTTTAGTTGAAATTTTATATTCCCTTGGGAAATATCGTGAGGCTATTAAATTAGCTGGTAAGATTTTAACTAAGAATCCCAAGCATCTGAATGCTTTAATTTTTAAAAGTATTGTTAAAATATTATAAGCAATGAGTTTATTTATGCGTAAAAAATATAAAAAGGTAGAAACTTATGCTGATAAAGTATTGAGTATTGACTCTAATCATCAAACAGCATTGTTTTATAAGGGTAAAATAATATTAACCTTAAGCAAATAGTTTAAAATAAGAAGGTAATCATAAGGATGCGTTAATTTGTATAAACAAATTGTTAGAGAAGGATCCTAAAAATTTAGAATTATTATTATTTAAAAGTATGTTTTTATTTAATATCAAAGCTCAAAGTTTATATTTACTCGATCAATTTCAAGAAGCCATAAATTGGGCTGATTAAGTTTTAGAAATAGACCCTAATCATTTAGATACATTATATTGCAAAGGTTGTAAATTTAATATCATATTCTAGCTGATAATCTAAGATTGCTTGGGAATTACAAAGATGCAATTGTTTGGTCTGATAAGGTATTAGCTATAAATCCTGAACATACCAGAACTTTACATTGCAAAGGTATCATTCAATAAAATATGTTTAGTTAGTTGCTTAAGATTACTTGGTTAGTATTAGGATGCTGCTATTTGGTCAGAGAAAGCTGTAGTTGCCAATCCTAAATCAGTTAATATTTTACGTTAGAAAGGTACAAACTGAAAGCATTTGAATAGCTAATTAGTTAAAAAATATGGGGTAGTATTAGTAAGCACTAGAATTAGTAGAAAAAGCCTTGGTAATAGAGCCAAAGCATATAAACACTTTAGATTGCAAACGTTTTTAATATATTATATTTTAGTTTAATGCATATATTGGCTAGGCAAAATTGATAATTCAATTGTGTTATCTGACAAGATTTTAGAGTTAGATCCAAGTAATTTAAATTCCATGTGTTGTAAAGGTAAATCAAATTCAAATATCTTTAGCTGATTGCTTAAGACAATTGAAAAGGTATTTGGATGCTCTGTTATATTGTAATAAAGTATTGGAGATAAACCCAAATCACATAGATATTTTAAGTTGTAAAGGTATCTTTCAGCAATTAACTCTAGCACAATGTTTATATAACCTTAAACAATACGATGAGGCATTAGAATACATCAATAAAGTACTTGCACTGGATCCAAATAATGAGTAAGTCATTAGTTGTAAAGGTATGCTTGAAATTATATTTTTAGTGAATGTGCTATTGTAAAAGGGATAGCATGTAGAGGCATCTAAGTAAGCTGATAAGGTTTTAGAAACTAATTTTTAGAACAAAGATGTTCTGATTTGCAAAAGTATTAAAATTTATCATAAATTAAAAGCGTAGTGCTTACATTTGTAAAATAAAAATAAAGAGGCTCTTATTTGTGTTGATTTGGTTCTAGAGATTGATCCTAATCATGTTCCTACCTTATTCATAAAAGGTAATCAATCACATTCATTTAGCTAATACCTTATTTAAACTTGGCCGATTCTCTGAAGCTCTAGAATCGACTGATGCAGTTTTAAAAGTAGACCCAGATCATGCTGAAACTATTCTTTGCAAATGTATTCCTCTTTATTAGTTAGCTAATTGTTTAAGACTATTAGGACAACATTCGGAAGCTCTCATCTACATAGACAAATATTTAACCATTGATCCTACTAACCTAACCGTTATTGAACAAAAAGGTATAAAATACTTTATAACCTAATAAGCTCAACTCTTACATTCAACAGAAAGACATGAGGAATCGAATCTATGGATTGAAAAGGTACTTGAATAAGATCCAGATAACATGAGTATATTAAACTATAAAGGTAACTTAGTAATTAATTTTTAGCTGATAATTTAAGAGCTTTGGGTAAATGTAAAGAATCAATAGTAATTGCTGAAAAGATTTTGGCCTATGATTCTAAATCAGTAAATGCTTTGTTTTGTAAAGGTAAATAAATGGTGAATATTAATAGCTGATTGTTTAAAAGCTTAGGGTTAGTATAATTTAGCTGAATAATGGGTTGACTTTGCATTAAAGCATGATTCCAAACACGTTAACTCATTGGCTTGTAAGGGTAATAAGTTCTCATAATTAGGTGAAATATTAAGGATGTTTAAACAATATGACCAAGCTTTGAAATAATTTAATATTGCTTTGAGTATTAACCCTAATAATTATATTTCTCTTATTTAAAAAGTGTAGCAATGGGACTTATACAAATTTAGGTGCATGTCTACAAGAAATAAAACAATATTCAGAAGCATTATCAATCTTTGATAAAGCCTTGAGAATTAAACCAAATGATGAATGGGTTCAAACTAGAAAAAGTAATAATTATATTTTGATGTAGAATAATGTGAAGATGTTTTTAAGAAGACAAATTCTGCAAAATCAAAATGAATAATAAATTTATAATATTTATTCAAATCATATAATCATAAAGTTTAATTAAATAGAAAATCCATTAATTTATTAATAATCTCTAATTTACATGTTTATATATATTTTAGAATTGAGTAAACAGAATTATAATAATTAAAATGTTTACAGCAATTAACTAATTCGATTTAACCTGAATAAAATCACAATATTAATGGATTAATCGGCCTTTATTAAACAATAAACTAATTAATAATTTTGTATCATGCTTTACCATGATTTCAATTAAAATTGTTATTGTTAGTTCAAAAGAAATAAATTTTAAGAAGCCATTTACGAGATAAAATGAATCTAATTCACTTATCCACCTTATTTTAGATATTTTATTATCGATTTAAAATTTAGTTTTTTTGATAAAATTGAATATATATATATGTAGATAAATGCTCAAATTTCCCTAATGAGTAGCTTGGAGTATCATAAAAATTGAATTGTCTAATTACGTATCCTTCCTTAAATTTGCTCTTAATATCTTAAAACTAAGGCATTCAACTTTTCTTAAGAAAAGTGCTATTTTATCAAATTTAATAACCAATGGCAGAGTAAATTTTATATTATAGAATTATATTAATTATGTATCTTCTTATAATAATTATTGAATATTTCACGTTTGAAAGAACACTTTTACGTATATTTTATTTACTTTATTTATAAAATTTTGTATTTAATAATGATTTAGTAATAAAAAAGCAATTAACATTGTAAATTACATCCTAATGAAAGCGTCATATTCTGCTGCTTTAAATAAGAATGCAATTAAAATAGAATATTTTGTTTGGATTGTTTGAAATAGAAATAGCATATAGAGCATATGGATGCTGTTTAAAAATTGGAAGATGCTAACATTTTCATTAATTAATAGCTAAGCAAAATTAAAGAAGTTATTACAGCCACAAAAAATGAATTTGACCTAGCAAAGGAGTCATTCAACACATTGATAATAGGGTTATAATATCAAGTTTTTGGGTTAGAGGCTGTGATGAACAATATGAACTTAAATGAAATTTAAGAAACAATAGCAAACTTATTCTTATTTGAAAGAGTAAAATCAACAATGTAATAATCAATTGATCAAACACTTTACAAATTAAGAAAAACCATTGAAGATACATATCAAAATTTTTAGTTAAACTTATTCATTTAGAAAGATGAAGAGATCTTAGTAAAAATTGGTAAGAGTTAATGAATAACAAAATAGGTAGCTATTTATTTGAATAATAATAATACAGAAAGGCAATTGAATACTACGATGAATGTTTAAATATGAATGTAGAAAATGAATAAGCTTTATTCGGAAAAGGTAAAATTCTAATTAAATTTCAGGCGAGTGTTTAAGAGCTATTCAATAATTTAAATAAGCATCAGAGTGTTATTAAAAAGTTTAATTCATAAATAACAACAATGCTCAAGCATATATCAAACAAGGTTAAAAACAATTTAATTTTTAGGAGAATGTTTATGATATTTGCATTAATTTAATACAGCAATTAAGGTATATAATAAAGCCATACTTTTGGATAAATCTGATTTTGCATCAATTTATTATAAGGGTAATTTGTAAAACTTTTATCAGGTTATTGTTTACTATAATTGTGGAATTTTACAGAAGCTAAAGAGTGTTTCGAAGAAGTAGTCAAAATTAATTCCGATAATAATTATACTCTGCTAGCTAAAAGTATAATATATTATAATTTAGGCAATTTGTTACTTCTAACCTTACATCCTGAAGAAGCTAAATAGATCCTTGATTAAATTTTAGAAAATTCTCCTCAAAAATTTGACATCTTTTTGTTGAATACATCAATATCAACTTTTACTATAAGAGAGTTCTGTGATTTCCACTAAGACACTAATGAAGTTGAATAAATGATATAATAATTTCCATAGAATATTTTTGCATTGTACTTAAAAGGCATTAAATCCATTTATTTTTAAGGAATATCTTTAATAAAGGATAACAATATTGAAGAAGCATAAAAGATTTAAGAGAAGCTTATAGAAATCGACCCAACATCATGGATGATTAAACATTTAAAAGGTGTATTTGAGCTTATTTTTAGTGAGGTTTTTAAAAAATGAAAACAAAAATGATTAATCTCTAGAGCTATTAGAATCAATATTAGTATTTAATCCTGATAACATTCGTATAACATTTGAAAGATTCTAAGTATCAAAACACTCTTACTTAGGACTTAGCTTAATTAGATTCCGACTAACAAATTAAATACATGGACTATTTGTTGATAAGATTTCCACAATTGATATTTCTATTTTGGATTAAAGGCTTTATTTTAATGAATGAGAAAAAATATGATGAAGCTTTACTAACTTTTAGTGCAGCTTTATCTAGGGATCCGTATAATTTTTGGATTGCATCCTTTAAAGGTTATAAAAATATAATTTTATAGCCATTACCCTATCTCATTTGAAAAAATATTAAGAAGCCATTGATCTCTTACACTCAGTACTTGATATATCCCCAGAGAACATAAAAATTTAAAAACTCATAGGTCTAATTCTTTAAAAATTTTAGATGAAATCTTAATCGATGAATAAGTTGAATCAAATGATGAAGCAGAAGTTCAAAAAAATATCCAATCTGATTGAGTAATGATAAAATATTCAAAATAATCAGTATAAAATATTTTACTTTAATATTAATTTCAAGATATAGCCGTATTAGTGAATTTAAGAAATCTTCATAAATTTATGTTTAATTGATAATGAAATTTTATATTTAAAGTAAAAGTTCATATTATTATATAAGTTTCTTCACAATCAAAATAAATGTATTATGTGATGACAAAAATAGTCTTGCTTTATTTGTTCCAATATATT